GTGCGTGCATTAAGATGCCTGTTGTTCCTCCAATGGTGACGGCGAGGAAGATATAAAGCATCAACCGATCCATAACCATCGCTATATAACGCCAGTCTTCTAGAATCTGTCAGAAACATGGCTCTTGTGTATATTAAAACGTTTTTCATATAAAAATATTATATAATATGATTTGTTATTTATACAAATACAAATGCGATACTCTGTTTATATATGTTTTTTTTTATGAATTTGTGTTAAAGAAAATTACCTCTGCATAATCGTCTTCATTCTTCAAATGAGCGGCTATAAAACGAACCGCTTCAACAGCCTTGTGCGTCTCGGGGCTTAGATTAAGAACGGCCTGGTTTGACGAAGGCTGAGCCCTACTGAACCTGCAGTTAGGATGATGAACATCGGACAGTTCAAGAATATCATCGCTCATCTTCGAATTGGACGGACGTTCGTTATTATAGTTCTTCTTCGCCGAACGTTCCTTGTGATTCGGCCTCTTCATGACTAGCAGCCTTGGTAGGTAGTTGAGGAAGACTAGGCGCACCCAACGAGGCATTCGATGTGTACGAGGCGTACGAAAGTTCCAATTGATTATGATAACGGTAATAAGGATAGTAAATATGTTCATTATGAAAGTAAAAAGGAGATACTTTGCTATTAATGGTATGGTTATGGAGGTCGGTGGTAGGATTTTAGAGACGAGCAGAAGGAACACGACAAGTGCAAGAAGGATGGATATGCACATGGTCATCTTCTCGCCGGCATCCGTCGGTAAGTAAAAGACGCAGACGGACAGGAAAGAGATGAGAACGCAGGGAATGATGAGATTCACCGTATAGAAGAGGGTCTTACGGCGGATCTTTAATGTGAACTTAATCTGAGATTTTTGGTGCTTTTCGCTGCCGTTCCTTACGGCTTCGTGGTCGCCTGGACAACCTATAATGTCCCAAGTTCCTGATTTTACGTAGTCGTTTAGATCGACCCTCTCCTTGCCCTCGTACCAGCCGAGTCGAACTTGATCGGCAGCAAACGTCCAACTGCCGAATTTCATATCGCAACTCTGCTCGTCGAAGGGGAAATATTCGACGTCTATAGTGCAAGACGACTTATAAATGGCTGGAGGAATCCATAGCACTTTTCCAGAGTTGTAGATGACCACGTTGGGCTTGTAGGAGACCTCGTACTTACCATCCGCGTTGTTAAACAATACTATATCCGGCTTCCACACCTTATCGGGCAGGATCCTAATAACTGTAATTCCACCGAAATCGGCTGGATTCCACGTCAGTTGATAATCCTGCCATAGCTATGCGAATTCGCCGGGTAATCGATGGTCTAGCCTAGATAGGCTAAGTATAAAAATTTACTCACCATTCTTAACCAAACGTTCGATTTCATTATCTGGTTTTTCTCGTCCTGAAAGCCAATGACAGAACGAGTAAACGTCAGCCGGAGGCTATTATTTTTCTCAGCCCACTTACCACGTTGATTAGTTGAATAAGCGCCAGTCCGAAGTCGACTGTTACGATTTCGGAGAGGTTGTGAACTGGACGGATGAGGGGATTGTATCCTTGTTCTTTGAATAAGTAGTTCACTAGTCGGATTTCATCTACGCTTCCCAAACCTGTATCGAGCACACAAAAGAGATTTACTAGAGTCCAGCGGGAGCCCTTTTATTATTATTATTATGATTATGATTATTATGTCGCACACGTGCGTCTCTCTACAATACCTGACGATAAATGGCATAGAACGAATCTGAAAAAGGAAGAAACGGCGAGTAGAACGCCAATTTTCGCCTTCATCCTGCTCCCTACTCATTTGGCCGAGAATTTGCGGCCGATGAAAGACGGACGTACGATAACGGCAGCAACGTCGGCGCCGATACGCAACTGCATACTGCTAGCTCAATGCTAATGTGTCGATCGATTTGCAGTACAACATGGCGCCCGCCGCTCGTTGCAGTCTTATCGTAGCCGGCACACGCTGTGAAACGCACACATACACTACCCCGCACGGATTTTTTTTTTATGTAGTTCATCGTCCGTCCTTTTCTTTTCGATTCCCCGCTGCTGAAAATTTTTTTATTCCCAACCTCCATCCCAGCTCGCATATAATAAAACTAATAAAACTGCCGATATATGAGCCCTCTTTCCGTCTAGGCCTAAGGCGACGAACCGTTAATATTAATCTATAAAGCTGGAGTTATATAGGCTTAGCAAGAGTTAAAAGTATATGCATGAGGGAAAGGTTGCATGCCAATTAAAATCGTATAATAAAAAAGCATACACACATAGAAATATATATATATATATATGTTAGGTAAAGCTAAAGCCAGTCTACACAGCACAGCATATAAACATAGATCCCATATTATTATAGTTAAATGAATGAATATCTAGTTATAAGAATAAATACCAACATTAATATATATAAAATATATTTTAATATATATACAGTATATTAATACATACGTATAATATATTTAAATTTAAATACATAAGATAGGATTATATATGTTTATTAATAGACATCAAAATGTATATACTGAACTGTATATTTATATATATATATGTATATAAGTCGTAAAAAAAGTATTGAGATATGTATGTATGCCATTTGTACAGTTAGATTTTTTATTAAGTTGACATTGAAGATATTGTCAATGTCAAATGATGTAAAAGAATAAATTTACTTTTCATAAAACAATTATTTAAATTAACTCTGTTTTAATTATATAGTGCATTAATATTTTTATCAATCTAGCTTATTGTTTATTTACATAATTGTACATTGTATACATTGGTTTACATGGAAGTGTAAATCCAATAGACTGTACACACACACAGACACACATACATATTATCAGCATTTTTTTTATATAAGCTGTGCTATACATATGCATGTTTTATAATGCTAAAATGTTTGTACAGCCCATTCGTTGAAAAATCCCAAAATAATCTATGTGGAATAGCAGGGAGAGCACCCCAAAAAAAAAAAAGAAAAAGAAAAAAAAACACACACACACACAAAAAAAAAAAACTCTTTTTCCTGCACGCGAAAAAAACGCCTTACGTTCGGAAGATCCGAGTTTGAAAGGAAACCGGCTGTGGCTATTCGATTGCGCGAACGCATCTGTGTAAATGAAAAAAAAAAAGAAGTTGGGAGAATGAAAATGAAAAAATTCCCCTCTTTCTCGTCGACTTTTAATTCGAATCGGGCCGCGTTCGATTTATTCCCAACGGTTTGCCGCCGGAAAAGATCGTTGCACAAGTCGCTTATATTGAGTTGTTGCTAAAGAGGAGTGCGTGTGAAAAGTAGAAACATTTGGCGAATGTTTGCGGAATGCGATATGTATACAGAACTTCGGCATTCACACTTTGGTTGTTTTTTCAACATTTCGAATATAAAAAAAAATCAATGTGGCGCCCTCTATCAGATCTTCTCCACAACTAATCTGAAAACGTGAACGAACTCTTATTGTCTGAAATTTTAGGTTGGAGGAGAACAGCTACTGCAATCTATCTTTTTCCAGGGAACTCGTGAGACTAGCGGCAAAGCCAAGCGCGATTAGATAACTGAAATGATACAAACGAGATGGGTGAAAAAACAATAAACAAACCACGAAAGGTTATTGTTTAAATTCTTACGCTAATACGAATGTTAGACAGTAAAGTTGGTTCGTATTCTAATTCGTGTATGAAAACGTCTTAATTAAAAAACGATCCTTTTTCCGCCAACCTAATCGCCGCAATTTTATACGGCTGAAATTCGCGAGGACAAGTAAACTCCATTTACACGAATCTAAAGCCGTAGAAAAAAAAAACGCCCGTTTTTTCGAGGTCGTTCGAAAGAAGCGTTTGATCCGCCGAATCAGCGTCGTGTATAAATTATATATAGATTTTCAAACACACTCTCCCTCATTCGTAAACGCGCCAATTTGCCTGTACAGCGAATAGAATAGAGAAAGAATCGCGAGTCGAATGGAATATTAGGCGTTCTTTTCTTCGTTCCATACCAAAGCATATCGATCGGGCGCCGTATAACATTTGGAAAAAGAATAGGAGGGAGAAAATCCAGTTCTATTGGCGCCGATAAATCATAGCAACTGCAGAGAAAAAAACTGCAGTATTTTTACAGTTGACCTTTGCTGCTTTCTGGTACCGTTGGTCAGTTGCCTCTGTGCAGAAGCCTCTCACCGTAATTCGACTCGAAATAGACTTTTCTATTCGCGGCTTATTAGCTGCATTCTATTCTCATAAACTCTCTAGTCGTTTATTGGCTTTTAATTATTCCTTCGACTTTATATATACCTCTTACACTTCGAATTAGTAGAAGCCAAAGAAATATCCACGTCATCCTTCTTCCACCATTTTTTCGCTTATCCCCGTCGACGGCGAATGATGAAGCGAACGATCAGTGCTGCCCCCTGCTACAATTCCATTTTGCTTTCATATTTATTCGATTGAAGAGAGAACCATGCGCGTGTATATATAGGCCCACTTTAAAAGGAAAGTGAGGGAAGGAGAAAAGAACGACATCTGTGGCTTGTATAAATATCCAAGCATACATATGAATACATCTGTAAAATACAAATATATAAATATCCTAAATATACTAGATAAATACATATATATATATATATATAAATATATATTATTATTATTATATATATATATATATATACAGTATATATTAATATATACTGTATATGTGTTTGTGTCTACACTAATAAATATATTAGTATTTATATATATACAGTATATATATACAGATATATATCTAATGATACATTCATAACTCTTGATGAAAGGCAGCTCCTAACTAATCTGTATTAAGAGAGCATGAATTTAATTTTATTGCAGCAAATCTTCAAGATAAATGCAAATGTACTTAAAATATCACATAAAGTCTATTTAGAAATAAATTGTTACCCTATTTTTGTACTATTTAAATGTAGATAAAACTATTTTTTATAGACTGTATATATGGAAATTGATTTTCCACGGTCGAAAGAGAAATGATAAAGTTCTCTCTTTCCCTCCCTATATACCCCCTTCTACTTGACCGAATCTCCCCAGAGACTGAACTTGTCCTTTAATTGCGCAGGCCCTGTTTTATACATATAACTCTCGGCCTTGGCCCGATCAAGAGAGATGACATTAAACGACGCCCGGCCGTAGAGGAAGCTTGACAAACAGCGTCCAATCAAGCGTCTACTCCTCTTAGTCTAAGTAGATGATGGCCGAGATTTTTCAATGAAAGAAACTCGTAGCGACACCTTACGAACGTCAAAGGCTAAGAATAAGAAAGTATCCGAAAGGTAGCGTAGTCGCTTTTCAAGTTAACAAAGAACTTTTTAATATTTACGTCAGTATCTAAACGTAGCCCCCTAAAATGAAACACGCTCCCAAAAGAATTGGTATATCTGTCAAATATCTTGAAGATAATCCGAGAGAAGAAGCCGACATAGATGAGGAAGGTTCAAGAGGATACTGGAATAATAAACTTGAATTTATTTTGGCTACAACAGGTGGGGTAGCAGGTCTCGGAAATATATGGAAATTTCCCCATCTATGCCAAAAATACGGAACTCCTTTTCTACTATGTTATGCAGTTGTTCTAATATTGATGGGTCTTCCAATGGTCCTCTTTGAGTTTTCCATCGGTCAATTTACTAGTGGTGCAGCGTTAACTCCGTGGAATTTTAGTCCAGTACTAAAGTCTGTTGGTATATCATTTATTGTTATTTCTTCGATAACTGGTATCTATTACCAAACTATAACTGCCTGGGCTGTTTGGTATTTCGTGAATAGGTTAACAAATGTTAACAATTTTCCAGGAATTAAATGCGATAACGAGTGGAATACTCCATGTAAGGAAAAAAATTTTTCAATAGGCCTAACAATCGAGAAAAATATTATTTCAACAATTTCCCCCCTACCACTCCCTTTGCCCCCTTTTCCCCTTCATTCTCTATTTTTTTCCCTTTTACGATCGATACAGATTGCGCAGAACTCGCTTTGGATGATGTAGCAAAGAATTGTAATAATGAGACCATCATGGAAAAGTATAAAACATATGTAGATAAGAGAACTAACTACTGCTATGGTGATAGAAATTTGACATTTGGAGGAAAAGCTGAATTATATACTAAAGTTCCATTAGGCGCATTTAACGAATCCAACAAGGTGAATTCTTTCTTTATTTATTAGTTCAAAGGGAAAATTTTCTGTCAAATTGTACAAAAAAATATGTCGCTTATATATTTATAACAATAATCTCACTTTTATTATTTTCTTATTCAGGTCGTCTGGATCTTGCCAACCTCTGAGTACTTTTTTAATAGAGCGGTTATGTCAAAGAATTACCACTTAGATGATTTTGGAACCATTCATTGGGAAATTGTTGTCTGTTTATTTAGCCTTTGGGTTATTTCTTTTCTAACTCTAATTAAGGGTGTAAAATCGTTCGGAAAGGTAAAAGCTTAGTCAGAGATTTGTTACAATTAATTTTAATCGCAATTTCCTTTTTTTTTTTTATTCTATTTCTTGTTTTTTTTTTCTTGTACTATTACAAAATAGGCCAGTTGTATTTTTATGGTAATAATTCTAGTCCTCCTTCTATGTTTGTTAATCAAAGGTTTTACCCTCGAAGGAGGCTTCAAAGGTTTGAAGTCATTTTTTCAGGAAGTAAGTTAACAGAATATGGAAAATAAAGAAATATAGAAAAAAATATTCATGAGCTTTTTTTTTTTTCATTCACTTCAGTTCGATAGTTCAAAATTTCAATACGTCAACATCTGGTATGATAGTATAGTGCAGGTGTTTTTTTCGCTCTCTCTATCTTGGGGATTTTTAATAGCCTCAGCCAGTTTTAATCGTTTCCATAACGATGTCCTAAGGTAAGAGTTTGTCATTTTACATATATGTCACCAGAATATAATAGATGGCGCTTTCTTCTAGAGACAGCATTGTAATTGCTCTACTTGATTTCGGTATTGCAATCGCTTGTACAGTAATTATATACTTATTTATTGGTGAACTTGTTGTTCAATCATCTGCCATCAAGGACTTTAGTGTGATAAAACCAGGTTTGATTTTCACACAATATATTAACCTTGAAACTTCTTCATAAAGGCAGCCAGAGAATGCTTATATTTGAATTTTTTCAATAGGTTATGATTTGGTATTTACGACAAGTTCGTATGCACTTTCGTTTGGAGGTCAATCCGCTATTTGGTACGTGCTATTCTTCCTGCTCGTAATCACGCTTGGTTTAAGTACAAGCTGTAGTTTGGTACTTACACCTTCTGTTTCAATTTGTGATCATTGGCCGGACACACTTGGAAAGAGACGATGGTTAATTAGTCTAATATTTTGTATTTTAATGTTCATATTGGGTTTACCCTTGTGTTTCAACGTAAGAATCAAAACTTTTATACGATTAATTGTATTAGTGTCTCATTCTCTATCACTTTTAAACATTCCTTTATTATCAATCAGGGTGGAATTTTTTTGATTGAGGTTGTCGACAACTATATAGAAACTTTTAGTTTACTTTTATGTTCGATTACATTTGTAGTTTTGGTTTACATTTATGGTAGAATTTTTAATAACTCTTCAATTTGAATTTAATTACCTAATACATTCGTTTTATTTCACTATTTTAGGAGGGAATAGGTTTACAAATGATATTGGTATAATGATTGGTAAATCAGGGTGTTGTAACCTATTTCAATGGAAAATTTGTAAATTTTGGTATCTAACATTATGGTCTATTGTTGTACCTGTTATAGCAGCTTTCATTTATATATATTCACTCATAGAGGTAAACTATTCGTAATATTTATATTACCTCTATAATGACTTTATTTTTTACAATTCTCTTCTTCTTGTTCAGTTTAAACCCTTATCTGGTGACTTTGCTAGTTGGGCTAACAGTTTGGGCTGGTGCATAGGTGCGACACCACTCTGTACTTTCGTAGGTTTCAGCATTTTTATTCTGGTCTATTATTTCAAAACAGATTCGGTAAGATTTCACATTGTGCTAATAATTTATATCATTTTTATAATATATTGACGTTTAAAGCTAAAAGCAGCGTTTAAGCCCACAAAGTTCTGGGGACCTCAACTTCTTAGGCATAGAAAATTAATAATCTATGCTCGTGACTTCGAAGTAAACCCTAATGGAACTATTATTTATCCCAATGACCTTCCAGTATGTGTTTTAGTTTTATTGCTTTTTATCGATAATTACCTAAAAATATTCATATTTTTACAAATTTGTAGAACATATACAAAAATGATGAATCATCATTTGCCTAAAGACGAAAGAAAGAAGGAGAGATGTATGGACCAAAGATTCAGAATGAAATTGAAAATATTACTCAAACCTATATAGTAAACACTTTATGAATTACAGGAAAAGTTTTTGCAAAAATACTATTCTATTTCAATTAAACTTTCTTAATACAAACAGTTTGTTTCTCTTCCTAAAAAAGAAATTAATGAGAATTAAAGGTCGATGAACAAAAAGCAAAGAAAACGTATAAATTTCTGATAAGCCTCCTTTGTTTAGAAAGGAAATTAGGAAAATTTGTTACATTTGATTACTTCCAAGCCCTTTTCCAGTCTTCCCTAATTTCTCTCTTTCATTCTTTGTAACTTGATACGTTATGTAACAGTTTCAAATTTTCCAACAACCATAAAACGTTTTGAAGTTGCTATGACCTCTAAGGAAGTATCATTTACGTCCTTTGGTTCGTAAAAAAAAACATCTGGTTCTGATTAGCGCCATTTTGACGAAATTCTTATTTTCTTTGATCGACTCAAACACACAGACTAAAGGCAATCTTTTGAAAAACATCAATACAAGTTGCGTAAAGCATTTTTTCTTAATATGGAGTATAATATATCCATATGTAGGCCGATTTAAAAGCACTATTACTTAATAAAGATTATAATCAATAAAATTATGATTATTAAGTAAATGGTGATAAAAGTTTACTTTTTCCTCCCTTCCTTTCCTCTCTCCCTCCCTCTGTCTATCTCTCTTTCCCTCACTTATATTTTCTTTCACTTTATTCTATTAACAATCTGGTTTATAGAAGGAAAAAAATGTATTTTTTATAGATTAAAATTACCAAAGAAACATAACGATAATGCACATAGAGAAGAACTTCCCTCTCCCCCCTTGGTATATTTTGATATTGATACATAATAGGCCTGTTTATCTCAGTTAATCGTTTTCCAGTCCATAAGTATCTTAGCGAAGAGATGTAAATGTCATGGCATTCAATTGCCCTATTGAAATACGAAATTTACGACGAAAATAAAAAAGAAATTTAAAAAAACACCTTTTTTTTATAAATATACAAGAAAATATATAATACAAGTCTTTATACGCTAATAGACTTTTTATAATTCGTATATGTCGCAATAAATATTAAAAATACCTTTCATTTTTTTTATATATGACACAAATCCGTCATAAATCTGTAGCTTGTAAGGAAATTAGCAATTATTAGTAGAAAATTCGTTAATATTACAACTGGAAAGGATAAGGGATTATTTCGAAGCCGCATTTATTCCAAATCATTTTTACGCTCGAGTTGTAAGTAGAAAGCGATGCTTGGATAATTTGATATCACCTTCCATACCTTCAAATTTATAATATGCAAATGAAGTTTGATTAAGTTCTGAAGGGAAGTTCAAAGTCTTATAAATTCTTTTTTTTAGAACAATTGAACTGATAAAACGATCGAAAAAGTTAATCATCATTTTCAAAATGTCGTTGAGAGTAAGTATACGCTAATACCTATTATATAAATGAAATAATGGCACTTGAACCTGTGTTTCGCCTATTCGCCTCTATATATCTGCTCCTCTCAATAAGTCTTCCTCTCTGCGTGTATGCTTCTTTACTTTTGTCTTCTCAAGCAGAACTTCACGTCTTTCAATAGCAAGTATTATAAAAAGAATAGAATGATAGCTCTTTGTGAGTGATTTGAGGCCGCGTTTGGTCTACTATATTGATATTAGGAAACTAGATTTACTAATATAAATATTAACTTTGACAAAACGTGTGTGAGAGTTTGTTTAAGTTGTCTTTTGAAAAAGACTACTGTCGAATCACCTATCTTCTCAAATCCTAATAGGATAGGCAGCTCATTAGCAAAGAAAGATAGCTAGACGATAGCCTGAAGTTATACTAGTCTGACATTTCTTAACGGATTATGAATGAGAAGAGTAAGAGGTGAAGAAAGCGCCTATATACGTCGCCAATGTCGTATAGAACGATTTCCAGAATTGAGATAGAAGTCATTCGACGCTCGATCCGATCGCAATAAAAAAAAAGGGGGAGAGGTAAACAACCTTGCGAGACAGAGGCAGAGAATTTCCTATCCTTCCTTCTTTATTCTCCTTAATTCGGAAGTAAGTACAAGAAAGAATTTTTATTAAAAAGAGAACGGAAAAGATTTTATTAGTAATCAATAAAGTACTTTTTGAAAAAAGAAAAGAAGATTGACGAATAAAAGAGAAAAAACAAAGGACAAACACAACAAACAAATTCCAGTACATTTACTGAAATCGACTACAAAATTGATAGGGAATTGATTCATTCTTAATTAAGAACGTGACCGTTTTACTTGGACGATTCCGAAAATGGAAACGAACACGACTTTGACAAATGAATCGGTATTTGAAAGATATTCTGTTAGCGAATTTTCTGAAATCTTTATACCAAATGCTGTTAAAGTTGACAGAATCGTATCTCCCATATGGTATTCTATAGGAATTATCGGTAATTTATTGTCTACATATGTTTGGCTCCAGAAGAGAATGAGAAAAAAAAACAGTTCAGCTGTTTATTTGATAACCTTGGCTATTTCCGATTTGACTTTCCTACCATTGCATCTACTTATGGAGTTAAAACATGCCTGGGGCTATCCAACTATAGATTATCCGATTTTTTGCGAACTTTTTAACTTTATTTACCTTGTTCCACAATGCCTAAGCCCTCTACTCGTCCTCGGTTTTACAGTCGAGAGATGGATTGCGATTTGTCGCCCATTTAAAAAACAACAATACTGCAATACGGGAAGAGCTATAAAGGTCGTTATTGGTTCAATTGTAGGCGCTTCACTAATTTGCTCAATGCAAGCGTATCTATGGCAATATAAAAATGGACTATGTGAAGCTAGACAAGAGACTTCACAGGGTTCCTTATCATTGTTCACCATTTGGACATCTATAACTGAAACAATAATATTTGGCCTTGTTCCTATCGTTATACTCATCTTCAACCTTCTCGTCGTTAGAGAAATTCGCCTTTTAGCCAGCAATCAGATAATGGGCGGTAGCAATCATTCGACAGCCACTACTCTCATGCTCCTCTCCGTCAGTTTCTACGTAATAGCTACCACTTTACCCGTCTCCATTCTATATATTTTAGGTTCTGTAATAGAAGGAGGAGACATTCATCTTTCTGATCAACAAATTCGTTCTGATCCAATGTGGCAATCGTATTTTAAATTTCTAATGGTGAAGAAAGTCGTTGATGAAGTCTGTATGTCGCATTACGCTTGTAATATTTTTATCTACCTTATAACCGGGGCCAAATTTCGTCAAATACTGCTGAAAAGATTCAATATCAAAGATCGCTCTGATACTTATTTCCAAGTTTCTCAGAAAATTAGTGCAACAACAGCTATTTAAGAAATTTGTCAACTCACCAAGTAACGCCATCTCCCGTTTCAAATTGCCGCTTAGGAAGGAAATGATAAAAGAGCTGTGAAGATGTTTGGGTTCATCGTCTTCCTTTTGATTTCGTAATTATCCTATGGAGGGAAACACAGCTTGTGAGCAATCACCGATAAGAGATCGTGCTAATCAGGCAATGCTCCCGATTAGACGGTGGCGTGAGGGAGACGTCAACTTCGTAAATTAAATATGCATGAGCGACGATGATATTGCGTTCAATTTATTATACGGTCGGTCGTTGCGAATTTTCAATTTCTAACCAACATCAATCACGGTGAACGTACACTCTTAAATTACAAGTTTGTCAAGAAGAAGTCTTTTGATCGTCGGTTAACGAGAAATTGCGCCAGTTAATGAATATCAAACTCAATATAGACCTAGCCTATATAAAGAGTGCACTGTATTGTTCCACTTATTTACAAGTACATAATAATATATTTACTATGTTCTTGTAAGCGAAATACGTGTTATTTTTTCCAAACGAAAAATAGACAGTAGAAAAATGCAGCGCTATATCCAGAACTGTATATCTATAGTTAATTAGGCGCCGGATTTAATTGAGCCAGCTGCTCTACAAACAGTATGAGGTTTGTCTCATTTTTCGAACTTGTAATTGAGTGTAAGCAGCATGCATTTGGCAGCTTGAACACTAATTAAACTGAGATGGAATAAAGTTTGACGTGCCTATATATTAGATATTTAAAGTATCACATATTTATATATATATATACAAATATTCTCAAAGTATACTTTGATATTTTTAAATAAAAATTAACATGATTTTGCATTCTATGACATAATCATTTAAAAATTACCATACTCGGATATATAATATAAATATATACAGTAAATAAGCTACATACATATACATACAGTATATGCAACACGTTCGAAACTCACTAGTCTGCATTAGTGTCGTATGTCGGCGTCAATTCCCGGCAGGCAGCAAACCTGGGAACGCCTTTGTCGACGCTTTAGTCGCCTCGCCAACCTTCACTTCGTCCATCGTGCACGCCGGCGTCACTTTTCGTTAGCTGTAAAAGGAAGCTGTAGCGTTTCCATCTACCTGACGTCTACTTTCTCGGTCTGCAGGATTTACTGTAAAACATTTTTAATCACAACGTAAGTTGCTGTATATTTATTGTTTTAGCTTTTATTCTATGTTTGATGTTTTATTTATTTTAGATTCAAGTCATATTTGTTTTTGCTTACTTTAAGCGAAAAATAAGGAAAGGCTTTATCTTAAATTTCTTCTCTTACAAGAACTTTCATCTGATGAATTGACGACCAGGGAACGCGTCTTATCATGTCTTTGCTGAGACAAACCTGGGGATCAGGTATGTTACTTTCCCCCTTTTACTTTATCTAAAAATTACAGCCGGGGTTTATCAAGCGAGACAAACGAACGGAAGTACATTTGCTAGTAAATGACGCTTGGTAGAGTGTTGTGGTGATACAGTTTGTCATTATTTCTTTCTTCTATGGAAAATGCAGCTGTCTACACACGCATATAGATCGTCTTGTTATTGATATAGTGAAAAAATTTTCTAAGATTTATCGATCTTTCTAATGAAGAGAATGAATCGGTTGTCTTTGTCCTGCTATAAATTCTTTAGCTGTTACCAACTTAAGACTTTACCAAAATATTAATAATATGAAGGAAATAGGTCTCTAGACAATTTCCGCTTTAATTGAGCTTGATTGCTAATTGGATATTCTTCATAGCACGGGTCACTACATCCTTTTTTCTTACTCTTTTCAGTTTGCCGAAAGAAAGGTAAGTAGCGTGAATAGAAAAAAAAAATCTGAAACCTTTATTCTCTGTCTAGTTTACTTTAAACGTCCTCACCATCCCTTGAACCTCCCCACTTCCTCCTCAACCAAAACTCTTTGCCTGATTATGTTCAAAAACAAATCCTATTTCAAATGTGCACATCTGTTCCCATAGAGACGCTTTTTGAAACCTCTACACAAAAAGAAGAGCCTAATGCGTAATTCGTTTTTAGGCCTTTTACATCGAACAGAATATATCCAACATAAATATTAACCTATAAATACATATACTGTATATTATCATATATATATCATCTATATATTGTAAATATATAAAAATTTATACAGTCTATATCTATACATTCATATAAGACGTAGAGAAATAGGAAGAAAACTTTATTACATGTATTTTAAGGCGAACAAGATTTAAATAACAATTTAAATTTTTATTTTAAACATCTTCTATTTCACCTGTAAAGAGAAAAATATGGAATACCTATACTGCCATACATATATCACTAGAACTAATTACAAACAAACTATTATATTATATATTGTATATTACAGAGCTCAAGGTGAGTTGTCACTTGCTACAAACCACTTTTACGTGTTTATAAATAATTTTTATACGAAAACCGACAATAACCCAACCCCTCTGTCGCCAAACTATATTAAGATTAATAAAAGATGTAAATATACGTGAGAAAACTAATCAAGCGCTGTTGCTTCTTTTTTTATATAGTATTGCTTATTTTTTGCAATTTATTTGGCCGTGTGCTACCGGCAACCTTGCGACATTGAAGAAACAACAGGTTGTGTAGTGCTCAAGAATACGTCAATTAGTGATGTATATCTTGGAAAAAAGAGAAAAAAAACGTGACCAGAGTTACCGTCTTTATATTACTTTGTAAAGTATTTAAACGGAATATATACAGTTATATATATATACGCATATTATATTCATTTATATTTTTGATGATTTAATGGCCTTTAATCAAAATTTAATTTAATTTCTCAAGCTGAATCATTCCTTTTTACGGCGGATAACGTTAACATATAGGAAATATATAAAAGTTATTATAGAATTATGAGTGCAATTAATTCGAATGTTTAAGGAAATGCTATTACTGGCATCATGAGAATTGTTTTTTTTTTTCCCCTTTCTAGATATGAAATAAATTACAATTCCTTATAAAAAGAGCATACATAGGTGGCGAAAAATTAGCTAGATTTTATACTATATATTTTAATATATACACAATTGCATTCGTATATACTGTATATATAATGTATGCTGTAATAGATGATATGTTAAATAACTTATACCTATATATACCCTATGTTCTAAAACCTCCTCAAGAACATTTATTTAATGCTAGTAAATCCCCTACTCTATAGAATCTATTTATAGTAAAGAATTTCTTCTTTTTAATTTCTTGCTCAATGTATTCTAATACAGTAGTCTATTAGCTTTTTGGAACCTCTTTTACCAACTTAAGCATTAATACTAACTTTATACAGCGCTCATTAGAGTTTCTATCAAATAGTTTTATAGATATACAACAGAGGGTGCTGACGTATAAGACTATTAAATGAAAACAAAAAGCTTAATTATTCTTTCTTTGATTGGTCAATTTACTCTTAAATATTCAATGATATTAAAATTAAAGGAAAATCATCATTAGAACTCTTTTTTATGAATAGCCTGATAATTACAAAATTTGTTAATATATATATATACCCAAAAGGGTCGACTTTGAAGTGAGACAATTGAATGAGTGCGCCGACTAGAGATCGCTGTTGCAGTGGTATTTAAATATAGAATTAACGCTCTTACTAAGAGGATTAGAGCTAAGCATCTGGCTAAAGTCATCACGTCTTGTCAGCTAGTCCTGCTTAGTTAATAGTTGAATAAATACAGAACGATATCGTTAATATAATGTCATTAGAGGCGATACAGGCCGTCTTGGATACAAATTGACTACGTCAAACGTTACATGATGTTCAGTTTGGCTAAGTCATCAGCTCTTTTAGATTATGTTAACGGAGTATGTTCGGAATTTTATGACTCTTTTCTTAATCGTCTCTATCAGGGAATAGCCAAAACTGCTCCCTCTCGAGAAGATATTCAAGGTGTCGGCTGGCTAAGCGGATTAGCAGCAGGTGCTGACTGGTTATCTGTTCTTTACACCCCTTCCTTAATTTTGTCTATCTTTCATCACAATTTCTAATTACTTGTATAAATTGTTTTGGTAGGCTTCTGTCTCTTGTTTCTATGTTCTAAATGTCGTTTTAAACAGGTATTGACAGGGTTAAAGAAGAGGCCCGTAAACAAAACGAACAACTAAACCAAGAGTGCAGTCTTGTTCAGTCCGAGTACAAGCGGATGAAATCAGTTATCGACCAATTAAGTAAAGAATATGAAGAAAGCAAAGACATTGACGTCTTCCGTCGTTATGCCATATTAAAGGGAATGATCAAAAGGTGTATTATGCACTTAACTCTGTCAAATGACGAACAAGTTCAGTCTCAATTAGCTAATACAAGAATTCAAGAAGAGATGAAAAAGAAAGAAGAACAACTAGCCGGTACGACTAGATTGATTTATTACATTTTTGTCGTTTTTTTTTACTAAATCTATATTAAATATAGAATTTTCGTACAAATTTAGAAATGACAAGCAAAGAAATCAGTAACGAAAATGATGGGCTTCAAACCCAAATAAAAGAATATCGAATTAAAATTAACATGATTAGAGATTTAATATCGACAATGGAAAGACGATATGAAGAATCAAAAAGGTATGTTATGATACAAAGATATGGACTAATGAAGAGTATGATCAAAACTTTAATTACTAATAAATGGATTTAAATGAGTTATTGTTCATTTTTAACTAGAAAAACGACGCATTATATGCTTAAGAGTCTTTATGTATAAATGAATAATACAAAATAAACCAAAAAAACAAAAACAACAACAGTATTTTTTTTTCTTTCAAACACAAATATAAAATTCTTTTCGTCGTATTTTCCTCTTCTGCTTTTTCCTAGATTATAACTTATTCGTTTGAGACTTATTATATTAAAATGAAAGCGATCGGCAGATGGCGCAATATATTCTGCTAAAAAGCTAAAGTAAACGAGGAAAGCCCAGTTGATGTTGTGCAAAAATAAAATTCTACCGGCCACCAGTCGACTGAGCGATAATTCGTATATGACGTCACTGGAAGCATAAAAATCCAAAATGGACTCTGCAAACTCTGCTGGAGCGTATGGGGCTGGTATGGCCGGTGGATCCTTTAACATTTTAACATTTATTAGAAAACCGCATGTAATTCTACGACTAGTCAGTTGGGTGAGTTAAAATGCATTAAAATACCTCGAATTCAAGTCCGAAATGACTCGTCACATGACAGTGAACGAGCACAGTATCATTTTAACGAATTTACATAAAACAAACAATAATAGTCCATTACTAAGCCTTTTACCTGCAATGTTTTGATATTAATAATTTCTATTCGTTCATTATCTTTTATACGACAGCTATTTGCCATCATTGTGTTCGGCTGCATATCTTCTCAAGGATGGGAAGAAAATGAGTGTGCATTTAATAATGACAAAAATGCTTGCGGATTCGGGACGGCTATCGGGGTCATCGCATTTCTTACACTAACCGCATTCTTAGTTCTGGATGCCTTGTTCGAGACTCACATAAGTTCTGTTCAACACAGAAAGTACATAGTCATGGCTGATATGGGTTTTTCAGGTACTTGAATAACATTTAAGATTAACTTAATTCATATTTGCAAACTAGACATTTCATTATTAATTACAGTAGATATTTAATATCTATCTAATATATACTTAATATATAAATTAATATATATTTATATATATATATATATATATATTTATATATATATATATATATATATTTATATATATAAATTTATATCTTTAGATAGAGATTACAAGCGGACATTGTTTTTTTTTTCTTATAGGAGTATGGACATTTTTTTGGTTTGTTTGCTTCTGTTATTTAACAGACGCTTGGAGGAAAACTGAGGACAAAAACAAATTTGGAGTATCTGGTATACAAGCATCCATTGCTTTTTCATTCTTTTCAATAGGGACATTCGTACGTATTCATTATACTCTTAAAATAATCTATTAGTCATTATCAGATAGAGTTAAAAAAAAATTTTTTTCTTAGGCCGGTTTAACCTTCTTTGCGGTTCAACACTACCGCAAGGGAATTAGCGAAACTTTTGCCTCGCAGTATGATCAAAGTCAACCAACAGGTCCGGCTGGAGATACCGCAGCCTCCCCATATTCGAATTACCCCGCTCCTGTTGGGGATATGGGCCCTGATCCTTATCAGCAACCAGCATTCAACCAAGATCAGAAGGTTTGTCAAGCCGTTTTTATATACCATTTATTGTTTTCTAAAAAGTGTATTATTCTCTCTTTCAGCCTCCAGCGGGAGATTTTCAACCACCGTCTTACTAGAAGAAAGAGGGAAAACATTTCAATTAAAAAAAAATAAGCCATAGAGGTTAAGTTTTATGTGTTTTTTCAATTGATTTAGGCAATACGCTGTATTTTGTTCAACACATTCCATTTGTTTATGTTTCCCTTCGTTTGTGTCAATTTCATCTGAGCGAACATCACGTTTCTTTAAAAATAACAGTTTCAAATATGATATATTAGTATTTTTATTTATTAATCTCTCGACAATATATATGTTTATATATTAATATAAACATGTACAAACATAACGTGTATTTATTATATTGAACTTATTATCTATCTCTTTTCTAGAACGATTCCTGTTAGTCGATTTTTTCTGCATAAATAAGTCATGTATAATATGTAAAGTAGTTGTATATACGCATGCAAAATTACAAAAATATTCTTTACCTTTTATCTGTGACATTGAAAGTAAAAAAAGATTAATGCAATGTAATTCGTCTGTAGAGGTTTTACTGCTCTAGATAAATCAGATATCGTTGTTATTATCCCACACTGAAATGTGTTTAGATCAATTATTCAATAGACAATACAAGATTTCAACAAATAACGTTTGCAATCGATTCATTTGCTCTAGCTTTAAAACTGAAAATTTAGCGCGTAAATCAGGCCTAATACTAGCGAAACCTGGTATTCCAGACTTGTTTACTGACTCATATTATCGTGATAGATGTAAAAGGTTAATTGGAACGTTTCGGGACTGGGATTGAAGATCATAGAATGGAGGATGAATGTAACAGTTTAGATGACAATTGGATAGCAGTTAAGCAAGGTGCTTTCAATTTAGAAAAGGATAAAAGGCGCCTTCAGTTTGATGTCGCCTGGAATTTCGTCGAGAAGTCTCTTGCGATATCTTGCCGATGTAAGTCTCGAACCGCTAAACAAAGTGGTGAGGGATGGGCAGGAATGTTTACTTTATATCAAATTCAGACCATACATGAACGATTAACAACCATTCGGCCCCAACTCGTAATGTGCCTTCCAAAATTGCCTGTTGAACCTCGAGGTATATGGAGTTACTTTTGTAACTCTGAACCCCCGTCTGAAAATCTCTGCAAAGAAATAGAACAGTATTTACGACACGCCTTAGATATTTGTGGCGAAAATCTATTACTGTCCATCTTATTTGAACAACCCCTATCCATGGACGATTACTTTGAGCAAATTGGCTCTCTCAAGAGGAAATACTACGAAGCCAACGTACAAAAAGCCACTGACTGTCTAAACACTTTAATATCCCATCGAAGTCATGCTGTTACCTTGAGGGAAATGACTGATATTTACGAAGAGGAAGACGATTGTTTATCAAATGTGCAACGTCTTCTTGCCGTATTCTATAATTACTTACTTCAACCTTTTCTTGATTTGCGAGAGGCGACTTTTAATAATTTGAGGCAAGCTAAAAATACACTAGCCAGTGACGATGTTGGCGACAGGGTGAAAAACGAATTAAAGGGAAAGTTCTGCAATTGGCAGAAGGAGTACCAGGAAGCTATTGAAAACATTCAAAATTTATATACTGAATATTATCAAAGTGTTGTTGACCTCTTTGCCGGTTAGTTAAAATTTCTTTTAGTGTTATTGGCACAATTCCAGCTAATTCTCTTTTTATAGACGCCGAGAAGCGTATGCTTGAAGATAGAAGAAAATTTGGTAACGCCTCATTTGATCTTCTAGCACAGAGTCGTTTAAGAAAGTTTGTAATTTGATTAACTATATAAAAAACGATATTAAACAAACGATAAGATAAGTGCAAATAACAAGAAACGCTACAATGCTTCCTTCATTATAGAATATCGAAATGCTTGTTTAATGAAAGGCGTCAATATTACGAGAGCGTCAGACGAAAGTACGAGTACGAAAGGGACAAATGTCAACAAGAGGTATATTATATTCTTCTTTGTTAGCACTTGTTCGAGTCCGTTCACTTTTTATACAGTTGGCATCGTCGAATCAGGAAAAAATACAATCTTTGGAGAAAGAAGCGTATAAATGGCAATTAAATATTTTTAACATCAAATTAGAGGCCCTTGAAAATGAAGAGCACTATTACCGAAACTTAATGGATTACATAAGAGGCAAAATTAACGGTTTGTTTTTTTTTTCACGTATAAATAGTAATCTGTCACGTTGGCATAGTATTAAATTTCAATTTGCCTTCACTTTTTTTTATACCGCTCTCCCTTATAAATTATAAAGAAAGGGAATCAGAATTTCACGACGCTTTAGAGGACTTTAGTTTGGTTATTGAAGACGAAGATGAAAATCCGCTTGACAGAGAATTAAATGCTATTGGGAAAAAGCTGAATCGTATCCAAAGACAACGAGCCGTAATCAGAAGCAAAAAGGTACTTTTGAATGAAAAAAATTTTCCCTTTAATCACAAGCTATTTATGTGTTTTTTTTTAATTAATTAATAATAATTCTAGTTATTTTCCCATTTAATAGAAATCTTTATCAAGTGAACATTTACAAAAAGAAGAAAAGATAAAAGTAATTAATGAGGAGAGGAAAAGGCATCATAGTATACAAATGGTTGTTATAATTAAACAATATGTCTTGTTTATGGCTCTTTTTCTAAATTCCTATGAATAATTTACAGAAAAGAGAAGAGAAGTGGAGACACAACAAAGAAAAATCGGAATTTATCAATGAGGAACGAAAAAAGGCACTTCATCGATTAAAGCAATATAAATTGGTATTAGTTTTTATTATTTATAATTATTTATCAATTTAAAGTTTCATTTTATTGCCCTCTAAAGAAATATTCTATGCCGTCTTCCATACAACCCCATCTTTTAAACGAAAGAAAATGCTTGAAACTACAAGAAAGTGCTTTACCACCTAGTACCCCTCCTCCTCCTCCATCTCCTCCACCTCCTCCTTCATTATCCGCTCCTCTTGTACCACTTCCACCACCTCCGATTCTTCATCCGTCACCGCCACCTCTAATTTCTTTACCCCCTCCTACTCCCCCCCCTCTATCACCTCCGCCTCCCGTATCTGCTGCTATGATATCAAGTTCTTTGCCACCTGTTTCTGCCCCATTGCCAGCAACAGCGGCGCCGCCGCCACCGCCGCCGCCACCACCACCTCCCCTACCACCGCAACCTTCTCCGACTTCCCCGATTGAACAAAAAAGAAATGTTAACCTTTCCGGACTCTTAGATGCCAAGAGTAATTTAAAGAAAACAGAAGTAAAGGAGAAATCTGGTAAGCTTAAGCATTTTACGGTTAGCTGACCTCCCCTATACTTATTATATCACTATTCATAGATCCAATGGCTGATATGCTAATGTTAATACGAAAGGGTATTAAGCTTAAGAAAGTGGAAGTAAATCCAAAGAGAGAAAAACCTACAGAATCAGGTAATCATATTGAACAACTCAATATGGCATTAGACCGGATAAGAAAAGTATGTCAATCCTCTGAAGAGGAAAATAGTGATGGAGAAGACATTGAATTCGGGTAAAATGATTGGTTGAAATATATTCATTCAATATACACTATATATTATCAAATATAATACTTATGGGAAATAATACATATTAATAACGGGTGATTTAATGCCTCTCTTCCACTCTGCATTTATACTTTTCGCATAAATTTGCCAAAGAAGAGCCTAAATTTTTTGCGACGAAGGGCTGTCCATCTTCTGGGGGTAAGAAATTCAATCTCTGTAAGAATGCAGGAATAGCCGTTCCTAATGTATTCTTAGCTAAGACTTCCCCCAGACAATTTCGCTTTCCTATACCAAAAGGCATAAAATGACGGGGTTTTTCAATGAGAGTTCCATCATCAGCTATAAATCTTTCCGGGCGATAATTTTCGGCGTCTCCCCACAGTTCATTATTTTCGTGAAGTCCACCGATATTAATTAGAACCATTGTATCTTTCGGTATATCGTAGCCACCTGAATAAAGGTACATATTTTATTGTTACACAATTTTGTTTGCACTTTGTAAGAAGAAATACTCCTTTAGACTACCTACCTACAGTCGTATCACGAATTGTCGATAGTGGAACGCCTAGTAATGCCAATGTTCCATATCTTAATTGTTCCATAATTGACGCTTCTGTATAAACCAGTTTCGATCGAGATTCGATTGAGGGCGACAAACTTCCCAATTTTTCATCTATTTCTTTGTGTAATTTTTCTTGAACATTTTGATGTTGAATGATGAGGCCAAAATACCAATGTAAACTACTTAAAACAGTATCAACACCAGCTCCAAACATATCGAAGCAGATCATTTTAACATGTTCATCCGATAATAATTCTTTCCTCTCTTCTAGATTAACTTGTTTTTGAGCACATATCATATAATCCATAATGTCTCTAAGGTTATCTATATCAAAAGCAAAAGACATTAGTTTATCAGCAGGAAAAAAAAATACACTATGAAAAACTGACTTTCATCGAAAGTTTCCAAATGTTCGTTCATCTCTCTTTCCAGTACGCGACAAAGTTTATTAATTGTTTTATCTAACTTATTCTCACCAAATGACAAATAGTCTAAAACGGGGAAAATGTCAGCTGTAGACCCTGATGCAAACGCATCTAAAGCTTCTTGAGTAAGATCTTTTAAATTAACAAAGTCAGGGTCTTTAACGTCCTTTTCCTTACCAAATATTATACCAAAAAGCCAATTAAATACAAATAAGCCACAGAATGTATGCATTTCAAATGGTTTCTTTTCTTGTAGCATTAAATCACAACAGTTTTGAACTACACGATTCACTAGGTCATCTAATTTTTTCCCGCTAGCATAACTTCTGATGGACGAATGAGCTAATTTTCTATGAAATTTCCATACATCACTTACATCCCCAAAGAGAATGTCTTTTCCTTTAGTGATTCTCATAGCTGTATAAGATGATAATAAATATATGCTAGATAATGTTTATTTATATTATACTGATAACAAGAAGAAAAACAAAGATATAAAATACACACACACACATAAATACTATCTACCTGATGGGAATTTTGGTCTTCCGGCGAAATCATAATCTTTCATTAAAGCTTCTCTTATAACGTTAATATCATTTAGAAAAACAGTATTCCATCCGCCTATTTTCATCCATATAACGGGGCCATATTGTTTAGAAATGTCTAACAAATGTTCGTGGAATCGTTTCTTCACACGAAAGATTTCTATTTATGAGAAAATTGTAAATCAATATTGCACATAACTGGACTTGTGTACAAAAATATAATTAACTCACGTAGCAAATTTCCGACAATCGGAAGGGGAAGAGGGCCGGGAGGCAATTTATACTTCTTCCTTTGGAACACCTTTTTTACCAAAACGACACCGACCAGAACAATAAATCCGACGCTAATCGATTTAACTGTCTGCTGTTCAAGTATATAGTTGCTGTAAAACGCTGTCATATTTCCGTAGATAGTTTAATGTTAAATTTAATGTTTTCCCGCTTATATACTATTTAAGCAACAACTTTAAACCAATCAGAAAAGAGTCTAAGTCTATGAATATTTCAAAATACTGACCCGGAGTTCCATTTAGCCTGTTTTCTAGGCTTTCAGGTCAATCGATCATGTGCTGGCCTAGTTATCACACAATACCGAGATGGCGCTGCCATCGATGTTAAAGAATACAAAAAAGGCTAAAGCGTTAATTATCAAATTCATTGAAGTGGCGGGAAGCCCGGTAAGAGACAGAAGAGAATCGTGAGACCACCTGCGATCGAATTTAATTAGTCGATTCGCCCGAGCGTAGAAACTACAAAGCAATTTTTAGTTTGTTCAACGTTTAAGTAGCGATTACGTATGAACAACGAAAAAATACAGCTACGCAAACAGAAGCTAATACATTTTTTTTTCTCTTATAACCAAAGCTGATAATAGCGGAATAAATAAACGAATGGGATGGGCAAATGTTTCATACAAAACTGCAAACGAATATGCATGCATCACTGTACAAGACGCGTTAACAAAGGCAGTAAAGAGTCGGCAGCGTAAGAGCACTGACAGTTATCACCATTTTTATTGCCACAATTCATATAATTAACAGTTTCCATACTTATCCGCGATCTTTCGCATGCAGCTTATCATCTATATACGAGTATTGATTGATTTACGCGCTTCTCCACCTATAGCCGAGTCTTTTGAATAAATGATTAGAGCCGAAGGCATTAATACGATTCCGACTGCATTAATGCAGCTCGTAACGCATAAATATCGTTTCGTAAGTACACAAAACGTTTTGAGCTAGGCGCGTCTCTTTGTCCAACCCCATTCGGCCGATAATTAGCTCTAAGCTCTTAAGCTGACAAACGGGGGCAAACGAGCAAGAAACGTACACTCCCACCCTTTACCCAACACTGGAGCATGTGCTCACCAAGAATTAGGCGCGCGTGGGAGACTGACCACACTCGAAGTCCTTCTCTTGACCACGTGCCGATTCAACGAGTTATAATTTTGGAAAGATTAATAGTACAATGCTTTCGTAACTACGCCATCTCGAGGCTCTAAAAAATGACGCCAGTCGACCGTGATAGCCCCAAGGCATAGAGACATAACTCTAATCGGGTTTCTTTTATGTTTCTCAAGCAGCTTTGTTCCGGCAGTCATTATCGTTACCTTGCGCCGCACTCCAATTTTATCATTGAGCACTAAAATTCCAATTACCCATAAACAGATGCGCGTCTATGGATAACTGACTGAGCACTTCCGGTCAGTTAGGCGGTCAGTGCGGTCAAACTACTTGTCTCGTATGTCATTGACACCGCGATACATTGAGCATGAAAATTGAATAAATAAGGGATGCATTTTCCAATATGCTTCATCATTCTTTTTGCTGTTTTTTTTCTTTGAGAATAAGAACGCAAAGATCTAAGCTTTTGAAGGAAGGTTAAGTTGAGCAATAAAAGAGAATGTAACAATTTTAATGCCTAAAATAAGGGCCAAAGAATTCGTTCTAAGGACAAGTTTTCCTCCCCATTGCCGCTTGTTCGCCCGGGGCGTGAAACTTGTGACTGACCGCACGCAAATACAATAGAGTAGAAAAATCCTATAAATTTTACCTTGGAAAAAACTTGGCAATCTTCCAACTATCCAGTTATGCTTAATTTCTCATGGATTTTCAACTTTTAGCAGGTAACAAGTAGTTATTAACAACAATTTTCCCGTAAACAACTATTCTTCGAAACAAAGAAACGGAAGCGCCGAGATCTCGCGTGACCTCATTTTTAGCGCGCGCGCGAAAAGAACGTTCGATTTGTTTAAAATTGCACGAAATTTCTTCCTGGAACATTGCAGTATCACAGGCACACAGGGAATTAGACGTCAAATTTAAGCACTTCCAGGACTGGAAATTCTATTCCAGACCTAGTCGTCTAGGAGATTGTTTGTGCAAGTCCATTGCCTGGAATGAGTAAGCCTTTGTCTAGGAACTAGCGCCCCGCTCGAAGTGTTCCAGGCACATGCTGCGCTAGCAATCATTCCCCCTCAACAAGCCAGTCGCTATGCAATATTACTCTTCCGAGGAAAGCCTTGACGACGATGTGTTTTTACCGTCTAATTTCCAAAATGTACGGAAACAGTCGTTAAGTTTACCATCAAGTCCCAGATTGAATTCCTCCTTCTTTCCGGGTGAGTAAATTTTTTTTCTTGGCAAATATCTTTTCGTTGCTTACCGAATAGCGAGTCCATCTTATCACAAAACTTTTATTAATGTTCAACAAACCAGATTACGTGGCCATTAACTAAGTTGAAAACAAACACATTTTCCCTAACATATTTCAACTCAATCACCTGATAACAACCTCACAAATTGTTATTAAATCATATTACGACTGATAGGAACTTCCGCTTAACGTAAGATGATATGAATTAGTCATTTAAAGCATAGGACCGCAGGCAACAAAGAAAAATGGTGAGTAGTCAATGACCTTATAACCTTATGAGGCCTATTGACAGGCTAGTCACCGATTGAAGCGATTAGATAACCTTCTATTTACTGTAAACAAAGAATACAGACAGTTGCATAAAAGTTCTCAAACAGTGATTATGAGTTCTAAAAAACGTTCAATTTCAATTTGTACTTCCCAATTGCCTTTTCAGAACGGTAAGTACACGTTAGAATATTCTATACGTACCTGTTGATTATTTAAGGACGTGACTCGTCCTGGTATTAAATTAGCTATTATTCAAAAATAACAACTTGGCTGACCTTCTACAGATTCATAATTCGCCTAATGAAGGGTGTTGCACGTGACATAATCATCTATTGAGCTGTCAATGTGTATAATAGAAAATTAAATGCTTGCATCATATTCATTTACAAAACGTGCCGACCGACCGGAAAAGCGTAAAAAAAACGTGACGCGTATATTTCTTAAGCGAAAATTCATGAAAAGGTAGCTCAGTAAATTCGACACTCTACTTTATACGGTAATTTTATGACACTCGAAACTACATGAAACAACATTTAACTTGGTCATCTAAAATATAGATATCTCTATAGGCGCGTGCCAAGAATCGTTTATCGATAAAACTTTCTCACATGACTTGCCTATTTATGATGATTTTATGCTCTTATGTTGTCTGACATCAGCATGTATAGACAATCAATTGTTTTCTTTATATATATAAAATATACGCATTATTAATCGAGATTTGTATATAACAGCCTATTCAGTACGCGTTGCGGCATGCCAAAGAGTATTTCGCAATGTTTGAGCTTTGAAGAAAAATGAAGTAATCAATTCAGGGTGCCCCTGACGCTTTTAAGGTGCTCGCTAAGAGATGACTGATAGAATGCACGTGTTTCAACTCGAGTTTGTCGTTGCCGACAAATTTGTATAGGACTATGTATATAAAAAGTTTTCATATGTATATATTATGTAAGATTGTATAAATAATATGAGATTCTTAATCGCACATACATTTAGAGTTAATACTTTTGACACTTGTTTTATTAATTTCAATCTATTTATGAGAGCAAAAGTTTTAGCATGGATTGGCTGAAGAAATTAATCGCCTTCTATTTGATCAGTCATCATCCTATGTCATTAATTATGCGTAATTGGGTTTTGGCATGCTCAGCGCAAGAATTGCCGCCCTTATAGTTTTCCCTTTTTTTTTCTCCGCAATTCTCCTCTCCCGCGAGGCGTCCCTCGGGCAAGTCACTCATTACTGTCCATTGTCAACAGTCTTCAAGCAAAACATTCTTTTGCGTGATCTAGCCTTGTATAACCGTGTTGATTATTTAGCAAAACAGTCTGTTTGCGTATTGCCTCGGTATATTTATTTGTGAAAAGTATACACGGCAAAGATCTAAGAGTATCGCCTTCCCTGACATCTTTATTATTACTACCGCTCGGCGCCTTTATTTAAATAAAAATATTCAATCGTCACACCGCAATTGTTCAGCTTTTGCCGTCTAATAACTTATTCAATAATGCATATTGGCGTAAATATACGAAATAATGAAAGGCAAAAAGCAGAAAGTTGAGAGCGAAAAAACGATCCGCACATTAATTATCTTTCGTTGGCCAATCAGCGGTGTATGCGGGTCATTAATATTAACGATTTCGTGATTTCTTTGTTTACAATCGTAAAGAGAAGACTAAGCTAGAGTTACGGGGCGGCAAACAAAGAACGGTCGCTTTGCGCTGATTGGCCGCAATATTCTTAGAGTTGTATAAACTATTTACGTTTCCCCAGACGGAACTTACTGCGTTTTGTCAGTGTGTAACTGCTCTTTTGGTCTTAGATTTATGTGACGCTTTTATGTTTACTGTAGCAGTCGCTTAATTTAATGCGACTACTTGACGAAAGATAAAAAATTATTTTTAAAGATTCTTTGACACTTCGTTACGCAATAATTATTCTCCTGCAAAACTTTTTTTTTCCCCTTCCATCTTTGTCCCAATAAGGTTAACCAAATCATAAGGGAAGCTTAATCATGTGACTAATCACATGGGTATGATGGTTTTTTTTAATGTTGTTTTTCTATTTAAACTATTAGTAATATTTGTTTTCTTTCGATATTCATCACTAATTTTTGCTGATTCAGTAAATGAATAGTTCGACGACTTGTAAATCATTGACCGCTTGTGTAAGAGAACTAATGAACAATCGGTACTAATTGCCTTTATTTCACTTTTGTACGCTCAATAGGAAGGTTTACTTGTTAAGTATTGAAAAAAAGCGCTCATTAGCACTATACACAAGGCGCACCTGCACCGCGCAGACTGTGTCTGTATGTGTGTGTGTGTGTCATGCTCGAATGCGGGTAACAATGTGCCCCAATACGGGAATACTTCAAACGCAGCGGTGTCCATTACTGAAAGGAAGGGCGGAGCTTAATCGAACGGCAGGGGCGGGGCGAGAAAGAGCGTTCGCGGATCGTGGGCAAATCGTTTTTCAACGGCATTTTGTAATGTTTCAGTGTTGACGACGGACCAAGTGGATAGTGGAAGACGGAAGAGGGCGATTTCAATGCCGGTTTTTTGTGAAGAAGAGTCCAAATACGTTGGGCAACAATTGCGGAGAATATCCGACGAATTCCACGACAGTCTACAAAGTTTGGTAATATATCCTTTATTTTCCTATCTTATCTTATCTTATGTGTGAGGCAAAAGCGTTTGATGGTTGTAATGCAGTATCTGTTTATGTTTCTTTCGTGTAATGCACGCGCGCATTATAACTCATTGTAATTTATGAAGAGGGGAAAAAATGAAATGAATTATCAGTTAGGAGATTAATTGAAGAGTAAATTAATCTGTAAGTGTGCCGTTGTCGGTATGTAATTTTCCCTTCCGGCCGATGAGAGGTGTATGGTTAAGAATGACGTGAAACTCTCGATTACGTAAAGCTGTGTGAAATGAGCAGCGTGCACCTGGCGAGTATCAGATGTTTACTTTTATCGGTGGGGAGCGCACCTGTAAACCAATACCGATTTATGAAGTCGTATACGATTGTATGGCGGTATCTATAAAAGATTTATATCCAATACACATGGAAGAAAGCGACGTGTCCATAAATACATATATAGATATATAAATATATTGAATGTGTAAAATAAATTATACTTGAATCAGATGCTTGTAATCAAACCCCGCTTTATCAAATGCTGAATTACAGCTTCAAAGGGCGACTGAAGCGAATTGAGCGCGTCCCTCTTTTCAATAACAACCTTTAATAGACAAAAAAAGTAAAAAGTGAGCGTTAATTTTCGATGAATGATTAATGTTCTTCTACTTCTGTTTGATCGATGACAGATTATTGTTTTATTCGATTTTAATCTACGTTCAACTTGTAAATGAATTGACGCGCATTAAGGGATGTTTAAATAAAAAGGAAATATTATTAATATTCTGCCTCATTAGAATAACCATAGCAATGCAATATTTCGGTACATTATTTTTCTGTTACTGTGGGGAGAAAACCTTGTGTAATTTCGTAATGAAAATGTCATTCATCATATCCGCCTGCGAAAGATCACGTCAATGAATTAGACAAAGGGAAATGAAATAAAAAGGAAATAAATACACCATAGTATATAATATAGTAAATGGCAATATAACTTATATAATGAACTATAATCTGATACATTTATATAAACATTTAAGATAGATAGAGTTAGGTATTATATAAAAGACTCCCTAGACGGCGCAACAGCTTTTTAAAACAATCGTCGTATCGTCTTGCTTACCATCTGCGGCTGACAGTTACAAAACGCCACCATCACTGCCTTTTGCTGCGTGTAAAAATGAAGTTTCCCACTTATAATAAACGCGTATACGCACGTGTAATCGCGCATATTTTATGGCTATATAATGTTACGTGCGGGAAGTTTTACAGCAATTGTATTCATTTTATATTTTAGTATTTAATTATCTTCCCTCCTCCTCCCTCCTATCTATTTATCTCATCTCGCGTATCTATACATATACTGTATATATAGTACAAACAAACTCTCTCTCTCTGCTCTTTAATCGTCTATCAATATCGCCCGTAACTTTCTCCGTCTGACTTCAAAGTTTCACTCGCCCTCCCCACCCACCTCCCCCCCACCCTTTCCCTGTTGCAAATGGAAAATCGGTATGTTTAACGGACGGATGGGATTTGTCGACTTTCCGACGGACACGTGACGCTTGGGTTAAGTGTGTAACGTTTTTAGTTTGCCGGAATCACGCTGATAAGATCCTATCCGGTTTCTCTGAAATGCAAGTTGAACCACTGGAAGAATCTGTCTTAGGCGTCAAAGTATCAAATGTTTAATTGCCGGCAATTGGTGTATTGCTTATCGCCTGAGAAACGTTACAATTGAACAATTTATGAGTCGTTTAACGTCAAACTGATCCTTTATATCTTAGACTTATCGATATTCGTCATTCTACTATACCAGGCGAAGATGACGTCAGCCCTAGAGGCACTTTTGTTTATTTGCTCTAGGCACCTGCGAGTAAAAGAGAAGATGAATTGCTTTTGTGCAAAGTAGTCGATTTCGTTCCCCTCCATATATCGTATATTTATAGATTAGAACGACTCTTAGTAGACCGTACGTAATCAGTATATATATACCCAATGTAAATAGATCAAAGCAACTTTCTATTCGCTGCCCTTAAGGCCAACTAACCCAGAAGTGTACGTTTGTTGACGGCTCTCTAATTGACGCGGGCTCCCATTCCTACCCGACGACAGCGCGCGAGGCTATTTAACACTTTGGACGCGTGCCGCGTACCGTTGCGGAAAGTGACATGAACCTGTCCCCGCAATAAAGAAGAAGAAAAGAAACGGTCGCGAAGCATTGTGCGATATTGCGTAAGATATGTGGATGACCCGGGCCGGTCGAGCCTCGGCCGCTTTAATCCATCAAACGCCTCGTCTCTTTGTGTGGTGCTCCGTGTATGCAAATCGATTGAACACGTGCGTCGATCTTTGTGACGTCAGACACTACTAGCCAATTAACGCGGTGCAGTGTTGCATAGCTGATGTCTTTGTGAGAATAGGTAGACGACCGTCCGCACGTGTCCCGCTCGGTTTACGCTTAAGGCTAATTATGACCCTTTTAACAATAAGTTTTTTTTCCCCGAACAGAACTCTTCCAACGCAAGTTGGTCAGAATCTTTGTGCCGTCGAATATCATCTGTCTTTGTTACATCAAGCAGACGTTCGACACCTGTATCCTCAATGTCCCAATTACGAGTTGAGGGTTCTTCAACGGATCCCAAAATGGAAATTTACGAAAATTCAGAAAAGAGGCCGGTTACTTTTCAACTTTCATTTGATGAAACAGGCGAAGTAACTGATAAGCTAAAACACAAACTCTCGTTGGTAGCCGAAAATGAACACGAAGAAAATCAGCCCTAGCAGCCGCGCTATATACTTAGGCAATTTACTTTTTTACGTTCATATATGCCTACGTGTCTCTGTACATAAAGAGAAAAAAGAAAAAACAAAAGCATTAAGGAAGGTGAAAGAAGGACAGATAACAGCAGTTGATCTAGGAATGAATCGAAGAAAGAAGGAAAAAGTTCGAGATTGCTTCTACCTAGCTGGCATTTTTTTCCCCGAACAAAAAAAGTAGCTAGTAACGGTACTGATTTATATAAATCTCCACTTTTCTCACTCTTTGGTCCTCACTACGTACTCTTTCTCTTCACATATATAAATGTATTCTCTTGCACTTATTACGAAAAGAAGAAGTAGTAGAAGATTGGTGCTCAGCGCGGTGCTTATAATAGTGTATATTTTTCATTTATACATAATCACGTATCTCTTGTCGACTGATTTACCGCGAACGAGACAACAGATGTTGTTCAAGTGACTGAAATCGACTTTGAAATACGTCTATCACGCTGATTTTCTCATCGTTGTTCCTCTTCAGTTTTCACATTGATCTCCTTCAACTTAAAGTGTTTGTAAATAATTAGTATTTAGTTCCTCTTTCGTTTTTTTCCCCTTAATTTCCTTCTTTTTTTTTATCACTTCACAATTATACATACGTTTTATGTCTGCACGTCATTTATCGATAATTAGCCGTTTATTGTGTTCACACTCTACTAGTTCCCATTATCTAGTTTATTATTATCTGTATTCTATATTTTTTTGTTTTGTTTTACACTCATATGCATATCTCTTTTGTGAGATTTTATATATTTTTATAACCTAGTATTTTTGTTTTTTTTTTTATAAAACAAATATGTTTAACGTAAGTTTTTTTTTTCTTTTTTTTTTATAAAAAAAAAAACCTACGAACATATATTGTGCCATTAAATAGTGAAAAGAAAGAGAAAAGCGTTGTTATGTACCTTCTCTCTGTAAAACGAATTAACAGAAATATTTACCTATTTATAAAATTGTGTTTATAAACAAACTACTCAGGTGTTTACACATGTAAAAGTATATAAAATATACTTCTAATATGTACAAGCGCGTGTGCGTGTATGTGTGTTATATATCTATATATAAATATGTTTATATAAGTATATATAATTTTATATGTTAATATACAAGAGAGTACAGAGCACTTATATCTATGTGTTTATATGTAAGTATGAGTATGAGAGTGTGTGTGTGTGTATGTGTACACGCGTTAAGTACATAACTCTTATACTTGGTATTTATTAATTGAAAGCAAAGACAGCGCTTTTCTCAACAACATTTACCAGTTATTTATGAAGCTTATTCTGTAAATACTGTACATAAATTATGTATTATACATATGTTGAACATAAATAAAATTGTTTATTTCTTTTTCACCATTTTGTTTTTGGGAATACATAAAAAAGGCATATAGTACTATCATTCCTTTGTTTTGTTTGTTCTTTTCGCTTTTATAATAGAAATATTCGCAAAGAATTCTATTAACTTTCAATTCGTGCCGAACAAATTGAAATTAGATACCGACTAGCGTCTAAAATGACGGGAAATCTCAGCAAGTACAAGCTATTAGGACTTAACTGTGTTGGAGGGGGGCCGCATACCTGAATGACGTATGCTAATTCTTTGACGTTTTATCCTATAATAAAGTATAATTGAGGGTGAGGAACTAGCGACATTTATCTTCACTTAATCGGACAAATAAAAAGCGTTAAATAATCAATATAGAAGAAAATAAACGGAGCGCATCTGTCGTACGAAATTGATTGATGCAGATAAAAATGATTAGGAGGAGAATATTAACGATGGAACGATTCGATAAGACGCTGATTGTGTCATGCAAACGTCGTAATGTCGTAGAGCGCTTGAGGGCAGTTTGCACCTAGGCGGGGGAAATTTCTTTTTTTCTGAAGTGTGCGGTACGTTCTGCATAGTGCATAAGAGTCTAATAAATAAAAGGTGCAAGTGTACGCACATAAATATAAATACTGTATTTAGTGAGGGGAAAAAGACAGGAAGAATGTGTACTTTTGGAGTAATGTTGCAATTTTTCAAGCTTTATGATTAAAATTCGTCGGCAGCTTTCGACACTTGGACAACGACGTTTCTAAGCCGATTATCTCGTTAAAGGCGCGCGCTCCTTCGCTAGAGTAAAGCTGATTATTTGCATAATTAGCGGATTGACACGCCCGTATAATCTGGAAAAAAATACATATTTATTTCAAGTCCGATTTGTGCCTATATACAATATACAGTTTTGTATACAAAGTGGAAAAGTACTCGTATTTTTTTTCCCATTACGTCACAAAATTACCATCAATTTCCAATTGATACGCTATGTAAATTTACACAATATGGGTAGCTGTTAAAACAATAAAGAATCAGACGAAGAGTGGGGGGTACTTCTGTGGTACAACTTGAAACGCTTTCCCGTTTGCAATCCGATACGGTAATTTCTCTTTACAACCCGTTATAAAAAAAAGACAAAACAGACGGGCAACAGAGGTGGCATTTTCGTTAATCTGATTATTTACAACGTGTAATCTGGTGCCACGCCTGATAACGTTAATTGGTATAGTAGGAGGGGGTATGGAAAGGAGAACAAAATGAGCTGTGGTGAAAATAATACGAAATCTCTCCATATAATACTTTCAACATACAGAAAGCATACAAGTGCCTTAATGCATTGTTTATTAGAAAGGTATTAGTCTAAATAGATAAATGTATCAGCTAATGTATGTCAATAAAATTAAACAATAAATTTCGACGCCATCTTAAACAAGGATTATAAACGATTTTAAGTAGAGTGAGATTGACGCGTTAAGAGCGAACGCGTGTTACGTAACCCTGTGTCATTTCAAGAAAGTATGAATATATTAGTTGGTGATAAAGCTAAAAGACGACTGGTGCCAAGAAGAAGACAATCAGCGTCAATAAACACTTCCACGCAGCACCCGCAGATCACTCGACGATAATCTGCTTTCTCATTTGCATCGTTTTCACTCCTGTCAATGCAAATAAGTGCAACAGGTTAGAGATAAGGACGCTGTCAACCTATCAATTCATCCTCCCCGGTAATCCCCCTCTTCTTCCATCTCCTCTTCTTATTTTCTTCTAATATTTTTCTTTGCGGTTTGTTCTTTGTATTAATTTCCTCTAAAATACTTTCTTCGCACGAGAAAAACCGCCTAAAAATTAATATTGGCGATAAATTTTCGTGCGTAGCGTCCCCTTAGAATCCTCGAGGGAAGAATAAAAGAACGGCATGATTGAACGCGATGCACTTGAATAAGTTCGTTCTTTTTTCATTTTTCACTCCTAACAATTTACACTAAAAGCTAAATAAGAGACAGATTACGTAAGACGGGAAAAAGCGGTAATAGTAATACGAGACACGAACTGCATAGCACGCGAACGACAGTGTATGCGGGTATAGTTCGATAGCACTCCATTACGTAATAAAATGGATTAAAAAGCTCCAAAAATGCGGGCGTCGAATATGCGTGCCCGCCAAAGGCGTTTGTAAGAAGAGCGAACAATTTACTGACGCCTCTATAGAACGATTCTATTATAGTGTACAGCAATTACGGAAAACTATGGAATACTAGACAAAAAGAAAAACGTCTTATCGAAACTGCGAATCGACGCCCTACGTCGTTCGACGCTGCATGCACAGTACCTAATATACCTATACACACACACATACATACGCACGCCAGATTGAAACGATAAAGGGAAATTTTTAAAGCCAGCCAATAACTCTGTCACTTTCCGTCGCGTGCATTGCAGTATATGCAATTTGATACAACTGTCGGCAAATGAAGATTTTTCCCACTTTTACGAAATGGTAATGAATTTAAGAGATAATGAGAAATTGCCGGGTGAGAAGAGGGACGCGTGACCGCTCAGCGAGAGACATTAGCTGCCGGCGTCCAATGCACCGGTCAACGTCGAATGTCAGTACATAGGTCGGACAAGTTAATTTTTCTCGGCGGCGAGCTTTTAAGAGCGTCCGTGCACTGACAAAGAGATTACGTAATTCTGTGATCTAGAGGCGTGACGACGCCTTTAACCGACTCACGCGAATTTTCGCGTCTTTAATTAGTGCATCTGCGCTGAGTGAACTAAAAAATTCTTTTTCATTAATTAGCCGCCAACATTCAACTCGATATAAACGACATACGTATGGGCGCTAAAAAAGGTGCTATAAACAGATTCGCCTACACGATCGAGTCGTAAAATTAAAAGAAAAAAGTGTGAAAGAAAACGTAAGGGTTGAGGCTACTCTTTTTAACCTCTCATTATAACCAATCTATCCTATCTTTACCCTATTTAACTTTCCTTTTTACCCTCATTGTTAAATGTCAAACAAATCCTGCTCGTACCGTCTGTCCGAAATATAAATACCGGCGAAGAAAAGGACATAATCGCGTAACAAACGAGCCTTGTTGAAAGATTAGATTCGAAAAAGCAGAGAGACAGGTTCAAAGTGTCGGGCGTGTATGTTCCTAGCACAGAGCGATTCATTATAGTTTTTATAGCTTTTCATCTCATGTGATCCCGCGCTTTTTTTTTGCGGGAATTACTTGTGAAGTGGAGGAGAAATGTTGAGTCGCCGGCATCTGTCGCTTCAACAATACGCACGCGAATTCAACGCACCGTGTTTCATTACGCATAAAATGCGAGCTTAATTCATTCTAATTGAAATTTTGTTATCGGGCCAAGTCGACCATCGATAGATGCACGCGTCGAAGGCTCTCTAGCGTGTAAAATACATTAAGCTAAGTATCGGCCTCAGGTGAAATTACACGGCAGATGGCGTTAGTTTACGATGTATCAAAACAAAAAAATAAACAAAAGTATAATAAAAGTCTCAACTCCATTTCCGTTTGTATGAAGTTATCAATCAATTTCTTTCTTTTCTCTTATCGCATCCCGGAATCTTTCTTCTAATAGCGAAACCTCTGATATCAAATCCGTTATAGCTTCAGTCAACGCTATCTGAGGAGTAGTATCAGGTGTTGTCTGCACCCGAAGAACGATTTTATGCTCAAGAGGATGCGGATGTTTATAACCGGCAAATAAAACCTATTGGTTGTTTTTAGGTTAATTATATTTGTTAAGAGTATTATATTATGCAACCTTTGGATCTTTAAGCAATTGGCATCTTAAGATATTTCCTATAGTATGATCTTCCTTATTTACTGTGAATATAGCTGCGTTCGGTACTTTTGTATCTTTCTCGATAGTGACTTTCTTTTCGCCCTCGAATAAAATGAATGACTCGAAAGTTGGAGGAGCGTTCATATTTTTCTGAAATATCAACAAGAATCATATTAAAGTACAAGGCTAAACATTAAAAACTATTTAATCGTACCGTATATAAACGGCTAGAGTACTTAAAACAACGAAATAATGCTTTTAAATATAAAAGTCTCTGATCACAAACCCGTCTAATAACAGCAGCAGTGCATAAAAACTTGTTACCTAGCTATGTAGGTGGCGTTGATTAGGGGGGGTGAAAAATCGAATTGACCGAGTACAAACTGTGCGAAAATTTTTACACTTTCACTGGAAAATCGATCAGCTTTTCTACTCCGCCATTTTGTCGACAGAAATGTGATGGTGAGGTTGGTAGTCTTTTAGTCGAACATTTGGCGAGAATTAAGGCGTTCTATTCTACGAAAAACATTTTATTGTCTGTAGTGTATGCCTTCGAGTAAGTTTTCTCGAAATTATACCAAGGAAAGACGTAGAATAAAGGAGGAAATTAATTGACCCTTTACAATACAGCACCACACCTCATCGATTTGGGCGGCATCGATTCTACGGACAAAAATCCTTCATTGCGTCTCCTTGTCAAATCTTCTTCCCAGTTCTCCTTTCACTGGACGGAGGTTTGATAAGGGCATGCGATGTTGTAAGTCTTCCAGTATTTCTAAGCCTAACGTTTAATATGTTGCGGACCACGTGGCATCGAACGATTTTTTTTCATTTCCTTATAATAAATAGAGCAATATGGCCATGAATATTTTGTATAGCGTTTTCAAGTTGGCTGAACACTCTTACTGTAGGAAAGACGATTTATGTTATTAAAGTAAAATGTCACTAAAACATTTGGCATTTCGACAACGAATGTGTCGGCCTTTTCCATTATGAATGAGTTCTGTATCGCGTTCTATTGCATTAGAGCCGTGTCGAGTGTAGGGGGAATGATAATATGATTAGTTCGTCCGATAAGTTTACAGTATCCGCTCTGTATGTTTATAATTGGCGAACAATACTAGTATCAACTGTTGAGTTATTGATTTTTGCCAAGGGATTCTGTTAACTTTAATCAGTACGAAATTTCTACTTTAATGTTTAACCTGAATATCAAACATAATCTTCCTAGAATATCATGTCTGACACGATGCATACGTTTGGTATTTCCTCAAATATGGAGATTATAAATATCTAGAATTCAGCTTATATAATTGCATTGTATTCTGTAAGATACAATTCCTTGTACTAGATCTAATTGCATAGGCTTGATCGATGATAACAGAAAGCGCTCTGAATTGAGCCTATATGGAAGATATTGTAAGATTTACCAATATAGAAAGTGTACAGGCCCGGTTGCACTTGTAGCTAATTCGTCGTTTCGCTAGCACAGGCACACCCTAAGATTGCGCCTATTAAATATTTAGTGACACAGAACAATGATGCTAGGAGTAAAATACTGTTCATTTAAAAAAATACAAACTTCAACGTAATGTGCCTAGTGTATTCTGTATATAACGTCAGTACACAACGCAATATTGATCTTTACTTTTTTTAAACGCTTAAAATATCTGCTGTCGCTTTTTTTTCTTTTTTTTTTAAAATACGCGATCGCATATTTCTATAATGTAAAATCCCTATCGATTGAATCTGATGGATGTGCACTATAATTTACGTTGGAAGTCCTTTCCTAATTCTATTCCATTTACGTAATACTTGAATGCTTCCTGTATGGGAATATATTTTTTTTTTTTTTTGGTCATCCAATCGATATTAATCACACTGGTATAACCGCATCCTACGATGTACGCCTACTTAAAAATGTCAGTCTGCCTAGTTCCGCATTTTATTAACAAAGAAATTGCCAGTACAAGAGAGAGAAACATTTGCAGCTGTGTATAACTCAGCGTCACTAGAACGACATATTGTAAAATAAATAAAACTATTGGGACTTGTACAGAACAGGGGCTTCACATTCAGTACATGAAATAATTCCTTAGGTAGTTAATTCTAACCATTAATCACAATTTATATCACAGAATTCTGATAAAATAAACCAGAAATTAATGGGTAATTACGAATATATTATTATAAACAAGTAGATTCCAAACAATAAGACAAGAATTTTTCATCGAAAATATTTATTTCACTACTTGAATGATTAAAATATATTATAGAAAGTTGTTTCTTTAGTTGGATATATGAAAGAAATATTAATATAAATAAATTTTGTATGCTAAAAACCCCAACAGTAGTATACATTTAGTGCCGCCATTTTTGTTTCTTGAAAATGCCGAATCTTCGTATTTTTAACCCTCAATACGGATGCATTCATCAAGTCGGACAAAGCAGACGCCATATTTTGGTATTGAAGAAATAAACTCGACAAAATTATTCTGGATTGAAGAAATAGTAAAAATTCGAAAATAGATGCTGCTCTTTTGTGTTCATAATATGTTTAATATTTTTTATAGTAGAAACGCGAACTAGTTGTTTATTTGAAAAAGACTAGAGAAATGGATAAAGAAAAAGTCTCCCAGAATTTTCGTTCAGCAGTTGGTTTCAAAGCAATTACTAACTATCTTAATACAATATATAGTACAGAAGTGAACAAATACGAAATTATATCTAAATCGCCTACAACGTAAGAATAGTTATTTTGATATTTAAAAATAAGTTAATAACGAATAAATCAAATGAAAACATTAAATTCTTTCTTTATACCTTAAGTCTAGGGGGTTCTGACCCTATTGATGGAATTTTAATATTCTTATGCCGCGAAGAAACGGTTAAGAAAATATCAAAGCACTGGCACTATGTTGGCTTAGGATTAAGCGATATACATTCCACAGAGTAATTATTGTTAGAAACTTTTATACTCTATAGCAAATAATTTCCTTATGACTTTTATAGAAAATCACAAACTGAGAAAACAAGTTTAGAGCTAACTTTTCGTTTGAAATATGCTGAGGAAAGTCAACCACCTGTTTGGCCATTAAATATTCTTTACAGTTTATCCGAATATATGTTAGAAAGTGGTAAATAATTTAGTCATAATTCATTTTTATTAATTTAAAATAATTTTCTTAACTTATGCTCTTTTAAGGAAATTTAATCCGGGTTGGTGATCATATTCCGTGGAAAAGAAGTATTGATCCAATAAATCCTAATAGTCGAATTAGAAACTTCATAGTAGCCGAAGACCCTATTTTAAAAACATTGAATCTACCTTCGGGACCAATGCAGTTTCGGCAATTAGTAGGAATTACTGATGATGAATTAAGAGCAGCCCAAAAGTGAACTTTTATCTCTTATATTAATAAATGATAAAAAGAACATAAGCACTTTTTTCTATTCTAACAGCTACAAGGGGAAAAGCTTATTAACTATGTTAACGCAAGATCAAAGGTATTCGTTCACGGTTGTCTTTTTAAAAATCCAATGCTATGATTTATTTTACTGATTGTTGTGGTTATTTATTTATTTTTGCTAAGCTTTTTTTTATGCATGATAACGCTATTATTATAACAGTTTAAGTGGCGCACATTTGATTACGGATGTATTAAGAAATGTTTCAATTTTTGAAACTAACCCCAAATATGGTCAGGTGTGTAGTCAGCATTTATTTTTCATTATGACAATGAAAATTAGAATTCTAATTTTATATGTGACATATATTTGTATATGACGAGATAAATGACTCTACTAATATCTTCGTATTTGTAGGTTCTACAATCGTTAATTGATAATGAAGGTTCAAAATTTGCTCATGTATCCGCGAATTGCCGATGGATTGATACGTGAGTAATAAAATCTATTCAATTTTTTATTACAAAAAATTGATTCATAATTATCTATTATTGTGCGATTTGAATAAAAAAAGAGGCATGTCATATCATTCACATCATGTACAGTACATATTACTATTTTTTTTATTGAAATATTTAATAATTTAGAATTGGGAGCTCCCACTTAGAAGCATTTAACTGCGCCACTGATGACGAAGACGACGAAATAGAAAATTTATTAGAGGAAGTCAAAATAGAATTTGATCCTTCAGCTGCTCAATTATTGCCTAATATCGTTGCTAGGTGGGAATCTTGTCAACTTTGATAAAAAAAAATGTATATACTTTTCTTTCTGTAGGGGAAGACTACCATTTCAAAAATATTTAGCGTTCCAAAGTCTCCAAGGTCAAGTAATCGTTTTTATACCGGAAAATTTAAAGTCTAAATCTCAAACGTGTATAGTTTCCAAATCCCGTAGATTATGCTCAAGTGGTAAAACTTTACAAGTAAGAATAAGAAACTTACATATAATAATTATATATAGCTACAATATATCATTTTTACCGCCAGATATATTGCGATAAAGAATTCATTAACCAGCTATCAACAAAGCTTGATAGTTTAAGCAATTCAGAACTATCAGAATTGAAGTTTCCAATGCATTTTAACTTGGATAATCCAAACGTAGCAATAGAAGTCCTTCCCACCAGATATTTCCTTGGGATTGTTGAAACTACCTTTTAGTTTTGTTTTTAATAGAATTTTTGTGAATATAGCATGTAAAGCATTATCACATACTTTCTGACGTGAAACTACAAAAAGATCGCCTTTATTTTCGTCATAAATACAAATTATCATCACAAACACAATCGTAAGCAAAATGGCAATATTAGATGCAGAGTAGTAAAAAAAAAAGAAAATGAAATTTTTCATCGAATGTTAGTTTTTAGCCAGGTGCTCTACTCCTTTCCTTTTGATACACGCAATATATAAGTCTTGTCACACTCATACTAATGTATAGGTGATAAATGTTAAAAATAGTCAGACAAAATAAAGGAACTTAAATTACATAACGAAATCATATTTTAAAATATGGATATAAATGATATAACTACTCAGGTTTGGTGAAGGTAAATGAATAGCAGAACTAACCGAAAAAAATGGTATTACTGAAGCTTTCAACTTATTTATGCGGAAAAAATGTAACTGCAGTTAATGAGGCTTCAGCGATACCCGACAATTATTAGCATTTCTTATTTCCATTGACAGAATATACTGCATTATTTTGTAAATCGTCCGAACTATGTTTAAGTACACAGGTTCTATTTTCAAGCCTTCACTCACAACTATCCGTGTAATTCACTGGGAACAATCCACTGAAAGGTCGCTGTCCCCTTATAATTTCTCCTTTCCACCAATTGACATCTTGATCATCCAATACAGTGATTATTTCACCGCGAGAAAACGCCAGCTCTTCCCGTTCATTTGTTGTAAAGTCAAATTTCGCAACTCTTTTCCTCTGTAATATTAAAATTGTGTAAATGGAATGTAGACAATTAATATCAAAGTTTTTTTTACCTGTGTCGTTCGTATCATATCTTTTAAGCAAATTGTATTCGAACGAGATACAGACGCCGAACGATGATAGTCTATAAGCTGGTTCAGAGACTCGAATTTTACGACCCATAAGAAATATTTTCCAACTCCGTCTCGAAGAACTTTGAAATGTTGGACTCCGTCGTTGTACCTGTTTTATTTTTAAATATTGTTCATTCTTCCGCTTAATCATTCACAAACGTGTTCAAAATAATTTACTTGACGGATAGTGAAAAGTCACCCGGTGAGGATTCGCTGTTACGAACTAAGAAACAACCATTTTCTTGCGCTGGAAAATTAGCGCGTCCTTGAAGTATATCCTCTGCCGTCCTTCTTGAAGTTCTCGGTATATACCAACTGAAACAATCAATGTCTAGCTTTCTGAATAATAATAAAACTCAAAATAATACTTACGGGTGTGGTTTCATTTTAATGTATGTACACGGAATATATCCTTCTCTTCCATTTAATTCAGCTTTATACCAATTTCGGTCCTCTTCCATATTTAAAACCTTGACAACGTCATTTCTTCTAAAACTAAGCTCATCGTTTGCGGTAGCCGTGAAATCGTGCAGACACTCAGCTTCCATGTTGAAGTTTGAGTATTGTTATCGACTTTAGGCCTTATTAAGCATTGATTTTCTCCAATCTGTCGAGAGATCAATGTTATATATAACAAAATAGGTACGAACGATAAGATTTTAGAGGTGCCGATTCATATAGCGCTTGAATAAGACATGTTCAGCGATTTAAATTACATCAATTGATTTTGCGCCATACCGGAAATTTTTGTGGAAAATCAAATTTCTTGCCCTGGCAACTCTATAATCAAAGTTCAAATCACCTCAATGTAAAAAATGGTGTGTGAGCTGCGACTCAGTGAAATTTTCAATGAAGATAAACTGGTAGGATAGTTTAAATCGCACTGTAATTAATCACAGGAGCTGACTAAGAATTATCGGGAAGGAAAATGGCGAGATATCACGATTTACCTGATTATCATTTTCGTACTCAGATCACTCCCATCAGAGTAAGTGAGATTTTTGAAGCAAAAATTGACAAATAATATTTGTAGAAGAAATTTCTTATCAGATGTTTATCTTTTGTACGAAAATAAGTGTTGATCGTCAACAGTGACATCTGTTTTGCAATTCTATCGATATTGATGCTTTCGTTTGTTTTTGGTTGATTATCTTTTGTCTATAGATTGAATGCTGCCATTATGCCTGAAAGCTTTATTTTTAAATATATTCTTTCAATAAGTGCTGCAACAGTGGCAGAAACAGGTTTGTTAATTGAACTAAAAATTCGCGCTTCTTTCAGTTTTAAACATTTTTCTGTTGTTTTCAGTAACATATCCACTAGATATAACGAAAACAAGACTACAAATTCAGGGCGAGGTAGCATCAGCTGTTCCATACAGGGGCGTAACAAAAACGCTTTGCGGCATAGGTTATATATTTATCGATTACTATGATGTAAGATAAGAGAACATCGGCTGTAGCCTATCTTTAACAGTTAGTGAAGAAGGGCCCTTTAAACTATGGCAGGGAGTTACTCCAGCAATCTACAGACATATAGGTTAATTCTCTGCCTCTTTACATGAAATGTTAAGCTGATTTTTAATTTAAAACAATAGTGTACACTGGTTGTCGCATGGGATTCTACGAATATGCTAGAGATAAAATATTCGGAAAGAATCATGATGGAACCTTTCCGCTATGGTTTGTAAACAAAATAGAAAAAGCGAAAGGACTATTTATTCACTTTCCTTTTCTTGTTTACAGGAAGGCTGTACTTTGTGGAATGTCATCTGGAGCTTTAGCCCAATTTATCGCCAGTCCAACAGATTTGGTTAAAGTTCAGATGCAAATGGAAGGTAAACGAAAATTAGATGGTTTACCGCAAAGGTAACAGCTCAAAGAGAACCTTTTAACTTTTATCAAGATAATAAAAAAAAAGTAGATAAAATATGTGACCGCATTGATATCATGTGGATAGAGTGAAGAACGTACCGGATGCTTTCAGAAATATCTTGACAGAAAGTGGAATTAAAGGTTTATGGAAAGGATGGCTACCTAACGTTCAGAGAGCTGCATTAGTCAATTTAGGAGGTATTCCTTTGTCCTTCTTATTTCTAATCATAGATATAGCAAGCATTTCTCTCTTTATTTTAAATTTCCTATATAGTATCAATATAGATCTTACTATAAAGCTTATCACTAGATCTAACAACATACGATACCGCCAAGCATCATATACTAAAGCATACGTCTTTAGGAGATAATCATCTAACTCACGCCTTGAGTAGGTGCGTTAATAAAAATCAAATATTTAAATTTTTGCAGTAGAAAACTGTATTGTGTCTGGAAAACTTTAATTTTACAAAGATTATTTATTGTCTCTTACTACAGTGTTTGTTCAGGATTTATAGCAGCTACTCTTGGTACTCCTGCTGATGTTGTAAAAACACGAATGATGAACCAATCTACAAGCAAGTTATATTCTTCCTCCATCCATTGCTTTATATCAACCGCTCGCAACGAAGGATTTAAGGCCTTTTACAAAGGATTCATTCCAACTTGGGCAAGAATGGTAAGCATTGAGAATTATAATAAACAATCTTTCTTTTATTTTGTCAATATCTCATATTTCTCTTTGCAGGCTCCTTGGTCGTTAACTTTTTGGCTAACTTACGAAGAGATACGACATCTTAGCGGCGTCTTATCATTCTAGGCGTTCCCTTTATGTTCAAGAAACAATTTTCAAGTAATCTTAACTGATATGCATGTCTTTAATAAAACTTTGTGTTTCGTTAAAGTAAAAATAGTTATGAAATACGCAATTTTCATTACAATTTTCTTTATATAATAGACCAGCTATCGTAGTTAGTTAAGAGGCAGGCAGCTCAATGAGACAGATAGAGGGATAAAGAGAAAGAGAGAGAGAGAGAGAGAGAGAGAGAGAGAGAGAGAGAGAATGAGAGAGACAGAGGCAGAGAGATAACTTTCTTGAGTATAATCATGCAATAAACGAGATGGGGTTTAATTGTGACGTTCTAGGTCTATACTAGTCGGTCGTGATAGTAAGGAGAATGAGGCCTATCTCTGTAAAGATAAAGACATAGTTAAATTACTTTCAAAATAGAATTAATACAACGAACATGAGTAATGGGTTTTCATAAGCGTAACGATTTCTATCAATTTTAACAGAGGTAACTTTCGCTTTTGCAGTATCTTTCTGTCGAACCTGCGACTTTGATTGATGTGAAATTTTTACTTGGCGGCCGTTACGGTTCCGATGAGGCGGTGTTATAGGTTGCTCTTCCCTTGTAGCACTAACAGGTTTCATAAATATAATGACTAAAACAAGCATGAACAAGCCGACCCCAATGGCTGTAAATCCACCAGAGATAAACGCTACCCTAAAAAAAATGAATTTCAAAGTCAATAAAGATTTTATAATTGTTTACTGTTTACAGGTAAAATCGGGATTGAATAAGAGACCTAGAAAACTATCGCTTACACATTAAATATCGACTATTTTATGTATATTGCGCATTGTTACTTTGCTAATAAAAGATTTACAAAAAGTGTATGAAAATAATAAAGTTCAGCTTACTTTACTGTTTTGTTAAGACCTTCTATTCTAAATCCAAGTCCAACTAGGAGGGTCCCAACGTAAATCAGAAAAAGACCGATGACAAAGGCTATGCTATCTCTCTTTGCCGCCTCTTGCCCATAGGTTATCATCGTCTTTTTGGGTAATTTCACCTTTGGCATCTTCTTCATTTTTCTAGTTTTTTTTTATTGAATTATATATTCAAAATTTCTCTATCACTCTTTTAACAATGTTTATCTAATCGAAAGGGTTGTATCCATTTAGATTTTAACGTTTGCGTCATGCCGTCGGTCCAGCACATCCAACGCTTTCTGCTGGCAAACAACAAATGACGCATTCCCGCTTATGCTAGGCTTTAAAGCATTGGAACAGCTGTTGCTTATTGAATTTTTGAATATGAGCTGGAATGCGTGTACCTTGAACTTTTTTTTTGCAAAATAACGTTAGATGTTACTCTTTTTCTAATAAGCTAGAATTATCTCTTAGAGAAGAGTTCTCCTCTTTCAGGTAACCGTTTCAAAAAATTTGAACTGTATCAATCGTTAATATAATTGGATAAGGAACGCCTTTCCTCTTCACCTCTCATTCTTCCTTCCTCTCCAAAAATTTTTCGTGATCTATGTCAATCTGTATATAGTCAATTCTATCTTAAATTTATGCTAGATATAATATATAGACCTTAAGTGAAATGTGCATATCGGATTGAGTCTATAGGTCAACTCAATATTGAAATCTTTCGGGAGTCTATAAAAACCAAATTCTCTCCATCCCAATGACAGATAGGATTTATACGACTCAGCGTTTTATCCAATCAAATAACTGTTTACAATCTTAACCTAAGACTGTACAAACTTTCGTTTAAAACAATTTCTGTCTCAATTATAACTGTGTTCATTGGCTCTCGTGTTTAGAGAGTCCCTTAAAAGTCGACAATCTCTTATGAAAGAATCTTATCTACCGGGTTATAAACAAAAAAAATCCCACAAATTTTTTATTGACCGGAAATTGACTTGATATTTTGCGATATTTAGATGTAAATAAAATAAGGTTGGAATTTTTACAGTTAAATAATAAGAAAACTAAAGGCAAAAGAGTTAGATATAAAGCTAATATCTATAAAAAAATTTTTAATATAAAGATGAGAAATGAATTTGGACGAGAATAGTCAAGTACCATCTGTTGAACTTTTGACTGAAGATATATTGGTGAACGGTAGGTTAGCTGCAAAAAAAAGCATTTATTTTCTTAATTAGTTTAAAATAGATGATCTAGGCTGCTGTGGAGATGTTACGGAAATCGATCAAGAGCGAATGTTTGAGTTATTGGAAAAAATTTTAAAGAAGTTAGAACTGTCGAAACACCATCATGAAATAGCCGTTTTAAGCTTCCATTATATTGTTATTAATTGTTAAATTACTCTGTCATGAAATATCACTAACGTGTTTTCCTCCAGATACAATATTCAATTTCTAAGGATTTGGCTAAAGTTTTTCTCAGAACTCTGAGCCTTCGAAATTCGCCGAAGATTGTTACATATGATTACCCTATAGTAATTGCATCACAACTCAGAACAATAAACGAGCATGACAGAAAATTGGTTAAAGATTGCGGAAAGATGTCAACAGTACCTGCAACATTTTCGATTGAAACTATCTTAGAACTTTTTCTGAGCGAAGAAACCGATAGCGGCGAAGAGTGGCAGAATTTCGTCCAACGGATGAAATTAACAATTGAAACGGTTTTCTGGAAGGATATTGCTTATGAAAGCGAGTCATCTCACTTAAAGAGTACTCTAGAGAAGAAAAAGATTTGCTCTGTCCTTGGACTGACATACTTAATAAGATTCCTACATGATACTAATACAAAGTTTCAACGAAGAGGTGAAGGAATTTCTAATCTGAGATGGTACACCTGTGTAAATGAACTAGCTTTTTATTTAGAAAAGCTAGTTAACAAATTCTATAGCGCATCTACGTATTATATTGGAAACTTTTAGAGGTCGATGTATTGTGTCGTAATGTGTTTTTATTGATAAATGCCGAGTTAAATATGAATCTTTTCTACTGGACTGGAAATATCGATGGTCGCAAAAGTACCCTTTACGCGACCTATAGCTGCTGTTCTACTGAGCGGATTGCTGATTTTTTGATCCATTTTCTGACTTAAGAATTGCCGAGCATTGATAAAGATCAATTTTCGAGTTTTCATATCATGGCCTCAAAACCTGTGAAAAAATACAGCTAAAATTAGTATAATGAAGAGAAATTTGTCGTTAAGAAAGTCTATTAAATTAAAATCAGTTAAAAATTGTCTGCACCGACAAGTTGTTCAGACTTGTCTTTAGAGAGCTAGGTTTATGAAATGTCATCATACAAGTACTTTCTAATAATGAAATGAAACTTATACACACCTTATAAATGCAAGTTGGTTTGCTATTCTTAATTGGAAAGAGTAACTGAAAGATAAAAGGTAATTACAAGATGAAAATATTAAAGGTAATGTTTTAATATAATTTTTGTTTTACTTCAGTATTTTAATAAGCAATTTAAGTACATCACGCTTTATAAGCGTTAATACAAGAGGTGTCAAAATGCTTTAGTTCATCACTTTATTGTCTGTCTAATTTTAATTCTCAAAGCCCGCATAGAATATAAATAAATACATTTATAAAATAATACTTACATTGATTAATTATTTAATTGTGGAGAGCAAACTGTCAGTATTTTTTTATCTGAAATAATAAGAGATAACTTAGAACAGGGTTGAAAAGTTTGCAAACTGATATTATTTATATTGCCTACATTCAGTCGTTATCGTAAGCGAATTCAGTACATCATACCTTTAAAGGTATTAATACAAGAGGTGTCAAATTCTTACGATTCATCAGTTTTCTAATTTGAGAATTATCTACAATATGAAAACTAAAAACATACCTTAATGTTTTGGTCAATGGCGCAGAAGAGATGACTGAACAAAAAATGGAGCTTTTAATCTCATACAAAAACCATAATAAATAAAATACTCACTTTACTTATAAATGTGTCCAAACGATATCAAGCGGAAAATATGATTATAAAACCTACATAGAGTACTGTGAATTACCTAACTAAATCAATTATAATTAAGAACGACTGATTCAAATGTCTGGTATCATTGGGTCTATTGTCTTAAAATTTCGACACAATGTACACATTAACAAAGTTCAGTTATTTAATGTCCTTCACTTGAAGTCCTGAAATAGTGAAAGTTGCATTAGCCGAGCATGAAATTAACACATGGTTTTGCGTACCTGGAGGGAGAGACTGCTTGAGTTTCTCAGCCTTTTCTTTGTCGGAAATGACCAATGTGTACAAGTAACGTGAACAACGGACTTTGAATTTGTAGTTGTCGCGATTCTTCTTGATTTTAACAGATTTCGCGTCTTTCCTTCTTGCGGTAAGCAAGAAGTCCTTTATTTCCATTATTTGCTTCGGCTATTTCAGAAATTAAGGTTAACCTCGACCAACTATATTTGGTTGATATGTGTGACTTACCATTTTGGTGCTATTTGATCTGAAAATGAAAAAGTATATATGAGAAAATGTGCTAGGAATGTTTCAATACAATTAACATCAAACACCCTATTCTAAGTCATTTTTTCTCCAGCCAGTTTGTGATTACCATACTTATTAACATATACGTAAAGTTTTCACAAAAATTTTTGCATATTTAGCTGTAAATTACAAGATATTTAAAGATATTTAGCCTACCTTTATCGCGATCGACCACGGCTACCGGAAAAGGAAGCAGCACCATATTTTTCTGCGGTCCTGTATTCCGGAAAAACGTAAGGCGCCTAATTTGAATTCCGAACCGATCAGTATAAATTGTAATTTATTATGAAAGTGTTAGTTTGGGGGAAATTTACACTAATTCTTTCGTATATTGATAACTTTTGTGGTAGGAAATTAGCAGAGAATGAATTAAAACTAACGAATTCGGATATATTTACGACTACTGATGTGTTATCAAATGAAGAGTGTAACAAAATAATATTACTTCTAAAAATTAGATTAAGTAAAAGAATAAAGAACCTAAAGAGGGCTCTAGTATTAGAACCACCGCGATTTCCTTGCGACGAGCAATTGGCAAGATGGAATAGTAAAGATAAATTGCATTTAGTCTTTGCTGATTTGAAATGGGCTTTAATTAAAATTGATAGAGTTCAGCTAGCAAATCGTTTAGAAAGTCATATATATGAAAAATTACTATATAATGTAAATAGGAGTTTATTGTACAAGATGTCATAATAAGCCATATTTATTTAAGGTAAAAAAGGCTTACGAATTAAGACAGAGAACAATCAACGATGAAGATAAAAAATTTGCCATTTTAAAAAAAGAAATAGAAAATGCTAAAAGAAATCCTTTTCTGAAGATGAGCAGAAACTTTAAAGTAGAGAATAGTTCAGCGGGGAAGTTTCCATATAATTGGACAAACTGGGTCAGAGCCGTGTTTGTTTTCATCCTTGTACGCAATTCCTATTTCAAATTTTTTATTTTTAAAAATTTCTACACTCTTAATTCTGTATACAATAACAGATACTTGGCCTCCTCTTTTTTAGTTCACTCATATCCTATTGTATTAAAGTTGATGGATTCGGTTTAAAAGGAACAAAGCTATTCTATAGAAAAGGAGAAATATAAAGAAGACTGTGACCGGAATATAATGATCATTTCGGAATTTGAATATTATCAATAAAACCTTACAAGATATTTATTTTATATATCTAATATTTATTCATTAGTGCATTCATATTCATAAATTCTAAATGTTACACTCGACTAGAAATTTAAAAAAATTAACATATTCATTTTCAGAGACATTTACACGAAGATCTTTAAATCAAGTAATTTTGGGATATTTCCTATGTTTGTTTCTGATTATTTGCATCATTTGTGCAGGAAATTATTTTTTCTGAAGGACAGGGTGTTCCCGGTAGCTCTTCTTGATCTCTTACAACAACTTTATCTAATTCAACCCCGTCAGACATAACTGTAACATGGGCTTGTAGACTAGCTGATGAAGGAGTCGGGTTATCTGTCAAATATATCATATTATTATTACCAATGAAATTGATGTTATAATTATACAAACTCTCGACAGAAACTCCCTTAAATTCAACATTTATTTCATTTTCTTCATTCGTTTCTGACTGCCTTTCGCGTCGTCTGTTTACCAAATCGTTAGATAAACTTAAGTAACTTATTTATATCAAAGACTGTTTACCTGCTTGTCGAAGATCGTTTGCCTTTGAAAGACTGTCTTTTTTCCCCTTCTTTAATATCTGTTGGGTGTTGGCTAGATGACTCAGCCTCTACCCCTTGATTTGATCTTATAGAACGATTACTTTTAGTTGATGAACGTCTTTTAGAGGTACTGTTTCAATTATAAGTGTTAGAGAGACAATAAGAAATTTAACTAAATTAAATACCGTTGTTCTGGCACTTCTCCATTCTCCGCACTACCTATTCCTAGAAAAGAAATGCAAAAAGAATAGATTATTTTTGAAATGATGATAATAATAAAGAAAAATTGTGCTTTAAAATTCAAATTCTTGATAATAAAGATATGTAAAAATAGTACACGACATTTTCAATCGTACAACATTCTAACTTACTTACCCAAAAGTCTATCCAAGTTGGGATTTTGTCCTAGATATTTGTTAATTAGCTAGGACGAGAAAAATTGATTTCACTTACCATCTGGCGGCATGAGCTGAGTATTTTGTTGGTTTCTTGAATTTCCCGATGGTCCATTAAGGGCTTCCATCAATGATGTTGCTTCATAACCTTGAGGAATATTCTCCTGGGAAGTATTTTCGACATCATTCTCACCCTATGAAGACTATAGAAGTTGAAATCATACTCAAATGAAATGAAAATCTAATTACTGGGTTAGACGATGGTAGCTGATTAGTTTTCTTTCTCATTGCTCTGATTTGCAGTAGAGCTCTGAATGGTACACGACAAATGGGACAAGTACTTGATTGATATCGTAGAGAATCTGCACAAGTATTACAGAGACAAAGATGTCGACAAGGTAAAATCAATGTATCTCTTATATCAGACATGCATATAACACATTCCGAGCCAGTGTCCTCTATTTCTTCAGAATCAGCCTAATTTTAGAAAGAGAATTGTTTTCAAATGAAAACATTCTAAAGAATTTAAAATACTTTTAAATCTGGTGAATTTTTATTCTCTATACCAAATATCTCCTGTAACAAGAAACATAAACCATCGACAACTTGTTTCTGTTTCAAAGCTTTTATAACGTAATCGTCGCCATTTGTTTCTGCTATTGCAAAGGTAATGTGACTGTGGCCGACGCTCTCCTCTATGAACAATACTTAAATTATAAAAGGCCCAGGAAAAATTGTAATTTTTTAACGACACTTACGATCATCCTCTACATTGCACTGAATAACAATTGGGAAAACCTCTTTATCAGGATTATACTGCCACTGTTTTAATTAAAATTATATATCTTTTTTAAGTATAACATTCTTTTTGACTCTATCACTCACGTCCTCCTCTGGATATTTGCTAGGATCGAATATATGTGTTGACTGGCTAAATTGTTGATTTGTACCACGTTTGTAATGAAATGTTTCTGAAGTCGTGGAGGGATCACGTGGTTGATAGCTGTTAAAAATTTTTAATTGCAATAATTCGTGGGTACACTCTAATTTTTAAAGATCTTACATAGCCTGTCCATTACTGATTTCTTCGGTAGCAAAGTAATAAATAGTTATAGCAACGCGAACATCTGAATCAAAGGTGAATTCTAGGTTGTAGCCACTATTTGGTTGCGTTTCCTCGCCAGGAAGAACTGCCTGTGTATTTTCTGAAGTCCTTAAGTGATAAGACAATTTGTAAGAAAAAAGGTATTTAGTCAAGGTCTCAAAGAAATTACTTCACTAGTCGTAAAGTGTCCTTACGGATGTTTACCAGGCTTTTCAAAGTTTTTGTTGCTTCGTTTGTACATGGGCCGGGGTAAGGGAACTAATAAATAATTAAAACGTTGGAAGTTATGAAAGTTGGATACGTTAATATACGCACGGGATATGGTCTAGAGTGAAGCCAGTTTAGATCATGATTGTCACCAAATAAGTAAGCCTCTGGTTGTGCTGTTTCAAAACGTTGACCACCCATAATAAAGTGACTACCAAAATAACAACCAGATCGTGGTGGATATCGATAGGCATTTTGAGAGGAATATTCCAATTCCTGTACTCCCGAATTTCGGCGGCTTAGAAAGTTGCCCATTATAGATATATCAATAGGACCTCAGAATCGAAACTTGCATTGTTAAATTAAATCAATAAAAAATACCAAAGATGGCGGATAATAGTCCCGCAGTATTACAGTAAAATATGACGTCACGTTTGTTTACAAACTATAGGAAGTGAAAGGAACAATTTAAGGTATTAAATTATTATTTTTACATGTAGGGAAATTTAAAATCTGCTATTAACCGGAATCTGAAAAGTTGGAGTCTTTTTCTAGTGAAAAAAGTTAAATACGCAATTAAATTTTTCCCGAAATCGGGGGGGATGGCGGAGTATTTCAATGCTCCAATGTTTTGACCTTATAAACCACACCCACTTCCTGTGAACTACACCAATAGACAATCATTCGTGTAAAGTAGGCCACGTCAATCACGCGGTTCATTTGCCGGAGCGAAACGTACACAAAGAGCTATTTCTAGTAAATTTCTTGTCTAAATGAAGGAGATGGACGCACTCCGACAGCAGGTTATGATAAACCAATTTGTAATGGCAGCCGGGTGTCATCATGAACACGCCAAACAATTTCTAACGGCGGCCCAGTGGCAATTCGAGGTATGTTGAAAAGCATCATGGCGGATTGATTCGTAAACAAACTGCTGAATCGTTCGAATGACCTATAATTGTGTTTTTCAGACGGCGTTAAGCATGTTTTTCCAAGAGGCAACGATTCCGCAATGCAGAAACCAATCTAATCATTATCCGGTTGGTACTTACAAATAATGCTGGAGTTATTCTAGAACAATATAGAAAAAAGAATATTCTTATATAAGTATTGGCGGGAAGACTTGGGCTAAATTAGTAGCAAATCTGTTATAGTTGATAAGCATCCTTATCTAATGTAGACATCTTAAACAATAGTTTAAGATAATCTGTTATGTCTTTAAAAAAAGCTAGGTTTTAACCGTATGGAAATTCTTTGCAGATGCGTACTCCAGCCAATACGCCGGCCACGCCGCCTAGTTTTCCAGACGCATTAACCGCTTTATCGAAGCTATCGACAACTGATAAGTCGACGTTAGCAACTTCGCCTTTTTCTCATGCGACGAACGTCTATAATCCTCAAAGCCGATAAGTCGACGCCTCAGTTAGATTCGATCTCACAACGCATGACGCTCAACCTGAAAGAAATTAAAGTAATGCGTATCTTCTGAAAAACAACTTACTCAGGAAGCAATATGAGAAGAGCGTCCAATAGTAAAAAACAGAAGAAATTTATGTTCTATAATCCTAACGAGCGTCCTACCGTTTCCATTAAATTTTTCCTTTCTGTTTTTTTTTTATTTCATCTACCAATTTTGTTATGTTTTTATAAAAATTTTTTAACAATTTGCGGAGAACACGCGATGGGTATTGTTTCTTTTTGTATTGTCATAAACTGTTTGTGTGCGTGTGTACAGTTCAATGTACAGACTTGTCCGTTAAAAACGACTGACAATGTAGTGCAATTTGTTTTCTATTCTTAATGATATAAAAAATTTTGAAATACGAACTTTTTGCGGGAGTATCGACAGTGAACTGCAAATTACAGTTGTGATGTTTGTTTGGGTGACCATCATCGTAGCCAATAGATGGCGCAATGATTTGTAAAAAATTGTTCGGTCGACTGACGTAAACGAATAGTTTCAAATAGTCAAATATAAATGCAAATTACGAATACAAAATGTAAAACAAAGACAATGGTGGAAAGCATAACGTTCTTGGAGGATCACCATCCAACCAATAGGTGAATAGGCCTCAATATATTCGTTAGTTACATTACTGTTTATTGGTAACTAAGCAAAATCCCTTATAGGCCTAACAAACTAATTGTTTAGTAGAGTTTACGTTTGTTGCCTAGAAAAACTCTATAAAAACGATTGAACACTGGAGTTTTCTGGCCAGTCGGAAGAGCGGCGTTTATCAAAAAGGCTGATGGACAGTCGGATTTCAAACTAGTAAACAAACTAATCAAGCGTGTTTGCACACGTATATGTTATAGGATTACCCGAATTTAATTAGTTGGTTATTTAATCAATCGGGTAGGTGTTACCTTTTTCATTTTCCTTTTCCTTTTTTTGTATATTATGTCGTTTAAAGTAGACCTTTAGTTAAACTTTTACTAGTATTGAAGAGACAGGGATTTTCATTTATAATAGTAGGATTTCGGTTAGAGGATAATTTTGCATAATCATATATTTTACTTTATTATTATGATATTTGTTTTTAAATATATAGATATATATACAAATATACCGGTATATATAACGGCGATTATAATAGACTGTAATAGGCCTTTGTAACGCGGAGCTAAATAGATAAGGATAGGCTTAACGATTAGCTGCGGTTGGCGACATGATTGAGCAAGTTTGTGCGCCAAGCGCGGTAGTTCGGGAGAGAGAGAATTTGATTCAAACACGTGCCACCAATTAATCCGAAACGATTCGAGCAGATCCGCTACGACAAAAATGCCGATCGTGTCAAGTCAACGGGAGAATTTGGCACTCCGTCTCAGGCAGAATTGGTTGGCTAGGGAGAATTCATCACCACCAAATGGAGTCGAACAACTTGATGATAGTTTAACTTCTTTAACTTGGCTGCAAAATCTCAATATTATGTCGATAACGTCACCATCATCGGCTGTTAATCCGCAAAAAGTTCAATCAGCTCCCAGCAGCCCTGTTGGATCGCTGGATCCTCATACGCAGAACGTCGATCCGAATAGCGTCCTACCCATGAATGCGTCGTTATTCAACCCTCATCACGTAGGGCTTCTCAGACAAACTTCCGCCCCCAACTCATTAGAGAACATCGATTATAAGACGAATCCGTACGTAAAGCCTCCATATAGCTATGCCACTTTAATTTGTATGGCGATGAAAGCCAGTAAGAAGAATAAAATTACGTTATCTGGTATATATTCTTGGATAACGGAAAATTATATGTATTACCGAGTGGCCGATCCCAGTTGGCAAAATTCAATACGTCATAACTTGTCTTTAAATAAGTGTTTTCAAAAAGTGGCCAGGAGAAAGGATGAACCCGGTAAGGGAGGTTTTTGGAAATTAAATCCAGAATACTCAGATATGTTTGTAAATGGAGTGTTCAAGAAGCGAAGGCATGCTGGAAACTTTGTTGCTCCAACAACACCTACACCTAAGCGAATTAAAAAAGAAGTTTCCGAAACTGAGAGGGCTGTAGCAGCATTAGAAGCAGCCAATAGTAACGAACCAAAGGTTGTTGTTGTGAAACAAGAGCCAGAACTCCGTCCCGATGCCATCGTCGATTCGTCTAGCGATTCGACCTTGGCAGCCGAAGATATTTCTTGGAATGCTCTCCTCGAACAAGACATAGATGTCGGGGGTATGAAAATGAAAACTGAGCAGATTATAGACGGCACCAATAGAAATCATCAGGACACTCCAGACGAACTGGAGGAATTGCTAAGAGATGCAGATCTGTGTACCGACGATCAAGACAGTCCCCTTGATCTCTGCAGCGGTGGGGCTTTGGATTTGACTGTATCAGGAGTTGGCATAAAACCACCAGAGTGGTGGGAGAAATATTCAATGGAGGAGTCTCAAAATGAGGCTTCCGGCAAATCTGGGTTATCAACACCTATAGCTCCGTCCCCAATAAGCGAAGCTGGTCACCCATGGGAAGAATCCAATAGGGATGAACTAGATCGTGCTCTGGATAACTTGAATGTTGGAAATCTATTGGATTTCAGCAGTTTACATTCTCCTTCGGCCATTAATTAACTCTTTCTTACATTATTAACGCCGTATGAGTATTAATTATTCGTAAAACATACACGTATATAACCAATATGCATGTATTTTTACGTCTTATCCATTTGTTTTATTCTTATATTATCCTTTGTTATTCTATTCACTCTTTTTTATTATTGTTCTTTTTTTTCATAATTATTCATTATTATTTTCAAGCAAACTATTACCGTCCTTATCGAATCCGTCCTCTGAATGAAGAAAAATTGTATATAGGAAGTCTGTGATCAATTTATAGTTTTATATAGAAAATTCAAATGGGGCATATATATATATATATATATGCATAATTTACATGTACATATCTTTTATAAAAATCCGGCCCAAGCGATTGCTGTGATGGAATTGTACAGAAGTTATTCACGCTAAGATTTTGAGTGCTTTTTATTAGATAGTTCAAAATGAGTGTGTATAGATTATATACAATGTACTTATTAAATACTTTACATATATGTATTAGCATCTTACAAATATGAATATATGCAGTTTACAATTGATACATTTTGCAGTTTATGCAGTGTCACGACTCCTCATTCTTTTGTACATTGTGTCATACTTGTGTGTGCCTGTATGCTATTACATAACTATTCATGTATATCAATGTATATATATATACATTATATACATTGTACGCACATACATGAGTTAACATACACACCTACAGTTATTATAAACATAAAGTGACTGCCAATATAAAATATTTGTTGTGTAATATTCTAGACATTCAGATATTCATAAGCCCAAACATGTCTGCGTTTTTACGATCGATAAGCGCCAAAGAAATCTCTGATAAAGATAAGCGAACTGACACTTGCCGGTGTTTGATTGGCAATTTATAGAGCGTGCGGAGCTATGGGGGAATGGAAAGGAAAATTTGAAATATCTTTCCATAACTTTGAATTATACAAGTGTTATATATAATGTTATTTGTGCCATAAAGGTCCTATTTCGCTCTAGTTTTCACCTAACAATCCTTGAAAAATAATATTCTCTTCGATTATTGTTGATATGATTAAAGGCTTCATTTCCAAATGAATATATCTTATTCGATATTTAAGGGAAAGAGGAACTAATAAATAATAGCATTTTATAATGGCACAAGCGTTTTACACCTCGTAAAAATATTATAAGCGGCATATCTAGTGCTGATTCTGCTGTATTTGTACAGAGTTGGGGGTAGATCAATATAATTCTAATCGAACATTGCCAGAACCGATTGATTGCGGTCTTGAAGTGAATAGGCCTAAATAAACGGTTTGTAATCAATATTTAGTGTTCAGTTGCTTGAAAATAAATTCAGCTATCTGGATATACTTAACAACGTTGCTACCGCAAATAACGGATCAATTTCAAGGCAACAGCAGCAGACGCTTAGATTATAGAAAAACCTTTGACAAGAGAGAGAACAAAAATATGCGGGTAGGGGAAAAAAATGACAGATAATTAAAATAGCATAACAGTAAAAGGTTGCTTGAAGGGTATTACGGTTGTTTTTTTTTTTAAGGACTCGGCAACGTCAATAAACAAGCGGGCGTTTCGATACTAATCAATCATTGAAGAAATCGAAAGTAATCAGTATAGACCACTACCCCTTTTACTAATAAAGAATTTTTCCTATGTATTTCTTATAAGTAATTCCATATAGAAACAATAATACTAGTATCTCTTTGCGATTATAATACAAAAGGACTGGTATCGCTACTTTCAAGAAATTCTTTTGACGTTTTCAACAGAGTTGGCTTTATATGTATTTACACCTTTCTCGATGCAAGTTTTATCACGTTTAGAGAAAAAACAAAGCTTATTAAGTGCTTTTATAAAGAAGTAGGTAAGAATGGTCTTTTACGAAGCCAAATCTTTGATAAAAGACAATAACGAAAATGGATCTCTTTATGGGGATTGGTTTAACTATGCAAATCCCCCTTCTTTCTCTCAATTCGTCGTTTTTAGTCCTAAATAATACAATCTTAGGTATATGACTCTAATCCACGGATTAACATCTTAAACTAATATAATCGATTATAGATTCTATTGCTCTATTTAATTCTTAGCTTCTTGAAAATAAAAAACAAGAATTTGCGATACAAGTGCCATCTTACGGAAAGACTAAACTTTAATCGAGGAATGATATATTTATGTAAGAGGAGTTTTCAGCCTATCTGATAATTTCGTTTACTCATACATTGCTGACGATTCTTTGGGAGTGTCAGTAGACCATTATCAGTTGTAAAACACAGAAGAAGAACGATGGCACAGTATTTTGATTATATCGTAAGATATACTTTAAAATATACTTATAATTTCGATTAATCTATTAGATAAGGAATCTTGTTGTTAATCTATATTTTTTGTTTTTTTTTTTTAGCACGGTACTCCCTCTCTTCGTCCAGATCCAAATTTCAACCCGGAAGCCGACTGTACTAAATTGTACAAGGCTATGAAAGGGTTGGGATGCAACGATAAGGTTATTGTTGATGTATTTGGTAGGAGAAGTTTCGACCAGAGAGCTGATATTAGAAAGCAGTTCAAGACTATGTATGGTGATGACCTGGAAAGTAGACTGAAGAGTGAGCTAAGCGGCAACTTAGAGACTGTTGTCTTGGCATTATGCAGAGATAGATTCACTTATGATGCTGAACAACTCAATCGAGCGATTAAGGGCTTGGGAACCGACGAAGATCTTTTGATAAGTATTATTTGTACGAGAAATCCATCGGAAATGGAGGCGATAAAACAAAGGTATATGGAGTTGTATAAACGTACGCTAGAGGACGATGTAGTTGGAGATACTTCCGGGGATTTTCGTCGTTTTCTGGTTGCTCTTCTACAAGCCGGAAGACCAGATAATTTCAGAGAGGTTGATATAAATTTGGCCAAGAAAGATGCCCAAGACCTATACGCTGCCGGTGAGAAAAGATGGGGAACAGATGAATCAACTTTTAATAGAATTTTATGCAGCAGGTAAACGCACTAGGATTACAAACATTGTATATTTGCATATACGCTTTTATTGTTAACTATACAATTTATTAGTTAGGAAAAAAAACTGCTTATCAGTATACAAAATTATTCTTAACGAATGTGAACATATGCAGGAGCTTCTCTCACTTGAAAAGAGTTTTCTACGAATATCAAGTGCAAACTGGATCTGATATTGAGAAAGCCATTGATGGTGAAATGGGCGGCGATGTCAAGAAGGCAATGCTAACGCTAGCCCGTTTCGTTAAGAATAAGGAAGCTCAGTTCGCCAAAGCTCTTCTTAAGTCTATGAAAGGATTGGGAACTGATGATGATACCCTGATTAGAATCATTGTGTCGAGATGCGAAGTTGACATGGAAGAAATTAAGAAGGAATTTCTAGGACTTCCTGAAAATAAAAGCAAGAAAACATTAGCAAAATGGATTCAGGTATATAGTTTATTTAAGTCATTATTAATTCCTTCAGGCATAAATAATTTAGCTATTAGTTTTGTCATAGAGTTCTATTTGTTTATTCTGTTTGAATTAGCTTAAAAGTTTTATTTATCGTTTTTGCAGGAAGATACCTCTTCGAACTATGAGAAAATACTATTGGCTTTAATTGGATGTTAAACATTTGTTACTAGCCTAAATATATATATTTATATATGTGTACTGTGTTTCGCAGTATACATGTATAATTGAGTCATTTATAGTGCTTAAATCAAAAAAAAAACACCATTAGCAGCAGTTTTAGAAACCACTGAAAAGAAAATGCATGCTCCTAATTATTGAATACAATTTTTGCAATTTTCATAAAATTAATATCATTAATTTTTTATCGTTTCCTTAATTATACTTACTGGGATATAGACGTAACTAATTTCCTCTTCAGCACAAGTTTCCATTATTTCCTGTCCGTCAGCTTCCATCTCCGTACATTCGATAATTAGTTTTTGAATTTGACTACAAGCACCTTTAGATTTTAAATGTCTTGAGAGAGATGTTTGTTCAGCAAACGTCTTTCCACATTTTGAACATGAATACGGTCTCTCCTTCGTATGCGTTCTTATATGTCGAAGCATAGCACCCTTTTCTCGACTTTTATGAGAGCAATTTTCATATGGGCAATTGTAGGCGTATGAGTCGGTATGGGTTCTCAGGTGAACTTTTAATGCACTCTATAGAAGTCATTGTAAGCAATATTAATAAATTGATTACTTATTCAATAATGGCGTATTGATTAACTTTAATTACTAACCGTCGTCCGAAAACATTTTCGGCAGACCTTACAAAAGATTAGTTTCTCGTCAGTATGAGTTTTAAGATGCGATACAACGTGAGCATAACGTTTGAACTGTTTTCCGCAGACACCACACCGAAATCGTCTATGTTTACTGTGAACATAGGCGTGTTTCGCTAAAGTGTCTTTTGAAGCAAAGCTCTTACCGCATTCCTTGCACTCTACTGGTCTCTCACCTGTTGATAAGGAAAGCGAAGTTAAAGTCAAATATAACCTAAATTGAACAGGCTGGTGCAGATATAGCGTTTAATACAAATCAATTGTTATTAATTGAAATGTAATCAAGAGGTCGTTATTGTTGTGCTTGACAGGGCCCAGAATGTTAGCACATAAGGAAATAAATATTAAATAAATTTAACCTGTATGCGTTCTGAGATGAACCTTTAAATAAGCATTTTGTTTGAAAGGCTTGTCACAGACAGGACAGTTCATTAAACCCAAGAGAAAGTTCTTCAAATATTTAGAATACTCGTCTATCTTGCAACCAGCCCACGTGGACGTTTTATAGGCCAAGAGTTGAATGAGACTTTTGGACGCGTTGCTGTACAAAAGAAAAAAAACAATAGTTTCCCTCTCCACTATTAATAAGTCTAAAAATAGACTATACGTCATCTATAGATTTATATTAAATAACAGAGTGACTTAACAACCAATTTCTGTACTTGTACAGAATAGAAAGATAAAAATTAATTACTATTAATTACTTACGAAACAATCGAATCATATTCGGAGGAGTTTTCATCATTTGGTAAATCAACTCCTATCCCACAACTCTTTGATTTTAGAAGATTTTCCTGTTTGAACAAGAGGAATACATTAGCTAATAGTGTTTATAACAAAATAGAATGTTTTTCAACGACTTTAAAGAATCATTTTAAAGGGTTTTGATTGACTTATACGTTTAATCTTAGTTTAGTAGCAACACTCACTATATTTTTACATTCGCCAGTATCTATGGAATGAGTAAGATGTAAATGATTACGAATATCCTCCTCTTCTTTAGCCGAATAGGAGCAATTTGGACATTGGAAAGGTATTCGAAGTAAATGAGTTTTTAAATGAGTACATGGATCGTCAATTTGAGACAAATTTTCCCCGCAGACTTTACAGTTTTGATTCAAGGCCGAATCTATATCATCTTTATGTAAATCGCCTGTAACGACTTTAGAATTTTCCTCTTTTAAGCTGTCCACCTGTTTAACGAATATTATTATAATATTAATGAGACAGGGGTCTTTTAGAAAATAAATGGAATGACATTGAATCTATTATAATAACCTCATAAGTCACTACTGTAACGTCAGAATCTTCCGTGGAAATTGTTACGCCATCTGTTGGAGAATCAACAATTTTTTCGCTTGATCCTTTCAAGTCAGATTCATTAATAACTACAACACATTCTTCATTAATAATTCCTTTTCGAATTTTTTTATAACATGGTGTTTTTGATCGTCTATGGCGCGCCAAAGCACCAGATTCACGAAATGTCATAGAGCACTTGTCGCAAACGTAGGGTTTCGCTCCAGTATGTCGACGCCAATGCCTAACGAGGGCTCCTTTTGTTTTAAATTCAGCTTTACAAGTTTTTTCTTCACAGACGAATGGTCTATAATCAGAATGAGATAATTGATGAGTTTTTGCGTTTGTTAAGTCTTTGAAAGTTTTCGAACAAATTTTGCAGATAAAAGGCCTTTCGGCATGGGGAATGTGCTCAATAACCTCCTCGTCTTTTTGTTCAATATCTTCCTCTAAAATATGAACCACTGATAGCGCATCATCCGCTTGTTTATTATGGGCAATTCGCATATGAGACTTCAATGAAGATTTTCTTTTGTAATAAACGCTGCAATCTGAACATTTAACTTGGTTATTTTCACCTTTAGTTGTCGATATTATGTGTTTATCACTCATAATAATGTTATTATTTGAAAAAGTTCAATTAGGTGGCTGGAAATGCGAAAAATATCACGAATACGTATCACTAAAGAGCACATTTGTTTAAACGCTCTGAAATACGGTGTCCATATTACGCCATTATAGTTAAAGCATAAGATGAGCGATATTAGGGCTAAACTTTCCATCTTTTTGTTTTTTGAATATTTTAAGACTTGTCAACTGTTAATTAATATATTAATATTTGGTATCTAACTTTTATAGTCATGCAATAAATTATATGAAACTTTCTAATACTTTTATTTAATACTGTTTGATTTTAAACGAACTAGTTGAGTTAATAATAAAATTTTTTCACATATAATTGAATTTTTAACTAAAAACACAATTAAATACGTGTATAGAAAATTCTCATAATCCAAACTAATCTTATGGAAAATAAAACTAAAAACACAAAATCTTAAACACAAACAATAGGACAAAAAATATTTTTAAGCTTTAAATATTTCTTTTAAAACTAACCTAAATTATTGTGTTAAATCAATTTGACTGAAAATAATGAATATTCATAATTCTTAACTCTAATTTAATACATTATCAAGAATTAATCTTAATACTCTTGAGAATAATTAAATAAAATGCCAGTATAGGATTATTTATGATCGATGTAAAATTTTCTCGTTTGTTGTTATTATTATAATAGAAAGAGTAATTTCTTCTTTATTGAAAATAAAATATCAGATTTGCTATCGGAAATGTTTATTATCGGAATTTTTAGATTAAAAAATTCCAAATTTAGATCAAAAAGAGAGAAAGGGAAAGAGAGAGAGAGAGAGAGAGAGAGAAAGAGAGAGAAAGAAACAAAATCAATTCTCAAACGCCAAAACTAATCAAGAAATTGAATTAAAATGGGAATAAACTTTATATCCTATTTAAAAAAAATAGGAGAGAAAATCACCGACAAATGTTTATTGTTTAACACGTAGAAGTGTTTATAAAGAGGAAGAGAGAAAATTATCATTATTGTCTGTTTTTCTACATAGTGCTTAATGTCCTTTTTGTCTAAGATACTTATAGATAATAGGTTTCTTCTGTTTATTATCTTTTATAATTGAGTGTTAATCTAATCGATATTGTTGATGAAAAATTTTATTTAACAGAATTGCCGAAACAATGCATAGAAAGAGGAAGTTAAAACGGATAAGATCACTATCTTGGAATTATTTTTGTGTATTGCGTTTGCTTGACCATCAATATTGCAGCGTTGACCTTGACAGCACCATGAACAATGCTTATATCTAAAGGTGGACAGTATATCGTTAATTGAAGAGTTGTTTGTTTGTTTGTTTTTATTTTAAAATAATACTTACACATATGTACTTCGGCCAACCGATCTGCAATATGATGATTTGCATACTTGTTTACTTGCGCAGTCTCTTTCGAATGTAAGAATTTTGTTGCCAAAATTCTCAACTTTTGTCTATAAAAAGATTAGAAAATATAGAAAATTGTTATTCTCCAATAATTTGTACAAACAATGCAATAATCTTCGTCGTCTTTGCAAGTTTTTGCTTCCAATCTATCCATTCGGTCTACATAGACACAATTGTCTCCATCAATTGAGCGTGTGCATCGCAAACATTTAACTCCACCGTATCCAAGTGTGGTTTTGCAAGAGATCAATAGAAAGATTAAAAACGCATAAAAATCTATACCATCCATCGAGATATAGGATAAAATGGACGCCGCTCAAATTATTTACACTACTATTGATCCTCAGGTTGCCAAGGTTACAGCAAAGCAATAATTTATTTTACCAAAACAAAAAGAGGACAAATTGGACGAATATTTATAACATAGACATTGGAAGCCAGTTTAATAAATATTAAAAGAGAATACAATTAAAAGTAAAAATCAGCGAATTCCATGACCAGCAACAGATATATCACCTTTTCCATAATTTGGTATTGTACCATTATTCTTTCTCAACCGACTGTTGTTGGTCTGAGGTGTGCTTACCGTTGAAGCGTCGCTTGAAGCAACTTTATGAGTGAATCGCTTCTTTTCCATATTTTGCATAGGAGTTAATGAATCTAATTCATCTTCGTGTATATGATTTTTTGGACGTCTTCTATCGCCAGGTCTTGCAACTTTGACTTTCTTTGGTATGGTCGATTCGTTTAGTTTTCTATTTGTGTGCCTAATAAACTAAATAAAGAAAAGATTAAATAAATTTTCCATGTACCACAGTAATTAAGGATTGATAGACTAATATGGTTTAATAATTACCGGTGGATATCCCCCACGCCTTGTCCTGCCATTCCGGCCTCTTCCTAATGAGGTATCGTCCCCATGTGAAGGAAGTGGCTGGGGTGGGTATGTTCTATCGTGTTTTGCCAGACGGGAGGGCGAAAGATACTGGTCGTTAATTGGTTCTAAATTTCTCGTTTTCTTTCTTGCCGCTCTGGCAGCTATTGAACGCGTATTTAAAGATATTAATTGCTTGTCTTTAAACGCTTGTTCTTTAGCAATAGCTGTAGGCGTACTAGTATTACTTCTACTAAGCACTATAACTTTCTCAACTTGTTGATTATGTGCTACTGCACGATTAATTGCTGGGGTCGATTTTGCAGCATTAGTACCGTGAAGTGAACGCAGCTGTGCTTCTTTGATATGACGAGTTTTCGGAGAGTGGCTGAAAACCTTTTCCTCATTTTCTTCACCAGGTTTCGGTAAAGTCAGCATAGATTTCGTTCTATAAAGTCGCCGACGAGAAACGCCCTGTTCCGTGATTGATGGTAAATTATTATCATCGCGACTTGAATGTTTTTCAATGTCGGTTAAAGAATCAACACCAGATTTAAAATTATTATTTACCACTGGAGGCCTCTGTCCGGAAATGCGAGGTAGTTCGGGTACGAGGCTAGTCTCGGCATACGTTGTATAATTTTCATATAAATCGTCAAGGTATCGTGGAATTTCAATATTATTTTTGGTTAATAAATCTCTTTGTTGTCTAATAAGGAGATCAGCTATCGATCTATATTGTTCATATTTCTGAAGGCCTAAATCTCTTCTTCGTATTTCAAATTCAGCTAGAATACATGCTGATTGAGTTTCAAGTTGCTCTATTTCTAGTTCGTGAACCCTGCACATAAGAGCTAAAACTTCACGGTGTTGCGGAGACGGGGAGGAGGATGTCGGAAGTAAACTAGACGTTTTACCTCTTGCAGTTTTTAGATATTTTTCTAACGTTTGCCTATCCCTCTCTACTTTGACTTTATCAGCATCTAAAGTGACTAATTCATTTCGAGCTATTTTAACTTCTTCACTTTCAATCATGTCCTTTTCAACGTCGGCATCTTTAATGCTTTCATCATCCATTTCAGCTGCCCTCTTACTAGCCCTATAAGTTTTTTGCCTTTCGTGCCTATACAATACGCATGGATAATTAGCAAGTAATTAATATACGAATACTATATATATATAGCAGTTTTCTTACTCATCGACTATCAACTGATTTCGAACTGTTTCTAGGTGAATTTCCATAGCAGAGTTATTGAGATCCATTAGTTGTCTCCTCAAGTCCATTTGTTCACGGAAATTATTAACTAATTTCTCCTTCATTCTCTCCAGTTCGGCTTCTTCTTGGGGTTGCATAACTTCACCTGAAATGAGTTTCGTTAAAGCTAAAAAGCCACTAGTTAATCACCTTTTTACTTTTAATAGCCTTTAGGGCGGAACTATTTCGTTTAACTGCACCTTGCTGATCGAGCTTCTCACGCAATCGTTCAACTTCTTCTCTCAGCTCAGTTATAATATTATTATACTGCGCTATATGATGAGACACTTCCATTACTGTTTTTTTCACCTTTGTCTTAATGTGTTTAGCCCTATCAGCGTAGGCCAAGGTATTTCTAGATTCTTCAAAATGTACACTTGCAGGACTTATATGAGCTATCATTACCGTTTTACAATTGCCACCAAGCGAATCTTTGAGGAGGCGAGTCAATTTGCTATCTCTATAATTGACGTATCTCGAACTATTCTTGTCGCCTGTAGTTAAAAGAAAGTAGGAGAAAAGAATAAAAAAGAGATTTGTTAAGAAAATGAAAAAATGAGTGTTTCTTTTTTTAAATTTCAATTAAATTATAATTGCAACTTACTTAACGTGTTAATTACGTTTCCCAAAGCCAATAAAGATCTATTTATATGAGCACCTTCTATCATTCTTTTACCAGTATTTTGAGTATTTGCGGCTCTTTCCGAACCGGCTAAATCGATAAGAAAGAGTTTGCCGACGCGAACCTCCTGTAGAATGTCTCTAACCCTGTCTCTTTGCCTAACTGTAACCTGAAGAACTGCATGGGATCTGGATGATGTTTTATTTGCTGCGGTTGGTTCCTGGGTTCTTTCTTTATTGCCTTTCATGAGCATATCCATGACCTCTCTCGTTGAGCGTGCGGATACTTCCGATAACCCTGCTACTTGAACGCCTTTTGCGTCTTCTCGTAACTCCAAGAAACCGCTTCCCGGATTTAAGAGATCTCGAATCATTTCGTTATAAATCTCAAGATACGACATGGTCACCTTGTAGGACATATCCTCTTTTGTTCTATCCATTTCTAGGAACAAGTCGTTTAGTGCTCTGGCCATTATTCCAGGCTCTCGATCAGTGCCAAGCATTGTGTGGGTCTTACCGGCGCCTTTAATACATAATAATTGTAAAAAAATTAGGATTAAAGAGTTTTATTCTCCTTACCTGTGGCGCCGTAAGCAAAAACCGATGCATTAAAGCCTTTAATCACATTTGGAATTAATAATCTGCAGGTGCTAACATACACTTCTTCCTGTGTAGCGTTTCCATCAAAGCCCAAATCAAAAACATATTGCTTCTCTCGTGACCTATTAGCTCGAAGAATATCGTCAGGATCTTCCAAAGGATCCATAAGAACGACCATCTGTATTGATAATGGTTTTTAATAGTTTAGCATCCGAATATGATTCGAAGCCCTATGCAAATTTGTCGATTATCGTAACAAAAGAGCTTTTTAAAGCTCAATAAATACATAATTAAACGCAACAATAATTTGCACGCATATGTCTTTAGAAACAAGAAAGGAGAGAGAGAGAGAGAGAGAGAGGGCAGGGGAAGGAAAAACATAGATAATAAACAGTTGAAAGAAGGTTTCTTCATCCCTGAAGGTAACATATATTAAAAATGATGGAATAGTCGTGTGCGATACTAAATCGCTTCAGTAATCTTAAATAGAAAAATCGAATAATACAGAATATGGCATCTGTCAAGGATTAGATAGAGTAAAGCTAATGTATATTTGCCTATATTTTTTAGATAGCATATATGCTATATATACAATTACAGAAAGATACCTAGTATTAATTTATAGTTCACACCTATATTGCATAACTTTTTCCAGTCAATAACTCTTTTTCACCATTATAAACATGTTCCATTCGTTAATTCAACAAAAAGTCTACAGGTATAGAAAAGAAAAAAATAGGAGAATGTGATTTATTACTTACGTTTTTGTCAACGCAATGAGCTATTGGAGTTGCTCCAACACAAATTTCTTCCTCACTTATCGGCCGAATTCTTAAGGCTACCTGAAGAAGATAATTAACAATTAGTAGGGAAAATTTCGAACGCATTATATGAATTATAGATTATATAGCAGTTAGTTCTTTTATTTGAGTATGAAAACAAGAGGAGTATCTCTTTATTTTTTTACCAATACGCTATTCTTCTCTAATCTCATACCAGCTTTATATAACTTCCATTAAATCGAATTTATTATTATTCATAATAATATTTTGAACGACCCGCTTATATCCGCAATCTTTCATTGAATGAGTGTTGTGATTATTGAGCTTATTGGCTACAAGTTTATGACGTCACGTGATACAACACAAACTTTTAACTGTATTTAAACAAATTATCAACTTAAAGATTGACTGATGTGCGATTTGTACTTGACGAAAAATTTCTTTCAACAAATATTTAGTTAAGCGAAGATCAACATTCGACAACAAAATTTTCTCTCCTTCTTTACGCTTTTAAGCAAATATTAAATTCATTTATTTTGTATACCTATATATATATATATATATATATAGAAATAGGACTGCTTTCATTTCTCTTATATTAATTTTCAAATAGTTAAAAAAGTTTAATTTAAAAACTTACTACAAGATTCTGGTCCTGAATTCGAATCGCATCGCTTTCACTAAGTTTGGTTGCCATTCTATAACGTTATATATTCAATATCAGCAAAAAACAAATTAATTAATCGATCGACAACACTTCAACACTGCTGCGAACGCTCATCGTATCAGAGCTGTGAAAGGTTATTATTTTTCAACAAAAAATATCACCAACAATAATAATACAATGATTAAGATCCAATGTAATAATTAAATTTCATGCGTCTGATAATCGTTTTATTGGAGCATCGATGAATGATACAACTTTGTTAATCAATTATTCACCACTTCCCGCGGCCAAACCTTACGCCATTTTAAAAGTAGTTCTCGAAAATTTAGATTTTCCAAACAGTAACTAACGGTGTTTCAGAGTTATCTATATTCAGAACGATTTACAATTTACTTCAGATAGTCATTAATGCTATTTTCTTCCTCTTTCTTAAGAAATACTTGACCTTTAGTGGTACTGCTTCTATCTAGACTTAGCAGTCTAGCGGGACGATAAAGCGGTTAAAGGACTCGAATGTTTACGTTGCTAAGGAGATAAAGGCGGGAAAATAGGATTAAAATTTTTATATTTAAAATCAAAAGTTTGTTCACTTTAAAACGATTTTTAAAAAATTAGGTCAAATTATAGTACTAATAATTTTCAAGGTAGTCTTTTAATTTTTTCATTCCATTCTTTGTTGCTTTCAAATCGGGAATAGTTTGAGTGGAAGAACTTAACGAAAGCCATCTATATATAGATATATATATATATATATATATATAAATATAATTTGATATTAGTTTGTTTAACAATGTAACAACATTGTTTCAACTAGTAAATAATACCTTTTTAATTCGTTTATCTTCCTAGATCGATAAGCTATCGTATGAGGGAGTATCAGTATAATAGACGAATCGTTTGCATAATCTGAACCAGAATTTGTTTCTAAGTTGTTGTTGTTGTTGTTATTTTGTTTCGAACACTCTTCGTTTGGAATATAATCATCGCTATCGTCTTGTTCAACAACGGGAGAAACGCAAACTTGCGGATTCGCTAACATATCAATACTTCTTTGATTTTGACTTAATATCGCTTTCCTAATCTCTCTAACCCATATCTCGGAATTTTCTATCGATTCACTGCGAAGTACGCAATTTCTTTTATCATTTACAATAATCTCTATTTGCTTAATATTAACTATATCTTGACGAACGCTTTGAATATTGCTGATGAATATTTCGCAACACTTCTTCGTTGTCTTTCCTAAGGAGTACATAATTAAAGAACTCTCGTTTAATTGACAATGGAATTTCTTCCATATACCGAGCCACCGCTTCTTCTCTAATATTCCTGAATGAAGAATAGTAGTCATTTTATTGAATAAAACAATATTTGATATTGTTTAGAAAAAGATAAAAGGTATTAACGTAACGAATCGACAAAATATTTATAAACGAAATATGCAACATGGGGCAAAAATTCGTGTTACTTCTAAGGTAAATTTCATACTTCACAATACTGTTTTCTTTTATTGACGTTGTATTTAATATGTACTGAATAGTAGGACTACGAACAAGGGAAAATGAAGCAGTTAAAACCTAGCGAGCGTTCTTGGCTTAGGACTTTGCCAAACTTTATGAAGCACTAAACCAATGATTGCCGCAGCGCTTACTCCCACAGCAACTCCGGTTAAAAGAGCGGCTGCGTTTCCTGGAGGCGGAGACGTGGAAATTTCGGTTAGGCATCCAACGCACACTGCAGCTACTTTATTGTATGTATGCGAAGTAATTGTTTGGACGCATGTGAAGGGAGCTGGTGGAGGAAGGCGTCTGCTAACACAAAAATCTAGGGGTTGTTGTGCACTATCTTGGAGTACATGGTTTTGATCGGATTTTGCAGCGATAATTAATGTTGGAACTCCTACACTTGCGTAGTCATCATACAAACGAGCACATTGTTCAAATGAGCGAGCATTTGTTACGTCGTAAAGTATTGCGACTGCATCAGCCTTTTGTGCGGTTGGTCGTTCTTCTCCGACTTCCTTAAGTATTAACCAGATGTTATCGTTCGTTCCGGAGACATTGACGCTTGTGATTGCTACAGACGGTTTTTTCTGAGCCGGTATATTAGAAGCAATGGTATAGTTTAAGGTTCGACCAAGTAACGCTTGAATGAAACAGGTTTTTCCTACTCCCCGAGGTCCGGCCACATCGCAAACAAAAGTTGTTCTTTTAGTGGAGGGCCAATGAACAGCATCTAATAAGCAGCTGTCCTCTAAGTAAGGGAATCCCATATAGGCTAGCCATTCTAGAGTACGAGTTGCATCTTCTCTTAAAGCTAAAGCTACATGAGCTAAAATACCTCTAGTCGAAATCCACCCTTGAGCATTCATATCAACAGCCACTTCTGAATTCCACGGAGGAGGAAGATTGCACGTAGTGGAAGTGAAAGCATGCAACTCTGTTGGTGAAAGACATCCATCTCCATCTGCATCATACTTGTTTACTAACTCGAGTAGAAAATGTACTGCGGTGGCAGTTAATTCTGCTTTTGAACGAGTGGCTGGAAGAGAAGGATGGGTGTATTCTTTATTAATTTCCACCTGATCATCGTAGCCAAATTTTCTTAAAACAGTCCATGTTGTTTCATGTCTACCTCTTTGTATAAAGAGACTATGCAGGAATAAAAAACCAGCTAAAGTTAAACCGTTACCAATTACACCATCATTTATGTGCCTTTTAACTATTGAGAGCACATCATTAAGGGATCTATTAGGAAGGGGGACTCCAAAACATCGTTTTTGGAAAAGATTTAAATCTGAGTGCATTAAAAGACCATCATTATCTTCATCGCAGATACGAAAAATTCTAGAGAGAGCTTGCTTTGCTCTATCCGATAAACACCTCCTTTCTGGAATATAAAGGGGGGCTGTTGGATGCAATACCGCTTTCTGAGCATAATAGAAAACCTCCGTAATATTCTTCATAGCTCTAGCCGAACATTCTATGCAGCTCTCAATTTCTGACCATGTATTCATAATGTCTGACATAGTTTCGACGTTTGATTCGATCAAATCGTCAGCTTTGTTTCCGACAAGAACAATCGGTCTTCTTAAAGAATAATCATCTGATTCGTGGTTTCTTTCTTCTTGAACTGCTTGACGGACTGTAGGCATCCAATAATCCGATATATTTCGCACAGTATTCAAATCCATTACGTCGTAGACAATGCACACAACATCAGCGGCAATAAGTTCTTCGAACAAACAGTTTTCATCTTGTTCTTCGGCGTTATAATCAACGATGTGAGTAGGAACACCTAAAGGATTTACATCACCGGGAATAGTTACTTCTGCCGATCTTAGCGGAATATCTTGCTCAGGGAAAACATCCGAAAGAAGGGTTAAAATTAAAGACGTTTTTCCAACCCCTCTATCTCCAACCAGCAAAATTCGAACTGACTTTTTCATAATGTTCGTTACAGACCTTTCAAGGACAACGTACCGGTTCTTGATTTTCTCGATTCTAAAAAAGCTTGACAGAGTATCGAAAGTTTTAAATGCTTCCAAATATTATAATAAATTGCTTGTTATATAATTCGGTCGTAAAAATAAAATGAAAACAGCATTTTTTGGATGTAACAATTAATTTATCGAAAACTGGTTCTGTATGTTTTCGAGATTCAAGTTCAAGTTGGATATTTGTCGTAAAATTGTATCATTTACGATTTGCAAACTGTTACCTAAATGTCAAGGCTACCAAAACTTCCACAATTCCACACGTGTCACTTCCGGTTGATAGAATGGTTGGTAAATCGTTGTTAAATTTAGCTGTTTTTCTCTTTTTCTCTGCTTCTTTGGCATGGGGTGATAAATGTTTATCACCAAAAGTCCAGTCAAAAGTATACAGCACGTCAGAGAGTATTTTGTCTTCACAAACCGTCTTTGTAGTTGAGTTTGGGCTAACTTGCAAGAATAACGTTGAAAACCTCAACTTATATGCCGATCTAAATGGTTTTTCCGTACCGGCAACAAGAGTAGAAGGCTCAAGAGGCAAATATCAAGTAAGCTTTAGCGACGAACATAAGAAGCTCCCCTCTGGACAGTACAGCGTACGAATTTTCGATGATGATGGATTCGGCGAACTAAGAAAGGCTCAACGATTAAATGAAGATACTTCAGGAATTGCAAGTTTGTTCGAAGTGAAAATTTCCCACTCTGGAGCATCCAGATCTTTTATCGTACAAACTGAATTTGTTGTTGCCTTATTAGGTATTGTTGTTTGGTATTTGGCTTTTAATGCTAAGTCGAAGCTTCAAGCTTAAAATGTTTTTCATTAAATAAAATAAAAAATTAGGATAAAATTATTTATATTTTGTTCTTTGCATAAAAGAATGGCACAAAGTTGAACTATGAAGAAGAAATGAGCTAAAATATAGTAAATGCAATAATTTTCAAATACGTAAATGCAGGGAAAACATTTAGAAATCAGTGTAGGACTCAAAGCAGATAGATAAATAAATAGACATATATTACATATATATCATTTATGTATATATATATATATATATGTATATGCTTATTTATGTTATATCTGTTACGTAAATTACTGTATCATATTGCTTGATTCCTTATCGTTGCATTGGACTTGAAGACATGGTGACCTGAAGTTAATGTCGGGAACTTTACTTGCTAGCTGTACACTCTCTCGTAACCAATCATCCTCCTCGTTCGATTTACGACCCCATACAAAAACAGCATTCTTATCTGTTTCAACGTCGCCCGCCGCTGTAACTACCTTTATATCCGAAGGTGAAGATAGGGCAACTATACATCGTACGACATTATCCGAAACTTTGGACCTAAAAATCAATTTGAGATCATAGGTAACGTCTTTCAACGACGTTGTCGATGCTAAAGAAGAAGTTGATGAACGAAAATCGCCTGCAGGAATTTCCAATAGATGAGACACTGAAGCACTACCCAAATCCAAACTAGTCGAATCATTATTAATGGGAGGAGTTAATATGACTGAAGATATTAAATCCAAGGCCATTACTTGACCATTAGCGGTTCCAAGCCATATTCCATTACGACCCGTCAACATACTTGTTATTCTTGTAGGATTTAAAGCAGTTTCATCTTCTTCCAGTCTATTACTACCTTCTCTAGTTTCATACTGTAGTAGGCAGGTGTAATTGGTTGGTGACCACAATTGTATTAAGCTGGAACCTCTAACGACCATCCAAACACCCGCAGGTGTCGAGCTCATGGACAGAACTTGGTCGAGGAGATCAGATGCCACCGTTATTTTATCGATTGGATCCAGTGTTTCTAAATGTACTATATGTATTGTTGCTCCGCATGCCACCCATAAGTGATCCGATGCCACACATAATGCTGAAACAGCACATCTTGAAATCGGTACATAAAGACAGTCATCATCCGATTCGTTTAATCTATCCATCACCCCTACAGTACCATCAGCCATTCCAGTAAACAGGCGACAACAGTCATCATCTTCTAGGTGAACTGCCATGCAAAGCATCACTGCATGTAGGTTGCAGCTCCATACTATTTTACAATCTTCTCCATCAATATGTAGTTTATAAAATCTTTTAGAGACTGTTGCCAATACAATACAACCAGTCTGAATCGATAAAGCGCATGTCACCCGACCATCGATCTTGATATCGAGTCGATGAAGTAACAAAAGTGAAATATCAGCTCTGTATAGTATACTCGTATCTTCCTTTACGAAACAGATAAGAACTTGTTTATTGTCGATGGGACAAGATATTAGAGGCAATGCCTTTCCTTCAAAGCTCTCTACTCTTAGGACTTTCTCACATTGAGCTCTAGCTCTTTGCATTTCAGCCTTTAGCTTCTTACTTTGCCTCTTTTGCCTATCAGTAATATCTGCTCTTCTTGGAAAAGGAGCCAATTTATTAAAGGCTGTATGCAAGAGACCATCAACGTCGTATGTTAACTTTGCGACAGCTTTTAAGTATCTCATAACGCTTATAGTATCTTGTCGTTGCAAAAGGCCGTCGCCATGCATACTCAAAAGGGCAACAGCGAACCGAAAGAGAACTTTTGGGCCTTCGCAAAGAAAGCAATCCCAAATTCTTAATTGACATTCAAATGGTACAGCATCGATAAATACGGCTAAGAACCAATTAAGAGTTATAGTTGTTAGGTCGATGTCGAGACGTCGAAGATGATTATGTAGATGAGGCAATTTTTCAGCTATTAACTCTTTTAAAACCTCTTGATCAACCTGAGCTCCAGTGAGCGAAGAATCAAAGTAATCTTCACTAAAGCATTTTTCAGTAATTGCAACCAAGGTCCAGAAGGCATCGTGTGGATCAAGTAGGAGAAGAGCTGTTGCCGCGATAAAATTCATTCCTTGGCAATAACCAGTTTCAGGTCGGTGTAAACAAAAGGCCATAAGGACATCATGTAACTTGGCTATTCCGTCAGTATTGGGTGAATCAAAGTGAACATTAGAAGGCATAGTTCGTAGAAGATCCAGAGCAATTTGTTTTCGATGTTTCGCAACTTGTTCGTTTTCGCGAGATATCGAAACGAGATTATCGTAATAATGTAGACCTTTTTCCTCCAATTCATTGCTTACCTTGGATCTAATTAAAGCTTTCCAAACGGCTGGTCTCATAACTGCCGGTACTCCACTTCGAACAAGACGTTTGAGGATGAAGGTACCTTGACGCAAGGCTTCCGGACCGGAAGCAATTACCTCTTTCCAATCACTGTGCATCACTTCAAGGTCAGTTGCTGAATAGAACTGATGTAGTTGAGTGCAGATGTAGTGGAGAAGGAGACCTTCATTCGAATGAGAGTGTTTAAATCCATAACCATCAACGTGAAGGGCAGCTGAGGCCATCTTATCAAAAGTCGGCAGGCTTGGATTGTGGGAACGAGCTTCAGCAAGTAATTGCTTTACTCTGTTTTTGTGAAGATCACCACCATATAAATTGACTGAGACTCCGTCGCTAATGTCACCAGTCGGTACTGTAATGCAGCTTTGCAAGAGAAGTACATAGTCACGCTTCCATTGTTCAATCTCGTTTTCTAATTCGTAAAGACGACTATCTTTGCTGCCTGATGCTTCTCTTTCGTTAACTCTTAATCTCGTCAATCTCTTTATCTCTGCGTTTAGGAAATTGTTCTGGTTTCGTAAAATTCTCATTTCTTCATTCTTATTCGTTGGTGTTCTATTTCTTTGCTCCAGTTTTATAACTTGTTCTTGCAGTTTTCCAATCTTTTCATCTTGCTCCAAAATAACAGCGTCTCGCCTTTGTAAAGTTAACTTGTATGAATTTTCTCGTTCAAGAGCTTCTTTATGAGCTTGTTTAACGTCCATGAGTTCCTCTTCTAGGTCAGCCATACGACATTCAAAATCTGAATCAGGTGAATTTGTGGCCGGTGTGGTACCTTGTGTGCTATCAAAAACTGAATCTGCAGATCTTTGACTAGCGGAGAAGGGCGTGAGGTTATCCTGCCCTGTTTTCCTCTTCCTGTGAGGTCTATCGCTGAAAACTTCGTCAATATCTTTATCGAATCCTTTAGGAGCACTAATAAGGGTTGATATACGTCGAATGTTATCACTAAGTGGTCGGGGCAGTCTGATATCAGCTTCACTCTATATAAATGAAAAAGTTTAAGTCTTAGGAACAACGCAAAAAGTTTTAGGGCTTCAAAGCGTGATTGGTTAGATATCCAAAATAATTAACAAAATATATATAGATAGGTATATAGATGTAGATAGATAGATAGATAGATAGATAGATAGACAAATAGATAGATAGATTGATAGATAGATAGATAGAAAGAAAACAAAATGAGAGATAAAATATCCAGGTAACGTTCACTTATATAAGTAAATGGTCAGCGAATTAAAAGGCCACTAAAAAAAATATATACAATTTTTGCATTGGGGATATGAATATTAGTAATAAAAAAAAATAAAAACAAAATGTAGTCTATAAATTTCCGTATTTGAAACAAAAGTAAGGCTATATACCTCAATATCAAAAGAAATCTGAAAGAAATTAAGAAATAGTTTGAAAGAAACCTTTTTTTGTATTTCTTGTTCTTGATGTATTGTTTTTTATTTGTAATATTTTATATTTTAATAGTTTTGGGAAAAGGAAAGTATTGTTTTTTTATCGGTAAAAAAAATGGTTAATAGATCAAGAAAAATATAATAAAATGAGGTATAAATTAGTAAATACCCTTCTTCTGCAATCTTGAAATGGTGTTGTATCGGCATCGTCTTCGCTACGGGCATTTCTATAAGGTGACCTATTACTATTACTGGATGAGGATGACGAATGCCTATTCTTCTGAGCTTGAATGCGTACAAGCCATATCATCATCGATTCATGGTTGTCAGCAGTCAGTATATGCTCCTTATTATCGCATCTATAAAATATTAAGTAATATTGTAAAGTAGGTAATAGCTTTTTTTTTTTGGCTCAAAAGAATAATAGCTCATTACTAATTTATTTATGCAAATTACTAACACGATAATGAATTGATTCGAATTATCAGCACTCGTGCAAATAGCCACATTCTTTACATCTATTGTACCCTGTGGTTCCTTATTTAGTGAAGCTTCGTCTTCACTTTTGTAGAATGTTAAAACAGTGTTTTTCTCGTCCAGTATAAACCATTGTCGCCTTTTACCTCGTAACTTTCCAAGCGCTGAACAGTAGCAAAAAGAATGAAACTATATATAAATTATATATAAAATTGTATGTACATTTAGCCTATAAGTCGTTCAATAAGGGAAATAATCCAATAGATTTGATTAATTTTCAATCATACTCTGGTAAATTTTACAAGCTTACTGAAAAAAGATACAGCTGTGAAAAATCGGCCTATTAAACGCATATTGTATTACTTTTTAACTCGTTAAAGTATTCTACAAATAGAAGCGCCTGGTATATTTTTGGTTCAGGTTTATGCATAAGTAATTAGTAATAAACAATAATAGCGAAATAAATTATTCATTCCCTTGTAAGGTGACTTACTGAAGGTATAAATACAAAAAATAAGAAATTTACCTCCAGGTGCTTTGTACGTTAAGTATCCTGCCAAGCTGCACCATCCAGACATATTAACTCTGAAAATACTGTATTATTAATTTATATATTTCTTAAAGAAAAAAACCTTATTTACGATAAATTTTCTACAAGTATACTCTAGCAGTCTGTATATTCAAGTGACAGCTTTTGCAGTCATCGACGTACTCAGCACACTGAGAGTAATATCCGCTCGAATATGGGAAGAAAGCTGAAAATATTCAACTATTGGGTCGGAGAATCAATCGTTCACGTAGAGAGCGGCGCCTGTATATGAAAATCGAAACTATATTGATTGTTATGAACTCATTATTCATTAGCATATTTACGTATTAGTTTGAATGTATAGTCTGTATAAAAAACATACTTCTGCCCAATACCTACTTGTTAAATCTCATGTACATAGACTATCAATGTCTTTATATAACTTCAAAGCCCCGGCTTAGTGACACTCTCATAAAACTGGGACTTGATTTTTACGCGGTAACAGTTGTTTTCGTATAAATCTTAATGTGACGCATTAATTTTTTTTTTAGAATATAAGCTAATAAATAAATAAACAATATATGGATGATAAATTTAATAAATGAATTTAATATATTTATGCGCATGGGCAGAGTGATTTCCGGTTAGAGTGTGAGATCACGAACGATAGCAGGTAATGCAAAAATGAGCAAATCGGCTATCCTATGCTATTAAAAGAAACCATGAGCAGATATAGTAAACAATACTGGCCTAAAAATCGGAGTGCTATTGATGAAGTAAAGGAAGTGGCTGCTAAAGTGAACGCAACATTGATTGCCAAAGGAAAACTAAAACCGTCTCAACTTTCATCCCCAACAACAGTTGTCCCTAAAAAACCAGTCATTCATCATGGTCTAGCTCAGCATTCTCGGGGTGGTGGACCAGTTCTAGCTGAAGTAGAAATAAATGACTGTCCCGTTTATTGTAGAAACACGCTAACAAGAGGAACGACCCAGGACGATGTGAGAAGTTTTGTCATATTGTCTATTTCAAAACTGACCGATCTAATCGAAACATATTGTTACAGATATCACGATTTAGTAATTCAGCTATATCAACAAAAGGTAGACATATGAGCAGTGAAGAACGGCTCAAGAATCCAGGGTATGAGTTTCAAATAAACAAAATACAACGTGTAACTATTTAATTACCAACAGCGAACGGCCTTTATATTTATGTATTCAAGGACCAACCGCCGACGCCGTTGATGGTAAATATTTACTTCTAAAGATTTTATTTTCCCTTTATCATCATCTTAATTGCTCATTATTTTCATATTTTCTCCTCAGCTGCAATTATGAAAATACAAGAAATAATCAAAATAGAATTGGAAAGTCATGGACTAAACAACGCAGATATAAGCAAATTTATATCACTTTCCTCTCCAAGAACTCAATCTGTGCAAACTGCTCCAATAGGATCAACAAATAGTCAACTTCAGCAAGTAGCCGTTAATTGCCCTTCCACTTCATCAGTGGCTCAAGTTTGTATTTTGCAATCTTCCAACGATTCTCAGAAATATTCATGCGAATTTGTACTATATAGCCAACCATAATGGTTCAAGATAAAGTAAACATAAACTTGGAGCATGCCCCTCCCTCCTTTGACGTTAAGAATAGAGTTTATGGACCATCGGTAAGGATTACTCAATCGATCATTTTCAAGTATTGTAAATTGTTATACACTTTAGGGTCAATATTTACAACATATTCAAAACGAATCTGGAGCAAGAGTTACTTTAAGAGGTAGAGGCTCAGGAGACTCTCTAATATTGGATTCGACAGAGCCAATGAATATACACCTTCAGTAAGTAGTAATATAGCTTAAAATAAGTCAATATTCCAATTATCTATAAAAGTATAAAATATTTAGGGAATATAAATGTTTTAAGAATTTGGTATTTCAACATAATGTTTTATGAAATAGGCATACAACACTGGCAGGACTTCAGCACGCCAAACAATTAGCAGATGATCTTGTTCAAACGGTACGTTGCTCTTAGGTTTTTCTCCTTATAAAAGATTTTTTTTAATTTTTTTTGTCTCTGTGTGCTTTAAGCAGTTAAGTTGCATTTAGAGTGAGATTTTTTTTATCTCAATTTCATTTTTCAGGGTATATTGATGAAAACAATGCCCCTAAATTATTTATTTAATACTATATATATATTTATATATGTATACAGTCTCCATTTATCAATATATAAAGGTATTTTAAAAGAGTTCTCTATCTAAAATTTGATTAATCGAAAGAAAAGAATTCTGTCTAAAAAAAGATGAAAATAAAAGTAGCTTTTTTAATTAACTATAAGTAAAGTTGAAACAGATTAAGTTTGGTGAGGTCGAAGGAAAATGATAATAAGTAGTGTTAGCATCGATAAAGAATCAAACACAGTTTCCATTATGAATAAATAATAAATGTATATTTTATTTTTGATTTACGTATTTTCTGCAAGTTAATTAAGGGGATTTAAAAACAACTAAATCTAAAAAGGAAGGATTTCACCGCAATATTTCGCTAGCTGGCAAAAAACAAAAAGGTTTTGTCCAATTACGTTGAATGTTTTTGTAATATATAACGCAAAAAAGGAACAGTCATTAATCGATTGGAGTTTCTTTTTTAGTTTATAGATGAAAGTCGTTCATTTTCTCTTTTTTTCATTATTTTTGTTCTCCATTTTCTATTCACATAGAAATAATTACTGATGACAAAAAAACCATATTGACTGTTACAAATAACCCGAAAGGTGAATTTCAATTATTTTACTCTTCTCCTTTATTACTGCTTAGAAAGTAGATAGAAAATGTATATTTAATAAGTTTTGGTATTCATTGAGAAAGATGGAATTTTTTTTTCTTTCATTATAATAGTAATTAAATTGGAAAAATTTTTCGTATGCTCAGTAATAATGAATAAACACATTTGTGATTTTCTAGTAAAAATAATGAATCAAATTTTATCTGATAGAGAAATTTTTTGTTTATTGTTTTTTTTTTCACCTTCAAAATATATTTTAATTATATTGTTAAGAGTAAAAGAAAAATGAAAATTTGACCATGAAAACTAATTAAAAAAAAAATAGAAAAAAAACTCACTTAGAAGCAATGGACTGCGTTCATCAAACATTGTTTGTCATAACTTATTATAGTATTTATATTTGAGAAAGTTTTTTATTAACGCAAACAATTTACAGGTACAACTGAAAGCGCTGAAGAGAATCATATATTTTTTGATGTTTATTTCAAAATAATTTTTCGATAACTATTTCATTTTTTTTTTTATAAATAACTTTTCAAAGACAGATTAAAATGCTTTAACCATAAAAAAAAAATCTCATTTACTAAAATGTTTCAAAGGAAATCAAGAGTAGAAAAATATGTTTGTATATGTAAAATTAATGTACCCAATGTAGAATAATAATTATATTATATATTTACATATACACATAAAAAGAAATTAGAAATTTTAAAATGTACTCCATGAGATTTTCTACTTCTAAAAGGACTTATTAGTGAAATGACAGAAATATATTTATTTGATAGGTACAGAAGGAATTTGCCGCTTTTCAGCAAGCTTTGGCCGCTCAGCCGCCGAATGCAAGCATTGCTCCCACTGCTCTTGTTCAGACAGTTGACTTCTACCAATCGCCTGTGCAGAGTAAGTGATTGGTCGTTCTCATCCTGCTTTTCAATTTTTCCAGACTGGTCGATTGAGAAGAAATATTCAGTTTTTTATATAATTTTTTAAAAATTTTTACACGGTGCTTTATATTTTCTAACGCATTTCGATATTTGAGGGCGTTAATTTAGGAAGACAAGATGGAGGATAGTTAATATATTTTTTTGTTTAATATCTTGTAGTTATTTTCAGCCGGAGGGTTTCGAAGGAGGAGAGTCTATAGATCAGCTTTCTTTCCGATACTGCCTTCCTAAAGAATGCGAGCGTAGAACAGCGTGTTTGAACCAAGACAGTCAAATGCTGTATTACATACGCTGACAATAATGGTTGCGCTTGACTTCGATTTAGTAGCTAAAAACTATTGAATCTTTGTTGCATTATTGAATAGAACAACCATGATATTTGAATAATAGCGCGATGTTTGGTGATAATTTAACAAAAAATATATATTTTGCTATATTGTATTTTCAGGTGTAGCCGTCCCCCCACCTCCAATGTCCTTGCCTAACACTGCCGTGCCTCCTCCAACCGTCTCTCAGTTTGTGCAACCAGTCCAGGAACTTATTCAGCCATCTGCTCATGCATCTTATCAAGCAGTTCCAATAGGCCAGCCTATTCAACAGCAGATATCGCATACTTTAAGTCAGGAATACTATGTCCAATATTCTCAGCCAATTCAAACGGATTTACATTATGCCACAAAGAGACATTACCCGTTTGAGGATCGAAAGGGAGAAGTGGAAATAGAACCAGTCCCACCACCAGTTTCTTCCACAATCACAGACTATTATGTCCAACGACCTTTGCAGGTAGTCGGAGATCAAATACAAAAGAACGAAGTAGACAAGCAGCTCATGCCACCACCGGCCAATCCGCCAGCGTTCAAATTGCCAAAAAGCAATAGGAATATGAGTCAAGCTACTATATATGTGACAGAAGGAGAAGAAAGTTTAGCAGATGTTGGGAACAAACAGACTATAGCTTACAATCAGTTTTCAAGTAAAACTCAAACATACGTTCCTCAAGTACCTCAGAATGCAGCCGCTCCGGTGGAATATACCGCTCAACCGATTTACGGTCAGCAAATCTCGTATACAAGTCTACCGGCTTCTCCAGTATATAACGTCCACACACAGCCATCCCTTGCTCAAACTTCTACGCAACAAGCCTATTATGGACAGAATTCCAATCAGACGCCGCAGGCCGTCACCAATCCCGGTGCTTATTGGGCTTGACTGCAAGACTAAAAAATTACTGTGATTGAATTTACTCTTTCTAAATGCGAGACTGTATTTGTTTTGCTTTTATAGAATTTTTTTTATATACACATAAAAAATTATAAGATACTGTAGGCGGAAGTATAGGCCTATTATATTTGATTCGATCTATGCCTTTAAAAATAATAATTTTAAGAGGATTTGTAAGAAAAGCCTGCCAATTTTTTGTATAATGACTTCATCGTAAAAGTTAATTCTCTACAAGGTGAAAAACTGCATGGATAACAACGTGTTGGACAAGATTTTTGCTCAGAGCAGGTGGCATATACACCTTATTTCGTATAGCTCTTTTTATTCGGGTTTCATTTTAAATTAAAGGGCGGCAACTGACGACGAAATAGAACTATTATCCAACAATCTGTCCCAGCAAATTGATGACAAACCGCTGAAAGACTGTCTGTCAAGTTTACGTCAATTATATCTAGTTTTCTGTTCTTCGGAGAGAAAGTAGGCGCATGTACCTTTATTAAAGTAATTATTATAAGAGATCGATACAGTTTGCCAAGACAATTAGGGGAGACTGCTTGGAAAGTAATTTGTAAACGAGATCCTAGAGAAGCACCTAATAAAGAGAGGCTGGCGGCGAGAAATGCGCTTGTGCTACTCCTCAAGCTCTTCTCTCCAGGCCTTGACGGCATTGCATTTTCTGACGAGATTAACTCCTCTAAATCTGCTTACATTTTACCCATTTTAATTTCTCAGAGTTTTGTTAGTCATTCAGATCAAATTCTTAGATTCCTGTCAACAAAGGGTTACGATTTTAAGACAAGAAGTACCAGTCTTATTTCACTAACCTACTGGCAGAGGGATACAAATTACCTTAGCCCAGAACAAAGTAGCCTTTTAGCTGAACAGCTTGTCTCCATTATATCAAATTGTCTGGCGACTTCCAAAGATTCTGTAAGAGAGATAGACGGGGAAATCTCTGTCGAGGAATTTACACCACTATGTTATGGTTGTAAAAATTTCAAAGGATGCTTTTTTCTGTTGATTGAAATTTCATATTTTCAGCTTCAACACTTGATGATGACTGTTTATTGCAAGTTTACGGTTTTTCCTCTCTTCGATATTGTATCAGGCAATTCGATTACACTAGAATGGATGGAATGGAGGAAAGTGGTAAAATAATACGCTACTCGTTTAGAATGTTGGAACAATGCCGTAGAAGTATGTCCCTCAAGTTTTACTCTTAGATGCATTTGTTTATATTCTATGGGCATAAATAGTATCTTTTTCTCTCTACTGAAATTACGAAACTACTGATCATTTTTCCTTCAAACATTATATTTATAATATTTTGTAACTTTCCCTTTTTATTCTCTGGGCTATTAAGGATTGTTTTACTCATTGGGTGCATGGAATCCTTTATTTTAATAGCATCTAATCCAGCTAATTTTCTTTGTATGGCATATATTAACTCCTGAATAGTTTGTTATTGCTTGTCATTTTCAAAAACAGCTCTTATCAGCATCCTCCAACATTTTCAATAATAATATAGTCAGGGGTTCTGGTCTATCATTTTATCTCTTTTTATGCTTTACTTCTTTACAAAGTTACAGGTCAATAAAGCTTGATGGCATAGAGTATTATCTTGTATTCAACACATAGAGACTGAGAGGCTGAAATCAGTGTCTCCTCTAGAACTTCTATTTTGGCCTTCAGTCATCATTCTAGGTTTAACGAGAAGTAAATTTTGTTGAGAAACTCCTCACACCATTACACTACTTGTCTCTTATATGTCTCTTTGAAAAAATTCTCTTTTCTTGGATCATGTGAGTAATAGGCTCAACCGTCAGGTCCATCTAAATTAAATTTCTTCTCATCAGTGAACATAGCTATGTGCCAAAAATTGAAATTGTAATAATTGTGACAGAAATTCAATCTCTGATCAATAGTTGTTGGAGTTGAGTTTGCCTTTTTCAATATTTTTATGTTCTCGAGCGCTCCTCCCTTTAGCGCAGTTTAGACAGCGCATAAACAGCCAGGAAGCAACAGATCATTTTTGATTTTTTTTCTGGATATTAACCCATTTCTGGCAAAATGAGTAATTTGTTTTTCAAGTTCTTAGTGTGAATTTTCTTTTCCACTATAACATTCTCAAATCATGGTTTTCTGGATCTTTTAAGAACCTGCTAATAGTAGCACGACTCCTTTTTCATTTCTTGCCAATGTTTTCAAAAGAAGAAGCCCTTATCCCCTTAAAACTTTGGCTTCATTTGCTCCTCTTTCAACAGTTTTGTTCCACCTACCATTATGACAATGTTGTTGTCTTCAAGCCTGAATATCTTATACTTATATTAGAAATGTTCACAATTTTCGACTGGTTACACAATATTTGTGCCCACTGAATGTGTTTAATATATAGAGTATATATGTATATCTATATATATTGTCTATTGCAGATTGTAAACATCCATCGGACGTCACTTTACAATTGGCTGTATATTTTAAGACGACAGAGTAAAGAGAAGCGCTTAGACATTTTACAATTTTTTTTTTGCAGTGTTTACAAGAACTTCTCGTAATCTTAGACGCAAATTGGTCTTCACATTTTTCTAGTGAGATTATTGACTGTATTAGAAAATGGCAAGATACACTATGTTCCGGAAAAGCGAATGTTTTCAAGGCCAGAATATTGTTAAGCCTACTGCAATTTTACCTAAATCATGGTTTGCTGCATAAAACCTGCAAAGGTTTATACTTTATTCCAATTACTTATGCAGGTGATAAAAGATTACAAGATATATCTACACCAATGGAATATTTTTGTACCAAGTTACTACCACTGTACGTTAGTAACATATCTTTGGCATTTGAAACGGTTTTATTCCTGGATAAAAATTTGGAGCAACTATGCTATGAAACACCTTTCCTATCCAAATATTTCCCTTCCTTTATGAAAGTACGTCTTTTCTATATAACTTCAGTAAATATAACTGCATTTCTCATCATAAAAAAAATGGATATATTGTCTAGATTATACAATAGATGTCATATACGCTGAATATACTAGATATTCATTATTTTTACTCTATACAGTGCATGTTGCTTTTTTTAAAAAAAAAGCATCAAATCTATACATATATTGAAATATAACATAATAATCCATGCTTTAGATATTTGCGATGAAATCGGATACATTTCGCGAAGATTTCCAGGAACTTTTACCTGCGTTCCTGTCTTCCGATACTTGCTTGGAGGTATTAATATTTTATAGATTAGTTTAACTTTCTTTGAAAGCATACTTAGACATCACTAAAAATAATAACAGATGTTTCACTACTTGCTCGACTTGCCTTGTGTCGCTGCAGCTGTGGAAACGAGAGAAAAATTACAAGCGAATAACGATTCTGTTCTGGAAACTCTAGTCGACTTTATAACACGAAACGAATCTGGTTCAACGGATACCGTTGATAAATTGAAGCAACTGCATGGAGCTTTAAAACTCTCTAATACGTCATATTCAGTTGTTTCTTGTTCTAAGAACGTGGCTCCTTTATTAGAGTATATATCTTTCTATCAATATTGTTTAGTATATATATGGAATTTTCATAACTTTTTTACTTATATGCTTTATCATGTATTTCATCGAATTCTTTAATTTCTCTCGTAGACGCTTCTTCTCGCAAGTATATGAAGAAGACGACATTGATATTCTTAAGAAGCTTTGCCCATCTATTATAGAGAGATCATTGTCCTTGTATGATGTTGAAGGTTATAGAGAAGAAATCGAAATGTATTCGTTAAGATTGATTTACAATTTTTTTTATTAGAAAAAAAGAATTTCTTAACTTTGATCTTTTTCTGTTTTACTTAGAGTCTTGGGAAAGTACTTCTTGAAGTTCTTACAACTTCATCCAGATATCATAGGTGAAATGCAGTACGAAATGTCCATCTTCTTGTCTTGTCTGCCAGGCATTATGTCTGCTCCTACACTAGCTTCAAACTTAGTATGGTGCGTGGGTGAATTCCTTTCATCAGAGATAAGTACAAAGTGTACAATTGAGACTACAACGTCTATGTATGAAAGTTTCGAAGCTCTGGCTTACGAAGTTTCGAAGAATTTAGCTGACAATGATGAATCTTATTCTAAATTTTTATCATGTTTAATGTCAGCCCTTTGTAAGGTATTAAAAGATATACTATTAAGAGAGAGAAATATCACCTCTTTTTGTTAATTATACAGCCCCAGTATAACATTTCTAATTCTCTTTTTACTTTTTTATTGCAGTTGTCGTCTCGTAATCAACAACTGACTGCCCGTGTTCTAATATGCCTTTCTAAGCTGGCCAATCAGCAAACAACAAACGACAAAATGAAAGGGAATATTAAGAAAATAATAGTGGATCGAGCAAACGAATTATCAGCTATTTTAAAAATTCCAAAGTAGGAATATTTATAATAAATGTATATTGAATAATTAAAATACAGTAATTTTATCAATTTTCCAGTTTTGCATCTGTACTCTTCAATAGGAGGTTAAGTGAAAAGGGGTTCGTATATTTTTTTGTAACAGTGGCAAACAATAAACATCTATAAACTGCAAAAGAAAAAAAAACTAAAACCAGTTTTATTTGCAGAAAACGCAATATTACAGTTGTTGAAACAACGGCTCGTTTTCTCAGACAAGAGTATTGAGCTGGAAAACTTTTCCTTTTCTGTGTCTATTCAGCTTTTCAAGTATTCTTTCTTTTAAGGTTCGACGTCTTTGCGTCTCTGCAGTATTGTATAGCACTCGTTGTGACCTTTTCAGAGATATATTGCAATAAATTTGTTAGAAAATGTATAAAAAAGAGAATAGAAGTTGTACTATACTATACATACATAAATGTATATATATTTATATATATATATATATATCTATACTAATATACAGTATATATATATATATAAAGTATATATATACTGTATATAAATGCTGTTCTAATATATTAGATTTATATAAGCATGTATAAATATAACTGTATATGTATGTCAGAAACCTCTTAGCTCCGCTAGCTCAATAGGCCTAATAGCCTCAGTTGTAGAGCCACTGCGAAAGGCGGCCGTTTCGATTTCTCTTGACCCGAGCAAATCAAGTAAAACCAGTAGACATTCGCTCTGATTGTATTCAATGGCTGTATATAATGCAGCTAACCATCGATTAGCCTCGGCTAAGCCACCTCTATCGAAGAAGACGTCTTTGTTACGCGATAATAGCTGAGACCTCTGGACAATGTCATTCGATCGAAAATAGGTCTCTAGAATTTTTCCATTGATAGAAAGTTCAAAAAGTTGTTGAAGAACTTTATGATATCCCATCATTGCCGCATATTCTATACATGACATTCTGCCAATCTTTAATTGAGCATCGACCATTCGGCCATTCTAAATTTCAAAAATAGAGTAAAGGATAGCTATTGATCAATCTATAACTTATACAAGAGATATACGTTAATGTATTTGTACAAAAAACTAACCATAACTAATTTCTTTATTGTTTCTGGATCATTGTCATAGACCGCTTTCTCTAGCAACGTCAATTTCTCGTTTGTATTATAGACGTTCTCTGGTATCTTTCCATAATATTCGAAAATACAACCGACCGCAACCGTAGTTTTATTCGTTCCCATTTTTCGTTTGCTATTGATATACAGCTGCACTGCGTATGTTTATGCCTTTGGTTAATGACCTAGAATAATGCAGTTGGTCATGAAAAATTTTATTCAATAAGCCTATATTTTATATTGTGGATCAAGTATCAAAAATCTTATAAAGTAATTAATATAGAAAATAAGCCAAATATTAATTTTTAGATCCATTTTTGAATAATTTTTTTAAATGTCACTTTAAGCCGATAGTCGCGCCAATTGCATCTCGCGAGAAGTAGCGAGAGCGATGCGTCAATCATTTTCTCATTCAAGATGGCGGCATCAACAACTCATACGCAAGCTAAATTTGACGAACTTTACGATTTAAAGGAAGAATTAGGAAAGTAAGAAATTGATTCTTTTATATGTTATTCTTTATAAGCTAGTCTATCTAATGGTGAGATTTCGGCGAATTGTCCGCTTATAGTTTACTAATAAACGGCATTCCCGGCTCATAAATTATGTTGGTCTAAAACTGATGTGAAACCATCTCTTCAATAGGGGAGCATTTTCGATCGTACGGCGCTGTGTGCAAAAGACAGCATTACTAGAATTTGCCGCCAAAATAATTAATACCAAGAGGCTATCCGCCCGAGGTCAGTATTCTTAATCGTTTTTTCGCGAGACTAGTCACTCTTAATTGTCACGAAGCAAGTGTATAGAAAATATATAAAAATCTTTAGACGGCATCTGCTACGTTTTCAATATACCTAAGTCAGCTTGAATATTCGCGGAAGCAGGTTGCGCTACGTAATTTATTAATTGACGCATCTATATTGCAGATCACCAGAAGTTAGAACGGGAGGCCAGAATATGTCGTTTGTTAAAGCATCCGAATATAGGTAATTACCAGAATAGTTTAGAAACTGTTATGAAAAAAGTATATTTTACTATATACTTTTTTCTTTTATGTTTTTGAATAATCATGACACGGGCGTGTGCGCGATGATTTGTAGATTGTCGTTAGTAATTAAACAGTACAGCAACGTTACTAATCGTGCGGAATAAAATTGCATTCGTGTTGTTTCATCAAACATATAACTATACGGCTACAATAATACTGAAAAAATCCTACTTAGGGAATATTATTTGATACATGGATAAATGGACAATGTATAGATTATTTTTAAAATACGAACCAGGTGTCTATGAATATACATAACATATTTACCCACAATTTCTCTATCTATGGGCTGTTGTTAAATAAAAGTTTACTTATATACACTCTGTATGCATTTATCTATAAATGTATCTGTATGTTTTTATCGGACTATAGAAATATTTTACATTGTACGTGTACACTCGTATATATTTATATATTTTCACCATACATGCAATATTTAAATGCGGAATATGCAATATATCTATGTATGCGGATAAAATAACCTTTTTACTGTAGTGCAATATGCTTGTGTGTTTTATTCATAATTAATTACATCGTGTGTATAATTCTGTCTTATATTCCCTTCAACAGTCAGACTGCATGATAGTATACAGGACGAAGGTTTTCACTATCTAGTTTTCGATTTAGTAACTGGAGGTGAATTGTTTGAAGATATTGTTGCTAGAGAATTCTACAGCGAAGCTGATGCCAGGTCAGTAAAAAAATATAAATATACTGTATATAAGTATTATATATAAATAAAAGACAGGCATAGTCATTAAGCAACTGACTATGAGTAGGCCAATATTTATGGGTTTTTACTCTTCCTGTTTAACCATTCAATCCTTTTCCGTTCCCTTCCCTTTTCTTCGTGCACGTCATTGCCCACTTACTTATTGAAAGAAATTCTAAACTCTAGCTCTTAGATATATATATATATATATGTATATATATAGATGTGCATATATATATATAAATACATTATTTTATTTGTATATATATATATATGCAAATTCATATATATATATACAGTATATGCATATATATAGATATATATATATATGAATACTTTTCTCTTACCTTTCTCTCCCTCGCATGTTCTCCCACCTTTATAGAAGTCTTGCGTCCAATCAGCCGATTGATTGCACGCAAGCCGATTAGGTCGTAGATCGTGCGGTATCTGACAGACTGTCGGCAATCTCCACAGCCGCTGTATCCAGCAAATACTCGAGGGTGTGCACACGTGCCATTCCAATTCGATCGTGCACAGAGACTTGAAGGTACCCGAACATAAACAAAATCTATCGCGAAGGCGTTTTCAAAAATGGATTGGCGAAATGGCTCTATCCCTATATATACAGTATATTATTTTATGTATATATATATAAACGAATATTAAATAACTATCCATGCGAAAAGCACTTGAAATAATCTCTTTAAATTTATTTTTATAAAAGATAGAGATAGCTAGTGAGAGAGAGATAGAGATAGAGAGAGAGAGACACACAGACAGACAGGCCGACAGACAGAGAAACATGAAATATTTAGATTTGTGAAAATAGCAATATTTGCTTGGGCAAGTATAATACATAATTGTATATATACTGTCGTATATTAAAAAAGATGGAAGAGAATATACAGCATTTATACGCATATATGTATATATATGTATTAATGTATTAGTGTATGCGTATATATGCCTTTGAATGTATGCCTGCAGTTTAATAGATATTTCCAAAAAAGAAAAAAAAAACGATTTTACCCAAGAAATGAAGAGAATTGAGATTGTTTTATTAAGAGATCTTTCTATCAATTACAATATGTAAAATATTGACCAAAACGATAAAAAAATACCGCGCTAATCTCTTTTTGTTTCACTGAAGCGATCTTTACCTCCGCCCGCATCTTTTCACATTTATTTTTTTCGGCACGTCACTGTCTCCGTTTTCATTTGACATTTTTTCATTTTTACTTTCTTTTTCTGACAAACAATTATTTATTTATATTTTGTTGCTAGACTTGACTCGGTGTTCTGTTGTGTTCTGAGCGTGTGGCTATTTATTTTCAGTCACTGCATGCAGCAAATTTTAGAGAGCGTCAGCTACTGTCATCAACATGGAATAGTTCATAGAGATCTTAAGGTAAGTCAATGTGAAAAATCTTTCTCTTATCCGCACCATCGTATATTCTCCCGTCTACATCTCAGTTTCTCGCATTTTTTCCATCGAAAAGACGGACGATGCAGATGATTATTTTCTTGCTGCACATTTAGCTATTCGTTATAGAAGCATTTTTTGTATTTTCACTATAGCATATAAATATTAAAGTATACATACAACATATAATTATATATGTATTTTGTATATTTACATATATAAGTGTATGTGAAAATTGTTTATATATACATATATGTATATACCATAAATGAATTCAACTTCCTACCGTAAATAATATAAAACCATTAATTTACTGTGATATTTCTCTATTCAACGGTATATACTATATTTATACAGCACTTTTCGTAGATTATAAACGTGTGGTGTCAAATAGTTTGTTTAGTTCATATACATATACAGTACACAAATTTTTGAATATTACTGAAAATCGGTGTAACACCGAGTATCTTAAATATCTTAGACAAGATAATATTTAAGAATAAAAGAGAGAGAGAGAGAGAAAAAAAAAAGTGATCTATTTTATCGTATGTGTGTGCTTTTTTATTCTTTATAGTTAAATCATTATCGTAACTCTTTCTTACTTTTATAGTCAATCACCAACTGGGTGTGTGTGTGTGTGTGTGTTTGTATGTTTATATATATGTATATATATATTAGTTCATGTTGTTCGTTTGAGCTTCATTTTTTGTTTTTACCCAAAAAAGAGTTATATTGGCTTTGTGTTATGTTTTTTTTTTCTTCTTTTTTTGCTTGCAAGGAGAACGTATTCAGTTTATTTTTTCATTCTATTTTTTCGTTCCTTTTTCTAAACACTTGAGAAAAAGATGTCTAACTGTATACATCTACTATTGTACACAGCCGGAAAATCTGCTGCTAGCTAGCAAAGCCAAAGGAGCTGCGGTGAAATTGGCCGATTTTGGCCTCGCAATTGAAGTGCAGGGCGATCAACAAGCATGGTTTGGTAAGTTAGACATAATAATAAAATTAATAATTAATTATTTAATTATTTAAGTTTGTTTTTTAAATTAGAACATTTTGTTTTAATTTACTTTAGCTTTATTGACTATTTTCATTGTCTTAAAGGGTTTGCTGGCACGCCTGGTTACTTATCTCCCGAGGTGCTCAGAAAAGATCAGTATGGTAAACCAGTTGATATTTGGGCTTGCGGTAAGTTTACGAATTGATTTATGACCTGGTAGCTTCTTATGAGAGTATTTTCCTTTTCTAGGTGTCATACTTTATATATTACTAGTCGGTTATCCACCGTTTTGGGACGAGGACCAACATCGATTATATGCTCAGATAAAAGCTGGTGCCTATGACGTAAGTCGATACTATGATATCTTTTTGTTTGTCGTCTCTTTGACAAGTATAGTTTTATTTAATATTCATGCGTCTCTACAAATAGTATCCGTCTCCGGAATGGGACACTGTCACTCCAGAAGCAAAAAACCTCATAAATAGTATGTTGACTGTTAATCCATCAAAGAGAATAACAGCCGCAGACGCTCTCAAGCACCCATGGATTTGCGTACGTCTTTTAAGATTTCATCTTTTTTTATTGAATAAATCCGATAAAAATATTATCGCGATATGATAGCGTCTTAACTTATCCCCACACAGAACCGAGAGAGAGTTGCTTCCGTTGTACATAGGCAAGAGACGGTCGAATGCCTGAAAAAGTTCAATGCACGCAGAAAGTTAAAGGTTAGTTTCATTTCTGTCTTTTTAACTAATTTCTATTTTGTAGATAAACAATTCTATCGTATTTTGTTCTGTTATTTTTTACTAGGGCGCTATTTTAACTACAATGTTGGCTACAAGAAATTTCTCAAGTAAGTAGATTAATTATTTAATACTAGGTCTGTTAGATTAAGAAATTAATTAAATTACTTCTTGATTAAAGATAAATTACAAGGATTGCGTATTTATTCATACATATATATACATATAAATATGTATAATATATCATACATTATTAAATAAATGTAGAGTGTATGTACATTAAAAAAAATATAATATTTTATAGGTTATAAATACTGTATTTATTATTAATTTTAATTAGTAAATAAGATACTTAGTTAAAGGTTTTTTTAATAGAAAGTTAATAAGGGTTTTTTTTTAAATTAGGCTTATTACATTAATTTCTTTACTAAGAGTTTTTAATATTTTGTTATCATAACATTTAAAATCAGAAATACACTCTTCTCTTAAAATAGATGAGCTGTAATACTTTCTATTATTTATTATTATTTTTTTGTTATTTATATAATTTTAAACATTGTTAGTAATGTTCGTGTTGTTTTGTTGATTAATTTCATTCTGATTACTACAAAATTATTAGCCAATTAGAATGGAATTAAGGAGCAATAAAAAAAAAAAAAAAAAAAAATTTTTTTCTTGAATGCATGTGTAAAAAAGCGTTAAGCGTACAAATTATTACTCAAAACTGACAGTAACTAAGTCTGACAAGTCTGGAGACAAAAGTGAGTTAGCTTTTCGTCTGAAGCATTATGGAATTTCCCAGCAAAATATTTTTCCTCCATTTGCTTTAAAATGTTGTTCTTTTTGTTTTTTTTTCCCAATTCTTTCATTCTATATTTTCTCTCTGTCCCTTTTTCTATTAATAAAAGACTAATTTATAAATAAAATAAAAGAAAAAGATTTATAAAAGAAGGAGAAAAGAAAAAAAAACAACCAGCAACATTTTAGCAAAATAAATAGAAATTCTTTTCATGTGCTTTATTATTTATCAATCTTTTTAAAAATTAAGTATTTCGTTATTATTCCATAATTTATTCATAATTTAAGGTAAAATATCATCTTTTATATATATATATATGTGTGTGTGTATGTATATATGTATAAAAGAAATTAATAAATGATAATTTTTTAAGCTATAAGGATCAAAATTAAAAGGAAAAGAATAATTTTTATGCTTAGTTAACTTACTGTATATATATATATATATATATATATATATATACAGTAATATATCATTACTTTTACATTACTTTTATAATAGTAAACTTATGGATGCAGTATATTACTAATTTTTAAGGAGATATATATATAAATATGTATATACTGTATATATATCTGTTTATTCTATATATATATATTTATATATATTTATATTTAAAGTCGAAATAGTTAATAAGCGTAATTAGTTAATTTAAAAGGAAATTAATAAAATAATATTAATAAAGTATATATTTAGAAATTTTTTTTCTCTTTTTTTTTCCTTTAATAAGTAAATAAATAAATAAGTAAAACAAGAAAAAAAGTAAATAAATTTAAACTTTAACATAATTAAAAAGAAAGAAAAATTAATTAATTTATTTGATGTTGTATGATATTTTTATTTTATTTTATTTCGCGTTTTATAATTCTTTACACTGTCGCTAAGTGTACTTTTTTTGCAGTGGGTGTAAAAGACAAATCAGGTAGAAAATGAACATAGTTTGCTTACTTTCTTTATTTTATACAAAAAGTAATTAGTGCATTTTGAAATTAAAAAAAAACCGATATATTTTATATATATATATATATATATAAATATATATATATAAACATATATATATATATATATATATACTGTATATATATATATTAATCTTTAGAAAATATTCTATATTACTCTTTATCTCTCTCTTTCTCTGTTTATAGACTATTTATCTTATACTCTTTCGCTCTCTTTCTCTTTATCTTTCTCTCCCCTTTATTTAATCTTTAACATAATCAATAAGTCATAATCCGGAATGTTAATTTTTTTCAATAGGTTGAAATTCTTTTCCATTGTCAGTGCTTTTTTTTCTTTTTTTGCACTTTTGTATTAAAATTAAAAAGAAAAAACAAAAGAAAGAAAAGGAAAAGATTATTTCATTTAGATTCTAATTATTCGTACCAGGCTCATCTCCGAGTTCAAAAAAACAATTTGATTTACCCACTGATAAGGGAAAACGAAGCGACGAAAAAGGTTTTCTTTCTTTCACGAGTTCTTTTTTTTTGTTTGTTTTGATTGAGGATTTTCCCACACCTTCGACTTTTTCTCTAATTAAAAAACAGACGAGAAAAATTAAAAAAACAACAAAAAAGTTTATTGTTTTTGTTTATAATTTTTCATTCTGTTTTTCATTTTATTCAATTTTAAAAACGTTTTTGAGTTGCTTCAATTTTCCTTTAACCTCATTATTAATATTTATTCTATTATATTATTTCCCATCCCTTCCCTATTGGGATTAGTTGAAGAAGAATAGAAAATAAATAGGAATGTATTCTTTAAAGAGAAAAAAAAAAGAAATTTTGTTAAAATTCAGTCTTTTTATTAAAAGATAAATATTGGAAAAAGACTTAGGAGATAGGGAAAAAGAGCAATCTCTGTTCAAAATAAAAAAGAAATTAATTAACACCATTAATACTTAAATATTCAATATTTTCTTCTAATATATATATATATATACTGTATGTATTTCTATGTAAATAATTATAAATGCAAATTGAAATATACTTTGTCTATTTATTTTTTAGATTAGATATTTCTTTACAGACACTTTTTTTTGTTGGTAAAGTGAATCCGAATGCTTTACTTGTAGAATATATACCTTTCCTTTATCTCTTTATTCGCTTGATTTCGGATTAGCTTTACTCAGTTTGTTGTTATTTAATTCGAATGCGGTGTAAAATTCGACAAGCCTTTGATCTATTTTAAAAAAAAAATATATATATATATTTCTTCTTTTTTATTGCTTTCACTTTTTTATTTAACCAAAAAAAAAACAAAAAAGAAAAATTTTTATTTCTTTTTCTTTTCTTCAAATCTTTTTTTTTTGTATTAAAATAGAAAAAAGAAAAATGAATAGCAACTCATTTTTTATTTGAATCCTTTTATTTTCTTTATTTATTTTTTTTTAAAAAAACAAACATTTCTTTCTTATTCTTTTTAATAACTGAGTTCTTTCTATTATTTAAATTTAGGTCGGAGTTTGGTTGTTAAGAAGAACGAAACTGGTGTAAAAGAATCGACTGATAGTAGTAATACAACAATCGAAGATGAAGATACAAGAGGTGAGTTGTTTTTTTTATACCCGTTTATACTCTTTTCCTTTTTTACTTGTTGTATAAATAGCTTTATTGGATCGTATGTCGATCGAAGATAGTGAAGGGAAGGAAACTCCTTCTTCAACCCTTTCGCAGTAGATTTTGCGGACATCTAAAACTTGCGCTTAGCATATTTTTTTTCATGTTTTTAACAATTTTTTTTCTTTCTCATTTTCTACTTCTTTCGTTTCTTATCTTCTCTTTCCTATTTATTATAAACATATATATATATATATATATATGTTAAGATTTGTACTTTGTACATTTATTGAATGATGTATATTTCTTTTTATTGCCTTTACTTTTTCCATTTAAAAAAAGACTATTTTTGGTTTTTTTTTTTGCTTTATCATGACAATAAGCAAAAACAAAATGAAAGCAAATGTTATATAAGGAATGTTATATGAAAATAAAAAAAAAACCAAAATTTATACGAAACATGTATGTAAATTTGTTATGTGAATGGGGCAGGATTCTGCAGGACCGTTCCTAGTATGTTGACCGTACAACGAAATCCGACTGTTCAAGAAGTGCCAAGTAGGTTTATATTGATTGTAGAAAAGTCCATCACAAGGCTACAAGTCCTCATTTCACTCATTGTTTGTTCCCAATTGTTGTTTGGATTTTTTTTTAATGATTTAAAAAAAATAAAGACCGAGAATCTGTGCATGTTTGACGGTTTCCTTCCCTTCCCCATTTTAAACAAAAAAAGCCTCAATCTTGTGATTAATTGATTGATTTTGTTTGGTTATTGCATAAGTAACGATTACTTTTTGATTTTTTGAAAATATAAGATTTTATTGTTTTCTTTTTCCGTTTTAACTCTACTATTTTCTACTGATTTTTTAGATTCAATATATACACAATATATACTGTATATGCATACATATTAATGGATAAGATTATATATATATATATATACATATATATACATATATATTATAATCCATATAAAAACAAATTTAAAAATATATATTTGGTAAAAGAAATCTTCTTTTAACTTTTATGCAGCTCGTAAGGGTGAGATAATCAAGATTACAGAAATGCTTTTGTCCGCCATTAACAATGCCGATTACAGCGAGTATGCGTAAGTGTATAAACTTTTAATTAAAATATATCAATTTTGTCACTATAATATTGACTCATTCATTAATTATTTATAATATATTGTAAAAGGTTAAAGTTTTTGTCTTCTTTTTAATACTTATAGAAAATATGTTGATCCTCAATTGACTTGTTTTGAACCGGAAGCTTGTGGTAACTTGATTGAAGGCATGGAATTTCACAAATTCTATTTCGATAATAGTAAGTAGTATAAGTAGTATTGATTGATTAAAGACGGATCAATAGTAAGAGATTTTTTTTGTCTATTTTATTAGAAGTTTTAAATCATAAATCGTCTAATACGACGGTACTTCATCCACATGTTCACATGCTCGGAGAGGATGCGGCATACATAGCTTATGTTAGACTTACTCAATTTGTTGATAAGTATGTACAATTATTAGCGTTTTATCTACATTTTTTCAATAGTATATCTTTGTTATTATTAAAATATTTCTAATTTTATCCAAGGTCCGGAACTCCAAATACAATTCACTCGGAAGAGACTCGAATCTGGCAGAGGAAAGATGGACGATGGCTTTGTGTTCACTTTCACCGATCCTCCAATTCGACTTTAGGTAGACCGAAATGAAGAAAACTAGTTGACTAGAAAAAAATATAATTTCCTTCATTTTTTTTTTCGTTTGTTTTTTTTTTTTGGCGCGTTTTTTTTCTCTCTTTTTACAAAATTTCGTAAGAAAAGAAAAAAAAACAACAACAAAATTAGAAACTTTTACTGATTGATTGATTGATTGATTGATTTATTCATTCATTCATTCATTTATTGATTTATCTTAACATTTTTTGAGAGACGAGAAAGATACAAAAACTATGATAATAGATATCTTTAATATATCCCCCTTTTCTTTCTCTCTCTCTCTCTCTATCCATATGAAAACAAAAAACACCAAAAAAATGAATATTTGAGCAACTATTTTATCATATTTTTATTTTTTGCGCCAGTAAAAAAAAAACAAAACTTTCTTCTCTTAATACTTTAAATGAAAGAAAAAAGATGATGTATTGTATGTAAAAAGAAAAATACTTTAAGAGTATATATATTAAAGACGCAGACATAATAACTCTAGTCAAAATTTGCATATTTGAGCCTTTTTTTTTAAAAAAAAAAAAGAGAATGATAACCCTGAAACAGTTTAATAAAAACTGGCTAGACAAAATTAAAAGTAAGATTATTTCATTCTAAACAAATCTCCTCATCTTTATTCTCTAAGTATAAACAATTTTTTTTCTTCTTTTCTTTTTTTTTTTATTCGTAATTGAAAAAAAAAAACAAAAAATAAAAAAAGAAAAAGAAAGAAGTAATTTTTTTTTTTCTAAACAAAAAAAAAACTAAAAATTAACAAAAAAACAACAAAATGATGATGACGACGACGATGATGATGATGATACAATTTTAAAGAAAATCTTTTAATCCTTTATTTTCTTTTTTGGTATACAACCTTTTTATTATTGTAATATCTTAACAAAAAAAAAAAGAAAGAAAAGAAAAAAGAAAATTTCACGAGTTGGTCAAGTTTCCAATGTTTGACTGTGCTGATCTTTCTCCTTTTTTCTTCTCTTGTTATATACATTTTTATATGTATATTAACAATTTTTTTTGTTTGTTTTTGCCAACCTCCGATTAAAATGGCGGTTATCTCTTTTCTTTTTTTTTTTTACATATAGGTTTTTTCTTCACTATTTAACATACAAAAAAAAAACAAATAATCTGTGTTATATTCGTTATATTCGTATTTTAAGCAAACAAACAGAGAAAAAAAAGTCTATTATGTATTTTTTTTGGATTTTACATTCATGTTAGCAAAAATTTCCTTCATTTTTTTATTTAAATATTTAATTACTATTCGTCTAATTGATAAAAAACATAATAATAATGTGAAATTACTATCAAAAAAAGCAAAAATTGTTGTAAATAGAATGTTACTCTAAAGAGGAATTTAAGTGTAAATATTACTTTTAAACGTGAATTGATATACATATATAACTGTTTATATATAAATATATAAATATATATACTAATATATATATATATATATATATATTTATATACATGCTTTAATCATGATCTGACAATATTGATAATAGAAAATTGTTCAAATTTCATTCACCTCTTATTCGTGTTTACTCCTTTTTTTAATTTTTAACAAGAATATATATATATATATATATAAAACTATGAAAATAACATCAAAGTGACTTAATCCTCTTTGATAAGAAAGTTTTATTGGAAATGAATAATAAAAGAGAATATTTTTAATTTCAACAATAAACTGCCTCTATAAAATGCTGTTGGTAGGAAACTAATAGATATACATTGTATATATACATACATAAAAGTTAACTAATATCATATAGCAATCATTTTATTAGATGAAAACGTTTTAGTGTTTGTCACACAACTCGAGAATATATTACGTCTTTCTCTTTTGAATGAACATGAAAAATCGTTGCTGTCTTATAGTAACATTTATCAATTTGTCCATCCATCCAGCCATACTCTTTTCTCTCCTCTTGTCAAATTGAAAATTTTTTGAAAAGAGTACTTTGTTAACGGACAATTTATAATTTAGCCCTACAATTATAACCTGTGGCAATTTATTTAAAATACGAAGCTAAGAAAATTTTACACATCTTGGCTATAGAGATTGAAGATGCCATTTTTAGTAAGTTTCTTGCCAGTAGGAACACTGATTAAAGTTCAAGTTTACTTGTATAAAAGTAGAATAAAACAGGAAAGAGCGGAAGGAAGAGGAAAGAGTAAAAAAAATAACTATATAAATACTTAATTGTGTGGAAAAGGGACAAGAGAAGAATCTTTAATAGACAAGAATTTTTTTTGTATAGAATGTAAAGCAATTGTATTAACATTAGAATAAAAAACTTTACCCTGTTGTCAAAATCGAATCCATTGACCTAAATTAGAACAAATAGAAAACACAACAAAAAAGGCTCTCCAAAGTTCATGGAGAAAGAGACAGTGAGATAGACTAACTGACTGGCTGACTGACATTAAGAGAGAGAGAGAGAGAGAGAGAGAGGAGAAAGATTATTGATTCCCACGCAGTTTCTTTTACCTCATACACTTTCAGCTAGCAAAAAAAATTACTAATCTTTTGTATTAATTAATTAAAATAATTTCTGCTGTATTTTTTTAATAACTTCTTTTGAAATTAGAATAAATAGCACAATAGCACATTTTCCGCAATAAATGATATATTTATCAATCTATTCTAATGAGCTTTTAAAGACTCATCGGCTTCTATCCATAAAAGAGAAAGGACGATACTTTATGTATATATGTGGACAATTAATTAAATTATTAATTATTAATTTACAATATGAATATAAATACTATTACTTTTATTATCATTATCATTATTATTCCTATTTAGCTGTATATTTTCATTTAGGTCTTTCTTGCTGTAATATTGCTATTAATAATATATTGGTATATATGTCCTAGTTACAGCTGACAATGTTGCAAAGGTAATTTTCATTAATTTCAATTTTCCACCAGGAACATTTACAAATGCAGTCTAAAAATTATCTTTTAACTGCAAAGGGAAGCGATAGAAAGAGAATGAAACAAACTGACAGTGTGTTTGTATTTGTGTGTATGTGTGTGTAATAGAGAGAGATAGAGAGATAAAGGGAGAGATGGAGACATTTAACTGTATTCTTTTTGCTCCCCCCATCCCCCTCCCTCACAGCCCTCTCTTTCTCTCTCATTCTCCCTTTCTTCTTCTATCCTTACTTAATATAATATTTTCAAATTTCCCTACTAATATAACTTTATTAGATTAATTTATATAAATACCTATAATAAATGATCTTGAAATATAGTTTACGTTTATTAGAAATGTGAAATCCTGGGATAAAATAGACTGTATTCGTTTAATATAATAAAATACAAATATCACTCTTTTTCATTAGATAAATTAGGTATATCACTGTTATATTGAAAGGAAAAATCATAGTTATAACGAGAGACTTAATCCCATGGAAAAATGATGTATAGGTATATATACAGTATATATATATATATATATATATATGTGTGTGTGTGTGTATGTATGTATGTATAGTAGGCATACTGGTCATACAATTTGCATCTCTCTCATGAAAAAACAACTAGACAGAAAGGATATAAAATTGCTCTTAAAAGGAATACGGATCAATTTATTCTGTACTCTACAGGAAGAATATCAATTTAGAAAATCAGAATTAATCTTATGTATATCCTGGGGTAGCTTTGAGATAGGGAAGGAAGAGAAAGAAAAAAAATAATAGATAAACTTGTGGAAGAATAGTGACATATTAGTCTTTGTTATGGAAACTACTCTAAAGAAATTTCTTCAATTTCCCAATAATCTTTTCTTCTTTTATTGTAATGAATCGTTAATAAATAAGATTAGGGATAAAAATTAAATATTTCTCATTTTATATTCTATATACATCGATATTGAATGGAACGAGATATTTTCGACTCGAGAAATTATAGGCGTTGGGATGCGAATATTCTAATTATAAAATGGAATGCTCTTTGCGACAAAGTAGTGAGAATTTAGGGTCAATTCTAAAATATGTCACGAATTCGACTTTTAAGAGTGTTTACCTCAACGGAATACGGAAGACTCAAGAGGTCTCTTCCCCACAAAAGTCCTTTTGGCTTTACACTACCAATATATAGCCTCGAAAAAAATCCTCATTATCTTTTGTTCTCCCTTTAAATCATCATTTTTTTTATATAAAGTATCTCACTACTCATCTACAAAATCTTTTTCTTTTCTATCTGTTATTTATTAAAATGACAATCTGGCTCGGCTACCGTATCTTACTTAATTAATAGAAAAACGAATAATTCCATCTTTCTAAGAAAAAATTAGTTACCTTTTTCCTTTGTCCTTTCAATTTTTTAGACGCTTCGTTTGACTTAATTCGAGCATCTTAGAGAAAAGGACTTAAAAGTATCTAAACTAATTCGAAATCAATAGTATACTTTTTGTTCATGGTTCTTCTACTATATATAATCAAGAGAGTATTATGCCGGAAGAGTAAATTACGTTTACGCCATCCCATAGAGATTGCATGATAAGTTTTCTAAGAGAGAAGAAAACGTATTATAACTGACCTTATATATTTATATATATAATATACAGTTCATATATATATATATATATATACAATAGTAAATATACTATCCATATATAACGTGGAATATAAATATTCAGTTCTCGTTTAATTATATATTGATAAGGAAACCTTAAAGATATTTCATAAGGAAATAGATTGATGCAATGAAGCATTATTAATAGCTATTACAAGACTTTATTGTAATAAGCGAGAGGGAAGTATCACAAAGGAGAATATCATCTATCTTTACAAATTATAAATGGAAAATATAAATATTTTCGATATTTACAACCATACTTTCATACCTTATTCTCTGAAGATAGAATAGAATATATATATATATATATATATATATAATATAATAAACACCTTCACAGATTGAAAAAGATCAGTATTTCGCTTAGATTCGGGCACTTTAGTTTATTGATTTCAAAAATAGAATCACCTCTTCTCCATCTCTCTCTCTCTCTCTCTCTCTCTCTGTATATATATTTATATACGATGCTTATTTGGATATATGTTATCGAATTCTCTCTATTAAGGAGCTAGTTTTACTCTATTCCTATGTTTCACATATCAAAGAGATTAGCTCTTGTATATAGGAAGATATAAAAGAAATTACAATAACTTCATGTCATGCTCTGTATTAATAACGTAATGTATATAGAGTATATATATATTATCTTACCATTATTAAATACGGTATATTGTAAATTACATAGAAGTTGATATTTATATTATCCTAAAATCTACTTGATTAAAAGGCTAAGTTGTAATTTCTTCCTATTCAGCTTATTTTTTTTTAGCTTATCTCATTCATTTAGGGTTCTCTTCCTCATCTTCTTTCTTTTCTTTTCTTTTTCTTGTCATGATTGAATTTGCCTAAATTTGCGGTATATTAATCAGCCTAGAATTAGAATGATAAAATTGTTCGCATAGAATAAAATCAACACCGCACGCATATAGTATATAAACTGCATTTACCCTAAGTATTTAATTTATAGTAATAGGGTTAATAGATTATACTTATAAATTAGAAATATCAAGTTCTGGAATTAACTTATTAGTCTCGTTAAATACAAAACTGCAGCAATACAACATGACTTAATTATAGATTAGCAGATTAGCAATATGCGGCATTTTATGTACAATGTTTAGTATACCATATGTACGTAGAGTAGATATGTAGAATACATATAGTGTGAAAATCATTTCTCATTCCTATTGAGTAGAAGAGATTTATAACAGTCTATTGAATATGACACTATTCATCATCAAGCTTATACTTGTTCACTAATAAACAATAGTTTAGAATTTGTTATAATAGTCATTAATCACCTCTAATCTATTTAATTATTATACATCCGGAAAATGGTTCATTTACCTCCAATTGTTAAAGATATAACGATTTTTTTCTTTTAAAACATTGTACTTTTCCATATATGTCATCTATTTACCGAAATCCTTTTCCCTGCTGATAGTTTCTTCAGAAAGAGAGAGAGAGAGAGAGAGAGAAAGAAGAAAGACTTAAAAAATACAACAATAAGACTCTGAAAAAGGAAAAAATTTGCTTACACAGTAATTACGAACAGTTTGTCTATTTAGAGTTAATTATTTTCATACAAACAATCATCCATTTTTCTTTCGCGTTCCTCTTATAGAAAGAAAACGTAGTAGAATCGGAATGAATTTATCTGTTTATACTGTTTTTAGTATTATTTCTTTGTGAGAAATCCTCCCAAGACTCTAAAAAAGGATATCAATTTCCACGTCTGTAAGGAAAGAAACAGTATTTCACTTTGTCATGTTCTAATTAGAAATAAAGACTTTTAAAAACACTAATTTAAATTTCGCTACTACTTCAGAAATGGAATAAATGAAGAGTGTTAAAATTATTCAGTGTTAACTATAAGCTAATTTGCATAAATTAATTACCTATTCATTGCAGATTAGAACGGAAATAAAATAAAATTCTGTATACATAAAAATTATAAGAAATGCGCTATTTTAAGAAAAAGATTCATTAAGTAGGTCATCCATTGTTTCCTCTTCTGCCATATTATTCTCTAATAAATCTCCTTATAAACCTGTACAATGTCTATACAAAGAGGTTGGATACCACATGTTCATTAATCAAGTTTTACGATCCAGTTAATCACTACCAAAAAGAAGATGATGAAATTAATTGTGATAAGCTTTTAGCTAGTTTCGTAAACAAACTACCTATCAAATCCCACACATCCTCACGACGATAATATTAGTCTTTCAAATCAAGAAGACCTTTTTAGATGTAAACATGAGAGAATTTCTATTAAATAATTTAATTTAATGTAAACTTTATATTAAAATCCTATAGAAAGAATAGTAACAGTTTGTCAACCTGATAGCTTATTATTCTCTTCATATTTTTGATTTATTTGTATTTGTATACCTACAGAATTAATCGTATATCTGTTTACTTGCACTAGAAAAGAAACACAACTTTACATTATAGAATTACCATATATTTTATATATATTAAAAAAAAAGACCTTATTAACTTTTAGCCTTTTTATTCATTTGGTATTAATTTTAAATATTCGACGTTTTCGACGTAACGACACATATATACTGTTATATAGAACAGGTAAATTAGTTATTTATACCAGTATGAGAAAGGAGAAATAGACGTTCGTTCAAAAACAAAACAGACAAAGATAATGAAATAAGTATAATTAGCATTTAAATACTAATTTTAACACTCTTTGTATATAATCTAATATAAATATGAATATTTATGTTTGAATTATTATATTGCTATAAAATTAAATTATATAGAATGTATTGAGGCTACAAGAAATATAGGTCATTTACATTTCCTTTATAAATTTATTCCAATTCTTTTTCTATGAATAAATCTTCTTCACAAAAGAGTTAATGAATGAAATTATAATTTAAATAAACCTTATATCTATTTTATATATTATATTGCACTCTGAATAGGAAGATAATGATAAATTGATAAACCTAATGCAAATAGAATAATAAATGATCTCTTTTTAGAGTTATTCTATCTAGGCAAATTAAAATTGAAATCTAATTATCATTTAATAAGAGAGAATGCGAATCTTTTCCTGTTTAACCTCCAATTACTTTTTCCAATTATATCTTTTTATAACCTAAGAGAGAAAGAATGAGAAGAGAGAGAGTGAGAGAGAGAGGCAATTTTTTTTCTCCTTTCCTACAATACATGTAATAATCGAATAAACAAAGGATTTCTACATTTTAACTATACAGTTATTAATAATTCAAAATATCTATATGCTATAAATGAATTCATTATTTAAATGTTATTAAGTTATTATTTATTCATGATATTAAAGTAATAATGGCTGCAAAGGTAAATTGAATGAAGGTAAGATTATTTGCAGTATATACTTCTTTTATTTAGTTAATTTATAATATTTTCCTGATAGAAAATGTTAAATTTTTCCGGATGTTTTGATTAAAAGACATTACTTTAAAATCGATTTTTTTTTTATTGCTGGAGAGTGAAATTTAAATGCTTATTCTTAAGGTACTTTAAGCAGTAATTTAACGTCCCGCGATAGCTCAGTTGGTAGAGCGGAGGACTGTAGTAGTTCAAACAAGGATCATAGCAATCCTTAGGTCGATGGTTCGAATCCGTCTCGCGGGAATTTCATTTTTTTTTTTTAATTTATTCTTTTTTTTTATTTTAAAAAAAAATTCCAGTTTTAAGCAATAATTTACCATCCCGCGATAGCTCAGTTGGTAGAGCGGAGGACTGTAGTAGTTCAAACAAGGATCGTAGCAATCCTTAGGTCGATGGTTCGAATCCGTCTCGCGGGAAAACCTTTTTTCTTTTTGTTCGTGATGTTTATTCCTAATTTGATAATTAGCTTGCTAAATCTAATCTTTAAGATTACACAATATATATTTTATACTATTTAAAAAAAACTCTATTCGGGTAGAGGTTTGAAAATAATTCCAGTTTTAAGCAACAATTTACCATCCCGCGATAGCTCAGTTGGTAGAGCGGAGGACTGTAGTAGTTCAAACGAGGATCATAGCAATCCTTAGGTCGATGGTTCGAATCCGTCTCGCGGGAAATTCTCTTTTTTTCCCCCCGCTTTAAAAGAGGAAAGAAGCAAAATAAATGACTGATAATGACAAATTGCCTCATCTTTTATATCTATTGAGATGACAAAGATTTTTGGGGTGAAATTGAGCAGTGCAATCCCCTGAGACTGTAAAATATACCAGACCTAAGAACGAATCGCATACCATAACGAACTACTACAATCCACCATTTTATCAATTCAGTTGGCAGCTAGATGATGATGGCTTGTGTAGATGATAAAAATTTCTCCATTCCATTTTTTTCTCCCTACAATAGCAAAGACTTAAAAAAAAGGAAATTCCCGCGAGACGGATTCGAACCATCGACCTAAGGATTGCTACGATCCTCGTTTGAACTACTACAGTCCTCCGCTCTACCAACTGAGCTATCGCGGGATGGTAAATTGTTGCTTAAAACTGGAATTTTTTTGACATTTTTTAAGGGCTTCTGTTAAAAATAAATTGATTTATAAATATTCATGAGTAGAGGCGAATAATTTAAAGAATTTACATAAGAGGCTATCTTTGACTCATTTTTTTTCCCAAGTTGTTTTTCTATATTCCAATGAAGGAAAAAAGGCTGAAGACGGAGCTTTTACAGCATCAAGCTTGATACTGAAATATCCAATAATCAATTCAATCGTCCTTACCAGTATAGTCGATTATTGGAACGTTTTGAAATGTTTCAAAGATTATCACGAAGCAATTGTTCAAAAAAAAAGAGAAATTCCCGCGAGACGGATTCGAACCATCGACCTAAGGATTGCTATGATCCTCGTTTGAACTACTACAGTCCTCCGCTCTACCAACTGAGCTATCGCGGGATAATGAATTGGAGCTTAGAGCAAGATTTCTTGCTAATCTTTTATTACCTTCAAAATTTTTTTTAATTTATTATAAAAACGTATAAAAAGAGAAAGAATAAAAAAAAATGAAATTCCCGCGAGACGGATTCGAACCATCGACCTAAGGATTGCTATGATCCTTGTTTGAACTACTACAGTCCTCCGCTCTACCAACTGAGCTATCGCGGGATACATAATAGCTTCGTTATTGCGTTTTTACTCTCTACAATATTGAAATACAGGTGCCTACTTAGAAGAATTTGCAGATAGGAGGCGTTTACTTCCTGTTGATTAGTAAAGCCATCTGTAGTTTATAATAAAATACATGAGAAATGAAACAGCTACTCTGGATAATATTGTGTGTCATTTTTATTGCTCGAACTACTGTAATATGTGGACTTTTACCATTCCAAAACACAAATCTTTCTTGGGATGAGCGAGCAAATGATATAGTTAAAAGGTTGACCTTAGAAGAGATTCAATCCCATTTAACCGAAGGGGGAGGAAGTGGTCATAGTCGTCTCCCACCTATTCCTAGGCTAGGAATCAAACCATTTACCTTTGATACTGAATGTTTACACGGTGTTAATAACAATGCGACTGGCTTTCCTCAGTCGATTGGCCTTGCTGCGACGTTTAATCCAAAACTCCTCTATGAAATTGGAAACGTAATAGGTCGAGAAGCCAGAGCTGGATATAATAAATATAGCTCCAAAGGACAATATGGGGTAGATCAGGGGATGGTTTGTCTTACGCCGGTAATAAATATCATGCGTCATCCCCTTTGGGGACGAAATCAGGAAACGTATGGAGAAGATCCTTTCATGAGTGGCGTTCTAGCTGATAGAATAGTTTCTGGTCTTCAAGGCCCAAAGGAATACAAGTACATGCAGGCTGCAACTGGTTGTAAGCATTTTGACGCATACACTGGACCAGAAACAATACCATCCTCGCGTTTTTCCTTCAACGCTAACATTTCTGACACAGATTTGCATATGACATTTCTTCCTGCATTTAAGAAGTGCGTAGACGCAGGAGCCGCCGCCCTTATGTGCTCCTACAATGCAATCAACGGAATACCAGCTTGCGCAAACCGGCGTCTCCTCACAGATATTCTCCGAAAACAATGGAATTTTAAGGGCTACGTTATAAGCGATATGGGAGCAATCAGTCACATTTACGACTCTCACCATTATACATCAACTCTGATTGATGCTGTTGCTGAAGCTATGAATGCCGGAACAAATTTTAATATGCCTGGAGGAAAATCGCCCTATTCTCTTTTAATTGAAGCTGTAGGAAGAGGCCTGATTAAAGAATCAACTGTCAGAGAAGCTATCAAGCCTCTCTTTCTTACTAGATTAAAATTAGGGGAATTTGATCCCCCTGAATATAATATCTATAATACCTACAAATTTGATGATATTATTCACAACCGTGCTCACACGAACACGGCTTTATTGGCTGCTGTTCAGAGTTTTGTCCTTTTAAAAAATAACCGGGAAGCTCTTCCCATTCGATCAAAACCTCGAAAGGTAGCTCTTATCGGTCCTTTTGTCGACGATGCCAACCAACAATTTGGATCGTATGCAGCTCACGTAGAACCGAAATATACAACAACCCCTTGGACCGGTTTAAAAAATCTAGGAAAACTTGTTACAAAAGCAGAAGGATGTTTCGATATAGGATGCCACAAGTACGATTCCCTCACCATAGCTTCAGCCGTTAATGATGCCGACTACATTATTGCTTGTATGGGTTTGGGAAGTTGGGAAGGAGAGGGAAATGATAGAGCAAATTTAGAACTCCCAGGAAATCAAACTCGTCTTATAATGGATGCCGCTAAAACTAGTCTGTTTCATTCAAATAGAGAATAGTATTTTCATTCTATATAAAAGAATTGTATGTATATTTTGAACAGAAATGTCTGGAGCTCGTTTGATAGTTCTACTGTTTAACGCCGGTCCAGTAGATATTAGTTGGGCTAAAGATAACCCTCTTGTTGATGCTATATTTACAATTGGATATCCTGCCCAAGCCACAGGAGAGGCTCTTTTTGATGTCCTTACCTTAAGGGAAGACTACGCCAATCCAGCTGGCAGGTTGGTGGCAACTTGGCCAACCACCTTAGCTCAAGTACCACCGATGATTGATTATTCGATGAATAAAAGGACTTATAGATACTTTGAAGGAAATCCTATGTACCCTTTTGGGTAATACTAATTCTTTTTGATTAAAGTAGCAAATTATCCCTAAAAGAAGTATTATAAAACGCTGTTAAATTTTCACAGATATGGCTTGTCTTATACGGTTTTCCAGTATAGTCAATTACAATTAAAATACGCTATCATCAAGGCGGGAAAAGATCTTGAACTATCAGTTTCTCTATCAAATGTTGGTTGGTACACCGGTGATGAGGTTGTTCAAGCATACATCAGTTGGGAGAGTCCAAGTGTGACTATGCCAAAGATTCAGTTAGCAGATTTCAAAAGGATAGAAAGAGTAAAAATTGGAGAAACTGTAAAGGTTACAATGAGAATTCCATATCAAATTATGGCCGGTTGGAAGCATGATTCCTACGTAATTGAGCAAGGTATTATACGTAATTGATATGATATAAATAAGTATCTTAATCATACTATTTAGGAACGCTAAACGTTTATGTCGGAGGTCAACAACCATTCCAACAAACTAGTCTGCCGTCGAATATTCTCCATTCCAAATTTTACATTACCGGAACGAAAACTTTCAATTAGTCAAGAAGCGTCATCTGCTATTTTATACTATATTGACTTATAGCTTGTTATTAATATTCCAATCCTACAATAATTTACAAGATACAATATACATGATAAACTAATTTTTAGAAAAGAATAACAACAATAGTAATATTCATATCTTATATCATTATGTACAAACAAACAAACAAACTAATGGAAACTGGCGATTTTGTTTTTTATGATTTTGCTTGAAAGAGATTACTTATCTTGGCTAACTCTTCGGGTGTTCTTCTAACATTTTCCGTCTTATTCGCCCATGAATTACTGTTCATATATTCAGTCCTCATTCTTTCAAGTTTTTCTCTATCCTTCATTATTTTACCATGTCTCGAAACAACTATACCGAAATATATTGATCCAAAGAGGAGAACCAAGAAACCAGTCAGTATGAGAATTACTCCGAATACTCTTCCCACAACGACTGAGATTACTTTTCCAATGGATAAAATCAGAATAATTAAACCAGTAATAAAAACAACGACACCCATAAAAATTGTACCAGCCCCCAAAAATTTAGATGGCGGAGTTAAACCTGTTGATTCCCTCACAACACTCGCCCGAATATCTCTATTCCTCTCTTCAACTTGTTGGCTTGGTGTCCATAATCGTGGACTAACGTATGGCGTATCTCCTTCATTCATTACCTATGATAGTTAAAAATGCTGATCGATTCACTCTTTGTAAGCTAAAGAAAGTTTACATACAATCCCATAGGCCTATAAAAGACCAGTCCCTTAAGCTTGTTAGAACTCGATATCATACTATTACCATTTAGAATTTGTAATACTATTGATTGATTTATCTTTCTTTGAATCGGGCAATAGGTATAGGGAAATCTTAGCGTTATAATAAAAGCAAAAGGAATTAGAACACACGAAGATTTATTGACTAAGTTGATAGATAGATAGAGAGAGAGAGAGAGAGAGAGAGAGAAATAAAAAGAAAAAAAGAAAGAAAGAGAAAGAGATAATGTTGATTTTAAACATAGATAGACTATACGTATTTACCATATGTAACGTTTAAGTATGACAAACAATATTTATCTAGTATAATTAGGATTTAATAACAAACAAATATAAGATTTGAAATGTTACAAACAATATATATTTGACAATTCTAATAAAACAAATTGACACTGAGAAAAGCAAAGTACGAGAATAAACATTGAATTTTGTTACTATTATTACATAGATCAGTTGAACAGCAACTAACACATCTACCAGTTCCATCAATTATCGTACACTTTCCCTCGCATTTTGCATTACAAGATCTTTTTAACATCGTAATCGTATTATGATATTGAAATGTCTCTTTTAAACAAACTTTCTCATGTGGCTCACAATCTTTAATCAATGATAAAGTATAATTTGTCATACAATCCGCCTCTTCCCGATTATTTTTTAAGTCTCGCGTAACAGAACAAGAATAGCATCTTAGCGTCCATCCTCCTTAAAATATAATAAATTATTAAAACATTAACAATCTAGGTTAGATTTTATATATTCAATATAAAATAAAAGTCTCTACTAATTAGTCAAACCGTTTAAGAGAAGTAATAATGAAAGGAGAAAAGGTAAAGTTCGTCTTAGATTTGGGCATTTCATTTCTTTCTTGGCTTAATTCTACCTGCAAATCTTTTGAAACCGTAAAAGAGTACGTACCAGGAGCGCCTCACTTATTCAAGAATGTAACTGCTAATTAACTTTCCGCTTTCTTTTTCTCAGCGTTTCTGAAAGACATCCACTTAGAAAAATGTCGAACTTTATTAACTAGTTTCAATAACGTAGCTTTTTAAGCATAAACAAATGTATTAGTATATATATATATATGTATAATAAATATATAAATCGTGTATGGAAGTGGAAACACTATAAGAATATTCTTCTTGTAAGTTTACTGTACGAATTATCTATTCATTAATGTATCTTTTATAACAAAATCAACGAGACAATAAATTCCAATAGATGGCACTAGTTATTTAAAGCATAAAAACTGGTAGATATAGGAGAAATATGCAATCCATGTGCAACACGACGAAATTACTTTAGTTAGTCAGTCTTTATTAATCTAGAAATCATGGCTAACGCTAACATCGAGGATATTGAAGATGTTATAACTGCAGACAGTCTTGATTCAAATAATCAACTGAAGAAGACATCATATAACATTGTCAAGCGGCAAATATCCTTAGAGGAAACTCCACACGTGGATAGTTTTGTACCGGGCCTTCACAAAATCTACTTGAAAACGTGGGGATGTTCTCACAATAATTCAGATTCTGAATACATGGCAGGATTGTTATCAAAAGCAGGCTACGATTTAACCAACAACAAAGACGAAGCCGATTTATGTTTATTAAATAGCTGTACAGTCAAGAGTCCTGCTGAAGATCATTTTCGAAATGAAATAAAATCGAGCTTAGATAACGGCAAACGAGTAGTTCTGGCCGGATGTATACCTCAAGGACAAAAGAATACCCAATATATAAAAGGTTTAAGCATAATTGGGGTTCAACAGATTGATAAAGTTTGCCAAGTGGTTGAAGAAACTTTAAAAGGGAACTCTGTTAGTTTTCTCTCCGCAAGAAGGCAAAATGGAAAACGTTTAGCTGGACCATCTCTTTCTTTACCTAAAGTAAGAAAAAATCCTCTGATAGAAATTATTCCCATCAATACAGGTTGTTTGAACAATTGTACGTATTGTAAAACGAAGCACGCAAGAGGAGATCTCGCCAGTTACCTACCAGATGAAATTATTAACAGAGCGAGAGATTGCTTTCAGGAGGGTGTTGTTGAGATATGGTTAACTTCAGAAGATCTTGGAGCTTATGGAAGGGATATTAACACAAATTTACCAGAACTTTTAAGGGGCTTAGTACAAGTAATACCTGAAGGGTGTCGCCTAAGACTAGGAATGACAAATCCCCCATACATTTTGGAGCATTTAGAAGAGATAGCAGATATAATGAACCATAAAAGAGTCTATAAATTTTTACACGTACCTGTTCAAAGTGGATCTGATGAGGTCCTTCAAGACATGAAGAGAGAATATACTAATGAAGATTTTTGTAAAGTATGTGATGTAATTAAAGCTAGAGTAAATGAAGCGAACATTGCTACAGATATTATATGCGGTTTTCCTACTGAAACGGATGATAATTTCGAAGATACAATGAAGCTTGTCGATAAATACAGATTTGCAAGTTTATTTATAAATCAGTTTTTCCCACGTCCTGGAACTCCTGCCGCTAGAATGCAAAAGATTGATCCTCAAGAAGTAAAGAAGAGAACAAAACGTCTTCACGAACTTTTCCATTCTTACAGACCTTACGATCATTTAATGGACACTGAACAAGATATTCTAATAACAGAAATGGCAAGTGACGGTATCAACTATGTTGGTCATACCGAGAGTTATCATCAAGTTATTGTTGCCCCAGATCCAAAACTTATGGGTAAAATTGTCCGAGTTAGAATAACGGAAACCGGCAAGCATTTCTTAAAGGGGATTCTCTTTAAAAAATCGACTACAGTTGGACTTTTAGAACAAAATTACCTTCTCTATTTATTATCTATACCAACAATAACATTTTTCTTGTTCAAATTGGCAAAAAGAATACGAGTTAATTGGTTCTAAAAAAGAAACAAATCTTTCTACATATATATTAAATATTAATATTTAAGATTTATTTTCTTTGTTAATTGGATTGGTTAAAAAAAAGGAATAAAAAACAGAAAACGGTTGAAAGTATTGAAAATTTTTTATTTAGTTAAATTTATTATTTTTATTGAGTTCCGGAAATGTAATGTTAAATAATATGGCGTAAAGCAGAGCGGAGAGAACGTCGTCGGAAGTAAATTACATTAATTATCCATCTTACTTAATATCAAAGCCTTTGAAATATTCGTGAAGTCATGATGAATAAGATAGATGTGTAAGTAATTTAATTTCTTTACAATTTAAACATTTAGTTAGCCCGAAAAGAGTAATTGCAATCAAAAGAAAGAAAAAAGTTGTTCAAATTCGGTCTGTCTAAAAGTGGTTTAGTAATATATTTGTAAGTTATATAAAAAATAAGTGACAATATTTTAAAATTGAAACTATTTTTATCTAACGTATTTAATTTTTATTAAACAAATATTAACAATAAACAGCTATTTTCTAATAGGATGAGTTAAGATGGTATTAATGAGGATATATTTTATTAGATTCTATTCAAAGTCTACCCTACAGCTTTTAGATAGACAATAGAACAGTTCGTATCATATTATCGTCCAAAATTACGTAATTTTTGAAATGTGACTTATACACCACTTACACATTCTTGGAATTTACGAATTGAAGAATGTTAAATCAAATTATCTCTCTCCTTTCATTTGTATTTGATTCTTTACTATCTTGTATTAATCTTCACAACAGCATCATTTTTGGTTTCTTCTATTACGCATACATTTTCGGTAAGAGCCTTCTCAGTGTTATGGACGCTATCATGAGCCAAATAAACGATATAGTCCAAAACATATCAGAGTCCGAATTTTTCAATAATAAACTATTCAAAGACATAGCATCTAATTTAGCAACCAGTGCTAAATCTATTGCTGTTACGTTCTCTTTCGTATCGTATTACTTAGAGGAATGGACCAAAGGCGCTTTTATTCATGAAGATAGTTCCGATGGCCTATATTGCTCAACAAACAAATGGAGTACTAAGGATGAAAAACCCACAGAAGTTTGCCTAAATAAGAAAGCCATATATATTTTATTCTTCACTCTAGGCTTAATGGTAGTTGGTTGTTGTGTGATTTTTATTGTAACAAGAATAAACAATAATAGACGACCAATATCAATAAACGACTTATTTCGAGTTCTTGAGGATAATGGAGAGTATGAAATTGCTACTGATTCAGAAGACGGATATGAGACTGATCATTCGGTGGAGATAGATTTGCCTAACGAGTCTGATAGTCGTCTGACTCCTCTTCCAAGAAGCTTTTCGTCTGAGAGGTTATTAGAAGAGGAGAGAAATAGAAGGCTATGTGTTGTGTGTAAAGATAAGATAAAATCGGTCTTAATAATGCCATGTAAACACTTGTGTTTATGTGTAAGCTGCGCAAAATGCTTAGCTGAACTGGGACCACGAAGAAGAATTTGCCCACTATGCCGACGTTCATTCAAATCAATTACGAATGTTTATTTATAAATTCGTAGAATAATAATGTACTTTAGTGAAAAATGCCCAAGACAGGAAAACTTTTAAATACTTTTACAAGCAGGGCAATGCAAAATTTTAAATGTATTTAGGAAGACTCATCATCAGCATAATTCAATAACGAAATCTTTTTCATATCCTCTATGCTAATTTGTTTATGTGAGTGTATCTCTCGAGTGATAGCTATACGATATATGAATATATGATAAAAAATTGAAAGCTTTTGTTTTCGAGCAAAAAACCAATACACAAGAAGAAAAATGTATTTATCATTTGAAATTCATTATATTTTAACAAATTTCATTTAATATGTATAAGCTTCTTTCAACTTTTGTAAACTCTCTTTTAGCTTATCTTCAGACAGTCTTAAAGTTCTGTGTTGCAATTGAACTACGGCCTCTAACTGAAAAGGTGTAAATGTACCAACTCCTCTTTCTACGATTGCAATTATTAAGTCTTCCGGTTTTCTATAGAAAAGCTCGTAATACTGTCTCGCTTTATCTAATCCAGTATATGAAGTTGATCCAAGTATACTACTCACAGTCTGTTGCGATGAAAATATATTTCTTATCATCTTTTTTACTCCGTTATGATTCATTCTCTTCAATTTCGATGCACAATTTATGAAAATTGAGGCTATGACATGGCCTATTCCTGACATAACATATCGGAAATGGCTGACGGGAAGAAAATATCTTAACGTGTCGGCGATAGCCTCTAAGCTCTTATTTAATTTTATAATATTTTCATCGACCTTTAAATCATCAGATGGAGGATTATAAACTTTTTGATGAAATTGTTTCACAGCAACTTGTAATTTTTCTCCTGCCTTCTCCATGTTGCCTAATTAAGATAAGAAAAGAATAATTAGATTTAAAAGTATACTATTTCTACATACCGAAGAGCGGTTGCAGGTAGAAAAAACATATAACTCTTATTTCAACGAAGATTAATAAAGTACAATAATTGCATAACTTCGCTAATTCAGCTTTAATTGGTATATCACATTTTGATAAATGCTCCAAAAGATAGAGAATTGTATGAATCATGCAAGATAATGCTTTTAGAGCATCTCTTGTATCATCATAAATTAAATCATCTTGTGTTAGTAGGTTCTGAGAAATTAAATTGTTTGTAAACATATCAGCTTCTTTTTCAGCATTTTCGCTAAATTTCTGGACAGACTTATCCACATTGATACTCTCGAATACGGTCCAACTATGCTGAGATAATAAATGCCGCTCAATATCTTCGTCCTGAACCCATGATACGCTTACTTGTCGTCTATTGGTGATAGACTGGAGTACTTTATTCATTTTGTTATAGAAAACGCATACAAGATCGCTTAGCATCATGCAAAAATCCCCTTTGTGTTTAGGAATTAGCTTAGATATTTCTTTCAACTTATGAATTGAATCTATAACTGTTATTGCAGACGTAAATATAGGCAGTTGAGTTTTATCGGTGCGATTGTAAACCAAAGTTTGTGAAGTGTGCCAATCACCATAATTTGTAACTCCTTGAAGCTTCTCTAAGCATTCACCTTTAACCTTTAATAGATAAACATTGTTTATAAAGTTAGTAATATCTTGTTTAAGTTGAGAATTGGTATCGTTTAAGGCTAATTCAATTTCAAGTGAAAAATCGCTAACGGGTGTATAGATATAAATAATATTTTCGGTATCTGGAGGACAAACGTATGTCATTTGCGTGGTAATCGGTTCAAAATTCTCCTCTTCCACACCCAAATTAGCGTAGATGCTTTGTCTCTCTTCCCTTTCGTATGACCTTAAGCTATGGGCATGAGATGATCCTTCAAATTGGAATAGAGGTTCATTTTTTTGAAGCCTCTTTTTTTGAAAAAGAGCCGCTACTACTTGATAACTTTGGAAAGGATCATCTTTTTTCCTTATTTGCAATTCGTCCTTATTACTTGAAATAGAGATATACTCTAAAAACAATTGTCTTACTAACTTTTGAGCTTGTTCCCAAACATTGGTAATATTGTATACATCCAGAGGATGATTACCTCTACTCCAATGTGCTCTGTGTGAATGAGCAAGTAATACCTCGTGAACACGCACAACTAGCCTAAATTGTCTCAAAATTAAATCAAATAAATCTCTAAGTAAAGGCGAGTTATTTGTTAGCTTTTCGTCTTGACTAAGGGCATTATCAGAAACTTGTCGAGATGCCCTATTGATAATTGACAGAAATCCAAATTCAATATTCCTTCTAACGAGTTGGAGGGATTCTTTCAATTCATTGAAAATCATTAGGGATTCGATAAGTACACCAATATACTGTACTGGTTTATCTTCAATATCGTATCCAAGTATATCGCTTATTTCTTTCGAATTTCTTATTTCATTTAAATTTGCATCAATGAATTCGTTGTGGCGTTCATTATCAAGAAAGATTTCAGATTGGAGACTGACATCACAGTGTATATGATTTGTCGATTTTGTTGAACCTCTAGCAGAGCCTAATCTCTGGAAATTTCTAACTATAAACGCGGTAGATTTAACGTAAATTTGCTTATGAAGTTCACTCTGTAGTTTCTTAATAATTTCGCTTCTTCTTAATATTAATTCCTCTCTTGTTTCTCCTAATGCTTCCACATCCTTGAGATCCGTGTCGATTATTTTAATACATGAGACAACAGAACTTGTAGCTTCAATATATCGTTTATTCTTAAGTAAAAAAGGTAACTGTTGAGTAACTTCTTTCACTTTGTCTACTTGATTCAATAACGATGATAAAGTCTTATGTTCAATTGACTCTTTCCACAAGTTCATTAATTCTCCTCGTTTGCAAGTTAAGTACGTTTTACAACCATTCAGATTTTCCCTAACATTTTTTATCCTCTTTTGACAATCAACAACTTTTTGAGAAATTTTGCCAAATGAACTAACTAAAGACTCTAGGGAATTTATATTCTCTTCTACTAATTCTTCCAAAACTTTATCACACTTTTTAAAATCTTTTTCAACACTATTCTTGAGTTTATGTCTTTTGTCAGAAGGTGAATATAAATTATTTATTATATCCTTCAAGTAACCCAACTGATTCTTTTCACCGTTTTCCGCCATTTTTACAACTACTTGATTGTTTTCCAACAAGTTTAAGGAAATAGGAAGTCATGTATACATTTTTTTTTGCATTTAGAGTGGTTCTTATTCAAATTTTAATCTTTTTAAGATATCCTTTTTGTCTATAATTTAATTAGTAAATTCACCAGGAAGTGTACTAAATTATCATATTTCAGCTTTTATCAAAAACAGAATTTATTTAAAGTAATTAACATTTTCCTAAATTGAAACAAGTATAATAAAATATTTACATTGAACACTTCAAAATTAGCAAATAGTTACTTTTCGGAAAGAATTTTCTTCATATTCAAATACCTGTTTCGATCCTTTCAGAGGAAAAGAAAAGAAGATGTATATATATATATATGTTAAATGCATGCTCACGAACCTGTACTGATACTGATGGTTTCACCTTAGTAAGTGCCTGTTCAAGATGTCTCAAATGAACTATAACTGTGTAATCTTTTTTTCCTCCAGATAGCCATTCCCTTAGGGAAATAACGGAAGCTTCACGTACAACTGCTGCAATGTCGGCTCCAGAATAATACTCCATCTTTTTGGCCAACTCTTCTAAGTGAACATCATCGGCTAATGGTGGCTTTTCTCTGACTATGGCTTTTAAAATATCTAATCGATCATTTTCAGCAGGCAATCCAACGTAAAGTAATTTATCTAATCTTCCTATAAATTCAACATATTCGTCAGTGTGATAAAAACGAATAAAATAAAAAGCCTACCTGGTCTGAGTAATGCAGGGTCTAAAATATCAGGACGATTAGTAGCAGCTAGAACATATACTCCTTTACTCCGACCATCGTCCACGCCATCTAATTCTGTTAGCAGCTGATTAACTACTCGAGCAGATGATTCTGAACTTTCTCGTCCTCTTTTACCGCAAAGGGCATCAACTTCGTCAAAGAAAATAACACACGGAGCTGAATTTCTTGCTCTTTGAAACACTTGCCTTACAGCTCTTTCAGACTCTCCAACATACATATTCAGTAATTCCGGACCTTTAACTGAAAGAAAATTCAAGCCCGCTTCGTTAGCCACAGCCTTTGCAAGTAAAGTTTTTCCACAACCAGGCGGACCACTCAAAAGTACTCCGGCTGCTCGTCTCAAACCCAACTTATTCCATGCTTCAGCGTGAAAAACAGGTGCAACAATAGCAAGATGTAGCTCTTCTCGTATATCATGTAATGCTCCAACATCAGACCAACTAACTCCTGGAACTGTAGCGAATCCTTCTCGTTTTGAAGATGGCTGAACCATTTTTGTAGCTTTAACAAAATCTTCCATTGTAATCTGAAAACATGTATTTTTAAATATAATTAAATAAATTATTTTTATTACAAACTTTTAAATTTGATAAACGCTCATCTGACAAAGTCTGAGGATTCTGAAGCCACATTCTAGCTAAAGACAGATCCTCCGGAGTGTCTAATTCCCTATGTACTGCACTTAATGCTGCTTCTCTACTAACAGACTGCAAATCAGCACCAACGAAACCAGGAGTCAAAATTGCAATCTTATCAATATCAACATCGTCTCGCAAAGCCATATTTTTTGTAAGAATATGTAAAATTTTTCCTCTAGCAGGACAGTCGGGCATTCCTAGACATACTTCATGATCAAATCTTCCAGCTCTCCTTAAGGCTGGCTCTAAATTATCTGGCTTTGAAGTAGCTCCTATCACAAGAACATTGGCATCTTTTTCGCTGAGATCATCTAAGGATGTAAGAAGCTGAGAAACAATTCTTCTTTCCATTTCTTTGGAAGCATTTTCCCTCTTCCCCATTACAGCATCTATTTCGTCCAAAAATAAAACCGATGGAGAACTTTCAACAGCTTGATCAAAAACTTCTCTCAATCGTTCTTCGCTTCCTCCTGAAACACCTGAGACAATTTCTGTTGCTGCCAGTTTAATATAATTTACATTTAATTCTCCTGCAATAGCGTTAGCAACTAAAGTTTTTCCACACCCAGGAGGTCCATGAAGAAGTATACCTCTTGGAGCTGTTACACCGATCTGTCTATAAATTTCAGGATGTCTTATATGAGTAATTAATTTACAAATTTCCAAAAGTATCTCTTCGCATCCACCAACATCGTCGAATGTTGTTGTAGATTTAGTTATTTCTACGGTTTGTTTTTTTTTAAATTCTATTTTACGCTTTTTCTTGACAGGTCTTTCATCTTCCATTTTTTCAATATTATCCGATAGAGTTTCTTTTGGTGCTTTTTCGGTTGCTTCCGTGAACTTATCTATTGGTTTTGGTTTAGGAGAGCTTTTGTATAAATTAGTCATGAGGTTATTTACTGAGTTGGTATCTTTATATTCAACATATGATTCGTTGTCGTCTGAAAATGAATCGCTTTCTTCTGGTTGTTCTGGTATGGCTTTCAAACGTATTAGCTCGGATACGGCTATAGAAGTATACACAAATGTAAATTAACGATCTTCAGTTATTTTCTTTATCATACCTTTTTCAACAGATTTTTCAAACGGTTTTCTTTTCCTTCGATTGTACTCACTTCATAAAGACGTATATTAGGGACAATCTGACCATTTATGCTAAAATCTACTTACGCAAATCGTTTTACTAGTATTTCACTTAAGTCACATATATCTATTCTTTTATTGTTAAATTTTTCAAGGACGATCTGCAAAATTTGGTACTAAGAGAAAATGGAATCACTCGAAAATGGGTGAATTACCTGTTTAACTCTGGACAATAATCTAGAATCACCAATATAGACGGTTTTCTTTCCTTGTGTATTATTAGACATTAGTAGTTTTGTTACTAATGATGAACTTTGTATATTTGCCTCCAAGTAAATAGATCTAATTAGAAACACGCGGAAAACTTTCTTGTCGAAAGTAGTTCTGTTTTACAGGACACGCTTATTATTTTCGTAATCATTTCGATAAATAATCCAAAGAAGCGCGAACTGTTGACCAACTATTTTATTTCCCTGTCTATCAAGCTTATAATTAACAGTTGTATTACATCACACAGAAAGATTTATTCTAGCATATCATAATTATAAGTAATAAAGTTTTATTTATTTTAAAAAATTACCATATACAATTATATGGACGTCTTTTCGTTCAGGTCATCAAATCGACAGAACCATGGCTGATTCAAGCTCAGGAATTATTAATGCTATAGATAAGGAAAGCGTTCATAAAATCTGCTCAGGTCAAGTTATTACAACACTTTCGACTGCTGTCAAAGAGTTGATTGAAAATAGTATTGACGCAGGAGCAACAATAATAGGTTTCATTAAACATTCAACCAATTATAGTTTACATAAAATAACAATCTTTAGATGTTAAGTTCAAAGATAAGGGTTTAAAAAGTTTCTCAGTAATGGATAACGGGGATGGCATAGAAGAAGAGAATTTCGATAGTATTGGTAAATTAATATTAAACATGTTTCTCAAAATCTGTCATTAAGATTTACCATAGCTCTAAAACATCATACCTCGAAAATAAGTAAATTTTCGGACCTAACCAGCGTCGATACCTTTGGATTCAGGGGAGAAGCTTTAAGTTCTATTTGTGGTGTTAGGTAATTTATGCTATAAGCAATTATTCAATGAGAAAACATTTAAATGGTTATTTTTTCTATATATTTTAGTGATTTTTCAATGACAACAAGACATAAATCAGTATCAATTGGAGCTAAAATAGAATTTGGTAGAGATGGTAGAATAAAGAAAAAAACAAAAGTATCTTGCCAAGTTAGTATGTTATCTTATTAAAAAGACAAAATATTCACTTTGGCCTAATTATTTCTTCCATTCATCAAATTTAGAAAGGAACAACTGTTTTAATTGAAAATATATTTACAAATTTACCAGTTCGGAGGAAAGAATTTGAACGAAATATTGCAAAGAAAGATTTTCCTGATACTCTAAATAAAATTGTTGAATACGGCATCATATTAGATAAGAAAATAACTGTTACAAATACAACTGGAAAGGGGTAAATTCGTAAATATTACATTTTTCAATTTGTAATGATAGATCTTCTTTTTTACAAATATTTTTGATATTTCAGTAAGACCGATAGGTTATTGAATGTTAGCGGAGGCGAAGATGTCAAAAGTAACGTTTCACAAATATTTGGTATTGAACAAGTAAGCATATATTATAATTTAAAAAGTTATTTATAATTTCATAAGGGAGTTTTTATTCATAAAAAAGATAAAGAATATTATACCCTTCATTCAAAAACCACCTTCTGATGAAGTTCTTGAGGAGTATGGTATAAAAAATGAAAAGGATCATTCCGATTTTATGTAGAGAAACGTTTCTATCTTTTCAATATGTATAGTAATTTGCCTTATTTTTTTAGCATAAACGGTTATATTTCGTCACCTGATCATGGTAAGGGACGTAGTTCACCAGATAGACAATTTTTTTATGTTAATAATCGACCTTGCGATATGAAAAAAGTATATTTTACTTATCGATATTGAACCAAAATAGTATTTATTCGTATAAATTTTTATCCAGCTTTCCAAATTGGTTAATGAGATATATCATACGTTCAATAAACAGCAATATCCCTTTCTAGTTCTAAATATAAGACTTTCTAAAGGTATTTTATTTTTTTTAATGAACAAATAGTTCCTTAATTAATATTGATTATTCGTTCATCCCAAAACAGATTCTGTTGACATCAATGTTACTCCCGATAAGAGACAATTGATGCTTAACAATGAAAAATATTTACTATCTATCGTCAAGGTTTGAATAATTGTACTGAGCTAAGATTCTTTTAATTACATCATAATTATCTTTTACTATACAGACTTCGTTGCTTGAATTTTTGACACCGAGATCATCAATCTACACTCTACGGAGTAATCCATCAACTCCTCGATTTTCTAGTACTCCCAGGTAATTTATTTAATTGAATTGCAGAGTTAAATAAGAGTAATATATAGCTTTTCTGTTTTAAAAAAGGCACAGATCACAGTCAAAACCACTGTTAGAAAGTTTATCGAACTCTCCCATACTACCTTCTAATAGTCAATCTAGAACACCTTCGTCTAATTCTTTTGCCAAAATACTCCAGACAAGTCTAGCTAAGGCGTCGAAGCAACGTAAATTCTCTAACTAAAATTAATTATTTTTCTACTTTTATTATCTACTTTCGATTTTAGAACCGAACATTACAAGTTTCCTAAGAGCGTTATCTTCAGATGAAGAAAGTGAGGAATTACTTCCGAAGAAGAGAAGAATTGAAGATCCAGAAGGTTGTAACGACAAAGAATCAAAAATCAATAACAAAGTAGAGGAAAGTGTTAAAAAAGATAAATCGCCCGAGGTCAGTAAGAAAATTGAGGGCAATGATGTTCACATGGAGTCTGCAGATAAAAAAGATAAGGCACCCTTTGTTGAAAAGAATGTAGAAATGGTTGTAAGCACGAAACAACCCGAACCAAAAAAGACGACAACCGAGCAAAAGCAAAAAGAAATAGTCAAATTAAGCAACTCTGAAACCAGCACCACTAAACCAACTAATTTACTCTTGACTCACGATGAAGTGAAACAGCAACAACAACCAGAAAAAGTGCCATCTAAACCTCCAAAAACAATGTCAGATATTTGTCAAAGTTTTACCAAAAGTCTAACGAAAAATAATAAGAAAAGCCCTAAACAAAGCCCAAAAGAAAAAGAGAAAGATTCATCAATTAAAACCCCTTCGCCTACACTAACAAAAACAAAAAAGAAAACTAAAAGTAGTCCTCGAGATAGCACAGTTTTAGTAAGTTCTATTGTAAATTTATTAAAGTACAAGCATTTCACAATAGCATTACATAATAATTTCAAGGATACCAGTCTCGATGTATGTAAAAATCTACGAGTTCAAGTTCCGTGTCATTTCAGTATGAATCTCTTAAAAGAATCTTTTAAAAATAGAGGTGAACCATTATTATTCACTTGTCCTGTAAATATACATGCAATTTTAATATATTTATTACATTATTAAGAGGAAATAAGAAACAGATCGAATAAATGGGATAAAAATTTTTCAAGTAGTATTAGTCCACAATCGAATCAACAAGCTGAAGAAGAATTAAGAAGAGAGATAAAGTGAAATTATTGTTTAATAATTTTTACTGAATTTAAATATAAAGTACACTTTCTCTTCTTTTTTAGAAAAGAAAACTTTCAAGAGATGAAAGTCCTTGGACAATTCAATTTAGGATTTATTATTACAGAATTAAATCGAGATTTATTCATAGTTGATCAACATGCTAGTGATGAAAAATATAATTTTGAAAGACTTCAGGCCACAACAATTCTTGAATCGCAACCGCTGATTATGTAAGAAAACAAATTTCTCTCTAATTTTACTATATTTCTTAATTTCAGACCCCAACATCTAAAATTAACGCCAGTTAATGAAAGTATTTTGTTAGAAAACATAAGAATATTTGAAAGTAACGGTTTTAGATTTGAAGTTGATGAATATGGTATAAAACATCTCCTATTGACTATATATAAACTAAATTATGACGAATGATTGTATTTATAGAACAACCCGGTTGCCAAACTAAATTGATTAATTGTCCAACGTCTAAAAATTGGGAATTTGGCAAAGAAGGTAAATATACAATGTTGAACATAACCATTCTCATAAATATTGTATAAACTATATATTATATACATATATTTCCTACATATTAATATGTTAATTATAATAAAGACATAGAAGAATTGATTTACATATTGGCTGATTCACCGGTTAGTTGAATTCTAGATTACAAACAAGATTAATAATAGTAAAGACTAATAATCTATTTTAGGGTGTTATGTGTAGACCTTCCAGAATTCGTAAGATGTTAGCGTCTAGAGCTTGTAGATCATCAGTGAGTACTCTGAATAGCTAACTATTCACTCGTATTACAAATTTTATTTATAGATTATGATTGGAAGGGCCTTGTCAATGGCAAAAATGAGAAAGCTTATTGATAATATGGGAAAAATTGATCAACCCTGGGTATTAAATAAAAAATCTATATAATTAATAAATTGAAATTTAGAACTAATTTTTTTCCCCTCTTACAATAGAATTGTCCTCATGGCCGTCCAACAATGAGACACTTGATTAACTTGGATAGTGTTTGCCAAATTCAAGCTGCTAATTCCCAGTATGAATAATAAAATGGTTATAAGAAAAAAAATTCGTTCAAAAGGCCTATAACTTTAATAAATATGCAAAATTCAAATATTTTAAAAATACATTATTTTACAAGTTTTTTTTCTTAAAAAAAAATGATAAAAGATGGATTCATTACACTTTTAGTAATAGTTATATCAATATTAATTCATTATGATGCTAAGAAGATTACGTACCCTTCAATAACAATCAGAATAAATTGTACATTAGCATCAAGTCAATTGAAAAAGCAATGTAAACGAAATAGCGTAGATTTTCTAGTATATTTGAAAAGAATATGCAATAGGGCTGATTATAATTGTAAAATTGTAAGAAATCGTATTAAAAGTCTGTTTACTTACACAATTATTGGGAAATATAATACAACAAAGTTAAATATGAATGATCTCAAATTATTAACAATTGATAGAATTTCTAGAACGCTTCGTGGAAATGCAATAGTTGATGTTAATGAGACTAAGAAGGTTAGAAATAGGAGACTGGCAAATCCTTTTAAAACTCTATTCTCTTGGTATAATAATCTAGGTAATTGGTTATGGTGGACATTGCTAATTATACTTATATTTATTTGCATTGGTGTATTAATATGTATCTATAAAATATGGCAAACTTCTTGTCGTAAAGAACCTGATACCATAATTATTCAAGAGGCAAAGAATCCAGTTGAAAGTTATTTACAGGCGGCTATGCTTCATCAACCGCCTCCACAATCGGAAAACGCTGGAAATATTTCAAGTTCAACTGTTACCAGTAGTACAACTACGCCTTCTGATTCTTCAACAACAACAACAACAACAACAACATTGCTTAAGAAGAAGAAAAAGAAAAAGAAAATGATTAAAAAGGAAGATGAGAAGTGTAAGAGAAAAAAGAAACATTATTCAACAACCGATGATTCTAGTTGATTAACATTTTGGTAGAGTTAATTAAGAGATTGAGTTTGTTTTAATTAAGTTTATTATTGTTTTAAAATATTAATAAGATACTATTCTGAAATTATTAATTTATCACTCTTAAAAGTATCCCTAACAATACTTATTTGAGGGGATCTTACTAGTTGTCTCAATTCAATACTAGACCATGGACTGTTCTTCCAATCTTTCATTCTTTGCTCTTGAGCTAATTGTTCGTAAAACTGATTCTTGAAAAGTTTTTGCTGTCTTAAATTCCTATACTCAAGAGGAGTCATCATTGTCCAATTATTCTCCTGTATCGATTTAACACCCGTACTTTGTCTGCTTAAACTGGGCCTTGCCGATAATCCGGCAAATCTAGTAGTTCTAGCCGATTGTCTTGACGATAATATTCTCGAATAATCTTTCATAGGAGTCCTCGACGGTTGAGGACTATTTCTACACAATCTTGACACAACGTGTCTTCTTACACGAGTCTTAGATTCTCTTTTATACCTCCAATTAGCGAACAATTGCAATGATATTCTACTACCCACTGACAATTGTAGCTGCTGAATTTGTAATCCATCTATTCCCTCTGATCTTATAACTAAGGGAACAATTGCAGTAGATGTTGCTAAATATAATATATTTTCATTTTCAATTGTACTCAACCAAATTGAACTATTTATATAAAGCCCATGATGGACAAGATTATTTTCTTCGTTCTCTTCAAGATATTTTCCCGCGTGAATAATTCCAAGATTTCCCGTATTCGGTTTAATCTTTTCAATTAGTTGAGCTAAACTTGTTTTTATTGGAATAGTTAATTGAATATCTAAGTTTCCTTTACTTTTAATATTAAGTGATATAGTTTTTAATTGCAATTCTAGATGGATGATCTCATTTTGCCTTAATTCGATAATACGGAAATTCGAGGATAGAATTTGATTATTATGAAGAATATTCATATATTTAATCTCTTCTAATAGTTTCTCTTGTCTGAGTATCCTTTTAACGTCTTTAATTTTACTTCTAATATTTAGAGAAAACTGATGAACAACGCCAGATGGAGCTTTCACGGATAGTTTAAGACAATCGTTAGATTGTCCCTTAGGTTTATTATTAGTATAGACATTGGCGGTAATTATTGCTTTCTCATCATAATCTTCAGAGTCTAATAAAGGTTGATGTAATTTAACATGACCATGATTTAAGGCAATCGTTATCTTGTCAATAGAAATGCCCAGGAGAAAATGTAATTTTAATGCTATAATAAACCAAGTATCATACCTTGCAGATACCATTTCGAGGACTGTTCCCTTTGATAATACAATATGAATATCGATAATTTCCTCCATTCTTTCTAAACCGGTTGTGACTATTTTAACGATATCGCCAGGTTTTAAATTATACTTATTTAAGCATTCGTTACCCTTTAATAGAGTTCCATTCAATTTGAGCATAATAAGGTGTACGTACGATTCAATAGGCGGAAGAAAGTTTTTATAGTCGAACCTTACGCTTTCAGACAATGTCTGAATGATAATTGATTGAATAATCTCATTAGCTGTACTACATCTATTCGCTTCCGTTTGGTAGGTATCACCCCAGAATGTTTCAACAATAATGATAAATGGAGGGGAAGGTTGAAGAATCAATTGAATTTTTCCGTCCAGTTGTAAATTAGCCAATTGAGTTGAATTTTCAAGGATATCACCTTTAAATGTAAAATCAATCAAGTTGACCGGCCAACCTTTTAAGTCACTTAGCTTTTTCTTCAAGTGATAAACGGTTTGCATTAATTGAATATTTAAGCTACATATTTCCTCTTGTTTCCTCCATATTGTTAGATTAATACTCTTCTTTGGTAGTACCAATATAATGCTATCCAACAACGTGTGCGATAAAACCGATTTTATAGGCATAAATTTAGAATAAGCTCCTCCAATGGTAACTAATTCATAATTTGTTTGAATATCTAATTTATTCGAAACATAATTTCTGATTGATTCCAGAGGATTGTCCTCCAAATTTACAGTAAAAAGTTTATTGGGTGTTTTATAACACCAGAGAAGAGTTGATTTCTCCTTGTTCATACCTGAAGGCTGTAGGTAGAAATGATTAAAAACCCTTACTAAAAAAATTGGAGTGGACTTATTGTGCTCAATAAGATTCACAATAGTTTAGCGGTAATGTCAACATAATATTTATATATGTGACTCGCAATACGTGAATTCATGTCATTCATTGAACTGATAGGATTGAACAGCTTATTCCCATAAATATTTGTTAACTTGTATATAATTTATCCATGATGAATATGTTTTTTCCACAATCTATTCAATCCCCTTAGTCATAAAAAAAACTACCTCTTATCCGTTCCACATTGTTTGTTTGTTTGTTTGTTTTTAAATATTTCTTACCTGATCAGTTGTGTCTTCAGTGGAGAATTGAAATTGAAGGAAACAAAAAATACATTCTAAGGAAAGATATATAATGAATATATATGGTTGTTAAGTAAATATAATTGCGGCAAACAGAGTGCCATAGAGGTGACCAATCACTTTAACGGATGAAAAGTGGCGCTGACAATGATCAATTTATATTATTGATGTTGCGTTACAGCTTGTTTTAGCTTGCTATATTCATTCCTAGGTCTCTTTTACGTATAATGATAAAACATAAGGAACTTTGTACATATATGCATATATTGTATATAATATATACGCAAACTTATTGAAACTTTAAATATTCATATATGCAAATTTATATTATATTTTCGGAAATTTTAAACCCTTATATATAACAATAAACTTATTATATATACTTGTAAATTATTCATAAAATAAAATCTAGAATACATTAATATCAAGTCTTATTTAAATTATTGTTCAGACATTTCTAAGCTATAATTTATTAATAGAAAAAACAAGCTGTTAACGGTTAATTTATTGGTTTAATTCCTTGAAATAAGTAACTATTCAAGGGTGCTTTATGACAAATAAAAATTCCAACTACACGATATTTTATTGTATTTAAACAATGGAAATAAATTGAGAAATTAATTATAAAGAGGGAGAGAGGTTGTAAGGGGGAGAGAGAAAGAAATCTTTATTTTCTCTTTATCTATCTACCCACTCAATATTCTTATTAAATATATTCCTCTCTTCTAGATTATATAAATTATTGTTTAAATACTGTATTATTCTTCTTATACAATAGCCCTATTTATATATCATTATAAACATGCTTTTCACCCAACCCCTCTTTCCTCCCACTCTCTTTCTCTCTCTCTTTGTCTATCCTTCCTTCCTTCCTTCCTTCTCCTAATTGATTGATTTCAAGAAAAATATTAAGGAAATTATGATTCTATTTTGATTATTTGAAAACTTAAAAACGCTACTGTTTATTATATAAACACACAATTGTTTCGTTTTTACTAGTTTTCTTTTAAATAGTACAACGTTTAATTGTCTTATTCAAAAAGGAAATAGTAAAAGTAACACGATATATCTCTTAATCCTTAAAAACAGCGAGCTAAAAGTATATTAATCCGTATAGAATAGAACGTTATGGAGAAAGAAAAATTGTTCAATATATAGGCCTAATGAATAAGTATTATTGAAAATAGAGAAAACGAAGAAGAATTTGAACTTGTTTAGGTTGAAAACGTTTAGAGAAAGAAAGTTGAAAGAACGAAAAATATTGCCAGATATGAAAATTACAATAGATTTATTTAATAAATGGCTTTATTCGTTAAAAGATATATGTTCTTTCTTATTCTTTCTAAATAGAAATTTCATTTATTCCTTAGCTGGTAAAAGTTGATTGATCTGTGACGCTTATCGTCGTTTTATTTCCGGATTAATGGTCATTATTGAAAATTTTCACCCATTTTTCCATCCTTATTCCTTTCTGTCTCTACTTGATTTGAAAAGAATAATGTTTCTAGTGGTTATATTATTTATTCGTGGGGTTAAATTAGGATGGAGTGACAGATTGCCCATAAAAGAGACATAACAGTCTAAATAGATCAGAGGACTATCTGACTGCACCCTTAAAACATTTATAAAATGATTCAGTGTTAATATCTATTAGACTAGCGAGAAAAGATATTCAAGTTAATAATCCAATTTAATTAACTAAACCAAACCAAGTCTATTTTCTCTTTCTTTCGTTTTTTCTTTATTCTTTTAAATGAACAATTGTAGACGACGCGAAAATTTGGTTCTTACTTTAAAAACTACCGTTAAAATATAATACATAAGCCTAGAAATTAACAACCCAATAAATAATCTAAAATCGATCGAGAGGTTGGCTTGTATTCTCAAGTAGAGGTGAATATCCGTAAAATGATTTGAGGGACAAGATAGGAGAGCTTTGCCTGCACTTTATATAATAAAACGTCTTGTTTACTTCCTAGCTTTAAGTTATTTTATATAATAAAAAAAAACATACTTGTCACCAATTTTTAAATATGAATTATTTTATATACAGTATAGTTATGAATGTATGTATACATACGCTGTAAATATGCTATGAGTTACAGTATCCTCTAATATAAGTTCTGCTCTGTGTTTTTGGGTTTATCATCAACATATTCTTTATATCTCCAAAGATGGATGACGTTCAAGAGAACGTAACTGAACGTTTTAAAGGAACTTCTGTTCAAGTTGACGTTACAGATCCGTTTTATCCTCTTAAATTTATATTCTTACTAGTTGCAATATTACTCGCTTTGTACACGTTCTTTCACGGATTGTCCTTTAGTTGCGGTAAAACAAAGGCAAAGATAAGGCATTTTAGTTCTACTGCATATGTAAGAAGAAAAAATTCAGAAACATCCGAAATTCGTCCAGGAAGTAGTGAAAAAGCAGTAGACGACTATGACGAAAATATTAAGAGAAGTGACGAGTCTCCTTATTTCATGTTACAAAAATAACCTTGTAGTATATAACTGAGTTAGTATACACGATAGAATATTAAATCATATTCAACATTTAAGTAAAATATAATGATATACGTGAGTTCCAGATTAATCTTTTAGCATTAAATAAACTGAGCTTGTGAAATGAAAGCTGCAAATTACCAATTGAAAATGATTAAATATTCCGATCACTAAATGTTAAAATGGAATGTATAAAATTATTTTGCTCTTCTGTACAGGAACTGTCTGGTCTTCAACTAAGTAAAGTTACCAGACTATCAGACATTAACATTATCAAAAAGTTCAAAGTTTATTAAAGACGTCTTCCTTTTTCTAACATCAACAAAACGTTTTGCACTAGCAAAGTCCCTTGTTTAACAACAGCAGCTGCAATATCCTTATTATCGTAGTAGACAAAGCCATAACCTTTTCTGGAATTAGCGACATTAGTTACATTACCAAAAGACGAAAATACATCCTTTAGCTTTTCATCCGACCAGAAAGCTGGTACGCTTTTAACATACACTAAGAATTCATCATATAAAGGTTCAGATTTGTCTACTGCATGATGCAACTTATCTCTTGTTTGCATTTCTTTACATTCAATTCTTGTCCCTTTGAGATCTATATATCGTGTTTTCAAAATAGCTCTTACTTCTTCGGCTGAGGAAAATGTCACAAAAGCATAGCCCATTTTCAAAGTCATTTTCTCTATAAACCCATAATCATAGAGAGAAGTTCTCAACTCCAGTTCAGTTGTACCAAGTGGTATACCACAAATGAAAAATTCATTCAAAACATGGTTCTTTCCTGTTAATAAAAGATAGAAAGAATAAAGAAAAAAATTAAAGTTTCTTTACAAATGTTTTGTGTTTTGTTATAAACTATTGCAAAATATATTTACCTAGTGCTCTATTTTCGTTCAATTTTGCGTTCATAATATTGCGTTCCAATTGTGATGGTCCCTTATCTATTGGAAATGAGTAAGATCAGTGAAATTATAATTGAAAAAAGAAAAATTCAAATAAAATGGCAGGTATAATGATGTTTAGAGCCGTGTACCATATTTTTTATTTTGAACCTTAATGAATCTCACAGTTGTAAATGTGAGTATAACAAGGAGGCAACTGAGATGCAATTCATAAACCACTTCACTTAATAGAGAATAGACTTAAGAATATTTACTTATAGGTGTTCCACTAGGTACGATTTTCTTGGAAGTTACAACTGTGTCTGTCTCTTCATTCTTTTCCTAAAAAGTACCATATTTAATTTCTTTGAATGATCAATTAGATAAGCTGTGTCGTTCAACTTAGAAAAGAAGCAGTGTTTACCGATTTTAAAGATGAAATGACTTTTCTTTTATTCAAAGCCAGATGGTTTGTAATCATTCTCCTGCATGCTGAAATTGAGGCTTCCTTTGGGGTCTACAAAAATAGATTTTAAATCAGCAACTTTTGTATTTATCTTGAATATAGATAGTAAAAACTTGCATCTATTGCTGGCAAGCAAAGTGGGTCCGTGATGTCCTTGATATTATCAAGAGAAACCTCCCTCGATTTGTCGGATTCATTCTTTCTATTCCGAAGGGCTAATTGACGAAGGTTATCACCCAAAACATCCAGATCCTAAAGAAGATAACTTGTAAATTTTTTCAATAAAAGTAAAAATTCAAACTTGTTTCTTAGTATCCAAAATGCTGGTATCGTTTCTTTTCTCTAAATGTTCATCCTGGTTAACTCGATTAACAACTATAGAATTAACTTTGTTGTTATCAGAGAGATCAAGGTTTTCGATGGATTTTCGTATTCGTTCAAAAGGAATACCTCGTTTTGGTGTAGAATTTTCTGAGGATTTATTAACCTGAGAGATGTTATTTTCACATGATAGTCTTCTAGGAAAAGAACTCGTAGTCAGTGGTTTTACTTCAACCGATTTATTGCTTTCTGAATCAGCAGAAATACAATTCTCCAAAGAATTTAGCTTTCGTCTCGATGAATCGGACTTGGGTTCAAATTCGATTCGAGCAGGTTGAATTCTTGATAAAGTCGCACTGCGCTTCCCAGTACTTTCAGATTCTAGAGTCTTACTTGATGCATCGGGATTAACTATCACCGTACATTTCTTAGGTGCTGGAGTACCGAGATTTCTTCTGAGGTTTATATCCCGTTCATCATCTTTCATATTATAAGGATTCCTATTCTCCCTATCGGAAATAGCTGTTCCTCTGGCTTGCACACCGCGAGAAAAATTTTCTGAGGGGCTATTGTAATGACTTTCACTTGAACGACTAGCACATCCAGAATTAAATACCGGGGAACCCTATTACAAAACGTAATGAAAACGGTAAAACTAACTTAAAATATAAAAATTAACTGACTTCTCTTCGGGTTGCTACGGTCGGTTTATTACGAAAGGGATCGTTCATGATAGCCTGATAGGATTAAAGATTTCGTTATTTTAATTCTATCATTCTTTAAGTTTGAAAACACACCCTTAGTCTTGATGTTGAAGAAGTACAGCTACTTCTTGATGAAATCTTCAAAGAATTAGTTGCTTAGATATTTTAAAAGACTAATATTGATAATATACTTACTTCGCTATCTTGACTTGAATTATTTTTATTTCTGGCCATATCTAAAGCCACATCAGACCTTCTGACACACGCTGACGTAGTTGTATTTCCTCTTGCCTGTAAGGAAAACGTGCATCAACACTACGGAAACTTTCAAATTAAAACACTTACTAAACTGTATGACGCAGTCGAGCTGGTGTTCTCCCTAGATCCTATTGAGCTCGTAAAAGTGCCCTTTCAAGATTAAAAAGTAAAAATCGAGAATTATTACAAAAATTTCAACATACACTTCTAGTATTGGGAGGAAAGCTTCTGCTTGGCATCAACTTTTGCTGGCTCTAAATATCAGTGCTTAATATTTAACTGTATTTTTTAATCAAAGCTCTAGTAACTTACTGTTCTGTTTCTAATTTCATTCAGTGCCATTCTGGATGGCATGCTAGATCTACAATCACAATTGATATAATAATATTATATATTTCTAAGGAAATACTACCTTGAAAGAGATCCACCTCGGTTTGAAGCAAATCTTCTATTTCGCATACTACAATTCACAACTGGTCGAAAATTCCCTCTGGTATCAAGTCTTTTCGCAGTTTCAATTCGCTTAGTTAGACTTTTAAGTTTTCCCCTCTTCTGTTGTTGCACCATTTTATGGATATGCTTGTCTTGAGCCGTTGGAATAGCAAAAAACACGTGTATACCGTTGTGGACTTCCATCCGACCTACATCGGGGTACTTTGTGAAGAAGTCGACTTCACTAATCTTCATCTCTTCGAATGGGTTAGGCCTAATCCCCAATTCAAGAAAACTCTTCCTTAACTCTGGTAAAGTCTGTCCGTGTTTAGCCGAAGTAAGTGTTGCGCGAATTGCTTGTTTAAAACTTTCTAAGCGATCCATACTCACTGAAACGAAATCAGAATTGCCCAAGTGGGCTATGACAAGAACCTGGACAAGAACTTTACGAACAAAAACTTTTATATATTCTGTCCTTAAAAAAAATTTTGTAAACTTTTAGATGACAATGCTGTAATGTGCGAAGACGGTAGAGCGCATGCGCCAAATCTTCCACACTTTTAATGGAGTTTTCTAAGTCAAGTTTTCACTTTTTTAATAATTGGCCAGTAAAATACTGGTAATAAATTCCATGACAAAATTTTAATTTAACTGAGATCTATAACTCTCTTGAGTTGCAAAAGTGTACACCACGCTTAAGTGAGGCGCGTAATTACCGGCCTATAACGCTTCTTCGATGTCTATGAAATATTTCACGAAGGCCAAAAACGAATGAGTACAAGTCATCATAAAATTAACTTCACTTACTGTTTATATATGAAATTTGAAGCACACAGTCGACACGCTATTCACCAAATGAACTAGGAGGGAAATTTGAACAGTTCTGCACTTTAGTGACGTAATAGAAAGGCATTACGACATGTCACCAGATTAAAATTAAACGGGGGACCTGTTAAATTTCAATTTATAGGTCAGAATATAACGGTTGAAGAGGGATCCAAGCTTTTTTCAAGCTCCAAAAAAAGTGACCTACAAAATTCCTATGAGTATTTTTTTTCTGATTTATTAAAAAGAAATTTTCAAGGAATAGTTTTCGAAGTACTATCTCATTATTGTAATATAAATTTTAATCTTCAGAATTAATTTTTATAGAACATTTTAGGGTTATTTTCGTTCGAACATTACAGATGTCGCTGATTGATCGAACATAACCATTGATTTTTAAAAAGAAACCGTCAAAAACTTATATAATACAACCAAAAATAATGCATAATAAGTAATCTAATGTCTATTACCCATTCTTACATGCTTAATTTTACTAAATTTGAGCACAGCACCTATAATTCATTTAAAAAAAAACACACACACATACGTTTGAAATGGCAATGAAACTTGATGCTCAAACTTACATTATATGCATAATGCTCGTGGAACTAAAGTAAAATATTATCCTATAGTAATTTATATATTATAATAAAAAACTGTAGTTGTGAATGCACTTAAAAAAAGCGAAATAACTAGAAAAGTGGATGGACCAAATCATTAATTTAAAATTTTACATGGCTGACATAATTTTAATTTAAAAATAAATTCTATTAATTGATCAATGAAGTAATGACCGAGCAGAATTCTTCACAACAACCTATTAAGAGAACCTATTGGCGAATAGAGAATGATCAAAAGTTAGAGAGAAGACTACAAGCGGATTTCGTCCACGTGCCAAATTATGGAATAGCAATCTACGCTTATATTTTACATCCGGCAAAACGTTTTGATTGTTTTCATTTTGCTGAAAGAAATCGTCTATATTTATGTGAACATTTAAGGAACATTGTTGCTGAACAAAGTGGTATAACGCCCATGTTTGTTGATTTATTTGGTCTGTTTCATTTGGACTTGAAGACATTGGTACCTTTAGGTGAAAAATTACAGTGCGGCAGTGACATAACTAATGAATACGTTTTAAGAATGGCTTGCAGACCTTTACAACTGGATTACTTATTCTCAAGCACCTATAAAGATACAGCAGATACCGGTGCAACTCAGTATATTTTCTTGCAATGTAGAGACGATTATATGGAGGATAGAGTGAACTTCAACAATAAATTGATAAGAGATACGGCCAAAAATTGGGCGACTCTAATTGCTTCATGCTTTCCAGAACAGAAAATTAGAAATGCCAAAGATATTGATCCATTAGTCGCACAGCAGAAATTTGTTACAGAATTATTCAGATTAGCTCCGGATTATGGTTGTTACATAGCAAAAGGCAGGGAAAGTCCAAATGGCGTTAGTTATCAAGTTGTTGTTGATGCTAATCATGCGTCAAATCCTGGTATTTGTGTTTATACCAGATGGCATAGGACACAATCTGTAAGATATCATTAATTTATTACAACTTTACGGCGAACACTGATGCTTAATTTAATAAATAGCATTTACTTCGTTACGTAGGCCCTTTAGAGAGTATTACGGATGTAAATGTTAAGTATGAGAGTGATATGGCAATGGCAGTTATGACCATATTTACTGACCAAGTTTCGCCTAATGGAGAAAAGGCTACAAAATTATTCTTTGATGCTGAATTGATAGCTTATGGATTTGCTGCAGCTATTTACATGTATTACAGAATGTCTGTGTCATTTCATATTAAAGAATTAGTCTTTCCCCCATCAATCGGCTCTCCGATGCTTGATGCATTATCAATGTGGCATTGCCACGGACCAATTACGTAAGACTCTTCATATCTCTTCACTTCCATAATTAGGCTAGAAAAATTTAATAGTTGTCTGAAATTAATTTAATAGAGAAGAGTTTGCTAAAAAGAGAATGATACATGAAAAATCAAAAGGTTATTACATTGTTTTTCAACATTGTACGATATGGTATGTCGCAATCTATTAAGTCTTGAAGAAAAATATATAATTTATGATAGCTATATTAAAAAATATGGTGTGTTTCCTAGAAAGGCTTATCGAAAATGAATCTTTTATGAATAGGTATAGATTTCATCTTCACTTTTGGCACGTTTATGAGGGTGGTCTTGACATTCGAAGGGCGGAAATTCAATATGACAGATGGAAAAAACAATTCTATTTAGATTCTCTTTTCTCAGAATCGGGAAGAATGATACACATATCCCGTCAACCAGCCTTTGATACGTTAGGAAGACTTGTTGATTCCTACAAGAAACAGCGGCATCTTTCCCATTCGGCTTTAAAGGTTAAGAGAAGTATTAGACCTATAGAAAGACCAATCAGTTAGTTTCACTTTGATAAGTCTAACTTTAATTGAAAGTTACATAAAAAATCAACTTGTTTTTAGAATCTTCCCTTGGTTTAATTAGTGGTCTTGAATTGTGTATGGCACCATCTCCATTGCCTTCGTTCATTAATCATCAAGCTTATCAAATTCCAAGTGAACTACTATTGGTAAAAAACTCCCTAGGAAAGGGACTCTATACAGAAGTTCTAAGGGCTGAATTAAAGAAAGAACTCTCCGATCACGTCGCTTTAAAAAGAGTATTATTTCCAGAAGAATCCTCTCTAGAATCCTCAAAAGAAATGGAGGTAATGCATCAGTAAGATAATACTTTTGAAAAGAGCTTAACAAAATGTCTACTTTTCGATAGCAACACTTACAAGCTACCGCAACTGTTATTCAAAACTGGAATCATCCTAATTTAATAAGGTTTTACGGTGTTAGCCACATGTCAAGCTTGTGTATTGTTATGGAATATTGCCCGTATTGAATTTTTCCATTTGTATAAGGAAATTTATAAAGTAATTACTTTTTTAAACAGCTTCGGTAGTCTCATGACATTTTTTTCTTATCGACCAAAACTTTTTTTGGAGCATCTCGTAGCCATTTGCTCTCAAATTCTATATGCTTTTCGTTACTTGGACAAAATGGGATCTATACATGGAAATATCCACGCAGGAAATGTTATGGTATTTGTTTAGATTTTTTTCTTTTCATAAATATGTTTTAGATTGTCAATTGATGATTAACAGGTGAGCAAATATAATCGTCAAACTGGTGATGTTCTTGTCAAGGTAACAGATCCGGGCGTGGTAACTTATGCTGATGAGCAATCGTTAGTTGATTCAAGTAATTTAGGTAGACTACCGTGGTTAGCACCTGAACTTTTTAGCGAGTTATCGAGTGTCTCGTCAAAAAGTGATATGTATGCTGTTGGTACAACTCTATGGCAGGTCTTGACAGCCGGAGACCTTCCTATTTGTGAAGATTCACCCGACGTCTTATTAAAACAGTTGAGTAAGAAAAAGTTTCTACCAATACCTGAGAATTGTTCAGTGAATAACGGGACCGGTTAGTTTATTCAAGATAATGTCTTAAACTCAATAATATCAGTTATTAATATTTTAGCTCCTATTTATATGGATCTGATGAGAGGATGCTGGAAATTTCGATCTGAAGATCGTCTAACGCCATCTCAATCTTTAGTTATAATGCACAAGGTGTCTGAAAATTTACAAAGAAGAACATTTTGCGTGAAATATCCATCAAATATTGAAACTACTTCGCCATCATTATTGGGTATCAAAAATAAACATTCACTGGGCTTAGTCTCTAGTAGTGCTAAGAGAATTATTCCAACGGACTTATTTAGAAATGCTACAGATATCGAATTAGATAACGACACTGCATTGGGAGAAGGATTCTTTTGTCAAGTTTTCAAAGGCTTTTTAAATGATCATGCAAGTAAAATACCCTGTGCTGTTAAAGTTCTAAAAACTGCAAGAGAAGACGATTTAGAAGAACTTTTAGAGGAAGTTTCAATTCTAGCTCATCTGAGCCACCAAAATATTGTGAAAGTTTTAGCTATGGTTGATAGTAGACAAACAGCTGACGGCACAGTAATGCTCGTAATGGAGTTTATGGCGGGTGGAAGCTTACTAAGTGATTTGCATAGATTACGTGATAGCGGGTCGCATATGGATTATATTAAATTATTGAAGTACTGTTATCAGATCTCTTACGGTCTTGATTATCTACATAGATGTGATGTTATTCATAGAGATTTGGCAGCTAGAAATATTTTATTGACGGCTGACAAAGATATTTGTAAAATATCCGACTTTGGTCTGTCAAGAATATTAGATGAGACTGACTATTACACTTTATCACACTCACAAAAGTTTCCTATTCTCTGGACAGCTCCTGAAGCGATGGAAACTTCGAAATTTACAAGGAAAAATGACATGTGGGCGATGGGTGTAACAATGTGGGAAGTGTTTACATTAGGAGATAAACCTCGTCATGGACTATTACCAGAGCCTCTCGAAAAAGGAGTAAGAATGAAAACATTGGTATTAAGGAAATTAAAATCTGGCGATAGACTTCCAAGACACAGGGGCAATATCTCTATTCCAAATGACATATATACATGTATCAGAGAATGTTGGCACCTGACACCCCAATCAAGACCTACGGCTTTGGAATTGGCTAACATGATAAGTGGATTGTTGGACAGGTATGATGAGCCGTATACGATGAGGGTGGGACGAAAAACTGGATCTGTGATGATGTAATGAATACGCTTTCCATCTTCTTTTCCTAATTATTTATATTTAATTAGTTGTTATATAAAAATATTATAATTTCGAAATTATGACCTATTCATTTTTTTCTATAAATAATATCAATATTAAATATTCATTATTGTGACAGTTCTTGAGTATATGTTTTATAATTAATGTTATAGTTCACAACTGGCTATTCTGAAATATTTATAATTATATCAAGTTTGATAAGGCTAATTTACATTATTCTCATTAATTCAAAATCATCTTATATAGTTTAGGTAATAAATCTGTGCTTTTGTATCAACAAAGTAATTCTCCACAGGAGATTGCATTGCTTATAAATTAGCCTATTAGGTTACATCAATGCAACTATACTCTTATAATTAAATTGTTGATATATGCTACAGCTTTTAGTATAGAATGGGGGAAGTTGAAAGTTATCAGCGATAAAGAGAAACTTTCTCCTTGAGTTGGAGTTGTTAACTGGTAAGTCATTTTGGTTATTTCGCCTATCGTGTCACGGTCATGTGACCTAACAAGGATAATATTTTCCATAAAATTAAAATAGTACTATTTTGAATCAACTACATTTGACTCTCGATTAATAGTAAACATTATGTTTTTGTTAAATAACTATATTTAGAACTAATACTTAACTTCATTTTTTATGAACTATATACGCCAGGTTAATTACTTAAATTGACAGGAATGTGTACAAGTTGAAACTCATAGATTTGTACAAATAATACTAAAGAAATGTTTATGATATTTAATCAATTTACCAACTCGCTCATTATTATTTTTATCTATTAAAGAGATGTACTAATTTATGAATATCACAGTATAAAATTTAGAACAATTTTCAGTTTGGAGAAAGGACAATAAAAATGTTCATAATAGACGAAGTCAATTCATTTGGAGAGGAAATAATAATCATCGAGAAACAACGTTTACCTAAATATCTAAAACTAACTGCAGGAGGTCATGAATTTATAATCAAAACTCAATTTGCCTGGTTATGCTCCAGTACAATAAGAAAGATGCTCTCTGGTAAGCATTATATATATATACTCTTTTATTCTTAAATAGTCAATTTAATAATTTTAATAAAATTAAATATATATAATTTATTACTAGGTAATTATAAGGAAGGAACTGGAGAAATATTTACTGTCCGTTTCAAAGACATGCAGTCTCATATACTTGAGAAAGTATGCGTTTATATTATGTTTAAGGCTCATTACGCTTGTAGCTTCTCAGCGATCCCTGAGTTTACTGTCGACCCGAATATATCTCTTGACTTGCTTATTGCTGCTCATTATCTGGATTGTTAGTTTACTGAGCGTGTAGCTTGATTTATTATACTTAATCTAACTGACAATTTTTATTAAAAAAAAACTGTATTAAATGGAAAAAGAAATCCTTGAAAATTTTTACGAGTTTTACAGAAGAGATAGCTAATTACGAAAAGACAAAAAAAATATAAACAGGCCTATATATATATATGAAAAAAATTGCTCATGTCCAAAATGGCTAGTATCTAGCATGAAAATGAAAAAATATACTTGTATAAAAGAAATTAGTAGTAATGAAGATTATGACTCATCGCTGAGAAGTCGTAGACTCGTGAACATTCATTATAGATGTATTCTGGATGAGGGTGCATTTCAGTAATTGGAACAGGAACAAATTGTTGCTGTAAATGGTATTGCATTTGGGGAGGGTATGATGGTATTGGGTGCATGTAGGCAGGAGGCTGTTGCTGCGGTGGTTGCTGCCATAACAAAAATTCTGCTACTCTCCTAATCATTACGGCTGATGACATTATCTTGGCGTGCTCAGATTTTTCATAGAGTTTTTCGGTTTTTGCACATAAAGATCCACCAGTTTTAATGTCAACTCTACAAGTACAAGAAAAATATATTTTTCCACTCTCAGTTACCGTCCTCTCAAATATCCAAATGGGAGTTTCTAGTCTATTTAAATCATCACCAAATTTGCAAAATGCCAATAGCATATTAACAAAACCATTTGGATCAAATCTTCGAGCTCCAAGATGTGATTGGCGATCAGTTTCCAATCCAGGTACAACGTCTAGACGATAAAATTTGAAGCGATTCGTTATCCTTTCAACTAGGGGATTAGCCATTTTAAATTGAGCCTTTGAGAGAACAACTGATAGTTCTTGACCTTTGAAGACTCTACCATTCATAATCGAAACGGCGAGTACACCATCTTCGCTTGTTTTCATATCGATAAAGGCCGCTTCATTAAAACATTTCACGTTTGCCACGGCATCCGGTTTTCCAATTGCCTTATTAAATTCTTCGCAAAGCTCTTCAGGCGTTGTATCGACCCCTACGTTCCTAACAAACAAGTGTTTCATACTTTCCGGTCTTTCACCCATAAATGCAACATTGACTTGCTTATGCTCCGGTTCAGCCCATTCGCCACAAATAGTAACTCCACCAACTTTAACTTTCTTCTGAATTATTAATTTTCTAGCTTTGGCTGCTAGACGATTATTTTCAAATTGAATAAAAGCGAATCCCCTATTACTATAATTAGGTGGATTAGTGCTATTCTTATATATAGTTACGTCCACTACACCCGCTAAGACTTTTGATAGATCATTGAGTATTTCGTCTTTGGTCAGAGTCCTTTTTATGCAAGTTATATACAACTCTCTATTATCGATGCTTATTTTTACCGAAATGGGGCAACCGGGTCTAATATGAGCGCCATTCAAATTATCAACAGCCGCTTTGGCGCCTTCGGTCGATGTATACTTTACAAAAGCGAAACCTTGGGTGTTTAGTGCATCCCAATCTTCCATCATTAACCTTGTCTCATACAATTCTCCGACAGTACTAAAGAAAGGTACCAACTCATCTTCCAATAAATTACGGGGTAGTGAATTAACAAAAACTTCCGAACCTCTTTCCGGATTAAAAGTCTTTAGTGGTGGCCTTGGTCCAAAAGTTCTTTGTCTTTTCTCGCGGTAAATGGTACAGTCGAACTTCTTGCATACATCTTCAATTTTATCTTCAAGAACTATCTCTCTTCTTTCTTTAGCTGCCATGTCAATGCTTCACCACCAAATGACAGACGTAATAACCCACTTTTGGTATGGCGTGGGAACTTTCTGGATAAAAAATTGACTTTCAATTGCTGATTGGCTAGTTCACTATCTTAAGTTGCTAATAGGCTTTGATTACGGTAGATAGTTGCTCTGTGATATAAATACCCCCTCTAATTTTCCCATGGAACTTTTAAATTTTCTTTGTTTCCCACAAGAATTACGCAGAACTTTCTAGAATTTCATCATGTCTGGTCTGGCAGCCGACGTACTCACAGACAGACAGACAGGCGTCACCCTTTTTTTATATACCACATTTCTAATAATTCTAATATTTATAACTAATATATATATATATATATATATATATCTAAGCTGCAATTGTTTATCAATATGTCATTTTTTAAATTTTATTAACAAATAAACAATTCGTTTTAACAGGCGTATAAAGAAAGTAGTTTCATAATAATCCTTTTCTTGAATTTTTAGAAAAAAGTGGGTTTCACGCGGTAGATCCCTTCGCCCCTTTCAATAATAAATCCTCTTTACGATTTACTAAAAATTTTTTCATATCAAATTTCTTATAATCTATTAAGAGAGAATAAGATATATATAATTATCATTATATGTAATAAAAAAGCCATTAACAGACTATTATTATCTAAAGAAGGATAGTTTCTCTACTAACCGTTATCGCTTATTGGAGTTTTGTTTTGATAGTAAATTAAATAGTCGATACTTTGATAGTTTTTTCGTGTGGCTTTGTCCTGAACCCTTTTCATAGCTATTGAAGAAGAAAGAAACAAAATTATACTAGTGGTAAAGAAAGGAAGCATTAGTTTCATTTTATCAATTAAGAAACATCAATATTGTTTGAAAAATGACCTTTTATATTCAGTATATATTTATATTATTATATAATAATAATAAGACATACAATATATGTCTAAATATATATATAACGTAAATCTCTTCTACTGTAAATTAATCATAGTGAGAGAGAGAGAGAGAGAGAGAGAGAGAGAGAGAGAGAGAGATGTAGGAGAAAACTATAATAATTAATCTTTTGCTGAAACGTACTAGTTAAGAGTATTGAGAAACACTGCCATAATAATTCTCCCAGCAATAATGACTGGAAAATATGGTTTAAAAAAAAAACCAACTGAAACAATAAATTTTAGATGAAGATATCTAAAAAAACCCCTCTGAAGTCCATTATTGCTTTTGTATGCATATATTTTTTATAAGTCTGATAAGCTACATAAAAAGTGAAAGGTTATAAATAAATATACTAGAATCATTTGAGAGAAAGAATTAATGCTATATCTATATTTTTTATCATAGATTCAGTTTAATTAATGAACAGAAGGTGGCTTTGGTTTGAACGATTGTTATATTGTTTATATATATACTGTATATTTAAAAATATCTATAAAATATTAGAGAGTTTTCCTACCTTCTTTCATATATGAAACACATGCTTTGTGATTCCAAGAGGAATCAAATGGTCTAGATATCAGAGATTTTTCATCAAGGCGGTTTTTTTGTCGTTTATTTTTGCCTTCTTTAAAGACTGGAGTTTGCGGGATGCTGAACAAAATAAAAAGAAGAACGTAAACGAACACGAAAAAGTGCTTCTAAAAGAACGTACTCTTTGTCGAATTGATATAATGCTTCGAAGTCGCGTACCCTTTTGAGTTGTTGAAAATTCTTTTCTGGATGACCTATGGGGGTAAACAATGAAATATCATGGTCACAGAAAAATTTATAATCATAATATTTTAGATATAATATTTAATGTTATTTATAGTAAATTTGACAAATACATACCTACTCTTGCCTTTGTAATGCGGTCAGTCTTTTGATCCATAACTTTAAACATGATTCACGACCTTCACTTCAGTTGACGCATGCGCAAATGATATGTTTCTCCCTCGAAGAATATTTCCGTCATTTTGCGTCACTTCCTGTCGTCTGCTAGGCTACAGAATAAAGAGTCTAAAGGATGGAAATATGGCATTGAAATCACCGGCCGCTGAAAGAAATAAGGAGCCTATACTCCAGGTTTTAAAGGAAGTATTAAAACCGCAGGATGAAAAACAAGCCGTTCTAGAAATAGCAGCAGGTTGACATTGACTAATTAATATATTACCTTCAGCAATTTTTTTCTTTTTAATCACAATAAATAGGCACTGGTCAACATGCAGTATACTTCTCTCAGAATCTAACCCATCTGACATGGCTACCAACAGATTGTGACGAAAAGTATTTAAAGAGGTATAAATTATTTATCTCGCTTAATATTATTGTTTAATGTTTTTTAAAAAACTTACCCTTTTTATTCATAGTATACGAGATCATATAGAAGCAGCTTCCGGAAGATGTTTCAATGTCCAGACACCACTTCTTTTGGACGTCACAATTAATCCATCAAATTGGGCCAGTGGAAAATTAACAAATAAAACTTTCGATGTGGTATTTAATTCTAATATGATGCATATAAGTCCCTTTCTCTGCTCTGAGGTACATTTGTTGTTTTTTTCTTATTTTATACTTTTTTTCATATGCAGCTTGTAAATGTTTATTGAGCAAGTTGATATATTTTTTATAATCTTATTATAGGGTTTATTCAAGGGCAGCGGATACTATTTAAAGAAAGGTGGTCTACTAATAACTTATGGGGTAAGCTTTCTTTTATTAATCTTTCATCAAGCTTATTCAACTCAATTTATTATTTTTCCATTTTCAGCCTTATAAATTGCATGGAATAATAACGCCGGAAAGTAACGTTCAATTCGACAATATGCTACGACAACAGTACGTAGAAATAGACATTAAATAGATTTATTACAATTACACGAAGCTTATCTATGCAAATATGTATAAATATGTGCGGTTGATAGTATATTTACATAACGATTTATATGGTTATCGTATTAAGGAACGCAGAATGGGGATTGCGCGATGTCGACGAATTAGAAAAGTTAGCCAAAGAAAATGGAATGCAATTGGAAAAAATGGTTTGTTTCCCATTTCCTTCTTCTCCTTTATTTTCGTTTTTCCTGTATATGCTACTTTATGACAGAGATGAAATTTTCTTAATCCCTTACAGTTCGATATGCCGAGTAACAACAAGATTCTTTTATTCAGAAAAGACTAATATTTGTCACCAAAGATGGCGCTATATTGATTTTATTGCCTTTAAAAATATAATTTACCGCTACTCACTGAAATATTAATTGATAAAGCCTTCCGTTGCTTACTTTCTTCACCGTATTGATTACAGGATAACTAACTTTAGCCGTCTAACTATCTTAGTATAGGCTGTACACAGCTTGACTATAGATAACTAAAAGATATATATGTGTATGTAATATACAATGAATATATAGTGGACACAAGAGATATAAATTGAATTACTGATTTTCCCGTAAAAGAATATCATACAAATAAGTAATATACACATGTACAAACGGCCTTATAAATAAAAATACAGTAAAATGTGTCTAATTTTACCTACGTGTTGTATGTATATAGTATTTGGAGCTGTGTGTAAATAGACGGTTGTATTAATGCAAGAAAAAATCCCGTTAATACAGAAGGCTGTCAGCTTGCAAATTCCTGCAGCATAATTATTGTACTCGGTCGTCCCAGATGTACGATTGATTAATCCGAGTGTAAATAGGATATCTTCTATATTTATACCCTTAAATTCTTCCTTTCTCTCACCCCTGTTTTGATTAACAATATCTTAAGACGTTGTCTTGTCGATTGGGTATGGCTAAAAAGTAAAAAAAGAAAAAGTTAGACGCCTGATAAGGTATATAGCGCGACGCCAGTTGATATATGTCTAGTCCGGGCAGAGGCGGAGACGCATAGACGCTGGCCGGTCTTACTACATATTCTTAACATGCTAGTTTTTAGTCGGTTACGATGAGCGTCTATTTCAACTTAAATCGTAATAAAACCTATCGTAACCCGGAAGAAATTCCTTTGACTAGCGTCCGTACACAATCCTCTGCTGGTGATACTAGTACGGATGACGATTGCGAAGGATCGCCCCTACACACATCTTGGACTTATAAGAAAAACGGAGGATCGACGTCATGGAGGTTTGCGTCTGTATAATTCATTTATTCTTTATTGTATAAATAATAATGCTTATTATAGAAATAATAATAATAATGATAATAGTATTTTTTAAATAATTTTTACCTCACGGGAACTTCAGACGTGTAAGGGAGAGAGAGAGCGCGATTTACGGTCGATCATGTGGGATTTATATATGCCCGGAATGAAAGTTTACTAATTTTCTCCAGCCGTGCTGCATTAATGACGCAGCGTTTAGCGTGCGACTGTCTTATTCTTTTTGAAAACCGTCTCTTTTCCCTTCCCTTCTTCATATCCCTATCCAAATCGTAGAAATGTAGTATCACTTACTAAATCTGATATAATTAATACGTAACAACGATATATGGAAGCTCTATAGCGCATGAAATCAAGTCTTGCGGCTGTATGATGAATTAGTTTACTCAGCCTATATTAGGCCATTGAAAAACGTGCAAACACTTACTAGACCGCAAACTCTCGAGAAACAATTATGGCACGTCTTTCAATCATTTGCCCACCAACGTGACAGGCATGACGAACTATGACGAGTTGACCTCCGTAGGTCATCTTGGCCGAACCGTCTAAGCAACAATAGGCGTAATTGTCGACCGCCTCTCTAAATCGAATAATATATCGCTATCGAGCGCCCCGATAATTTACGCCGCCGTTTATCGAATTTTCTTGTTTGTTTGTTTTTTTTCTCCCTTTTCTTGCGCGCTGTTCCTTATCTCTCTGTCCATTTTTTACATACTTTGACGCTTCGATTTGATCAAAGTAGGAAAAAAGCGCTTATCGGCCTCTAAACGACGCTCTACGGCGTCGAGCGACCCTGCCATTGCTATCGGTTAATAAGCGTCACGGAAATTTTCTCTCTCGTTGATGTTCTATAAATACTTTTATACGCCAGTACGATGCCCCAGCTGGCCTCTGTCCAGCAAGCAAGCGCCGTGATTGCTGATAGCGTCGACAGATTGCAGTTGACCTATATTTGAAAATAAAAGCCCGCCCTTAATGACTCGATTGTCCAAGAGATGGCGCAACCTGAAATGCGACAGTCAAATTGATGGGAAACAAGAAAAATCGGAAATATTTCTTTAGCTGTCAATAAATTCTCTATACAATAAAGACATCCTGTTTGGCACATTATCATCTTAACTTTTCTCACTTTTTACTAGTGCACGACCGTGCATATGCTAGCTCGAAAATGTCGTAATTATTCCACTCACGTTGCAAGAACGTTTCTCCTCCTATCCCGCAGTATATATATATATATATATATATATATATATATATATATATATATATGTATATATACAGTATATATATATATGAATTAAAAACGGATAAATGTTATGCCACCGTCTCAACGGTCCTAAGAGAAAAGAAAGAGAAAAAGAAAAACATAGTAAGAGAGGAGAGAGGGAGAAAGACAGTGAGGCAAAACTCCGCAGAATGCTTGTCGTCTCCATCGTCTCACAGATATGCGTAAAGCAATTTAGCGCCGTTTTAGGAAATTAATTAATGGATTATAAAATGCCGGAAACGACTATCGGTAAAGAGAATGCGATAGTTGGCCTTTTATCCGTTGGTTTGAACATTGCGTCAGGGTCGGTGATGCGTTGCAGGTATGAATTCTTATTCGCTCATCAATAACGTGGTTTGTGGTTTGCAAAGCAAATGTAATGTTTGTATGAGCGGAATAGAACGGCCACCAGACGTTCCGGAGCTCAGTAGATGAGATGGACGAGAAGGACGAGTAACGTTTCGTGCAACTTTCTTAATCTTTTAAATTCTTAAGGAAGAGAAGTGAAATTACTTATAAAAGAAGAAAGTTTAAAGACAAGTGAAAATGAAGAAGACTTCGAAAGCGGAAAAGCGAGTACGGATTAATCATGTCCCAATTGGACCAGAAGAGGACGAAGAAGAAAGCCGTCGAGCTTTTCTTCCGCAATTCGCCCTACCGACCGTCTATTACAATAACATGGTCACTAGTGATATGTAAGTTAGGCGACAAATTGACTGTCGAGTCAGCATTCCGTCGGGACGGAAATCTGTCTATACGGAACTGTACGTGTATAGGCCTATCAGGCAAAAATTAGACGCGGGAAACGCAAACGGTTGGTCTACTGGTCTTGTTTAAGGAGTGTCCGATTTCGAACAGCACAAATTTATCTCATACGATTGCGCTCCATATATATATATTTATGACAAATATATATATATAAACATATACGTACAGTATATACTGTATATATATATATATATATGTATTAATGGAACTATGAACGTCTATGTATTTTTATAGTACAGCTATAGTTTTTGCAGATGAGAATATCTGTACTGTATGAATAAGTCTGATAATAATCTTCCTTAAGTGTTCATGTGAAATTTATAAGCGAAACAGATTGTCTATCTTCCGATGGAAGATTTGTGTTTGTTGTAAGAAGATAGGCAATCTTAGACGGGGATATTTTTTTAATATTACTCTTTTGAGCAAAAAACGAAGCAAAAGGGAGACGAAGGGAAAATGAATGCCATCAATCGTGCGCCAACTGACGCCCTAAATGCCGACCGTCGACGCCTAGGCCTATATGAATCGCGACGCTAATTTTGCGCAATTGAAGAGTGGCTAGAGGGCGCAATCATAGTTTGTCATACAGGTGTCGCGACTGCAAAAAAAATAAAAGCGGCCGCGCATTTTTACGGTAAAGAGAGAACGATGGATGAAAGTCGTTTAAAGGTACCTAGGATTGTCCTGCCTGACGGAAATGTTCACAGGAGGTCTACAACTGTTGCACGGAATAAAGTTTCAAACTCGTCTAAGGAAGAAATTCCTTCGAAAATTAACCCCTTCATTCAACCTCCCTCCTTCAATTACGACACTAATTATTTGAGGTTTATGTCTTCCATTCGGCGGTTTATAGTAGTCTATCCCTTTTCCATTTGGCGTTATACTTTTATGCATAGCGTTCATAATTTCCAGAAAGTAAAAAGTCTCACTGTGACAAAGCTTGCTCGCTTTTATATTCATTTGTATCATGTATATATGAATTTACTGTAGCAATTTTAATGTAACACTTTTTTATGTGTCACTTTTTTTGTATATTATAGAAAAATGTAAAATTAACTTAATCGTTTCTTTTATAGACCGCAAATGAATTTACAAGATCTACGAAAGACGCCGTCGTCGAGAGGTTCATTATTCACAAACTTCGAGGACGTTCAGGTATTTAATCTTTATATCGTAGAGTAATTAGTAACGATCACGCGTTGTTTGAATTATTTTTCTATAAACAAACCGGCAACGCCGTCCGTTATTTCCGGTCGAAATGAATCGATCAGTACTGGCGTTTCCGTCGTCTAATTGAGAAAGTACATGCTAACATTTCCTTTTCCCCCCTTTACCCCCTGACCCGTTGCCCATTTGCTGCCGAACATAAAGTTAACGGACGAAGAGAGAGTCTATTTGTCGGCTGCTGCACTCGGAGACGTCGGCGTCATTCGTCAGTCTTTCGAAGATGAAGAGGCGCGTTTAAATGTGGATTGCGTCGACTACATGGGTAGGAACGCACTGCACTTAGCTGTCGATTCAGAATGTATAGAATCGATTGAGTTGATCCTCGATAAGCTATCATTCGCCGGAATAGAGGAGGCTTTATTACATGCGATCAGTAAAGGGGCCACAAAGATCGTTAGGGCAGTTGTTGAGCATCCAAATTATATGGCAGGAGAAGAACAGGTAAAGAAAGTTGGAGTTAAAGACCCATTTTTCCGAATGGAAGAGAAGTCACAATTCTCACCGGATATAACGCCACTAATCCTTGCTGCGCACTACAATAACCATGAGATTATTCAAATGTTCCTCTCCCGAAATCACACTATCGAAAAGCCCCACCCCATCTCCTGTACGTGCAACGATTGCGTAACCAAACAGAACTATGATTCGCTGAAGAGGTCGAGGTCGAGGTTGAATGCTTACCGTGCTTTGGCAAGTCCCGCCTACATGGCATTATCTAGTCCCGACCCGATTATGACTACTTTTTATTTAAGGCAAGAGATGAAAAAGTTGGCACAAGTTGAAAAAGAATTTAAGAATCAGTATTTGAGCTTAGTAGAGCAGTGTATGAACTTTGCTTGTGAAATGATGGACTTGTGTAGAGGAACACAAGAAGTTGAAGCAATGTTAAGTGAAGGTTCGGAGAGTGAGGATGGAGGTATCTTCCAAACTAGAGATCCTTTAGCAAGACTTCGAATGGCCATGGAATACGAGGAGAAAAAATTCGTCGCACATCCCAACTGTCAACAGCATCTCACATCTATTTGGTATGGTTCCGAATTAGGTTTTCTGCAATCCCTAGTATGGTGGAAGAAACTGTTACTTTATCTGGCTACTATGCCTCTGCTACCATTTTTTTGCTTTATTTACATAGTAACTCCTGATACAAAGTTAGGCAACATTTTGCGTTCTCCCACCGCCAAGTTTATCACCTTTACACTTTCGCACATCTGCTTCCTAATCCTATTAGCTGCGGCTACCTTCCGCCTAGATGAAAAATCTTTTTCAGTAAAGAATACGGACGAATTACAAAAGAAATCGGCAAGTGTAGATTCGGCATCGTATGAGGATTTAGCCGATGGTTTACTTAAAGCTCGACTTCGTCCGGCTAACACTCTTATAACAAACGTACAAATATGTCTTATGTTCTGGGTAGCCGGTTTATTGTGGATGGAATGTAAGCAGATATACAATTCAGGCGTTCGAGTTTATGTTTTGGACAATTACAATTTCGTCGATTTTATGGTGCTGTCGCTCTATCTAGCTTCGTACGTTCTCCGTTTTCTTGTTGATCATTGGATCAAGAAAACTGATGAAAGATATCATTGTATGCTGAGGGCCAGAAAAGCTCTAATTGATAGGAATTTCACCCATTTCGATATAATATTAAATGAAACTAAGGATGCCTACTTTCTTAAAGCTTGTATGAAGTTATTTCTTCCTTTTATTATCTTTTATATCATCAAACTAAAATATCACAATTTTTTTTATCTCAATAGCGAGATTCGAATGGAAACAAGACGATCCGGAAATCGTTTCCGATGTCCTCTTTGCCATAGCTAACGTCTTATCGATTGCTCGAACTACCTATTTGATGCCGGCGTTTGAAGTTCTTGGACCATTACAGATCTCTTTGGGCAGAGTTATCGGCGATATCACCAGATTCATGGTGTTGTTTACGCTGGTAAATATAACGGCTGATTGTTTAGGCGTAATAACGTCAAACATCCGACACAGAACCTTTAATAGAAAACTTATCGATTGTCATTTCCTATATAATCTCTCTTTTTTGTTCACAGGTCTTGTTTGCCTTTATGGTTGGTCTGCATAATTTATATTGGTACTACGGTTCGCAGACCTACGATATCGAACAGGATGGAGTAAAGAGCACGAAACACGCTTCCGAAGCATTCCAGGGGTTCGCCTGTTTACCATTATACCTCTTATTATTTCTTTATTATTACTTACAAATTTTCCACAGACTTCCGCACACCTTGTATAGTTTATTCTGGGCCATGTTCGGCTTAATTAATGTGAATAGCGTCAAAGTTCAATACAAGGATAAGAGTAAGTATTCTAAACGCTCATGGAATACTAATGATTTAATCGTTTCCTGTCTTGTTTAAATAATTTTCTTATAAAAGAATTTAACCAATAGATGGCGTATCATCAAATGATCGTCTTACAGAAGTCTTTCCAAGTAGGAATGTACATGCGACGTCTGTTGTTGAAGCTGTTGGAACATTTCTATTTGCATCCTATCATGTTGTCATCATTATTGTGCTGATAAATATGTTAATTGCTATGATGTCACACTCTTTTGAAGACATTCAAACTGATTGTGACGTAGAATGGAAATTTGCTAGGACTAGGCTATGGATGAATTATATTGATGAGGGATGCACATTGCCCGTGCCGTTTAATATGATTCCTACTCCAAAGTCAATGAAATATGGCTTTCAATGGCTCAAAGAAACTTTACGAGGCGATCAAGATGCCCTGTTAGAAATGGAAGAAGCCAAAAGACAGACGTTTATCAAAAAGCGCCGAGAAAATGTCTGCGAGTCATTAAATTTGGATACTCCTGAAACTGCTTATAGCGAAATTATGCAAAGATTGGTTAGAAGATATTTATTTAAACTGGAAAGACAGAAAGAGGAAGAGAGATCTGGTCTAATGCAGTCACAAGGCAAAGAGAGCATTAACTATCGATCGGATGATTTGTTTAATACGGATTACAGACAAGAGCCGATGTATGCTGATAGCGATGAGCCGAACGAAGTAGCATCTTATACAGGTGACGGAGAACCTCCTGATACTCCACCGGCCGGCTCTAATCGCCTAAGACGTAGGCCGTCCATTCATCCTGTACAAAGGCGTTGCAGACGACCCTCTGTCCCACACGGTGGACCGCCTCAAGTTCAACTGCTGTCCATCCCTCAGTTGGATGCTATTCAACGTAGTTTAAAAATACTCGATGTCCGAATGCAACACGTTCAGAGCGCGGTTAGGGAAGACGAACGTCTCAAGGATAACATTGAGCATATTCGTCTAGTAATGAGCGAAAATCAAAAGACGCTTGTTAGCGTTGTAACAATTATGGGATCTATGCAGGAGGAAATCAGGAATCTCTCAGTAGTAATTAGTCAAAGAGAGAAAGAAGAAGAACGTCGCCGCAATCTTTTTCCTCAGACCATACAAATAGCTGCTCCCCGAAAGAAATCGACAGAAAAGGATTCTTCTTCCCACCATAGTAATCAATCAGTTTGCAGCAACGAGTTTTCTCAAGTATGAAGCTTATTGTGATAATAGATCCTTCTACAAGGCATAAATGAGAAAATTACTGAAAATATTCACCCAAACTTCTATTAAATGCACGTAAATTAACTTAGTAAAAGAAGGAAAAAGCAAAAAGTTTATTTGCTATATATTAATATATATGTATATATATATATAAGTATAAATTACTGTTCTATTCAAGACTAATATGAGTATACAAAAAATGGTTTTCTTTTAAGTCCTAAAGAGATTACAAGTATATTTTATCCATAAATTTCGGATTTTTTATTTGCTTCTAATCATCGAATATCAATCATTTATGTCATTTTACGATATGAATAACTCCAATTCTTTTCCTAGAAACATTAACCTTTTGACAGCAGAAAAATCTTGAGAATAAAAACTGAGACGTAGAAGAAATTTCACTTTCAAACTCATATTTTCTTGGATAAAACCATAATTTATACTTACTTATGACAGTTACTTAATATATTTATCTATGTATATATATATATATATATACATTTTATTGGCATAAATGTATAGAATATTAAAGCATTTGGCAGTATATCTTTTGTTTTAAGCAAAATTTTTTCTAAAATCTCAAATTATACCATTCTAAAAAAAAAATGGCTAATTATTATTGTAAGAAAGAATAACCTATAAAAAGAAGAGGGAGGCCTTTATGTGTACGACGATACCTTAGATGCAGCCTCATGATTCAAATGTTAAGAAAATAAGAGAAAGAGAGAAGGAATATATAAAATAGTATGCAACAATATTAGTAAAATTTCAAATGATATTCTTTTTTATGTATAATTTTTTTCATTAATGCACTTGTATGTTTCTTTTTTTATATCAACACAGAAGAAGCTATTTTCTTCAAGTTATTTAATTCCTGCACTATATGACTTACACACATATACTTCAGCATTTTTAGAACACAATGATGATTTAGATATACACATTTATATAGAACAGATTCACTCCTGTAGAAGCTTAAAGCTTGAACGATTAAGCCGGAAGAAAAGCCTTTTATTTTCCTTAGTCTTATTATAGGTCATCTGGAGCATCCATACTATCTGTTCTTTCAAATGACATCAGTAAGTTATTTATTTCGTCCAATAACGGCTCTGTTAATTTCTGATATCCCTAGTTATGGAAAGAAAAAAAAATTTATTTATTATTATTTATCGAAAAAACTAAAACTAAAAGGAAAATGCAAATTCAGTGACTCTTGCGACATCACATCCAAAGGTGGTGCAACCTTATTTGCACTATTGATATATCCAGTATTTTTTTTATAGGTCTATATTGTATAATAAACAGGGCTTTTTATTATTTGTATATAAAATTCAAAACTTTCGCTTTTTCGAACTCGGAACAATTCGATTTTTTTTTTCGAACAGGAGGTAAAACGCCTTTCCTGAATTCAATAATATTATTTTTATATTTCTAAGCGATTGATGTATGTTTGAATGAATAAATATAGCTCAATAGCTTTTATGTTAAAAAATTATCAACTCTTTAATTATTCCAAGTAGTATACTTCTGTCCAAATATAGTTTAAGCTAGAGCGAGCCAGCGACCTCTATTTGACTTCAACACATTTTACGCATTGAACCATCTGTTGTTTACCGTTAATCCGGAATAATGAAAAGTCCCGTTTGATTTTTTTTTGCCTATATTTGGATTTATAGACAAAACTAGATTACCATTTACTTATAGCTAGGGTAAAAAATTGTTGATAAATTTTAAAATAAATTCTATAAAGATAAGTTTATCAACAAATATTTACAATTAGTGTAATTGTGAGAAATACTTTCAGAAAATTTCTGAAAGGTTGTGTGCAATGCGCTCAAAGATTACACAGACTATAAAAGAGCACCATTAAGCCTTAGCTTGCTTTGTTGCCCCCGTCAACCAAAAGAAATGAAATATCTATTTATGTAAGGTCTTTTTTATTTTTTCTCAACTTACTTTGGTAGTAAAGTGTAAATAGTCGTACATGTCGGAAGGGTCAATAGTTCCATCACTTGAGTTGACAAACATTGAAGTATCGACTTGCAAGAATGTTACTTGATCCAATTTTTCCAACTTTAGCTAAATTAATTGAAAATAATTAAATACTGTATGGTTAAACTTATAAAAATTCAATATCAATTTGATATTCTACCTTGAGTAAAGAGTTTAATTTTTCAATTTTATCCCTTACACGATTCGGATTTTCTCCTCTTGGTGGAATTCCCTAAGGGTTGAGAGGGGAAAAACTATAATAAATAACACAAAATATCATAAATAATGATACTTTAATGGAATTTTGCCCATGACACTATCATTAATAAAAAGTGTGATTAACTGTTTAACTTTATAATCAATAGAAATTTGAAAGTGTACGGTTTTCTACGTCCCTCTCTTATCCAATTACATTACTTATTTACAATAGTTAAGAACTTATAGAGAAACAAACTAGAAAATCATAAAATTCGTTCACTCAATACAATTCTATCTATTCCTCCCAAAGGATTCTATATTATAGAATTTGACTAGATGATGTACGAGTTAATATTTAAATAATTCACCATAACAATTAGCTGCGACTGAGGTTGCTTTCCTTGAACGACATCTACTATAGCTAAAATTGCTTCTGATATTTCTTCGGCTGAGTTGTCATAATTGTTTGTTCCCACTAATAATATTATGACCTATTTTAGAAACAGAATGGAAATTTAAAATAGTTATGGGCGAATAGCTTATTATAGAGAATAACCTTTGGACTTATACATTCCAATTCACCATTTGAGATTCTCCATAAAACATTCTCTGTTCTGTCTTCGTCGATTCCGAAATTCAAACAGTGTAATGGTACGAACATCTTTTGCCATAACTGTAAAATAATTCAGATTCTCGCTAAAAGGTAATTGCTTTTTGCACTTAAAAGTTGAATGACTGATTTAATCTAAAAAATTAATCAATTATATACAGCAACTGTCTTGCGGGTATATGTTGGAAGCTATAATTTCATGAGTACGCAACGATAAGACTTAAGAAATATTACATCAGTTAAAGCCATCTGCGAAATCAAAGAATCACCAATAAAAAGAATTTCTGGCTCCTTTTCTTTAACTTGTCCGACGAATCGTTGATGCTGTAAGAAACACGGATGTAGCAGTGGCGATAATATAAGAAGCGATTAATTATGACAATTTAGTGTCATAAGTTAATGTTTAAGAAACTTTTGATTATCTTACCATACTCATCCACCTTCCATCTCCATGTATATCTTCAACAGGGGTTGGAATTGCGGCAGAATTCATCGAATAGTTTCTTTAATTTTCTGACAACTAAACAATCGAATCAATATCAAATTCAGGACACTGAATAACTTTAAGCGAACAAATGTCGGTTTCGTATTTGACCAATTTAGAAAGTGGAAAAAACTCTCTTCCAACAATAAACTAATTGTCATTTTATAGAAAATCAATTGATAGTAAGATATCCATCTAAACTGGTCTTTCTAGAATCTTTCATCTTTTCTATAAACACTAAAAAAGTTTACTCTTTCTTATTGTTTATTTATTTTCTTTTGTTGTTCATTTTATACGATCGCCATTATAGTATTTTATTTTATATGCAATAGTTATAAAATACAACTTTTCACAAAACGACGCACGAATAAAAATTTGATTAATTTTAGTTTACTGTTCGCCGCACTTTGATATCGCCTTTTTGCGCTTTGTTTTTGTATAACTTTTTATTATTAAGTTGGCAATTCTACTGTCTTTCACACACATAGCTTCTATTCTTTTTGTTTAGTGATGATGGTAGTCCGCGTCAGGATGCTTATAATTAATGTGACTTCGCTTTTCGGTAATACCAAAGGCTTTGTCAACGGCTATAGTAATTGCCATTAAACCAACGGCATACTTGAATCCTCTCGAGAACGTAATAAGCACGTTTTTCATGGGTCCGGGATGATTTTGAAATCTCCATACCTCATTTCTATCGAAATATAACAGACGATTATGATAGTTCACATTAGTAGCAACGATATAAATATGGCATTAAAACCATATTTTCGCTCACTAAAACCTATTCGCCTTCATCCTTACCTTAGCCATGGATCTTTCAAGCCTTTTCTTGCTAAATTATCTCTAGTCCATTCTAACTCCTTAATTCCATCTATTTTATAACTCTTCCAGTCAGGAACTTTAAAGGTTTTTTCGGCTCCCATCTGACCTCTGTTCTTCTACTACTATACGATTCAACCTAATAAATATTTCGGAAAATAATTGCTGATTTTTTTTGTTAATTTAAAATTTATCTTGGAATCTCTTATAAAAATTTATAAATACAAGAGAATTAGTTTAATTTACAAAAGATCAATTTAAAAATTTTAATTAAACATTCTCAACATTTCAAAGTTTGATAGAGTTAAAGTAGAATTATTGCTTTATCGTAAAAAGGATGAAGTAAAAAAGAAAAAAGAAACAGAAAATCAATCATTTTGTAAAATACGTTTTTTGTTAGTCTTTTTGCCTAATATGTCTTTCAACGATTATAGAAATAATGTCACAATAATTCATACTCAATATAATAATAATAATAAATTTATACATTGCATAACGTTTTTGTATTTTTAAATATCTAAAACGAATAGAAGCTCAAAAGTAAACGGTATTGTTGGAAAACATATCAATATTTATGCTTAATTATTGAAATTTAATCATTAGAAAACTAATTCTCGAATGATTTATTTTAAAAATCAATGTTAAATAGGGGCATAATATATTTTGAAATGAAAGACTTTAAATATATGCAAAATATGCAGATTTTTTTAAAGTTAGGTGATGGTTAAATAATTAAGTTAACCTTGTCAAAATAGAGTAAAAAAACAACAATTAAGAACGCTTATTAAAGAGTTTTTTCTTAACAATTTACTATCTAATTTTGAAAAGTTCTATATTCACGTGACCTAGTCCCCGATTTTCACAATTAATGATTTTTATCCTAAAGATATCGTTGTAAAATGTCTTCAGTTGTTATTGTAGGTGGGGGTATTAGTGGTCTTTCTGCCGCATACTATTTGTCTAAAATCCCAAAAGACATTGTAAAAAAGGTTCGATTATATGACTTTTATTCTTCTTTTTCTTGTTTAGTTATAATATCGCTCAAAAGTCAGACTGAGCTATTTTTCAACTTAATTATAAAGTTGGCATAAATATTGATAAGATACTCTATGAGCATCTATATATTCTTTATGGAATTAGCTAACTGTTTGTAAAATCCGAAAATTACATTTGGGAGCTTTCAGGTAATAATACTCGAGAGGTCGAGCAATTTGGGAGGATGGGTACAGAGCGTTCGGAAAGAGGACGGAGCCGTTTACGAAAAAGGTCCCAGAAGTATACGAGGTAGAAGGGATGGTCCTGGGAAAAACATTCTAGAAATGGTTCGGAATTGCTTTCGTTTAATAAACCTACTCAAATAGTTTATATATCTGAAGGTTGAAGATATTGGTTTATCGGATAAAATAATCTCTGTTCCAAGAAATCACGTTGCAACTACAAATCGATATTTATTCATAAATAATCAAATGTATTGTCTACCAAACAGTAAGCAACAATTTATCCTACCGTGCCTCTTTATTCCCCAAATTATAAACGATAACAGATATGATGCAGATTATCAGACAAACCCCTCCGTTCAAGAAATCTTTACTATCTTCCATTTGGAGAGAACCTTTCAAATTTAATCGTTTAAAAAATGATTGCTCTATTCATGAATTTATTTCGAAAAGATTTAGTACAGACGTAAGCTAAAACAAATAATAAGAGTAATCTTTATCTATCATTTATGCATTTATGCAGTTAGCGGACAATGCTATAGATCCGTTTTGCAGAGGAGTATTTGGAGGAGATAGTAAGTCACTTAGTGCAAAAGCTTGCTTTCCGGATATGTTCAAATACCAAATGCAGCACGGTTCTATTTTACTTGGATCAATTTTAGGACGAAGTATTAAACACTATACTTATTTTTCATATTCCTACAAATTCTAAAGATAATAATTTATTTCAGAGAAACCATACGATTCTGAATCATCGCTCGTTAATCGATCAATAGAAGAAAAATGGGCTACTTGGAATATGGAAAATGGATTGCAAACTCTAATTGAAGGCCTACAAAAAAAATTACAAGATGAAGGTGTACATATATTCTCTGGCAATGCTTGTAAACGTGTCGACTTTACTGATGGAAAAGTAAACGTTTTCTGGGATAAAGGTCAAATTAGCGCCGATCATATTGTATTTTCAACTTTTAGTTCAGGTGAAATAAAGTTGCATGTTGTCTAGTTATTTATAACAATCTTCTGATTGCAGATATCTCAAAAGTTTTGCAAAAGGAACAAGAAGAGTTAAGAAATGAATTAGACAAAATTGACGCTGTAACAGTTGGAGTTAGTACAATTGAATATAAAGGCGATGTATTTCCTTCTCAGGTCCGTATAGAATTTTACGTGTAAACAAAACTAGTCAAAGAGGCCATTCTCAAATAATTATACTCTCAATCCTCTTATATCAGTTTCATTTGCATAGCTATAATAATTTTTAAAAGCACAATGGTTATTTATTTTCTATAACATTTTAATTTATTCTATAAATAGTATCGAGGATTCGGCCATCTTGTACCGTCTTGGGAAAGTTCGGCGAAGAATTTAGGCGTTGTATATGAATCTTGCGTCTTTCCTGAGCACGATAATAAAGAACGCCCAACAACAAGATTAACTGTTATGTCCGGGGGAGCTTGGTTCGATAAAGTTTTCGGTAAAGATCATACACAGGGGAATTCCAGAATAGAGGAGGAATCAATTAAATCCGTCCGGCAACAACTAGGCATTAAGGACGAGCCTATGAGAATCGAGACAAACGTACATAAAGATTGTCTTCCACAATATAAAGTTGGGCATTGTGATATTGTTAATAAAGTTGAAGAGCTCTCGTCTAACTTACCAGTATCTTTCATTGGTTCTTCATTCAGGTTTAATCCTCGTGTTAAATAATGTTGCTATTACTTCAATTACACTTTATTCATTTTTCTTTTATAGGGGTGTTAGCGTTTTGGATTGCATCTGGGATGCTAAATTACAAATGGAAAACTTAAAAAGTACATTAACTACCAAAGAAGTTTAAAAAGCTTTTCACTAAAATATTTTTTCTTGTTTGAATAAACAAAGCTAAGGAAATGTTCATATTTAATTCACTTCTTTGATTTTATTAAATCAGCAAGAAAAACAATACTTATTCAAGGATTTTTATATTTAACTATTTATATACAATAATTTATATACAACACATGAGAGTTATAGTTTAGTCAAGTGAGTTAATTAGCCAAATAATACAAGAAATTTATAATCAATAAATAGTTATCGTTGCTTTTGTAAATACGAAAATAAGTAATTGAATAAATTCTGTAGATTTAGAAATTCGTGTTAAGTTTCTTTTTTATCTCTGTACAAAGTTTATTTCTTTGTTTAATAAGTTTAAAAAATTCAATATAAACATTGAAGCATTTAAGTTAGGAGAGAATAAAACTTAGATGAGGTTGAATTGCACTTTAACATTTCCAAAATAACGCTCGGCGTCTCTACGGTTTCTTCAATCCAAACTTCCTCATTCCCATTTACTAGGTCTTCTGTGACGCCGTTAGCATTAATATAATCTGACGTCTTATCTATCGAGCTGAGAATAATATCCGGAGTATTTTCTTCCACCTCCTCAAGTACCCTCCACTCTTCCTCACTATCACTTTCCTCTTCGAGCTCTGGTTTAGAAGTTTCCATCCAATCATGCTCTATCAAAGTTCTTTCTTTGGCTTGTTTACGGTTAAATTTTTGAATATTTTTGAGAACGGTAACTAACCAATAAGAATAGTCAAGGATATAGGCCATGCAAGCTAAACTACAAACGGAAATGTTAACTTCCTCTGGAATTCCATCAAGTAGAAGATTTTGAAAAACTTCAAGGCATTCCTTGTAAAGTTTCGAATAAAAAAAAGCGTGCATTAAACAAACAGAGCACCATACTGAATTGCACCGTTTTCTCACAAGATCCAACAATATCTCCGTTACGTAATCAGATAAATTTAATTTAGAATAGGAAATAATGGATGCGACAGCAGCAAGACAGTTCAGATGTATCAGAAACTCAGCAGAATCTTCAATTTCCAACTCAAAGTAAGGCCTTAAAACATTCTGAGAAACTTTCGTAATCTCAAGAGTAGACTCACTATTCCAACGGTAATCTAATAGTTGGTTGGAACATTCAGCATAACGATCAGCTTTAAGTAGAAAATAGGCATAGAATATTCTTCCAGCATTGGTCGGATATTCAGCGATTGAACGTTCAAAAAGATTGTTTTTAATTATATAGTCACTCTTAAGTAAAGCTAACATATAAAGTGCATGTGAAATTGTTTGCTTTGGTCTCTTTACAAGTTCTTCCATAGTCTCAATGGCTTCTTCGTAACATTCGATCGCTTTTAAAAAATCACCAGCCACTATGCAAGTGTTAGCAAGTTGCATTTGTATATTAGAATAATCGATCTTCATGGAGTCTTGCATATTTTTCTGTTGGTCTCTTGCCTTTTCATAATAGACGCCAGCTTGAGCGTACTGCTTTGCGTCGACATGCATATTAGCCGTAGTTGTTGCTAAATCACCATCACAAATCAAGCTATTATCGCTTATAGATATTGCTTCATCGTAAAATTTCGTAGCAGATACTATATCGTTCATTTCGGAGTAAACGTCTCCCATCCTCTTAACAGATTTAATTAATTGTTTCTTGCAAACAAATTGTCCAGTAGTCAATAAACGCTTAGATAAATGTAGATAGAACAAAGCTTTATCATATAAAGCAACTTTACAATACGAATCGCCAAGAATGTATAATAAATGAACAATAAACCAAAATTGACCATAATTTGTTATGACCTGTGTATATAGCTGAGAGAAACGTTCAAATGCTTTTAAACAAGCTGAGATCGCTTTATGGTGTTGACTACAGAGTGAACGGCACACTCCTAAAAGTGTCAGCATGAATACGTGCGAAAAGCTTGCCGAAGTAGATAAATGCTGTTGTAAAATCGCAGCGCATTCGAAGATGCTGGCTGCTTTAGCGTGATTACCAATAAGGAATGTCGTTGTGGCCAATAAACTTAATACATGAGCATTTGCCCTAAGCGTTGTTGAAGCATTGGCATTTCTTAACAAGCAGAGAACGTACTCGTAATTTTCAACAGCCGTATCAAAATCTCTTATTAAAATATAACAATCAGCCAGTTTCGTGTTCAGTTGAATGACTATAGATGAGATTATTTGTTGTTTATTTTCATGCTTCTTTTTCAGATGATGAGCAGCATATAACGCCTTTTTGTAATATTTGATTGCTTCCCATACACTAACGCTATAGTCCTCACTATAATCAGTTTCGTCATCGTCATCGTCCTCTTCATTTTCTAGATGTCTCTTTACAATAAGTAAAAGATGGCTAAAAAAGGCGCCATCTTTAGTGTAGTATGACAAATATGCATCCCCCAGAAATACGTAACACTGAAGAATTTGAATTTGAACTTCTGGAACATTCAAGTGCTCACGAACTTCAATAGCCTCTTCAAATAGTCTAACGCATTTCTCAAATTCCCCAAAAGAGCACTCTATTCTAGCTAATAATTCAACAATTGATCCAAATAACCGACTATCTTGTTCTTTTTCTTCCTGCTCGCCCAAAAGAAGGAGAGATTCGTCTAAAATTCCACGGCACTCGTCAATTAATTGATGATCGAATGCTAATTTTGCAACCCTATAGAATATTGAGAGAAGTTGTGAAATAATTGCATCTCCCGATGTGGCCAAGTTGCTGGATGGAGTCAAATGATAACTATTCGGAATATTAATACAGTGTTGTATTTGATTTAGAGGTGAAGTTGGTTCGAACGTCGAGACTTTATGAGTCCATTTATGATAACTAGAGGAATTATCTAAAGTTTTTTGCTTAAGACCAGGGTAAATGCGTAAGGTAATAGAACAACTAGTCACTTCGACCTTCTTGGAACGATGTTTTTCATTCCAAGTCTTGGGTAAATTGTGAACCGGTATTTGGCGACCACCCACGTATTTCCACTCCACAGTCACTTCCTCACAAAACTCCTCCTCCTCCTTTTCTTCTTCAATTGTCAATACTTTTGTATAACTATCACTTAGAGTTTGTTCATCTGAGTCATCATCTGAAAATTGTTGTTCTTCTATTGTTTCAACAGGTAATTCAATTATTGAATGCGGTTTTAATCGTTTCTCATCATCTTTTAATTCATCTTCAAACACACCTTCTGTAACGTCATCAGTAGTTTCGTCTTCTTCACTGTTAGCACCGTTTTCCGCTTCAAGAATATCCCGGATTTCCGGGATTTCTGTAAGATCCGGTAAGGAATATGAGAGTGCTAACCTTTCGTTTCTTCTGCCGAATTTTTTATGTAAACGTTGTAAAAGACGCTTTCTTTGTCTATCCAGCAGAATTTCATTAACTAGAGCTTTAATTGCACCTTGCACTTTATCAACCTTAATCATTTTATCTGGAGGGGGAGTCTCCATAGGCTTTGGAGCAAGAGGTAGAATTTCAATTTCTGGAGAAGGTTCAACAATTATCTCAATTTCGGCTTCAATAATTTGTGATTTCTTCATTTGTTCATTAACAAACTCTTTAAATTTATATAACCATTGTTTATCTTCTATACTCTGCTCAAACTTGCCCCGCACAACTTCACATAAATTACCCTCTAATTCTTCAAGTAGTTTCTTTGAACGTTCTTTTTGGAAGGTGTTGCCATCCCACTCGTCAAATTCCAAAATTCCTCGTAGTAAACTGGAAGCATGTAATTGATGGAAAAAAGCACGAGTGGGCGTACAGGAAGAAGACTTGGAAGCTCTATGATATATAAATGCCAAGTGAAGAATAGAGTGAACGTATAGAACTCTAGATCTCTTTTTAGTAATATCACATTGACGAAGAACATCGAGAAAGTTTTGTTCAGCCTTCCCTAATTGATACTTGTTCAAGCATTCTTTTCCCCTATCATAACACTCTTCCATAGCTGGATGTCTTGAGGCTATTTGGATAAAGGGCTAAGTTAGTTAATATACAATAGTAGTAAGAATATATCATATATGTATATATGTATTGTATAATAAAACTACACTTCAATTCATGAACGAACTTTACGCTTACCAAAGTCAATATTACAGAATCTACAGAGGAATTTCTTTGTAAATATATGCGTTCTATTATCTTATTCAAACATCTGCCCTGTTCAAATTTCGGTTAAGAGTATATATTAAAAGAAAGGTGAAAGCTAGTTCGGGCGGGTACATATATAATAGAAGTAAAATTCGCGTGGTCGAGTTAAAATGTTCAAATAGAGTAAAAACTTTTGTGAAGAGAAATAAAGAGGGAAAAACAGAATAAAGCATTAAAGCTACCACATAGGCCTTTAGCCAATTTCATTGTCAAATGTGTAAGATATATATTCATTCACGATGAGAGCAGATCCTTGAATAAAGTGAATCAATGGTAAAGAATCAATTCATATATGGGTTGTGTTTTACTTATTCTACTAATATACGCTATGTAGTATTTATATAAATATACAATAAGCACAGATATTATACTGTATACATATATACTAAAATATAGATATATAAGAAAATGCTCTCTCTTTTTCTTTTGCTCCAATGACACAGTTTCTACAAATTGTTTATTATTTAAGTTCAAGTCTATGATTATTACTGCTATTAAAGTAATTTATGAAGTACAGACCTTAATAAATATAATCCTTATTAGATAAAAGAAAAGAAATACAATACAGCCGTTCAGTTATTTACTACAAGGCCTCACCTTCTCAATTGACAATGCTATATTTATTCAAAACAGTCTCAAGGAGCGAAGGCAGTGGGGGGAAAAGGTATACGGAAAATGAGACGAGCAACGGCGGGCTGCCATATAGACCTTTTATTGATTTCTTCATCGTATCATACAAAAGCAGGTCCGGTAAGTGCTGACATCTTTCTTTCAAAATTTAATTTAAAATATTTTTCTCTTTCCTTTTTATTCACAGAAACGACTTTTTTTTACAAATAAAAAACATTTCGACATATTTGCAAATTTATTAAATTTTATTTCCAATTTTGTTCAAGAGTTCTCATCTTAGTTTCTTTTATGTTCATAAAAAACCTTTAGAGTGTTGAGATTGTTTAAGAACATTTTTTATTTTTCAATTTGGTCGGTTTTTTCTTAAGCTTTATCGCTTTTTCTAAGACTTGTCTAATATTTGCTAATATAGCAAATACGTGTCTAATTGAATGTTTGTTAATGAAACATGACAGCCGACCTTTAGGGCCGATTACTTAGAAATATATCATAACAACATGACTTGAACGTAAACTGGTATATCTCTATCTCACCACTGACTACAAACTTTGATAATTTATACTTGCTAATAAAAGTTTTTTAGTCAATTGACACTATAGTTAGATAATTTGAGAATTAAGAATGTCAAACCAACAAATAAAAGATCCCGCCATTGAAAAAGTCGCTAAAAAATTGGTAATTAAATGAATATGCGTTAATTACTCTTTTATCGCTCCACGTTTTAATATCCATACAGGCTTTCACTGATTTTGTTAATAGTTGCAAAACTGAGGATGGTGTTTGGATATGTTGTGACAAGAAAATTGCAAGTAAACGCGAATTTCACAGACATGTTGCCATCAATCATAATCAAGACGTTTCAAAGAGAGCCTCCGATTTGAAAAATAATGATGAAAGTTGCCCAGATTTGAAAAGAAGGTATAATAAGAAACGAAAGCTTGACAGCCAATTTGAGGATGTTGAAGATGATAATGAGGGAAATTACGAAGGACAGGAATGGTTGCCAAAAAATATAGGTGATTTAATAAACGAAACGATACCCCCTGAAAACTATAATGATGGTGTCATTGTATTGTTCTACAAATATAGGTAAGTCTTAGGCAAATACTAAAATGATAATTACAGTTATAAATATTTCTCGTAGGTGTATCAAAAAAGTGGAAAGAATAAAGAATTGGCTATTAAATCTATGTCAACGTTTGGATCTTACTGGAAAAGTACAACTAAAACAAGAAATTAAAGTAAACAATAAAATATCTATTTAATTTTTCTACAGGTGAGAATTGCGTCCGAAGGAGTAAATGCTACACTTGGTTCAAATGACTTTCGAAAGATTAAAGTCTTTGTTGAGTGCTTTAAAAAGCACCCTCTGTTTCATGATATGACAGAATTTGACTTTAAGGTATTTTCAAACTTTATATTCATTTTATAGCATATAAAAAAATTTTTATGATGAATTTACTCTGACCAGATGAGTAACGGCAATTCTAAAGATTTTCCAGAGGGATTAAAAGTAGGAATTTACTCAGAAATCTGTCGTCTCGGAATAAATCCTGATGATTTATCTTTCGAAAAAGCATGTAAGATAATAGAAAGAATAAATATCAAACTAAACTTTCCTTTTTATTATATATACGTATCAAACAAATTGCTTTTAGCTACTCATATTTCTGCTGAGAAATTTCATTCGGCTGTTGAAGATCATTTGAATAAACCGAATGATAACAAAATATTTATTGATTGCAGAAATTATTACGAAAGTAAAATTGTAAGTTTTTTTCCCTTGTTTGATATATTATTCTCAAACGTCTCATCAATGTTGAAGGGCTGTTTTACTGGTGCAATTGATCCAAATATAAGAAAATTTAGCTACTGGCCTGAATACGTTGACAAAAATCTAAATATGTTTAAGGATAAAGAAGTCTATATGTATTGCACAGGTGGAATTCGCTGTGAGAGAGGATCTGCATATTTAAAGAGTAAGGTAATCGGATAACCTACTATTGTTCTAAAAATATGGAAATATATAAAATCCAATTTTTCTTTTTCTAAAGGGAGTGGCATCAGATATCTACCAACTCAGCGGAGGTATTCACAAATATTTAGAACAGTTTCCAAATGGACATTTTAAGGGGAAATTGTTTGTCTTTGACAATAGATATGCTATTTCATACAACGACCAAGTTATAGCGGAATGTTGCTATTGCAAAAAACCATGGGATCAATACAAACTATGCTCTAGCGAGCACTGCAAGCAGTTAGTTTTATCTTGCACAGATTGCAGAAATTCTGGCAAAACTGCTTGTTGCAGTACATGCGCAAAGAGGTCAGATAGGAAGGAGCACATAGAACAATGCGACTGTACTGTTGAAAGAGTGAGGGTTCCAGACTTCAACTAATCGAAGCTAATTTTTATTTGTAATCGTCATCTGTTTTAAATAAACTGTTTATTATGAGGTTTGATCTTTCTTGTCTAAAATTTAGGATTTTGCCATCTTAAAACATAATAAATATGCTATTGCAGTCTAGTATCAGCTGTAGAGGACAATAACCTGCATAGAGCGCAGCTTTTAATAAACAATCAAATGTACGATATAGACGAATTGAAAAAGTCCGTTGTATTAACTATAAAACGACAAAATAATAAGGGTTTAAAAATCCTACTAAACGTTTTCAAAAATGGCCTAAGAAGAGCCTTATGTTTGGATGAACCTCTAATTGTGCTTGCAGCCAGAACGGGAAATGTAGAAATTTTAAAGACTTTATTGGAGGTAAATGATTAAAAAAGTATGAGTTATTCGTAATCCTGGTGCTTTACAGAGCGGCTTTAGCATTGACGAAACAAATTCTAGGAATGCAACTGCATTGTACATAGCTAGTTATTATGGATATATCAAAGCGATTGACGTATTACTCCAGTTTGGAGCAGATATAAATAAAGCTACTTCTTTAGGTAATATTTTTTGTTTTTTATTAATATCAAATTAGCTATTTACCTTTAAAACTCATTAAAGCATCTCCTTCACCATCCATGTTCCCTACGGGTGATACGCCTTTACATGCTGCCATTCAAAACCGAAATGCAAATGTTGTCTACAAATTGCTTGAATATAAACCGAAGCTGAACTTTCGTGACAGTAATCTAAAAACTCCACTGCATTATGCAGCTCATACTGGCTTATGTTACGACGCTTTAATCGATGCTGGTGCCGACTTAGACGCCGTTGACTCTGCAAATCTGGTGCCTTTAAATTATGCTTTAAGCGAAGGATTGGATCTAGTTGTCAGAAGTCTTGTTAGGGGTGGTTGCAGTTTGAAATCAAATAGTGGAGTCAGTTTCCTAAAGCAAGCTGTCGTCAAAGGTCATGTTAAGGCCCTTCTGTGTTTACTAAAGGGAGGTTGTAGTTTGAAACCATGTCCAAAACTTTACAAAGATATTATAAAGAGACCGGATATATTTCGAATGCTTATCGATTTAAATTCGATCCCTAGGAAATCCCTTTCGTATAAATTTGTAGAAGAAAACTGCAGTGAGAAACTTTTAACGATGCTTTTAGAAAACGGGTCAATTAGAGACCCAATACCTGCATGGAACAATATTACTCTTAAACGAATTTGTTCTCTTGTGATACGAGAATCAATAGGTGAGAATATATGGACAAGAGCAAAATTGATAGTTCAACTCAGTTTACCACCGATAATGATTGATTTTATTTTACTTAGAGACATGTTATTCTTTGATGAAAAGTTATATGATGACTTTGAGAATTGGTGGAACGGTTGAGACATGTTTACTTTATTGTACATAGACAGTCGAAAATATTAGATTTCCTAATCAAATAGTATGTTTTATGTACTTTAATGGCTTTCTCCTTTCTTTCCCGCAACCTTTAAAAATTAAATAATATAAATATGTATAGAAAAATTATAAGAAAAAAAATTCTATATACTCTTTTAAACTCTCCCATATTTGTAGTATTGACAGGAGCTCCGATTAGACCAAGGAAATCGATTTGTGTAACATCATCATCTTCTTGGTTATCCTTTACAAAAATCTAAATATCCACGAATACAGAAAATTATTAATAAAAATAATAAATTTTCGTTAACGAATCATATCTACCGTTAAATTGTTCACGTTTTGAAATTTAACGAATTTTAAAGGCACAATTGCTTGATCTTCAAGGTCTTCCTTTGTTAGTCTATCATTGGAGAAAGTTTAGTTTACGAATGCAAAGTATGATAATCGACTTACTCAATTTCCTGAGTGCATTTGTTTCTCAACGCAGAATCAAAATCTAAAGTATTGGGTTGATTAATAAATATGCGAAGTGTCTTTGGTCCTTTATCTTGAGGTCCATTAATTTTCAAAGAATGAATCTTTACTTGCTGATTAAATTCCAACGTTATGAGAAGCTGTTCATCACAATCAGATTGTAAGAATCCGCCTTTTTTATTCATCCCATGTTCAAGAGTATGTTCATCGTCAGAATTTAAACAAACACATCCAGATTTATCAAGGAAAGTTGACAAATCAACCTATAACAAAACAAAGCTAATTTTATAAATTGCTAATGAAACATTTGATAAATTATTGGAAAAATGGATGATAGCAACATACATATCCTTTTACTTGTACATCATCATCGTCATCAGCTTGATAATGCTTCTTTATAAGTTCTTCTAGTCCATTAGCATTAGCACCACTCATTTTATCCAATTTTTTTTGTACTTTGTATAAAACAAAAGTGGGCATTGCAGAAACACCTTGAGATTGAGCTGTCTCCTGTAAAACCGAATGCTTTAAACAATATATTGGCGCTTTTACGAATTCAGACCTCGCATTGATCTACATCAACTTTCAAAAATACAGCATTGGTATATTTAGCAGCAAATTCTTCAAACTTTGGTGCGATTTGTCGGCATGGGCCAGACCTAAAAGGGAATATGTAGATACTGAGCGATATTAAATGAATTTTATCCAATACGTACCAATCTGCAAAAAAATCAACAACAACAAGCTTGTTGCCAGCATTTTTAAGATGCTGCACAAATTCGACATCAGTTGGAACGACTATGACTTTGCCAGACATTTTCTTTCAGTTAGGAATTATGTAAGAAGGAAATGGACTACAATGACTGGTCTTATCCTAATATAAACTGGTACTTTGCGATAGTATAAAAAATATTGAGAAATACTTTAGAATATTACAAGAAAAATGTAAAAAATTTGTGTTTTACGTCGTTTATTAAATGAGATCGAAAATTATTTATAAATTATATATGGTACTTCTTTAGTTTGTTCATAAGGCGTATTTGGTATAGTTTGCTCCATCTCAAAAAAAGTTGAATATTGCCTGCTACTTATAAGTATATCGTAGGCGTCGATAATTTCTTTTGGTATATTTACATGACCTTGTAAATGCTCCGTAAAAATAGAAGACATCCTCTTTATAGTGCACATCATAAGTATTATTGCATCGGCTAAAGAACCAGTTTTATCGTTCGGAAAGTCTTCCAATGCAAACGAAGGACAAGTGAATAACGCTCTGTATGATTTAGAATTAGGCCAATTCTTTTCAAAGATAGCGCTAAAACGCCGACAAAGCCAGGGCACAGTAACGAAAATTAATGAAGAATAGTTCGTTTTCAGATCATATAACTTCTTTTCGGAGAATAAAATATTTTCAATAGTGTTTGTCGCTTTATTTTCTAAGATAATAGAACAAGGTGGAACTCCATTTGTAAAGAGGTAGCGTACGAATGTTTGCCAATCAGGTTCTTTTGTTAAGTACTTGCTAACGTTACTTGACTTTCCGGTAATCAAAATCGTCTTAGCTAAACCTTCATGATAAAGCTGTACAGCATATTTCGCACATCGTATGTCATTACTTGCAACAAGGATGAGGACGTCACACTGTAAATAAAGAGTAAATCATTTTTATTACACAATAATTTTTCTCTAGAAATCTGACTCAAGAGTAAGTGAGATACAATACTAAAGTAATTTAGATTCATTAGTTTTTTATTGATTTCTGCTGAAGAAAGTAAATACGCCTTCACTTAAATTGAAATAAAGTCAATTTCATATTTGTAACTCTTATCAAGTATCTCTTTATTCATGATATATATTAATTTTTTTTTTTGCTGACTTCGGGGTGATTCATTCGGAACTAATAGCGTTTAATTATCCTATTGTTTAAATTCAGCCTAGTGAACAGTTTGATGAAAGTGATTTATAATTATTATCGAATTTTCTTTTTATACTTTAACTTTAAAATAAAATGATATTTTCGAACAATTGAAAATTAACCTGTTCTTCTGGTTTGTCTACCATCCTTAACCAATTCCACATGAGCTTTGCTAAAGGTAAATGATCCTTAGGCACCTCGTAGTCGGAATAGATTCCTGATTTGTAATTTCCTGTATTTTTCTTTTTTAATACATTATATATCTTTTGAGCCATTTTTTGTGTAAATGATACATCTACGACGTTTTTCCAAGTTTCATAAATCTTCAGCGTTGCTGTATCACTGATTTTAAAGAAAAAATATATTCATATAATCAACACACCCACATATTTACACACTTTATCTCATAAATAACTAAAATAGATAAATGTATATACGCACGTAATAGGTTTTAAACTTTGGTGGCACTGCTGTGCAAAACAATTGGGTGACGATCGTTTTCCGCTTTTTTCCCGTGAGTAATTAGGGTTGATTCTAAGGCGGCGTAATATCCTCTGATCACTTTCGCTTTCATACTCATTGATATCGAATAAACAAACTTCCACTATTGGAGAAAATGCTATTCGTTGGTGTTTTAATGTCATTTCAACATTGGACGTAATGTTATTTTAATCTCTTTTCATTTTTAAATAAACTAAAATTCGTGCGCGTAAAATATTATTTTATTTAACAGTTTACTTTTGTACAGGTGGCGCTGTAAAATAATGATTAAAATTACATTTACTTTATGTTTTATTACAGTTCATCAGCTGATCCACTAAGAATGGATTAACCAATTTCTTAAGATTTATTTAGCTAGATTCCAAAAAATTATTTATCTTAACGACAATTTTGGTTTTCGATTGCAAGAGTAGATGGAAAAAATGGGAGCGAAAATGAAGAAATTGCAATAAACTACAATTAATTAACAGAATGCCGTTTACACAATTTATAAAGAGAGCTTCTAGCCTTCTTGGAATCGATTATGACTCGAACAATAGGAAACATCCTCCGATTGACGGTGAAATTGTCTTCTGCAAGAATAACGTATGTGTTCATCCTCCAGCTGTATTAAGCAATCAGGTACAACATTTTCCTGGATACTTGACAATCAAGTCACAAGATGACCAGGTAAGAATTATTAAAGCATATCTAGAATGATTTCCTTTTTTAATACTGTTATTCTATATTGGGATTAGCCTAAAGGCAAGCAAATATATCATGGAAAGCACGTTAGTTGTCTTAGTGTACGGTGTATTTTTTTGGGGGTGGCATATGTTTCATTAAAGTTTCTAAACAATAGAAATTAACTTAACTTATCCCATTGTATTCCATTCAGGTTTTGGGTACAACTTTAATTCTTACTTGGATTCCGAATTCTAATTTGGAAAACAATCCGCGTACTGTGGAGAACAGTCCTGCTCATTCAGGAAAAAATAATAGAATTAGCCCTAGGAGGTCTCCGCGGCAAGACTTCGCTAGTGAAGACTATGTTAGTCCGGAGGAACCTCCACCAACAACACTTGGTGTGACTAACGTTTTAGACGAAACAGAAGAGTACGAATATAGATTGCCAAGCAAGGAAGAGGTTCACGCTGCGTTGGCTGACACTTGGACATCAGTTACATCCTATTTCAAGGCTACTTCTTTCGATGAAAAAGAGAAGGGAGAGGAAAAATCTGAAACTTCTGAAACGCCAAGAGTAAGTGAGAGTACTGAATCAGACAGTGGGAAATGTTTAAAAAATCCAACAAAAAAGCGTCTAAAGAAAAGCTCCTCAGGAAGTGGAAGTTCACAAAAATCTTTAAGTATTGAAATGGAAGGTGAACAACTTACAGTGGTATCTGAAGAAGATGTTTTTGAAAACGATTCAAAAGCCAAGGTCGACAAACTGAAAGCTTCTTTCAAGCTTAACCTGGAAGGATCAAATACGCCTGCAATAAGAATTCGCTCAGATTCAAGATCTTCAACCGATACTTCCGGACCAGATTCTCCCTCTAGTCGTTCTCCTATATGTGTTCATCAATTTTCTTTTCCAGACAACAGTGTTACTTACCAAACTTCGCCGCCGATTGATTCTCCATCGTCTCCTGCCTCAGCCGTTGAGAAAATATGCGGTGTATTTTCTGTCGATCTTGGGCAAATGAGATCACTTAGATTTTTTTTCGAAGACGAATCATCTTGCAGTGGGCAAATGGTTATTGCAAGTCGTGAAAGCCAGTATAAAGTATTGCATTTTCATCATGGTGGTTTAGATAAAATACGACAAACGCTAAGTGAATTTCAGTTTTTTGCTGCTAGAATTAATGGCGACTGTCGTCAATTGACAGTTGTAAGACCTCATATAGAAAAACATGTTCATCCAGAAGAGGGAGCATATTCGAAAGTCAATTTAGATACATGGAATCAGCATATGAACGAAAAGGGTCAGATCGAAGACAGCTATACTTTGAGGAAGGTATATCCATAAATATATTTTTGAAAAAAAAGACTGATATTAATTTTGTTGAATATTCAATAATTTACAGGCTGTATTTTTTGCTGGAATCGACCAGAGTCTACGTAGAGAAATGTGGCCTTTTCTTTTGAGTTACTACCCGTATTCATCGACTTTCGACGAAAGAGAGCAGATTCGAAACGAAAAATACATCGAATATCAAAATATTCGAAAGCTCAGAGAAGAGATGAGCGAGGAGGAGCGAGAAGCTTTTACTCGAAATATTCAATGTATTGTTGAAAAAGATGTCGTCAGAACTGATCGAAGTCACGCTTACTTTCGGGGTGAAGACAATCCTAACATAGAAGTCTTACAAAATATTTTACTTAACTATGCCACTCTTTACCCTCAATACGGTTATACCCAAGGCATGTCGGACCTGTTAGCTCCCATTCTTGCCGAACTGCAGCATGAATCCGATTCCTTTTGGTGCTTTTCTGGTTTAATGAGAAATACTATATTTGTTTCATCCCCTAAGGATGTTGATATGGATAAACAATTGGTCTACTTAAGGGAACTTTTGCGAATAATGCTGAGCAGTTTTTATGAACATATTAGCAAACAGTCTGATGGATTAGACTTGCTATTTTGCCACCGTTGGATTTTATTGTGCTTCAAACGAGAATTTTGCGAAGCTGACGCTTTACGGATGTGGCAAGCATGCTGGGCCCACTACCAAACTGATTATTTTCATTTATTCATTTGCGTGGCTATTATAGCGTTATATGGGGAAGATGTTGTTCAACAAAACCTACCATCTGATGAAATCCTTCTTCATTTCTCTTCGCTGGCAATGCATATGTTGGCTGAAGCTGTTTTAAGAAAAGCTCGAGCCATATTACACGATTTTAGAACTAGGTCCACTATTCCCTGTACTTTGAGTGGCCTTTGTACTTTATGTGGACCTGGAATATGGGATTCAGGGCATGTCCCCAATATTGTTTGCATTGGAGGACCTGAACACAGCCATTAACCATTCCTGAAAACCATTTTGTTCTACTCTATCTAGTCATTCCACTTTAGTGGAAACTGGTGCCGGCCTAGGTATCATTTGTCTTTAGTATTTTTGCCTTCCCCACCCTATATGGTATAATTATTGTGAAATTTCTTTACGTTCAATGTTTTACTGGTGATCTGTCTATCTTCTAGTCTTCGTGTACATGTATTGATAAACACTGTTTATGCATATACTTACCTAATTTACCTTTATCTCCATAAACTGTACCGCTAAACAAAATTTCAATTAGGCTTAAGATTACTTTCAAGTCATTTAGCTTATATTTTAGTTGGTAGCATATTAGTAAATAATTTCAAAAGTATTTCTAGCCCAAAAGCATAATTTTCATCATGCTCTTGAGTTGAAAACACATGAGCAAAGTCGATCATCTTGACAAGAGCTACATTAGGTATTTGCTTTTTTGCCTTCATATTTCCTTCATAAACCACCAGTAAACTACTTGAGTAGAAAGATAGCTTTGTCTGATTTTGGAAAAAATCTCTAATTTCCTTAATTTGCTTTATAATCTCTTTCAAAACGTCAACTCTGAAGCAATTTCCCTGTGTAAGATATAATTTCAGACCTTTATCACCTAAATCTTCGGGTGCTAACGAACGCCCATAAACTCTATCATATTGAACATAGTTATTGGTTACTGTATCATAAATACGCATTCCCAAAATCTGGAATCCAACTTCTGGCAATCTTGGGTATTTTGATTTCTCTTTAATTATCTTATCAGGATTTGCCAAAGGATTGAAAGTTTGCTTACCGATTTTCAAATCGGTGATACATGGTCTATCAAAAACTTTCGTTATATCTTCGAGTCTCATATACTTGGCGTTTTTATTAGAAATTGGAATATATTCGATTCCATAAAATTTTGGGACAAATTTCCTAATATCAATGAAAACCTGATCTGTTTGGTTTTTATTATTTACTGCTTCGTAAAATTCTAGTTCTCGATTTCCTTTAGGAAATCTCTGGACTGGTTTTAATACTATATTACCCCTTTCAAGTAAACCTATTAAAAAATTGAATATAAACTTAATAAAAGCAAACTCATAAAATAACTAGAATTACCAAAACAGGTAGCGCTATGAATATGACCAGCAACTTGGTGACTTAGAATTTTAACTCCTTCTGGAAGATCTAATGGGTCCATGGTTGATGTACTTTCAGTTGATGACACCTTATATTTACTCATAATATCTTAGATTTAATTGTTGTTAAATATATTTGAATTTTCGAATTATGTGTAATATTTCACTTATACATCTACCAGTTTCCACTAGAAATTTACGGCGGTCCTAACCTACAAGGAATTTTCCTTTTCCGGTTTCAGCAGACGCAGTGTGTATGTAAAAATTTACAATCTCAAAATATCGGATATTAAAGTTACAATCATGAGTTTATTTTAACATAATTTGTTATATAAACGACTGATTTATAATTTGATAGTAAAATTACTGAAATTGTAACTTCGTACCCGATTTTATAATGCGCCACTTGTACACGACCAATTCGTTCATACCCGGTGCTTTCTTTTCAGCTGAAATTCACAATGACACGATATTCAATAGATCCAGAAAATGCGTCCAAGTGTGAGTACATTTATAATATTTACATTCAAAGTAATTTTAATGATGATATATTGACAAGCATATGTCTAAATTTATATATGTTGTTAATTTTAGAGACTGAAGCACTATTGTAACAGTCATATATCGCAATTGCCATGCGCTTCCCTTTTTTTCTAACTTTTTTCTGTTTTCAGCTGCGAAGGCTAGAGGTTCGCATCTCAGAGTGCACTTCAAGGTAAATACAAACTCACTGTATGAAATACCCATTAATACCTATTTTATATTTTTTTCTAATTCTAGAACACTCGCGAAACAGCTCAAGCGATAAAGAAAATGCATCTTCGTAGAGCCGTTAAATACCTTAAGAACGTGGTATCAAAAAAAGAATGCGTTCCTTTCCGTCGTTATACCGCTTGTGTCGGTAGATGCGCCCAGGCTAAGAACCATGGAACCACTCAAGGACGTTGGCCCATTAAGAGCGCCAACTTTCTGCTTCAATTGTTAAAGAATGCCGAAAGTAACGCTGAATTCAAAGGTTTAGACGTGGATCATCTGGTTATCGAACATATTCAGGTGAATAGAGCTCCTAAAATGAGAAGAAGAACCTACAGAGCGCACGGAAGGATTAATCGTACGTTTGGATTCTAAAACCAAGTAAAATTTACTAACGAATCTGAACTTTTTAGCTTACATGAGTAGCCCGTGCCATATTGAAGTTATTCTTGGTGAAAGAGAAGATGTCGTAGCCAAGCCGGCTGAGGACGAACCAACAAAGAAGAAAGTTTCACAGAAGAAGCTGAAAAAGCAAAAGATGATGATGAGAAACGAATAATTATAAACTATGAATGCTTTTTCAATACACGTTTGATGATGATGAATTTATCTATAGTTTTGTTTAAATCCGTTAGATGTCGTTAATTTAGTTGTCAAGGTAAACATAATGGCTTCATAGTAGATATGCCTGTAATCAAAATACCTGTAGTTCATAAGTTCGGGATTATATCCCAATCTCACAGAGATGAACTTCAAGAGCGTATTCAGAGAAACATATATATTTCAACTTTTAAAGATGGAAAATCATCCAAAGTCTCAAAAGATAGTTTGGAGGTTAACGAGGATTTTGTGAATAAATTTAACAACTGCACAAATGCAGACGATAGACAAAAATTATTGGATGTCGCAAAAAAAATGCTTGAACGAGCTAAACGACGCTGTGGAGCCAGCACAGCTGGAGAGGGAAAACACGTGGATCTCCCTTTAGCTTGGACGGAACTCGCGCAACTTGCTCAATGTCAGCACAAAATACAAACTGACTGTTTAAAAATTTTAAATGAATCTCTTCAACAATCTCCATTTGATAGGCAACAAGTACCAGCTTTGTTCTACTTAGCTGAAACAACTCTATACTGGCTAAGGACTGACTCTTTGACGCAGCCATATTTAAGAAAAAATGAAATTATACTATTAGAAATTGGAATGAATACATTTTTTAGACTCTTTTTTCATTACATGGCGGGAGAGCTAGGAGGATTCAATACATTTAAGGATCGTTTACATACATATTTAGAAGGTTTTATTGATTCAGAAAATGCGTATGAGCCGTATCCTGTATGTGTTCTTCGAATGAAGTTTATTCATGAAATTGGAAGAATGTTGACTGCTGACGTATCTGAAGATCTTCAACCGCAAGAAGAAGGCTCTCCTAAGGGAGAAACTGAAACTAATCATAAATCTCCAGACTATATATCATCTTGTGTTCATGACCTCAGTCCTACACTTTGGCACTCCTTAGATGTTTGGAAGAGTGTGGAGAAGGCATCTAAGGATTTAAGAATAAGTTTAACTGCCCTTTTAGATTGCGCCTGGCACGTGACTGATGAAAATTGGGTAGACGTTTTCACCGCTTTAAATATACTAGGAGATGCTGGTCAAGCAAATACAGACGTTCTTCATTGCCTGTTTCACATGGCTAAGGGACCAAAAGATCCAGTGAGAAAGCTACCTCCAAAAGAAACTAGACTTAGTACTACATCTGCAGTGCAGCAAGACTTTGACGCATCAGCCGCCGCTGATGACGGTAGCTTGGGTACCAGAGCCATAACTGCCTCAACTCATCAACCCGAAGTCGGTTCTGGTTTTGCATCTTGGCCATGGCAATGCTGTCTGGGATATATTTCTATATTAAAAGAAATTGTTATAAAAAGTGCCTCATCAAAGATTCGAAAAACTGCTTTAGTGGGAGAAGACGAGTCGCTAAAGAATTTTTCCCTACTAGGCCTTCTATTTTATGATCAAGAGTCTAAAATATCATGGAAGGTTCGATCGGTTGCTTACGAACAAGTCTGGAATGTTTATAGGTTTTTTGAAAAAGACAAAATGAATGATAATTTAGCGAACGCTGCTTGGCAAGCAATTCTTCACGTGCAGAGATATGAAATGGACAAACGTGTTTTGGATTCAGCAAAAGTTGTTCAAGATTACATTCCAACTGTTCTTGAAAAGTCATTATATGGCCTCATAGCTAAAAATCTATCATATATCTATTTACCAACTGCTGAATATGACTTTCCCTTAAAAATGAAAAATAAACATCAAGCAAAAAAGATAGTTAACAAACCAATAAGAATAAAACAAATACGAACATCTCTGCGGGACGAAATGAATCTTGCTAATGCCCTTTACGAATCACTACCTGGTAAACTTGAACGGATGAATTTTGCTATGAGAAGGGTTGTTGAAGACCAGTGGCGTAAAGAAGAACACGAAATGCTTGAAAGAGAAGATAAAGAAGAGGATAGCGAAAAGAAGCCGGAAAAGAAAAATGAAAAGAAAAATGAAAAGAAAAATGAAAAGAAAGAAATGAAAAAGAAAGTTTTAAATGATAATTTCAACAACTTAATTTGAATTCATTTACATCTCGTTTATTATAATAAAAATTAAATTATGCTGATTGTATACAGTAAATCTTTTTGCCTAACTATACGGAAATAGCCGCACGTTTAAGGGCCACACCATATCTGCAATGAAAAAATTTGAAAATAGGCTTCTTTTGATTAGAATCAACTCGCTCATACCTCCTGCCAAAGCCACATCAAATGGTGTATCGTACTTTTCAATAAGGTCTCTAGGCGTCATAATACAATCAACTTGATTATCCAGCAGATAACCTAACACCTCTGCAATTTAACAGAAAACTAAAAATAGAATTTGTATTTAATATTCAAAATTTTACCTTGTCTAGGTAAAAGTTCGGGTACTCTTTCATGCAGGGAATCAGATACTGGTGCTCCACCAAGGGCCTGCAGATGATAATTTAATGAAAATAGTTTTTAAGTTTACCACAAAATTTTTTTATCAAAATGGTACAAAATTGAATATGCAAAAATAGGAAATCGACAAAAAAAAGTAAACAAATCGATTCATGCAATATACAGTATGAGGATCATACATAAAGAATATTTAAAAATCTAACAAAGCTACATAAATCACATAAATAATCTTCTTCGAAAAAATGATTGGAAACAAAAAATAAGCCAAAACAAAAATTTTGTTTTCATAAAATAAGCTTGGATTTCTAAAACTAAATATTTTCTTGGTCACTTACAACACTCATACGCATTTGGTTCGATTTGGCCGAACCTCCATCGCTATTCGTCCTTTCCTGAAAACGCTTTTCTTTTTAGAATATTAAATTAACGTTTCAAACTTGAGTTAATTAATGTTAAACATCGTCGTTTAAAAATTGTTTATGTTGTTAATACTATTCAACTAAATAATTTAACCATGCTTAAATTTTCTTACCTTGGTTTGCTTTAAATGCTTACCCAATTTTAAAAGTTGGGTTAACATATCAATAACTAGCTTATCTTCTGTCTCTGAAGGTTCGTATTCGTCAATCTTCTGAGCAACAATATCTATACTCCGATAAGACCATGATTGATATAATGGATAGGGTATGTAATGTAAGAGTTAAGGTTAAATTTCAATATGTAATATTCGAATTATTCTAAATGCTATTAAAAATAAAGGATATATCCCGAGATATAGACAATAATTTAGCTATATTCGTTCTGTATTCATTTTCTGGGGTAGTGTTTGTTATATCTCTTAACAATTCCAAAATCATTTCCATAGAAGCCTTATTTTAAAAGCAATATTCTCTTTACTATCAAATGAATTCTAAGCAAACCTATTTAGTTTACCAACCTCTACCACGTGCACACAGTACTCAGGGTAAACTAATAGCAATCCATGTGCAGTTTCGGTTTGAAGTTGATTTGCAGCAGTAACGAAAAATTTTTCATAGTATCCTAATAAGGTAAAAAGCTTTTATTTTACAAACAAAAACACAAACTTTTTATTTAATTAATTATCTTACTTCCGATTTCTTCGAAGTTATTCTTTCCTTTTGTTTTACAAACTATAACGGCCCTATGTAATAGGTTTTTCTGAAAAAAATAGTAGAAGGTAGGCTTAATATCATTATGATATGGTACAAATTAAAGAAGAAAGCAGTCATTCGTTCGATTATTTACATATCCAGATTCAGCTACGTAGACTCTATCCAACTTTAATTCAAATAAATTTGAATGTTGATGTGGTTCAGGAGTATCTGAATTTTCATAGACATAACGTCTCATAGTTTCTAATGTTGTTGTTTCGCCTTCATTCATTTTGGCTAGAAACTGAACGACTAACCGCTAGCTCAAGCCTTTCATATGAGCATAAACGCAAACAATCGCTCGAGAAAGGAAAATTGTGCAAATATTTACTTTGAATTATTCTTGATCTATGCATAAAACGTTTAATAATTTTTAGGCCTTGTCATTTTACCTTATTGAGAGTCCTGTTCTTGTCCTCAATAACGTCCAAAAGCGACGTTCGATCAAATAGAACAGAATCATCGTCGTTCGCCATGTTTTAGTTTGCATTGTTGCCCGGCAACGCTTGGTCTTCGGCGCGAAAAACTTTACTTAAATTTACAGATACATTCTATTGTGAATTATTTAAGATTATAGATAGTCAATATAGATCAACAAGAATCTTATTCAAAAAAGCTTTATTGTTTCAAAAAACCTTTATTTCGCAAGTAATTGCTACTAGTACGTAACGCCTATTTGTGCAAGAATTTCCTCCATTATTTCGGCAATAGAAATTGTGTCATTTAAAGGCATAAGTTCATGTTCAGTTTTTCCTTGGAGAAGGGCTTCTCTTACTGCTTGAGCCTCATAACAAAACCCTGTGGAATTGGGAAAATTCATAGGTTTACTAATATTCGGGAGATCAAAAGATTTTTTTCCACTTGGTGTTTCTATTTCAGTTGGGGCATGGAATTTAGGAAATTCAATAGAGCCTTTTGTACCAAAGATTCTTCCGACGTTTTTCATTTCTACGGTACAAGTGGACAAAAGATTTGCAGCTCCACCATTTTTGAATAATAACGTGTAACTTGCAAGAGAATCTACACCGGACTCAAAAAGATGACCAGAAGCTGTAATTTTAATAGGCTTTTCCCCGAAAACCAACAAAGCCAATTGAATTAAGTAACAACCTAAATCTAAAAGCGAACTACCACCCAAAGCACGTTCTCTTAAACGAGGCACATTTGGAGCATTAATTCCAGCTGTGCAAGTTAAAACAACGGGTGTTCCTATGCTTCCTGCTTTCAGTTCACTTCTTAATTCTTCATAAACCGGAAAAAATCTACTCCAGAAACCTTCCATTAGAAAGACTTTGTTTTTTCTTGCAGCTTCAACCAATTCTTTTGTTTCTTTCACATTCATGCATAGGGGTTTTTCGCATAAAACATTTTTACCCTTATTAATCAAATTCAATGCTATTGGATGATGAGTTGGATGTATTGTTCCAATGTAATATACATCTATATTATTGTCATCGGCTATCTCATCATAGCTTCCATACGTCTTTGGAATGTTGAATCTTTTCGCAAATGCGTTGGCATCGTCAAGGTTTCGGGCAGCTACTGCTGTTACGATATGTTCATTATCTGGTAGATGTGTCAAGCAAGTGGCAAAGTCTGATGAAATTCTGCCTGCACTAATAATTCCCCATCTGGTCGCGGCCATATTTACGAACTTTGAACAAGAAGGAGGTAAACTGTACAATGAGAAAAACGTCTGCTAAACTTTATATACGTCATCAAATACCTCGCGAGAATGATCAAGAATTTTTTTTTAATTTCTTTCTTCTCCTGATTAATCATAACGAAAAAAATTTCCTCATATTTATTCATTTGAATTATTATTCATAACTTTAAAAGCAGTTGGACACCGACGCACCAACATAGTTTTTAAACTACAAACTTACTTTGTAATCTTTATAATTAAAATTAAACGCGCTCTTCAAGGACACTGTAAATAATCAATTACAAATTCGAATCTAATTCAACCGGCATCTTTTTTTCGTTCTAACGTTGTATCTTATGAAAAAATATATCTTATAGACATTTAATTTGATTTATTATTAAATGAATATTACATAAAAAGCTAAATGAAGAAAATAAGATATAAATTGTAGTCTTTCACTTCGGAAAGCAAACATATTTTTATTTAGTAAATAGAAAAATCTGGTAAGTTTTGGAAAATTTATTCTTCAATGCAGACTAGGCCTATATTCCAAAGGGCAGTTCATGAACATATCAAGAGTAACCATTTATACAATTAAAAATTACTATAAAATGTAGGGAGTGTTATCAAGTGTTTATATAGCAAGCGATTATATGTTTAAAGTTTAAGAGCAAAAATAAAATAAAGACGTCTGGACACCGAAATATCCTATTTATTGACAAGATAAACATTAGTCGTTACGTTTGTTGTTGTTGTTTATAGCTAAATAATATACAATAACGAGACTGGGATCTCATTTATAAATGTTCTAGTTCGTATGCGAATCACGTCTTTTAATTAATTTTCTTACAGGCTTCATCGTCAAATATAATATTGCGCAGGCGAACGAAAACGTCACCAGTAGTTATGAATTCTCTCATGGAAGATAAAAAACAGGCAAATAGAAGTATGGTTGATGGTCCACTATGTTTCAAAGACTTGTTTGGCTTTAGAATATCTGACTTTTCAAGTTGGAGCCGCTTTAGGAGTCTTCTTCATAGGCCTATGGATCCTTCTTTGATAGCCTATGTTCGTATAGCATATGGTATGTTGTTTTGAGAAAGCATTGATTATATATTCTTTTCATTTCTTTTGTATTTGTCCTAAAGGAATTTTGATGCTATTAGACCTTTTCCAAGAACGAGGTCTTTCTCAGGCAGATGTCATTTGGGTGAATGAGGAAGAGTGTCGGTTTCCGTTGATAAATTTTCTTAAACCTTTACCTCTGAGATGGATGTATGTGCTATACGCCGTAATGCTCATAGGTAAGCGAAAATTACTGAAAATTTGATATTTAATACATTGTTCTTGTTCAAAGGTACACTTGGAATCATTTTTGGATTTTTCTTCAGGACGTGTTGCCTGGTATTTTCTCTAGGTTATTGGTATGTTTTCCTGCTAGACAAAACATCTTGGAATAATCATTCATATCTCTTTGGACTTTTCTCAATTATCCTGTTGATAAGTGATGCCAACAGATACTGGTATATATCTTACTTTGATATCTAATAAATATGCAAAGTTGTACTTTTAGCTCTATAGATTCATTCTTTGACTCTTCAATAAGAAATAAACATATACCATTGTGGAATTATACTTTAGTTAGAACACAAATTTTCATACTATATTTTTTCGCTGGATTGAAAAAATTTGAATCTGACTGGATTCAAGGATATTCCATGAGGAGTTTATCAGAACATTTCATATTTGAACCGTTTAAATTATTCTTGAATGAAAAACAAATTGATTTATGGATAGTTCATCGATTTGGATTTCTCTTAGACCTATCATTAGGCTTTTTCATTTTCTTTGACCAAACAAGAATCTTTGGCTTTATCTTTGGAGCCAGTTTCCATGTAATGAATTCTCAAATGTTTCACATAGGTTTGATTTATTGATTTACATCATTGTACTTCTGTCATATATAATAATATTTAAAATCTAGGTATGTTTCCCTATGTCTGCCTGGCTACGCTCTTCGTATTTTGTAGATCTGATTCTCCTAAAAACTTTGTTAAAGGACTTCCATGCAAGTTCCAAAAATTCTTTATGACTATAGCTGATTCTGAAAAATCGACTCATTGCTCATATGGAGAGGAAAAGACTGACATTTCAGTGAAGACTAGATTTAGGCAAAACGGAGGCTGTATTTTCACTATACTTTATATAGGTATTCAATTATTCTTGCCTTTTTCTCATTCAATTACGAAGGTATTTGATATTATAAACCTCTCTCAATTATTATATTTTCCTTTATAATTAAACCAAAAGGGTTATAATAATTGGACCAATGGTTTGTATGGCTACAGCTGGGATATGATGGTTCACTCTTGGCATACCCAACATAGTCGAATTACCTTCGAAGATCCTGCAACTGGAGAGATTGGATATCTTGACCCTTCTGTATATCATTATTAAATTTCATTTTGAAGTACACATAGAGTTGTTTTAATTTTTCAGGCTTTTACTAACTCTAAACGATGGACATCGCATGCAGATATGGCTAAGCAATATGCAGTTTGCATATCTGAGCGACTAAAAAAGCATGATTTACATAATGTCAAAATATATTTCGATATTTGGAAATCAATGAACGGGAGATTTCACCAACGACAGTTCGATCCTCGTATTGACATTGTAAAAGCTAATTGGCATCCATTTAAAGCTACAAAGTGGGTCCAGCCGCTACTAATAGAATTATCAAATTGGAGAGACGAATTAGAGAAAATTAGACAGTCGTATTATTTTTCAGAATTTATGGATGTTACTTTCATAGCTGATTTTCCTGGATTGACTCTAGAAAACTATATTCAACCGGATTTTGAGAACACGACGCTAAAAGTTTTAAATGGAACAGTTCGATTTGAATATGAGGGATATACAAGAATATTACATACAAATGAAACTATAATTTTACCTAGTGCTACATATCATAATGTAACAACAATATCTGACAAACCGTCTTGTTACATGTACATATATACCAACGTTTCGGAATCAAAAAAAAGACAAAAATTAAATGAATGGTCAAAGAAAAACTATAGCATCCCAATCGGTATGAAAAAATTATGTACATCTTATTCAAATCTAGCAAGTTTTTAATATACTTCAGCGAGAAATCGGGAAGACGTTCAACTTGAAAATAACCTAAATGATTTTTTAGGGCATAAAACGAAACGTCTTGTCAAAAGTTTAAAAAGTAAAAGTTGGTATGGAAATGCCATTAATTTCATTACGAAGAAGTTAAAGCAAATAGCTCGAGGGTATATATGATATTGTTTTCACTTACGCTCGTTATTTATTTTTATTTTTATAATAAAAAAACAGCTTAATCATGTCCTATTATGGAATAGCTGGATTGTACAAGAAAGAGAATATACACAAACTTTATTCCCAAGCTGTGACAGTTGATGCTTATCTTTTTCCTGAGAAAATTGGAAAGCGTAAGCCCATAGATGAATAGCTTAAGCTTTAAAATGTATTTTAAATAAAAAGTAATTATAAATTTACTTCTCTGTTATAATTGTGATTGTATATCTATCACAAGAGATATTTCACTATAATCTACAGCATTTCATATAATACCCAAAGCTAATTGATATTGTATACTTTCATATATTCCAGATATGTCTGAATTTATTCTATCTTATAATGATACAATGTGGAATGAATTGATAAAGAAATTGGAAAATTGAAATCTTTTTGTTGTTGTTTGTTGTTTTAGTGTTTTTGATGTTTTCGATGTTATGAGGAGACTTTATGGCATAGATTAAGGACAAGATTAAATAAACAACCATTTTTCTCATCGAAATATCCGTTTATAAATAATGAAATATTTTTGTTAGTAAAAAGTAGTTGACTGTACAATGTGACTGACTCAAAAGACCTATTTAATTATTTTTTGCTAGAATTGAGTAATGTCAAATATGTCTACAGCCACGTGCTTGAAATTAGTTGGTGCTCCAGAGGCTAGCGGCTTTTTATTAGGTAAGTCAAAGTTCGTTCGTTGCTTTATAACAATGTAAACAGGAAATATTGCGCATATATTCTATAGACAATATAAAAAACTTGAAAATGGCATTTAAACAATATATAGATCAACTTAAGTTACTTCATTAAAGTAAGAAAATTACAGGTAAAAAGTTCAAAAAAAATTCAAACGACTATGACATTTCCGGATTACCTTAATTGGGATTCAGCTTCCATGTCTGACAGCCTTTCTCATAATGTAACTGGAGCATCACCAGCTTTATCTCAAAACTATGATGATATTGCACAACTTCTAGATGAATTGGATAACTTAAATAACTTGAAAACTCCTATTTATGAGCAAAATGATTTATCGAATGATTTCACTTTCTCTGATTTGGGATCGCCTCTAATGAATTTTAAGAATGACTTCAATAATAATTTGGTAGAATCGGACTGTTTTGATTGGGATCTACCTAGTTTTTTAGCTGATTCTCCCTGTTCGGAAGTTGAAACACCCTTCATATCAAACAAATCGCCAAATGAATATTGTGTTCGGCCAGATATATCATGTTCTTTGGACGTTGGTTCACGTTTGACTGATTATTTTATTCCAAGAACCATGAATATACCTCTAAGTTCATCTAATGACATGAGAACGCCTAAAAACCCGAGCGTTAGGTATGTCAAGCTGATTGCGGAAGCAATACTGTCAAAAGAGGATAATAGGATGTTTCTACAACAGATTTACAATTACATAGCAGAGAAGTATACTATGTATAGCAGAGATGCGAGAGGATGGAAAAATTCTGTTCGCTATAATCTATCGCTAAATCGGTGTTTTGTAAAAACCAATTTAGCTGGGAAAAAAAAGGGACATTGGTGGACAATACATCCAGTGTGTATTGATGCTTTCAAGGTTGGTCGGTTCGCTCCTTATAGATTCCCTAGAAAACGTAAAACACTTAAAGCAGGTCAAAGTAAACATCAACCCAAAGAAGCCGTCCAAATGACCAATACTCCCCTGCCGTATAGTTCGTTGGTTCAATCGTTAAGTGTTACTGGTCCTAGAGACGAGTTGTATGCCCAACATCAAAGGGCAATAGAAGTAATAATGAAACAGTTGTCGATTAAACAAGAATTAAGTCCAATCAGCTGTTCATGTTTTCAAATAAAAGGGCACAAAATGATTTAATACCTGTAGTTTTTTATTAAAAACATAGTAGTATGCAAAAAAACTTCTCTATTCGGGTTGATTTTCATATTTTGTTAAGATTCCTAATTTATTTATTTTGCAAAATAGCACACTATTTTGCTTTATCCTTAAAAATGTCCGTCTTTTTGTTTTATATTTGTTGATTTATCTATAAATAAAAGCATGATTTCATATAAGAAGTCAAGGCTTATAGTTGTATGTAGTTGGATGCATGTTCATAGGATTTTCTTCTGATTTCATCCAATCCTTTGTCAGCATCTGTTTTAGTTGGGAAAGTCGTAAATGTGGATTTTCTGCCTTAAGTCTTGGTAGATGTTTAGCTTCGAATGCTGCAAAAGTAGCTTTGAGACGTCGCTCCGGGTGGCGGTCAGAGTGATCTTGTTTCCTGCATATGTTTACGGGCATTAGTATTATTATAAATCCTATGTCGAAAAATATAAAACCCTAGAATTGATAAGGCCTCATCAACGTTTCTGGCCTCTTCTCCGTCCAACGTCATATGATTCAAATTTTCTTCCAATGGCTGTTCCTCAGAGATGCTAGTTCTAGCCGATGACGATAGAGTACCATGATCGACGGTCTCTTTTCTTTCTTGTATTTCATGTCTGGTCACTTTAGCAGGTTTTGTACTCTTCTTAGACGGTAAAGCCTTCAGTTCATCTTCTAAAGCTTTTTGATTTTCTAACTTGCGCTCTAATTGTTCTTGTCGTTTCTTCTCCTTTTCTTCCTGGAAACGAGGTTACTTCGGTATTAATTTGGATATTTTAAATTAGATCAAGCATTACTTTGCGCTGTTGTTTACGAGCAATATGCTTATCATCGTCTTTCCAGTATTCATCTTCTTTCTGTTTAGCAATTCTTTCCTCTCTTTCGTGTCTTGCATCGGCTTTCCTTTGTCTCGCTACCACGGCTTTTGTATTTTCTCCTTTGAATTTCTTAGGCATTGTCTATCTATGGAAAATAATGTTTCCAGTTTTATTTATTTTGTTTGCTAACATTTTATATAAAAAGTACAGAAAATACTCTAAAACATTTACAGTGTCCGGTTACTAGTTCGTTTTGTACAAGCATAATTGAATAAAAATATTTATTATTAATATAAGCATCATACTAATGATATAAATTACAATTACTGAAGTATAGCCCTGAAACCATTTATGTGGGTAGTTTTAATAAAATATTAATATATTCAAGGACATTTAAGACTCCCACAATGCCTAATGTTGTCATATATTTTACCTTGATTTAGAGAAATAGACAAACAGATTTATAAAAAACATATTACACCAAATATTTCTATTAAGGAATATACATTTTCTGAAAAAAACATAAAATAAAGCTGCCACATACAAACCTTATTTTTTTTTTTACAAATTCAGGTTATACTATATAGAAGTTTTTGTTATTGTTGATGTCACGAACTTAATTACTTAGTGAGAAATCCAAAAAATGAGTCTTATTTATATGATCAATTATTGAATTGGTTTATGAAATGTTGAAATACTGAATATTCTGGTTTCACAAATTTGAGCAACTTCCGTTTCCGAAAATAAGTATGGCTGCAGCTACGATTTGCTGTGTGGGTCAAAAATAGAATAAGCACTACGGTACATGATTTTCTGGTTAGATGTCGCTAGTTTAGCACAATTTCCCGCCATAAATAGATCAGCTAAATATTGAAATTAGTCTTCCTTGGCAACATTGTTTATAGGTACTAACATTATATCGCTCATCGAAAACAGCTGGTTAAAGAAATATTAATGTTTAATTATTGAATCATTTCAAATATGAATATTGAAGTTTATGGTAGGGTAAGACCATCAGTACATGGGGAAAGAGCTGTTCATATATCCGAGAGCTTCCAAAGCAGCATTGAGCAATTAGTCAATCGACCTGGTGCGCCATATCATAGGTTGATATAAAATCTATTATTTGATCTTCAGTACAATACTTTATTCATTGTAGTATAAATGAAATATTTCCCACTTCTACGACGAACTCTGACATTTTCTCCCTTACTACTCGTCCCCTGGTCGACTTGTGGGCAAGCGGATTCAACTGCTGTTTAATTGTTACTGGTGAATCCAATTCTGGGAAAGCATTTACTGTTGTTGGAAATAATAGTAGTTCGTCTGGCATTTTCTCTCAGATATTGTATCATATATTCAGTAAGATTGGAGAAGGTAAATCGCCCTTATAAATAGTCATTTATATACAGTAAATCGAAAGCTTACAAATTGACATCCTGTTAATAGATGAAGAATATTACGGGGATGAAAGACGTCATCCACCAGGAAGATTAAAAATGCAAATGTATGAAATTTTTAATGAAAATGTCAGAGATCTGTTGGCTGTAACACCCAAAGTTGAATTCTGCCAATTTGAAGAATCAGCTGAAAAGGGCACATTCGTACAAAATGGAACAGTGGGAACTGTGCCAAATGTTCTTGAAGGATGTGGCTTATTTAGGCGGGGTCTTAATAAAAGATCGGCAATGGAAACTGACTATGGGTCATCTGAACAATTTTCTAATATAGTTATATATCTTGATCTTAACGTTAAACTAAGAGATCAGAATCAAAGTCATAGTAGTAGATTTACCATTTGTGTAACTCAAGGAGCAGAAAGACTACGAGACGACACAGTTCTAATTAAAAGAGAAGGCGAAAACTTATCAAAATCCATAATCACTCTATCACAACTGGTAGCAAGTCTTGCTAATCAACCACATGCTGATAGAGTAATTCCTTATAAGTAAGTACGGGATATATTAATATATCTCCTCAGGGTATCTCGCTATATACTATTATATTACATTCTATAGTCATTCAAAACTTACTACCATGCTTAAAGAAGAAATTGGAGGAAACAGTAAAACAACAGTTCTTGTTTGCTTAAAACCGAAAAAGGAAAGTTCTGTCGTTGATCCAATTTTAAGAATGTGCGCCCAATTTAGTCAAGTTAAAAATTTTCCATTAGTTAATGATAATTTAGCTCTGGTATGACTTGCTTTTCTCTTTATAAATAATAATGTATTCTAAATCTTTCTTCTCGTTTTCCCCTTTAGCAATTAATCACCCAATACAGGGCTAGATTGATTTATCTTCAGAATATTGCAGGATTTGGCGCAAATGCACCATTTTCTAAAGATATACAAAGCGAATTATTGGCTCTACAATCAGAAAATGTATAATATTAATATATCATATATACTGTATATGTGTAAAAGAGGGCCCTTAATAATTATTGTTTTTTGCTAAAAGATAGAGCTAAGGGATCACGTGGAAAAACTCCAACATCAGCATACCTCTTTAAAAACCCACGTTGGAACACTAGCTAACAGTAAAGCAGACGTTTCAGAACAACTTCTATTGACTCAGAAAGACCGTCTACAAATTTCACAGACGTTAGTCGATTTAAAATTAAAAAATCATCAATTAAGGGAAGAATACGAAGAAGTTCAATATCATTTGAAGAATAAAATTTTGAACATGGAAGAGAAGTTGAATGGGGTGCTATCTGATAAACAAAAAGAGGAGCAAAAAGCCAAATATGCCGAAGAAAGATTGCTAGAACTTCAAAAAGTCTACAAAGATCTTTCAGATGAGTATACTGATCTTCGAGCTTCCTATGCCGAAATGAGAATGACCGCTGAAAATGAGGTGAAGTTCCCTATTAATGCCTATTTGTCATTTTTAATAGAACAATTATCTTAATTAGAAAAGAAAAGTGATAGATTTAAGCGTAGAGTTGCTCAGACTAGTCAAGGAGAAGGCAAATCTACAACAACAACTTGGACAACGAGTTGATGAGGAGGAAGGTGAACGATGGCGCCATCTAGTTACTGATGATGAAGCAAAAATCCCTAATAGAAGAATTAGACAAGAATTAGAAGATAATGTAAAAATAATTGACAATTATTGATCAAGGGGTTCTTTTTATAATATTGCAATTTTGATTTCAGTACTTTCTCCGCGAAAATGAATTTAGGGAGAAAATGGATAAATTAAAGACAGATTTTGAAAAATCTGGAGACTCCTTAGAATTAAGAATGTAATATAGAAGAACATAGCAATATTAACAAACTTTTAATGATAATTAATAATTTATATTTTAACAGAGCGCAATTACAGACTGATTTAAAAAGATATAGACAATCCGACCATGACAAACAGCTTCGACTAGCCAAACTGGAAAGTGAACTTATATATGTAAAAAGTGAAAAAGACGAGATTGAAAAAGAATATAATAGGTTACAACATAAAGTAAAAGACAAGACTTCGGAATTTAGGTCAACTTTAACGAAATATATCAACGATATTGCTATAATCGCTGACAATCAGAGAAATTACGAATTCTCTTCCGATAAAATAAATAATTTAAGAAAAAAAGTTGATGAAATGCTGCAAGAGTTGAAAAAATCGTACAAAACCAGAGAAGAACAACTATGCGAAGCTGTTGTCAAAGAGAAGAATATTAAAAAAGGATTAGTTAAAAAATACGAGCAGTTATTAGTTGCTTACAGGCAATTGCAAGTATCCATTTTGGAAAAACACGAAGACTTTGATATTGGATCGAAAGAACAAGTCTTCCAATTAGACGAGAAAGATTTATTATCATCTCAGCAAGAGGAAATTTTCAGACTAAAGAATCAAATTGATGACTTGGAAAATACTATAGAAAATTCAAAGTATAACGTGAGTATTCAAATTTCCTACTTATCTATAATTAATTATTTAACAATCATATTTTGTCTACTTTAGATCAATACAGACTTGAATAAAAATGAAAAGTTTGTATATTTAGAACTCTTTTTTCTTATTTGAATCATTATTTTCACATTTTATTATTTATTATAGAAAATTGGAAATGGACAAACTTCGTAGAGAGGTGAAAGAGTTTACTATAAACACTCAAAGGGAACTAGAAGACGAAAGAGCGCAATTAATGACAGAAAAAGCTATTTTACAAGAGGAAGTTAGCGAACTTCGAAATTATATTGATAAAATGATAAAGAATAAATAATTAATTCAATTCGATAATTAACAAATATAAATCAACAAAAATGTAAAGAAGCAAGCATTATGTAAAAAGTTACTGGAATATTAATGATAATTGAGTAGTTAGTTTATGTACATTTTACTGAATCTATTAATGAAACGCTATTAAGCATTTCGGTTGTTGCAAAAATGAGTCTATAATTTTTAGAAGGTCTTGCATAAGTCCTTAGGGCTGAGAGCTCTGCTCTCGTACAGCCTCCAATGAAATAGACGAGTATCGTTTTAGTATACATCGGTTTTCGATTTCCACCTCGAGCAGATTCCCCTTTAGTAAAAAATTTTACGGGAACATTTAGCATTTTACCGTAGTCATCATATATCTGTTTAGTTTCAGGCCTATTCAGTATTAGTTTGTCAACTAAGTGAGCTACCAGAGGCGTATAGTACCCGCCATACACGTAATTTGGAGCGAAATTATCTTCAATATTACTACTCTCTGCAGTGCCGGCTTTATTTACAAGAGGACACTTTTTGCCGGAAAAAGTCTTGAAAGTAGGTCTGGTTTGAAAGCTTTGATCGGAATCTCCCAAGAATGATGCCTTTTTAGCATTGTGCAACCAAGTTAAATATTGAAAACCATAAGCTTGTAAGAAATATTTAAAGTATTCTTCCATTTTAGAGCGAGGAATACAATCTTGAGTTAAATTTAATAAGGATAATAAGCGTAAAGCATGACTAGGATCGGATTGTTGAACGATAAATTCTTCAACAAACGTTGCAGTTTCTTTATAATCTATTCCCAAAAGCATCTTTTGCTCCATTGTTTGAATAAATTCAATATTATTTTGTAGAGGGTCATATTTCTTTGATTTAATCAATTCGCATATTTTTAAATGTTTGGCAACCGAATTTTTCATATCCATCGCTCCTTTTAGTTCCGTTGAAACGAAATTTTTCATATCCGCAACGTTTCTCAATGTTTTACTTTCATCCTTTTTATCTTTTAAGGTAATTAATAATTCTTTAAGTATTGTTTGTGCTTTTGGATATAAAGCATCTCTAAATTTTTGTTGATAAAATGGGTCAGTGTTGTCAAAGCTAACAACCTGTTGTTGCGAAAGTTCAATTTGACTGCATTTTATATCAAAGATATCGGCGGCTAGTGCGGGATAAACTTGTGAAGATAATAAAGGCGAAATAAGATCGACATTTCTATCTACAAGAAGTACATGGTATACATCTTCTCGGGAATGCGATATATCACCGTTACAAACTAGAAGCTTGTCAAATAATTCATAGGCAGCAAGAGCATTTTCGCCAACTGTGTAGTAATTGACAAACTTTCCGAAGCAGCAATACAAGGTGTGCAAGGAATGTGCGACGTCGTATAGATATTTTTTATCTTTATCTAAAAATAATGATGAAAAGCAATCAGAAATCTCTAAGGAGACCAAATCTGTGTCTAATGGAACGCAATCAATGGCAAAATCATCTAATTTTATGACGTCATGTAGTCCCTCCTCCTCCAAAATTGTCATACATACGTGTAATCTTCTAGGTACACATACAAGTGTATAAATGTGATTCTTTCCTTTGGCAATAAGGCCTTGAACGTGATTAATAATTCTTTTAACCTTGTCGCAGGTCGGTCTAATCATAAAAGTTATGTGCTGTGCATCAAATAGCTTATCTTCCATGGAGTCTAGGGTATATAACCTCTTCAATCTTGCAGTTTCCCGAATAAAACTATTACCAAATAGTTTATCTAACGGGCGAAGGAGAGCATTATCGACAACTAAAATTTTGGGATAAGTATCACTGAACTTTAGTTGGAGTTCTTCCCTCGCCAATTTTTTAAGATCATGCATATCTAGAGTACTCATACCAGCAGTTTTTTCGAACAATTTTATTTAGAAAATTTCTAGCCGACTAAATTGTCGCGATAATATGTCAAACCAGCCACGGATCAGGCGACCACATCCTCAAAATAATTTCCGTTTCCGTTTACAGAGCGGCTCTCATCGAGTATATACTTGGCTCAATAACATAATCTACAGTCTTTTTCAATAAAACATTTCGATATCTAGCTGCTAGTAAGATTTCATTTACTCTTACCATATTTTTGTCAAATTTAATTGCTTAATTCATTTGAAATTTTTTGTGAAATTATTATTTTATCGTTTATCGCTCAGTGATGTTGCATTTAGTGAACGTATATACCAACTGTATCTCAACTTTTTAAGTTACTTATTTCTTCAGAGAAAAAATAAATATCTATTTATAATAGTTAGAAACACGTGTCAATTCTTTTGAGTAAATACTGTTAAACTTCACATGTTATCTTGTTTTGACTCTTTTTATTTTGAAAAATCACTCATAAAAGAATTTTTATTTTCAGAAATGTTTTTGACCAGATCAGAATACGACCGTGGTGTAAATACTTTTTCTCCTGAAGGTCGTCTGTTTCAAGTGGAATATGCAATCGAAGCTATAAAATTGGGCTCAACAGCTATAGGAATACAAACGGCCGAGGGTGTTGTTTTAGCCGTTGAAAAAAGAGTAACTTCTCCACTCATAGAAGCTAACAGCATTGAAAAGATTATGGAAGTTGACACTCATATCGGTTGTGCAATGAGTGGACTTATCGCTGACTCCAGAACAATGATAGACAGAGCAAGATTGGAAGCTCAAAACCACTGGTTTACTTACAATGAGAGAATGAGTGTAGAAAGTGTTACTCAAGCAGTTAGCAATCTGGCATTAGCTTTTGGAGATGATGACGCGGATCCTGGTGCAATGGTAAGCTATCAAAATTTGACATCCTACTTTCTTTTCAGAGTTTTCTGACATTTTTTGAAGAGTCGTCAAACTCTGAAACAATTTATCTCTGGCATTTAGAGAAAAATGGATCAACGATATAATTGTTTGCTTTTCAGAGTCGACCATTCGGGGTAGCTCTATTGTTTGCCGGTGTAGATGAAAAAGGACCACAACTGTTCCATATGGATCCATCGGGAACGTTCATTCAGTACGATGCAAAGGCGATTGGATCCGGTTCGGAAGGCGCTCAACAAGCGTTGCAAGACGTCTACCATAAATCAATGACCTTGAAAGAAGCTTGTAAACAGGCTCTTACCATCCTTAAGCAAGTAATGGAAGAAAAATTAAATGAAACCAACGTTGAGGTATGTACATTTTTATTAAATTTTCCACTTCCATATTAAAATCTTTTAAATTTGAACTTAGATGGCGGTCGTAACCCCTGAAAAGATGTTTCAAATGTTTTCAAAGGATGAGCTTCAGGACGTTATAAAAGAGTTGTAGGTTCGTTTGTGTTTTTTTGTAAATTTTTCAGTAAGAAATATACAATATTCTAAAATTATAAATGATCAAAGTTTTTACAATTGACATGCAATTTTTTTTCTAAAAAAGAAACTAAGAAAGAAAAGTTTAGAAATTATTTTTTCTAGTTATTATTAATGAATTACACGCATATTTCTTGTAATATACATAGGAATTATCTCAATTTTTGTTTCTCTTTGGGGAGAGACGTAATTATACACAACATGTTTACTCAACCATTAAGTTGCATTCTCTTGAGATGTATTTATTAGAAATATTAACTACACTTTAAATAGAGTTTAAATCTATAGAGATTATTTGTTTATTGAACCGAGAAATTAGTTGTACCCCTAGAAACAGAATGGGAATTTCATTAAAATGCCAAATCGTTGCATAATAAATTCGTATATTTCTGGGAAACAGGTTTCTTGATTGCCCTATACATCAATGACCTTGGTAAATAAAATTTGAATATGTAAAACATATGGAATAGTTTCGTTGATTTGGCTATTAGTTTTATATTGACAGCTATATCTTCGTTGAAGGCTACTTTGAAGGGAAACGATATTAGCTATCAGCTAATCATGGCAAGTAGGCTTTGGGACCGCTTCCATGTGGCATTACGATAGTGGAGTAAATAAAATCGTTGGTTCCTTTCGCTTTTCAATATAACGTCAAACGTTTTACTGCTGAATTGACAACAACCTATCCGGTTGCATAGAAATGATGCATCCAATATAATAAACAAACGACTGTGTCAGAGTAGAGCAGAAAGAAATTGCTCTTTCAGTAGCCCCTTTCGATGTTTAATGTATTATTTTGCCATGGGCAATCTGCAATTTTTTACCAAACCTAAAATGTGCTAAAATTGATGTCAAACCACTATACTATCAATTTACTGCCATGGCTATTGATTTCACCGCTACTTCTCTGAGGTAATTCATTTCCTTCCCTTAGATGGCGTTATTTTTTGAGAATAAAGATCATTAATTTCCTATAAGATTGTACTGATAGATATACGACTAGACATTTCCTCTTGTTTTATAAAAAGGGAAAAATGTAAATTATCAAACTATTAAAAATAACTTATAGAATAACAACAAACCCATTTATAGTCTATTTAAAAATTCTATGATTGACGTCTTATATGATAAAGTCTTTTCATTATTTATTATAAATAATTGACGACTTTAATTTATTTATTAAAATAAAAAGAGACTCAAATTCGAAATGGTTCGCAGTCTTCTTCCTTTATAGGTACCGGTTGACCTTTGTAGAAAGACGTTTCAGAGAAGAGAAACCACAGTTTACCAGCCCAAAGTAGAGCGTTAAGGTAACCGAAACACTGCAAGGAATAAATAAGGGAAGAAGACCAGATTATATTATACGAAAAATTTAAATCAATGACAATTTACCAATGAAGCATAAATGCTAGCAAATTTTCCGTGGCTTACGGTAATGCATTTATGAGGCAAATCCTTGCAACCCTCCAAGTGGCCGTTGACCCGTAGTGTTTGCAGATCGATATAATGTTTTATCTGTTTATCAACAAGCGTTTTGATTGATTAAGTAAAGTCAGTTAAATTGTTTAGAGACCCAAGAGGGGACAATCAGAAGGAGCTATAGGAATATTGATTTAAAAAAAAGATCCCTCTACTAAAGACAATGTAATAACTAAAACTTAGAATGAACTATATAAGGAGTCATTTCAACGAAAAAGGAGGATAAATATCTTGAATCTACAAGCAGGATATCGGATAAAAGAATACATAATAAAAGGTAATTAATTAGGCTCAAAAATAAAACAAAAGTCAAATTATTATCTCCCAAGGGACTTAAGTTTGTCCTACCTTGACAAATCCGTCCGCCCAGACTGTCGTACAAACGATCCATAAGCAGACAATAACGACGGACAATAAAAAATCAGCGTTTGGTAATTTGTAGTTTTCCCTATAGGCTTCGTCGAAACAGATATAAACAATTAAGCCAAGAAGGCATACTAAAGAGCTGAGTATAGCAAGGACGACGAAACCGATTGATTGGAATGCATACGATCCGTATGGATGTGAATCGGCTGATTTTGGATTGCAAGGATCCGTTTTAAATCCATTACTTGCAATATTATAGGGAAATGAAACATTTATGTTGATCTGTACCATAGAATTTTCTATTGGGCAGTGAACATGAATGATGCTAGTGGTACTGTGTGAAGTCGTTGTGGAAAAGGCGAATATTCCTAGGAGCTTTTCGATATAAACGAGTTACTCTTAGAGGCAGTGATTAATTACGGTGCTACCCTATTTTATAGTACTTACCAGTCCGACGATTCTCGAGACGAAGACGAACGCGATCATTTTATATCAATATATCCCTGCAATTGATATAAAAACAATTCAGCCTATAGTGTTATATCGAATAGGAGTGAAAAAAACTCGTCATGTCTTTTAATAATGGAATGCGTATAGGAGAGGATAAGAGGAAGAGATAGATAGGTGTTAAAAAATTGAAAATGCTTGTCAAATTTTGAAATAATGAATATGTTTTTCTTATATTTTCTGCTAATTCTTACAACTATATAAATAAGATAGACGATATTAATCCTTATTCTATGTAATCCTTCACCAAGCCTTAATGATAATTGATCTGTAGAAATAGTAAGTTGCTTATAATTTATCTACAGAAAATGAAATTATTGAACTGAAACTCTACCCTAAAAATAGATTGTATTGTTTTTTTCTCTACTTTGCAGTTTTCCGCTCACCCAATTAAATTAATTAGTTATGTAAAAAGGAATATAGTACACAACATATTTAATTCAAGTAAATATAATAGAATCTCTTTCCTAAGGATATCATGCTTTTTTTATATATAATTAATTACTTATAAATGTCTATGCGTTAATAATAAACAAAAACGGTAGTTGTAATTTTTTTTTTCTCTTCTCTAGCATAAAAAATTATCCCATTCATTATCGTTGGTTCTTATTGTTGTTTGTCACTTTCCTTTGTCGTATGCTTAGAATATAAACAGAAATAAATTTAAGCTATAAAATAGTAGAAATGAGGAAAAAAGGAAAAAGAAGGAAAACTGTCCGTATATAGATGAAAAAAATGGTTAAGAAACTTAGGAGCTTTGATCTAATAATCAAGAGAAAATCCGTTTTTAATCAGACGACGACAAAGTCTTATAATAATAAAATTTAGGTGCAAATAATGCAGGATTTGTATAGTATCTTTTTCTCTTTTCGAGTGAATATTCCATTTTTTGGACAGATTCCATCATTCATAAAAAGTTTTTAGATAGGTGTGGAGGAAAGAGACGCTCGATTTTTTTCAATTAAGCAATAAATACTTGTAACGCTTCGCCTTATTACCCTCAACTTGCAAGTGTGCCCGGCTTTTGAGCTGATTTAATTGCACAGTGAATCGGGTTCTCTAATAAGCGAAGATATAAGGTTAAATGATATCGATAGGTTTTATATACTCTTATAAAAATGGAAAGGCAGATTGTATATCGTTTTTTATTTATAGAGGGGACCAATTTATTCCAATGACGCTGAAGATAGGGCGATTAGGAAAGATCGGAAAATGGAATTAATCGTTACACAGAGGGGAAGCGAATTGGTACTCTAACCCAAACTGATACAATTTAGGGACATACATATCCTCAAGCTTTTTAAACCTATTTCTACGTTAGAAGATCAGCTAAGAAACATCATGCTCGGTAAAAGCAAGGAAATAAATTAGCAAATAAAAGTGAAAACGTATGAAGAAGACGTCAGATCGTCTTATTCTTAATGGTCCAAAAGAAGAGAAACGGAGAAGACTGTATCTATACAACTGTCTAATGTTATACTCTCTTCTTAACAGTTAAAGAACTAGTTCGACAAATGTCTTTCTATTTCCTTTATATCCATATATAATAATATAAAGTCTATATAGTATAGACAAGTTCATATACTGCATATTGCAGGAAATGGCGTTGTATTAATTTCTTTATTTACTACACAGCGTATGTTTTACTCTTTAAATAAAATGTTTCTATAAAATAATCTTTTATGTAATGCGCAAGTTTTTAGCTCAATAACTTAGGAAAAAAAACATCAAATAGCGTTCCATTCTCATAATTAAATTGCATATATAGTCCTATACGAATTGAAAACTGATAGAAGAGAAATTATATGCATATAATTGAGTTTTGTTAAAACTTTATTCACAAATACTTGTGGGCATGGATGTGTTCTCTTTTAAATATCGCTGAATATTCGATTAGCTAACTCTTCTTGACGATTCGAAAGATTTCGGTTTTAGTTATACAAAGTTATTCCGGAAAGAGACAATTTCTTTAAGTGTAAGATGGAAGGGGAGTTAGGCCTAGGAAGAGAATTGTCTCTCACCAAACGGTCATCAATAAACTTATCTGGAGATAGTCTAATTAATTCGAACTCGCGTTAGAAGAACGGAATGACAAGACAGAAGAAGCAGAAGATAATTTCTATGGATAAGATGGGGGAGGAAGAGACAATAATAAGAAAGGGATAAATATGATAATTATGGACAAGTTTTAGAAATTTAATCAACTATCGATAGATTTAAATATAGAAACGATTTTAGCCAACTTTTCTAATGTAAAGAGATTCCAATACTGTCAATTGGAAATTGAAGTTTACCTTTTGTTTAAAGAGATTTCCTTGTAGATTTTCTCGTTTTCTTTTATTTTATTCTGATTAATGCCAGCAGATATTTTGTCCAATTTCTGTTCCGTGTTTTTTTCTCTCCTCTCCTTTTTTCTGTCTTGGTCAACTGCTAGTCGATCGGATTACGGTAGAAGAGTGATTGGCATTTTGAGACGATGAGGACTTTTAAGAGTTCTTATTATGAGCGTCACTTTTTTTGTTGAGGCGACATCTATCGACCAGATAAAATATTTAGGATAGTTATTCTTATAGGCGAAAATTCAATTCTCAAATTATTGATAAATTTTTTATTATATTTCGAAACGTAAATGGAAAATAAAAGAAAGATAAGAGAATTAATTTTCTCGAAGAGTCTCTGCTCCCAAGGTATTCATGAATATTACCTTTCTCTTTAGAAGGCGCACTATTCGATGTCTTCTCTTTGCGTTATTTATGACTTCCTCTTTTTTTAAAAAACACCCTATTGCTTTATTTAAAGTAGCTTAGGAAGAGAATTAAAAAAATGTACCAAACACACAAGATAAAAGAGTCTAGAATGAGGACTTGTTGATCAATTATACTCTTAGAATGAATTAGAAATAGCTTTTAAAATAGAACAAATAAAAGAAAAAAACACCCAAGAAATACTCTTTCTTCACCTATCTCCCTCCTCATCCTCATCCTTACTTCTCATCTTACTTTTTTTTCTTTCGTTTTCTCTCTCACTCTCTCTCTCAATCTATCTAAGCAACTACTTTGCTACTTTTAAAGCGAAAAAAATAGTATTCTTACGAAAATGAACGTCAATTATGTTAGGTTTAATTTAATTTTCTATTTATTGAGATTCCTCTACAGCGTCAATTTCCTCTTATTCCTCTCTATGTTCTTCTTTTTCGTCCTCCTTTACAATGGTAAACTTCCAGTAATGTAACATAAAACCTTTGTATTTATATAGAATAATTGTGTACATATATGGCAAAGTGTATAAATATTAAAATAAAGATAAAAAAAAGGGAAAAAAAACAAGATAGAAAGAGACAAGCAGAAAAGGAAAAAGTGCAGGGAGAGAGGAAGAGAGATAGGAATGATATTGTCCCAAAGTATCTTTTGAACTATTTTTAGAAGGATTGAAAAATATAAAAATAATAGCAAATAAACGTAATTTTCATTAAGTATAAAATTTGTTATTAGACAATTTATAAAGTTTGTCAGGAATTGATTTTTCTATCAGTTCTATTTATATTTAACAATAAATTTAATTATAGCTATGTTTAGGGAATTTGGGAGGTTTCATGATATGAAACATAGGATAAATATTGAACTATCAATTCATAATAAAGGTTAGTCAACTCCAGAACAATACATTGTCTCATTAAATGAGAAAACATTTCTTCGTAGTTAGAGACAACTTGGAATTCTGTTTGAAACAAAACACTTCCGAGTCTTCGTCCTGAACTAGACAGCTTCTAACATATACCATTCGCTTAGCTTCTTTTACATAAATAATGAAGTTGTATTGCAAGCTACTGGACAATATAAAATATAAGCAGAAGAGAGAGAGATAGATAGACGTAGAGATTGAGATAGAATTCGAGATAAAGATAAAGGAGAGAATATCTTTTGAGAGATGGACACGAAATAAATTGCTTGGAAGAAGAAAAGAGAACGAACGTAAATGCAAACTTATTTACCTATCAAAAGATATATCTTTTAGAAAATTCTTAGACTGATTAGTATCATTTTTTAGTCATCATTTGTCTTAAAATTTTATGATCTTCTTAGGATGTAACTACGACAAAATGTCATTTAGATTTAGGCTAACTGTCTCTTTGCATTTCTATCAAACTTATAAAATATTTAAAAATTAGCGAAAAAGAAAAATGAAAGAATATAATATAAAGTTTTCCGTAATTATCTCTATCTGTATCTCTATCTATCCGTCTCTCTTAATATTTCTTTATTTCCTCTTTTTTTCTTAAAAAAAAAAAACCCCAAATGAGAAAACTATAAAGGAAAAAAGTTGACAAAAGAACTACTTAACAAGATATAGATTCTCTCTACTTTTCTATTATTACTATTTTTTCTTCTATATAAACCTCGGATGGATGCTAAGCCAATTTCTTGCCCCATTTTTTAAAGCGTCTAAACAAGCGTAATTTCTTTTTCATACGACAATATCTTTTCATTTAAAAAGAATACAACTTAACACTATGTATTCTTTTCATTTAACGTCGCGACAAACTAAGTTTGCAGGATTTTAACTGAAAAAAGACAGCTAATTTGGGGAAAATGTTAATTTCTCATTATATAAACTTTAAAGAATAATCGATTTATATCCAGTTTTTAAATAAACTGTCCATTATAAATAATGCAATATAGATATTTAGTGGTATAGAATAATAGCATCTTTCATATTATTAGGAAACCTAACATATTGTTTATCTCGATCCTTTTTTCTACTACGTTATAAATCTCTGAAAGAGATCATGTGACTTATCCATAATTTCCCCTAGTTAATCCTCTTGTCAATACGTAGTGCGTTGCTCAGATATTCTTTATCAATTGTCTAAACTCGTAATAAATTTCGCAGGGGTGGAGAGTTCCTTTACTCTCTCTCTCTCTCTCTTTCGTATTCCTATTCCAAGAATATGGGTTCAGTATAGTTTGTCAACAAAAACAAATGCTTCTAGATATTATTAACAAAACTGACTGTATTTGTTTGTTATTGCTAAATAATAGCATTAATAATAACTTGTTAGCAATATTTTTCTCTCAATTACAGTTAATAATCTAAATGAACTAAATTCAGCCCACCTGTATTAATATAACTTGTGAAGAAATTGTCAGTGCAGACGATAGTTTTTTTTTCTTTCCTGTAAAATTTAGAAAATTTAATTGAGCTCTTTTCTTAAAAAATTTGAAGACATGAAATTTCCAAGAAAATCTATATATAAGAAGATTCAAAGCTTTTCTATAAAAGAAATATAATTATCACCCTATAAGGACTTGTAGATGATAAAAATTGCTGTTTTTAATATCTAATAAAAGAGAGTGTCAAATGAGGAATCTCTTTCCTCGTCTCTCTCTCTCTCTCTCACTCTTCCTTAGGCCTTTTCCCGTTTTAAAATAGCTTTCCGTAAGTATTTTATAACCAAATGAAACTAGACAATATTTTCTAGATGTTTAGCGAAAGGGGATGTAATCGTATATTAAGTGCGAACCCTACCACCTGCGACTAATTAAGGTCGACTTGTAAATAGGTTTACTAAATTGAGTACTATACCAGAAGAAAAATTAAATAAAGGGTTGTAGAGAAAGAAGTAATACATTAATACTTATTAAAACCAATAGTTGTCTAAATTCATAAATTTTTGATCTTATATTTTTATCCTTCTCTTTCCTTTCAAAATGACGATAGGGTACCAATTTAAGTAGGCGTATAAACGTGATAAGCGTGACTTTGTCAAGTACTTTTCCACTATATAATTAAATAGAAAGTGACACGAATTCGAGAGAAAAAGATGTATAGATGTGAAAGCCACCACTAATATTTTTATTTACGCTACTGTGAGTGAATATAAAAGGTACAATGGATAAGATACAGGCTTTACATACTGTATAGATTATACTTAATATGTCTACCAGGATATATTCTTGTTATACTTGTGTTTTGAAACCATAATTCATCGACAAGCTGTAGAAATTGATAATGTTTTAATCGAATTTTACAAAATCTTTTATGTCTTTATCAATTTAAGTAGAATTAATAGATTTTATTCTCTTTCTTCTTCTATCTTTATCTTCCTTTAAACAAGCTATAATTAGTTTTTAATTTCATCATATAAACTACTATTCCAAGAGAAGATTAAATTTGAAAATCCATTTAGAAAGTCTTTTTATTTTTTTCAATATTTTTATTCTATTAAAAATTTCATATAAAGTATTTTATTTATTCCTTTTTAAATATTACTACGCTTTATCAGTCTTTTTTGTTAAGCCACAGTACTTATATTGGCGCTGGACAATTGTCCTTGACTAGCTGTTGCTGCCCTTGACCTGTCTTCATCTTCGATACTCCTCTGCGCATCCGGCCAATCTGTGTCATCTTTTTCTTTTCTTATCCTCTCTAAACACCTCTGGTGCTTCTTCTCATATTTTAATCTGCATTCTATGGCTTTTGCTAATATAATTTCCTTTTCAGCAGAAGGAAAAAAGTTTAGTTTAAAGAAGACGTGAATTTGGTGAGTCCATAAATGATACTGCCTTGTTGATTCGTCCATTTCGTCTTCAGCTTCTTTTTCCCAGTCTTTCTCCTCTTCTTCCTCTTCGCCAACTTCTTCGATAAACTCTTCTTCAGCTAAGCTTCTACCCTCTTCAGTCGCCGACGCAGGCGCTTTATCATAATCTAATTCTATATTTTAGATAATAAAAAATATTACGCAATTATTCTCTTTTATGACTTTTTAAAGAGCAATGATTTATTGCTGAGGAAAAACGCTAACCTGGTGTTTTTGCTACATTAATACTAGCTTTCGAATCTTCTTTAATAAAAGCTTTAGATGAAGATTTCCTTTCTGTAAGACTTACAGCACTCTTTACTTCAATGATTTCTGCGTCTTGTGGTTCCTGAAGTGTCATAGATGGTGGAGGCGAAGGTGTCAATGAGGCCCTTACAGCACTCTGAGCTAAGTCCGGTGTGACAAACACTTGGGCACACCCAACGAGAGCCTCTAAAAACTCTAAGAAAACGATTTTCCTTTCAAGGTTTAGAGCATTTTCTTCAGGGCGAATAAGATCATCATCACTAGCCAAGACATCAATAACATTTTTTGCCGTTAGTTCCTTTGATAATAAATTAAGAGTTTTTAACAATATGAGGAACTGTCGAGCTGTTAAAGACTCTCCTCCAAGTGCTAGAAATATAGCATAGGCATCTCTCCGATAAGATGTAATATGTGGAGTTCTCCTTGGATCAGAAAAAATAAGACCACCAACTGTACAAGCATACTTAAGGATATTTTCACCAATTAATCTCTTTACAGATGCGGCTAAATTATTACTGCCATATATATGAGCGGAAAGGTTAACAATATATTGAAGAAAATCTCTGAATAAAACGGGCTGATCAGGATCATGCCTTGTACCAAGAATTAGATCAAGGTCGAATAAAGACTGTCGGAGGTGTAGCTTAATGTCTTTCAAGAAACGCCAAAATTGTAATTTATCCATGACATAAACTTCTTCCGGATCTTTTTCATGATCAATACCCAAACAGCTATAAAATGAATATATCTTTCTTAATTCCGTAATATATCTAATAACGATGTTCTTGACCTATTTTAAAGTGATTATGTTAGCGTTTGAATCAACTTTGCAATTCAATTAAGAATATGAAAACAACCTGATCTGCATCATCTTGAGCTTCTATTGGTATATCTAATTGAAAGCTTGGTCCTAATGTATTTCTACTCTCATTGGATTGGACGGACATTGCAGCCTCACTTGGTAGAGGAGTTCGCGTTCTTATGTTAGTCAAATCAGGGGTAGTTGCGTGATCCATAGTGAAATCAGGATAATCTACAATATGATCTTTGTGAAATTCTCCCTCGTAAACTCTACCATTCTTGAAGATAAATTTTCCTTTTCCCTCTTTTGCATTTCTTTTCCATTGACCCTCGTAGCTATTAAAAAATAAAGCAATTTTTAGATATTATACTTTTTAGGAGTATTATGAAGATATACCGTGCTCCATTAGCGTAAAAGAAAACTCCATATCCTTCTCTTTCACCCATTTTCCATTCACCATCGTATATATTTCGAAGCGGGTACTGAGAGCTATCAGACTTTCCTTTAGATAGCCAAACGTGTTGCCCACGTCCGTGTTGAATACCATCCTTAAACTCTCCAACATAATATTCATTTTTCCATCTCATTTTTCCATGCCCATGCCGACGGTTCCTCCACCAACATCCAACATAAATTGATCCTGACGGATATCTTCTCATGCCCCAGCCTAACAATACATTTTTACGTGATTGCTTGTTTAATAAAAAATTAATAAGAAATTTAACCTTGTCTTATGTTGTCAACCCAGTCTCCACTATAATAACTCGTTCCCTCTTCATCATAGTCCATTTTCCCTCTTCCACATCTTTTACCTAACTTCCACTCCCCTTCGTATTTTTTCCCTCCTTTAATGACTTGAGTACCATATCCTTGTCTAACACCATTTTCAACTTCCCCCTCGTAAACAGTTCCATCCAACCAATAATATTTACCCTTTCCATTTATTCTATTGCGCTCAAAATTACCTTCGTAAACCAATCCATCGGGCCAAGTATAAATGCCTTCTCCATGCATTTCGCCTTTAACAAATTGGCCCTTATAATGGCATCCGCCTTCGAAACTAGCTTCACCGTTTCCATGAAAGAAGCCTTTTTCTATATCCCCTTCGTAATTTTCTACAATAATCTGAGCTAAAACAGGGATTTCATACTCTTCTTCCAGCTCTACTGCCTTTGCTTCTTCAGGAGTTTCTTTATTATCTTCTTCCTTATCTGTAGTTTCTTCTACTATACTCTCAACTTTTAAAGAATTTTCCTCGGGTGTTGAATTATCTATTGTTGGGGAACTTTCAATACCCTTTTTCCCACTTTTTTTCGTAGTCTTTTTGGTTGCCATGGACGCGTTTGTTTACAACCTGGTCCCCGTCCCGATGTTAGAGTTACGCACGAAATGGAGGAATCGGAAATAGAATAGTTTAATAATTATTTTGTGCGATACTACCAAAATCGCTTGGTCAAGGACAAGACTTTGACGGTCACTCGGAACTCGGGTAAATGCTTGTTTTTCTCTAGTATCTATTCAAATTGTAATATTTAATTTAGTTCATCTGATAAGATTTTAATAAAGTGAATAATCCAATACTCTTTATAGAAACCATCTTCTAAGAGCAATGTTTCGTCAACTGGTTTGCAGGGGAGCTCGCTTAGCTCAAACAAATACAAGGTTCTTTGCTAGTATGTATTAAATTTTTTTATTGTTAGAGTATCAAATAAATTCCATTCTAATGCATTTCATATATTTAGCAGCTGCACCGACCAGTCAAAAACTCGATCCTATTCAGCAACTATTCGTCGACAAAATTCACGAATATGACAAAAAAGCTAAATCGTCTGGCGACAGGCTTGTAGAAGCTACGACTGCCTTGAAAAAATCTTTGTCTGATGAAATGGAAAAAATTGAACGACAATATATTGGAAAGAACGAAGATCCCACATCCTTCCCATCTTTCTCTTTTTCCGACCCCACTTTGGAAGCAGTTGGAATCGGTGATGTTAAAGCGCAAGAAGCTGAAAAAGCAACAGAAACCCAAGCTGTAGTTGAAGAAGACTACCGTGCAGAAAAAGCTGTTTGGGACATTTAATAGGTACATCAATTTGTCACTTAGTTGAAATAGACGATAAGTTTCTGAATTCAACATAAAATAATGAAAAAAGCAAATAGTATTTGCTTTTCTTTAATATTAATTTAAGACTTCGTATATTAAGTAATTTAAGCTTTCACTGAGCATAGAAAATCAATTAACGATCACTTTCCCAGTCATCTATGTTTCGTTGTAACCTTATGCTGACTGAACAGTTGCTGGGCCCTACTTATTTTCTCTTGGTTTGCCATCTGCAGCCTAGATTGTAAATCTTCGATTCGGATGTCTTTTAAATGCAATAAGTGCTCTAAACGTCGAACTTTAGCTTGTAGGACCTGAATAGTTTCGTCGCGAGTTAGCAACTCTTGCTCCACCTCTTCCAAAGCAAGTTTCGATACCGTATCTTGTTGATTAGGAGGCTTTGTCCGAGGAGTTGAAAATTTATAGTTTAACTTCCGCTCGTTAGCCATTACACTTCTGAAATATCGATTGACATTATATATTGTAAAGTTAAGCCACAAACAATAAATAAATATACCCTGCTTCCAAAGTTCCTCTTAACTTCTGTACTGCAGGATACGTTAGTGGAGGAACCTGTTGATCTCGTTCCGATTTTGACTTTCTGTCGATGACCTCACTCTCGGTTTGTCTCTTTTTCTGAAACAATTTTCTTTCCACCTTACTCCGTAGCATGAGGAGGAAATGTTCCGCAGCATGTTCTCCTTGACGACCCGCAACTAATTTACTTATGACGTCCTAAAAGGAAAAATGGTGTTAAATATCTTTGATCTTTATATATTAGACAAATACCTGTTGTAGTTCAAATCCCAACTTCCGGAAGACCTTCCTATAAAATAATACGGATTAAAAAGTAAACAAATATACGGTACGACTTAAAATATTTTCGAACTTATTTAAGAGATTCCAATTGTCAGTTTTTCTCTGTATCATACTGGCTGGTGGATAATTATGTAGATCAACCATTTCGGGGAAGTAAAACTTAATTATCTCGGCTACCAAAACTAAAGTATTGGAAACTTTGACTATATGAATAAATAATTGAATAGAAACTTTACCTCCATCTGCAAAATCCCTTCTCACCGACTTCTTTTCTCTTGATAAAGGAATCTGGTCCAACCAACTGTATAAATCTTCTAATATCTGATCCTCTAGTTCTTCCGACATAATTTGTAAATTACATTTCAGTCAAAAGTTAAGAAATTCGTGCCGAATCTAGGCAGACTTGAAATTGTTTACATTCAGGGCCGCACTTAATTTCTTAGGATTTTAGACTGGTTCCTATGTTGCAGTATGCATTGAAGAAAATCCAAAAGAATTGCTATTTTATAATTTGAATCCTTTTTATTATATAGTTTGTTCTGTTACATGGTTTGTTTTATCAATTAATAAATGAAACCTTGATAAATGAATGATACGGAGCTAACTTACGATCATTACAAACATTCCCTCCGAGGTATGAATTTTTTATTGCCTGGGTTTTCATTATTTCAAAACAAGGGAAGACAATCTAAAAATGCATTGAACATGGAAATGAATAGTTCAAATTTTATTTTGATTCGCATTCCAATTTCGTAAATTTTTCGATTTCGAATTTTAATTGTAAACTCGTTCAAACACGTTTAGTTAGCGGTACTTCACAGATGGCGTTGTGTTTACTAATATATTTTTAAAATTTTCAAGATAAAGCACTGGGATCGCACCAAGATTTGCAAGAAGCTTTTTCGACCTATCCTTCTATTCAGCAAAAGCTAACTAGACGAAACCAGTATGATAGTCTGTACACAGAGAATAGGCAAACGGAATTCAGTGACAGAACTTACTCGAGAGCTGTTCACGATTTGCAGAAGTTGATTAACAATCCTAAGGGAAGAGATGATAGAAATGTTTTATTTAATGAGCGAGTATGTGAAATCTTTAATCAAGCATCTATACAAATTAATCTTATAAAATTATTTCAAATAAGACTTCTTACAAAGATTATCACTATGAAGGATTTCTACCAAAACCAGAGGAAGTTGTACCTATTTTAAAGAAACAATCAATTCTCTTAAAGCATGTTGAAAATGAAAATGAGTACTTAAAAGTAATTTATTCAATTTGAACAAGTTCAATTATTCAAATAGATATAATAAATCGTTTATTATTAGGAACAACTTCAAGAATTTCGTACTAAGCTCCTTACAGTTGTTGAAGAAAACAACGTATTACATGAGGAATTAAAATCCGGATTAATTAATCTAATGCTCCAACAAGACACGTTTGAAACCGCTCATGTAATTAACATTCTTCGAGTTAACTACTAATTCAATTAATTTTAATTTTAAAGCTACAAGAAAACCAATTATTAGGAGCAGCGATAACCAATGAAAGAAATGAATATTCAAAAGCTGACTTATCAACATGGCAAAGAGAAATTGTAAGGTTTTTTTAAACTAATTTCATTAAACATAATAGAAAATTCATTATGTAATTTATCTTTTTTGTTCTCTATCCCGTTCTCTCTCTCTCTCTCTCTCTCTCTCTCTCCATTTAAGGAAAAATTAAAAACTTTACACTACACGAAAGCTAATCGGCTTGAAGTTCAAGTTAATCATTTAAAGTAAGTTATTAAATTATAATTTATTATTCTTTACACGTAAACATTATTAGAACCGAATTAGAAGAAAAAAGTAAAGAATTAGAAGACGTTAAATCCGAATTAAGATTGAAAAATGCATTGAATGTGTCTCCTGATCAAATACTGACTGGATTGTGCGTTAGTTGTGGTAGAAATGAAGCTGTTCTGTCTACATCTTCAACAACACCTAATAAAGCTGTTGAAAATATTACGAAAGAGAGAGATGAATTGGCTCAAAAAATGTTAGAGGCTCAAAAACAACTAAACGTTTCTAGGTCTAGGGAACAGGAGGCATACGAACAAGTAAAGCAAAGTGTAGCATTCGTTGAAGAGTCTCAATTAGAGAGAACTCAAGCCTTATATGAAAAAGAGCAGCTTAGGGAGAGATTGGCTGAAATGCATCTCAGAATGGAAAAACATACTGAAGAGACTGCAGCAAAAATGGTCGAGGAACGAAGTATTATTCGCAAGGAGGTGGCTGATGAGTTAAATGATCTAAACGAAAAATTGAACACAGCGTCCTCTTCGTTCATAAAAGCCAAATCAGAGTTGGAAACTGTTTGCAGGGACAAAGTAGATCTGTTGGCGGAAGTTGAGAGGTTGAAGGAAGAATTATCAAAATATGACTTCAACTACGGCCATGCAACTGACTCAATGAAAATGACAGCAACCCATTCAACTATTGAACGTAATGCAGCTATTAATGAAATGAGAAAAATGCGAGTTCATTTGGAGAAAACTATCAACGACTCTACAAAAGAAAAGGAAAGATTGCAAATGGAAAATGATAACCTTCAAAGAAGATTAGCTACGGCTGAAAAACAGCTTATAGATTCTAAAGAAAACTGTATTGAATTAATGAATAGGCTACAAGAGTTAGAAAGAGATGCTCATGGTGCTAAATTGGCTAAGGAGACGATTGAAAAAAATCGTAGTGATGACTTAAAATCATTATCTTTACAAGCTCAGAAAAGAGAGCAAGAACTTAATGTGCTTTTGGATACTTTAGAGACAAAGAGTGGTGAGTCCTATATTTCGCCATAAAACAATAGTCCTTGTCCACTTTAATCTTTTACAGCTAAAAGAACAATTGAATTCGAAGATATAGCAAATGCTCAACGTCATCTAGTCGACCAGCTGAGATCAGAGTGTCACAATTTGACCGAAAAATTGAGCTTTTGCAATAGCAAATACAGGTGAGATGTCATAATCAGGCTTTTATCTTATCATGTCTAAAATTATCCTTGTATTTCCTAGAAAAGAGAACAGTAAGTTAAAATCTCAAAATCAAATTCTAAGGGAACGTTTAAACAAAGCTCAAGAGAGATTAGATGACTTTGAACAACAAAATCACGCACACGGTGTACTCCATGAAAAATTACGGGAAAGAATTCGACAACTAGATGAACATGGTGGAAATACAGCATCTCAAATAGTTGAACTTTTAACGCAGCAACAAAACCTTTTAAGAGACAGATCTCTCCTTGTTAGAGAAGTTGAATTCCTACGAAATCAGCTACTCTCCACTCAAAAAGAGGAAATTCTAGATGTCGTTCGTAGTTATTCAACCCATTATACGACTGTTGACGAAATCATTGCTAGAGTTAATGCTGACGACATGATGCATTTGAAAACCGCTCAAGATAATGAAAAACCTTTAGATAATGACGATAATACAGTCTGTAACGAACAAAGTAGCATATAGATAAAAAAAAACTCTTTTCTACTGTTCTTTATATGATTTTATAATTGATTTTTTTATTATTTCAAAACTATTAAAACTCTACGTTCCAGCACTTTCTATAACATAGCTATATATATATACAAGTATAAATAAACATTTAAGAATCCATTGGTTCATCTTCGAAATCGTCCTTTGGAAGAGGTTGATGGTTCAATTTTTCACAAAGCTTAATAACTTTTTCTAATTCTTTTCGAGTTTCCGATACTTTGTGTTGTTGTTGTCGAATATCATCTTCCGTCACGACTACAGCCTATTTACAAGACAATTATTATACAAGTTATCTTAAAAGAGTTTGTATGAGTGTGAAAACTGCACGTTACCTGAATGACTGGCTGATCTGGGTTAGTCAAAACAGCGGGGTTTTGCCTTAAAGCATTTTTAGGTGTGCACTGACCAGTTACTGGTTTTTGATTTAAATGCAGAATTGCAGCAATGCTTTGCAACATGTTTTCGTACGTTAAATCCTCTAGAGAGGCTATTTTGGAATATAATGTAGATAAATAATTAATATCAAAAATAGGGTCACATCTAATTAATACCAACGTTGAAATTTGGAAGGTAGGCTCAGTGGTTCGAATTTTGATCCCTTTATATTTCGGGCAAACAAGGATCGCAATCGTCTTTCCCAAAATAGTTGTCTTGGTGGCTCTTGACTGCCATGTTTTATATCATTTCGCGTTTGGCTCTTTGGTTGAGTTCTAATTACAGTAACCGGTTGTTTAAAAATTGAGGCAGTTTGGCGAATAGGCAACACAAGATTTGAATCATGTCTATATCCAGCTATAATTAAAAAAAATTTCAAATTTAGAAAATATACTTCTTATATATGAGTTTACCTCGACCATCTGTTATAGTTCTCATCCTGGATTTACTTTTTCTTAAAGAGCCTTGAAGAATCTTGCCCGATTTATAATCAAAACAGCTCAAATCTACCTTTCCTTCAAGTGCTCTAGCCAGCTCAGGTTTACTTCTTACAATGAGCCCGTCTGGTCTATTATCGGTAGAATTTAGAAATGGGATTAATTAGGTGATGAGACAATGATTATATGCTTACCCGTGATAATAAACGTCCACTTTTCCTGCCGATATACCAGTTTTACGAGTAGTTTCTTCTCGAGCCCATCCGGATGGTAATCCAGCTATATCTGATGATGTAGACATGGCATTAAAAATCCCAAAACCTGCCGATCCTCAAGTAATAAGTCTAATATGCCCAAACAATGAGGGAGGAAACGGAAGTTCCTTATTTTAGGTTTTTTTAATCAGGCTACTTAATATGTTCTACTTTAAAGGGTTTCAGGTAGCGCCCTGAATAAGAGCCATACTAAAAGCTTGATTAAATGTTTTGACTGTAGGGATTCCGCTTTTTTTGGAATTTCTGATATGAGCGCTAAAAAGGATAAACAAAAAACTTCCTACTTTCTCACGAAAATCACGAGATCTCTTTTAGTGAGTTTGGAACGTAATTTCACATGAAATCATAGTTAATTACTCTTCTCTGAGAACAGGAATTAAAATGCCCATTCATTGAAGATTTTACAGAGAGTTGGGTTGGAGAGCTTTTATTATCGCCCAATGAAGTGAGATTTAGGATTTTAAAGTGGCTTTTTGAAACTCTTGATCCATCTTTATCATTAATACTTGACTCTGAGAAAAACTTTGGAAACTTTTCAAATGAAAAAATTCGAAGTATGCTGAGAATGATACTTTTTGATGTATTTTTAAACTATTAAAAAATTCTTTGTGATTTTAGATTTACTATTTGTCTCTACACTATTGGGTTTATGCAAAAGGGAAGATATCGATTTAATTACAGTGAGTAAATAAATAATCAATTTAAAATCCAATTATATTGTTTTTCATATACTTAGGGAAGTTGTCCACCAGCAAAACAGCTCTTATTTTTTAGGAAGCTAATAAAATATGTCGAAATAAAAGAAAAGTATGACAGAGATTTTCTTGTGGATATTGGAGATAGGTACTGTGTTACTTAAATATGCTATACTTATATCTCTAAACACGTTTTTTCCCAATAGATTACATCCCTCATTGGCTGATCAGTATGAAGAAAATTGTAAATTTATCGATGTGTTATCAAGAGGAGAAAATTTTGATGATTTATTTGCTCCTGATGTGCATATTGTGCCGATATCTATCGAAAAATCCATACATAATAGGTGGAAACAGCAAGGTTATAACATCAATGATCCGGCCATTCCAGACTTAACACAGCTCGATAAGAGTTTAAATAATTGTGACATTGTTAGTAGATATCTTGTATCTGTTAGCATAGCTTTATTAATTCTACTATTTTTTTAACTGATAAAGCTAATAATGTTATCTCTTCTTAGCATAATAGAGAGGAGAACAAGCAACCAGAGATAAATATCGATCAAATAAACATTGAAAGGGGAACCAATGAAGACAGAGAGAGACTTTTGAAACAGCTAGAAATTGAAATTAATGAAGTTTCTCAACAAATAAGCATGTTCTCTCAAACTTTTGATAGTGATATATTTCCATGGTGTGGTCGTAACGAATCAGATGTAGGTGACTTCAACTATAAAATTGGATCAGTTGTGAAAAGAGTGAATAATAAATTAGAATATGTCTCAGAAGTAAGTTTTTCATTTATATTTTTGTATTATGACAGAATACTATTATCATATTAATCCGATAATACTCTGAAGTGAAAACATGAATGGAAATTTGCTTAAAAAGAATATTATTTTATGCTGTCCAAAGCAAGACTCATTATTTTCTTTTTCAGATTGTATCTAATTTGAGGACAACCGTTGAATATCATAAACAATTAAAAACAATACGACCAGAGGCGTTAGATTACAAAAAAGCTAATCATCAATTACTACTTGATACTGATTTATTGACACTTAAAAACGGCTGTAACAGAGGCGATTTTTCTGAAACAAAACGATTGTTATCTGTTAATGAAATAGGAGGAATCTAGAGGTTAATTAATTAGCCAACATTAAGCTAATATTTATACGTTGAAGATTTAAGAGAAGTTACGAATTCATTGAATGAGTGTATAAAAAAACTTGGTAAAGTAATGTCTGTTTTATCGGCGATTTATTTTATCGATTGCACTTGATTTTGTTCATACTTTTCTTGCATAAACATTTAACTTGTAACTAACGCTTTTTATAGTCGAAAAATTCAACATTTATACTTTACATAGACTCAAAGCATAAAAAATAAATAGATATCGTAATTAAAGAAAATATTCAAGTAAAATTGTTCAAAATATCCTTCTTCCTTAGTGCTAAACTTGAAGAGAAGATATTATTATTTTGGCAGCACTTAGACCATTCTGGAGGAGTTTTTCACCAAAACTTTCACTTTTAGGATCAAAGTAGTCGTAAAAACTTTCCTGTCAATTATTTTTTTCATTCATTAAATATTTATAAGAAAACTTTCAATAGCTCATAAGATACTAATAGAACAAATTCTTTAGAAGCAATAGAAATAGGATAAAGTTTGATAATTGAGTTGAATCAAAATGTTTAAAGCATTTGATATTCGTAAAAAGAAATTTTTTATGTGAATTTTTAGAGTAAAAATGTTTTAAGTTGAAATTAATGATATTTTCGTGCGTAAATTTATTATTATAAAGTAAGATACAGTAAAAGAGGAGCAAAATAATTACCCATCCACCCAATTTATGCAACCAGTCGAGCAAGTTTTTATCTACAAATTCCCCTAATATTTTCTTAATTACTTCAACCTCATTATTTTCGACTCCATATTTAGAGCATTTTTTACAAAGAAATCCTCCAAATACAATCAAACCCAAGATCCTTTCATAACTAATTTTCCCATCTCCGAACATACTCTCCATTACCCTATGCAGGCTCTTATTTAACAACTTTATGTCATCTATTGGAATTTTCTCCGCCATATTCGTCAATTCGAAAGAGTTATCATACGAAAGTGTATCGATAGCATTAATCAGGCCATATTTGATATTGTTTCGTTTTCCATTGTTGACGTAATCGACTAAATTTGATATAACGGTTGTTGTATCTAACGGCAACTTCCGTGAATATGACCTAAACATCCTATACATGTCTTCAATAATTGTCGTTCGGTATCATTTCTCGCAGTGCAGACTTACGAAAACTGTTGAGACATGTACAGTTGGCCTCTAGCACGGATCTTTGTGCACCGAATGAACAGTGAAAATATTGACGCATGCGTGGTGAACTTTTTAATAGTCCTATTTGACAGCTTCGCTCACAAGGCTCGATAAAAACTAGACTATATTAAACTGGTTCAAGTATCCGACAGGGAACCACTTCATAGATAGATTCAATATGGGCGCGAAACAATATAACTGTTAATTTACCCGTAAAGTGATTTTAATTGAAGTTTCTAGTTTATAGGAAGTTTTAACCTGGCCGAAGAAATGCAATCAACATCAAGTACCCCAGATCAAAAGAATTCAGGGTTTGAAATTTATTAATTTTATGACGTTTGCTAGTATTAATTTCGCGCCCAAATTGTAAACAGCTTTCGGAGAAGAAAGGATGCCGTCGGAGGTTTTAGAAGTCCATTAAATAGCGACCTAGATAAAGCGGTGAATAGGTAAGGCCTAATATTGTTTGTTTTTTTTTCAAGTATTAAATCAATAAGTATTATTAAACAGTTCAGACGAAGAAAGAAGTAGCGTTGACGATGATGACTTTAAGATGTTTGTACTGAGATTGAATGTCGTATTTATCGGTTTATCATTGTCTTTTTGTAGGCTATCAGATTCTTTGAAAAAGCAAAATTTGTCATGGGCAGAACAAGTTGAAGAAGAAGACTCAAAAGCAAATCTTAAAGCGCAAAAACTACGAGATCGTAATATAAGATCGAAAAGAAAGTTGCACCTGAGCGAACATCAGAACAAGTAAGCACTTTTCTGGTTCTCAGAGTCGTAATATTGTAGGTAATAAATTTGGTTTATCAGGCCGCTAAAAGATTCAAATAGATCCCGACCGTATCAGCTTCCCGTGGAAAGCGATACTCAAGTCATATCTCGCCGGGAAAAACAAATTAATTATGGAAAGAAAACGTCCGAGTATCTCAATTACACTGACAAAGTGAAAAGGTAAGATAAAAGTTAATTGGTTAAACTGTTAAGTAATTATTTGTAATTACGTAACGATTAATTAGAAATCAGAGGAGTTCTCAAGACCCACGAACTCCTGATAAACTTCAAGTTTGCTCAAGACGCTCTTTCGATCAACAAATTAGAATATGGCGAAGGCGATTGCATGAATTCGACGATGAAGATAAAACTACAAAGAATTTCAATATTGACGAATGTTTGGAAGCAATTGCTGAATAATCAATCTATACAATTAGATTATTTAAATTTAGGAACTGAAGTCTGTAGTTAGTTATTTGAACAAAAACATGTAATTTCTTAATGATTGCATTAATGTTTTTATGTTATTATTGTTTATTTAAGTTTTTATTATTGATTTGGTCATTCTTACTGTCCATTCCCCATCTCCCTCCCCTTTCACATAACCCATTACGTGCTTTCAGAGGTGTAAAAATTGAAATTTAATCGTTTTTAAGTTAGTTTGAGTTCTATTGTATTTGTATATTCTAAACATTAAAGCTTTTATTGTTGAAGAATAAACAACTCTAAGTTAGTTATAGTTTTTAAACGGAAAGAATAATCTACCTTCTAAAATCAATTATTTCGTAAAATGTACCTAAAGCTTAATCTCTAGTGCTATTGAAATAAGGTGTTTGGATTACATGATCCGATAATCTGCCTTAAAAATTTATACTGTATTATTGGCATACAATTATAATTACATCATCATTTATAAAAAATCTGCTTGGGGTAAAAAAATTTTTGTTGTCCTACTAAAGTATGTAATCAAAAGAAATACGTCCTAATTAGGGAATAAAACCATTTCTTTCCAGCGCTAATTAGTATAGTATTACAGTAAGATTAGCAAAGTTCTTATTGAAACCGAATAAAATATCCTCTACAGTGTGGTTTTATATTTGTTATGTGGTTTTTTTTTACCTAAATTTATAGGTTGAATATGAAAATGAAAATAGAGAAACCTTTACCTGACAATGCATAAAGTATTAGTATTATTCATAACGATATAGGTCTATTTAAAAGTTGATTACTGACCACACAGAATTTCATAGTTCAAGTTTAAATTTATCTTGAATATGATTCAACTGGTTTTTTGTTCTATAATAATTGTATGTTTACATTCGAAAAATGCGTTTAGTGATGTCAGACTGCACTTAAAAAAGGTCAATTAAACTACAACCTTTATAATGGGTAAAATAAAATAGCTTACAATTGACAAAATGCCATACATTCTTTACAGCTAGAATATGAATATCTATTGACAAGATTACTTTGATAGGTCTCATTTTTTTGGCCAAAGAGATATTACCCTTTATAGTACACTAAGGAGAAAAATTTTTGCTTTTATTGCAGATAGTTCTTGCGTAATTCTTGGTTTAGAACAAGTGAATCTTGCCTTTTCAAATATTTCTTATTTTTATAGTTATTTTGGGAACGATAATAAAACACTGATATTTCAAAATCGGACGGAAGTATTGGTGCTAGGAGATTTAGTACTAAGGGATTATCTTCCACTGACTGAATGAAATCCCGCCAGCTAACTAATCCATCATTATCCTTATCAAGTAATCGGAGAGCGATTAGAGATAATTCCTTTTCCCCACCCGAACGAACTTCATTTATATCCCATGATAATGATCCCTTAACGAAATAAAAAATATCTTGACGACGAATGTATCCTTTCCCAGATATATCATATACGTAAAAGGCCAAACGGCTTTTACCTTCCAAGCCGCCATTTAAAAGGATTGTAAATAACTCCAAGCAAGATTTAATATTTACAATACCATCTCCCAAATTTTCAACAGCTCTGTATAAACGTTCGATAACTAACGAATGAGTATACCCGAAATTCATCAACAAGAACCATTTGAATGCCGTTAAATCAATATTTTCATAATTATGTTGTTTCACAATCGCCAGTTGCAATTGATTTATAATATGATACCGAACGTCATCGGATAATTTTCTTATGCGTCTTTTACGTTCGGCAAGTACTAGGGATCGCCTTCGATATTTAGATAAATTATATTTACTTTCGATTACATTTCTTTTCTCGTCATATTTGCGTATCTTAGCTTCAACAGTCGATGATGATTCTTTTCTAAATAGAAAGTATAAACGTTTAAATCTACTTCTTTTATTATTATTATTATTATTATTATTAATTTAATACTTTTTTAAATCAATAGTAATATTTGGTAATTTTAATGCACGCCTATTGGTTGTTGTTTCAAATTTCTGCTTTGTAACGGTTGTTGATGAAGAACTTTCAATAAAAACCAAACGTGGCAGCATTAATCATTAAGATGGATTGAAAATGAGAAGTTAATTAAAATTAAAATGAAGTAATTTTGAATTTTAAAAATAATGGACATCTAGCATAAGCTAGATTAAAACTAAATATTTGTAAATTATTATTTATAATAAAATGAAAAGAACAGCAACACATAGAAATAAAATAGGTAAATAGAGATATTAAAATAAATTATTAATAATCTCTCCAACTTTTCTCTTCTGCTCCATCAATGATCTTCATTCCCATTCAATTGCACGAATAGCGAGTAACTCCTTCAGTGTAATAAGATTGTGTATATATATAATTAATTTTTTAATAAAACTTAAAAATTTGTTTATATAGTTCAGTTTATAAGTTTGACATAGTTGTACGGTATTAATTTCATTTTTCCATCCTTAGATTTACCTTTCCACCAATCTCCATCGGCTAATAAAAATAAAAATTTTCATAATTAATAATTATGATTCAATATAAAGGTAATAATTGTGTAAAAAAAACAATAATAAAAAGCGTTTCTTACTGCTTATTATTTCAATTCGATCTCCTTCATTAAATGACATTTCGTCGACATCTGTACTAGTGTAACTGTATAATGCTTCAGCAATTTTAGCTGGTGGAGGTCTAAAAAGTAAATGAAAATAAAAATAAATAAAAAAGAAAATTGAATTTAAAGTTATCTTTGTCAATAAAAATTAGGTACTAACTGTCTTGTTACAGGTTTTGGTCCAATAGGTGGTTTTGGCAGTGCCCTATTCTTATTTGGGTTAGGTAGCTTAACAGTTCTATTAAAGAGAAAATACAGTATAATAAGTAGATATTAAAAAAAAGAATATGACTTATTAACAACTTACATATCGCCCCTATCGGGAAGACGTTGTAAGAAACTTTGATCCATTTGTCCTACTCTTGTTTTCGCCTGTGAGGCATAAACTTCAGCACCTTCTCTTGGGAAGAATGGAGCAGCCTTTCCAGAGCTTCTTTTTGGAACTATGTTACTTTGTAAGGCCATTCCAGTTGGAGCAGTAGGACGGAAGCTTTGTATAGCTGGCTTGCTGTGTCGATGTCCATTTCCAGCAGCTCTTTCGAGCGTCGATGATGGTTGAGTTCCGGGAGGTAAGCCATCAGGAACAAGAATAGTCAAAGTTTTCATCGATGTTTTCAATACTGAAGATACATTAGCAACATTTTCGTATCGTCTCATATGAACTAGCTGCCGATCACCAGTGTCTCTGCTGACATTGACATTTCGTGAACCACCACCTCTAAAACCTTCTTTCTTTACAGCAAATGAATAACTATTATTGATATTTAAATTTAAAGGCATTCCATATTTTTCTTTTAATTGTTTACTTAAAACAGTAAAAAACTCTGTTTTTAATGTGCATTCCAAAAGAGAACCATATTCATTTTTAATATGCAGAGCAAAAAAGTCATCCTGTCTACAACTGCAGGATATTGCTTCAATTTCCTGAATGGGGATTTTTCTCTTTACTACTTCACAGATTTGTCCTTTTTTAGGACCTTTCTTTACTTTTTCTCTTCCAATGAGATATAAATTTTTATCAGTTAATATCAAGTCTCTCTTTACCGACTTGAATCTGCGATCAAATTTGTTAACAGTTAAGGCAAAGAGAACCTTCTCTCCGATTTTTTCCCTTCGTTTCTCAAAGAAAGTTAATATAGCGGGTTTTTTATCTACGTCTATATAGTCACCTAAGAATTTTCTATTCAAGCTAGCTCTTCTCCTTTCTTTTCTTCCTTTCAGAACATCTGCAGCTTCTTTTCTTAATTTAACGTAATAGCGAACTCCAATATATTTTCTAAACCATTTTTGAATCTTTCTTGCGTATTCGTCGTATTTTCTTGCACGTTGCTCTTCTAAAAGAAACAACGAATCTGGTCGTCTTATAAATATTTTCGTTCTTCCCATTTCGTATTCGTTGGGGTCAACCTGTGAGTCTTTTAGCAGTATTTCAGTATCTCGTCTTGCCTCCATTTGGCCCCCTCCTGCCCTTCTCCATCTTACCCAAACTCCTTGATGGAGAATAGCATATCGTTGAACAAATTTTTCATATTCTCTACGATAAGAGAAGCCAGCTCGTCTTACCCTAATATTTTCGGATAAGCCAAGATATTTAATTTGATGGATTACTCGATCATCTTCGAAATCTCTCGCTCTTTTGGATTCGTTCGGTTTGATGCAACGTATATAGTGTGGGGTACACTTCATAAGAGCATCAACCAAATTATTAGCCTGCGTTCTAATCTTTTTTCCAGCAGTTGTTGGTCGTTTCGTGTGTTGGGAGACATCTTCTGGGAAGAGTCTTCTAATGAGGTCAACATTGCTAGATTGCATTAACTGTATAAGGTCTACATTAAGTACATCTCTATTTCTCTCACAAAAACCCTCCACTGTGTAGTTGACTTTTCCAGCATAATGAGAAATAATGAAATTATTACTAGATATTTGGCAGTGCCGTGAACTTTCAAATTGTAATTCCCTCATTTTACCAAGGAATTTCGAATCCGAATCAGCGGTAACAGCGTGCAGAGTCTTACAAACGTCATCTAATGCACTAAACATCCCAACTTTACCTCTTCCATCACCTTCAAACAGCTCACAAATACTTTTATTATCAAGAAATTCAATATCACGCCATTTAACTCCTTCTTTCCTGTACTCTTCTTGTTCATTTCTGAGTGTTAATTCAATAAAAATCTGTTGCAGTTTTTCGTTTACAAAATTAATGCAGAATTGTTCAAAACCATTCCGTTCAAATATTTCAAAACCGTAAATATCTAAAATTCCTATATTAATGGTATCCTTATCTGGATTTTGCATTGCAATGTTAATTTGTTGAACTAGGTAATCGAATAGACGGGCATAAATAGCTTTCGCCAGTGCATCTCTTGCATATTTAGCTTGTTCAACGTTATGACTTTTCATTATACTCTGGGCTTGCATACCAATATTATCCATTCTTAAATTTTGATGTAATAGTTTTTGTTCTAAATCATTTTGGTTAATTCCCAAGTAGAAAGCAGGACAGTCCAAGTATGCTCTATCTCTTAATTGACAGCCGTTATTATCTATAAAATCAATATTTCCGAGATGTAAAATACCACTGATCATACAAAATATATTGTACTGATCTTCTTGGCAAATTCCGGTTACGGATAAAGCTGACTAAAATGAAAATAAAATAATACAATAGATGATTAGGGGAAGAACGTAAATGAAAAAAAAGAAATTATACCTCTGTATCTTTAAAATCATTTACATCGTTTACTCCATCAACTTTGAACTCTCCAGTTTGATTTAAATAATAAAAGTAGTTAGCATTTTCAGGTATAGATAAATCATTGGCTAGATTTCCTTTGCCTTTTAGTCCCTCAATCATTTGATAAAATATATGGAAATTTCTTTCTCCAACATTCAATCCTAAAACCCTAGACTTTTCTAAGAGAAAATTTCTAATACTACCTCCAATTGGCTCGCCTCCTCTATTAAATTGTATTTCAACATATTTACCCTGAATAAAGATAATTGGATAATTCAATTATTCATCGATAAACTGAGTAAATTGATATTAAATAATCAAGTATAATAGCTTACAAAACGACTAGAATTATTGTTCCTAAGTGTTTTAGCGTTTCCAAAAGCTTCTAATAACGGATTTGATTTCAGGATAATCTCTTTTAGACGTTCCACAGTTGAACTTCCACCAGATACTTTTGTTATATAGCTCATAATAAATTTTGCAGCAACAGTTTTTCCTGCTCCTGATTCTCCGCTAAATTAATTGATAACCATAGAGTAAGAAACTATAGTCTTCTCTAAATTATAAATACCTAATAATTACACAGTGACTATCATTGTCAATTAGCATATTTCGATACATATCATCAGTAAGGGCGTAAACATGCGGAGCATTTTCATAGGGAGCCTAATTTCATAGAAATAAAGAAAATCACTTGTTTATTAAATTAATTAATGAATTAATTCTAGGGGGAAACTCACAGCATCTCTATAAATCTCCAGTTCTTTGTCGGTATAGATATTTAATTGTTTAAATGGGTTAACAGAAATTAGTACTGGTCCAATATAGGTCTACAGTAAAAAAAAATGATAGAAGATTGTTGTCACGAATTAATGGAATATGGTGAATAATATTTTAGTGAACGTACGTAAATACAATCTTGCATGAATCTCTCTCGCAAGTTCTTTTTTATTTCATTATCTTCAAATGATTTCAACAGGACCATGTCATCGACGCCCGGCCGTTTATTTTTCTCCCAATGATGTGTCTATAAATGCATTGTTAATTTAAAAAAACACTCTAAAGAAAACGTGTATTAGAATTCAATATATTAAAACATTTTCCAAATCAGACATTTGTAATATTAATACAAATCGATTATTTCTATACATTCTATTAAAAAATCGTTTCTGTAATATAGAACGAACTATTTGTTTTTTCCACTTGCATATACTATTATTCAGTGAGGAAACAGGTTTATATAGGTGCATGTTTTTATTGAACTTACCATTTTATCAGTTTTGTCAGATGTAGGAAGATAATTTAATAAATACTAAATAATCATAAGATTTCTAAATAATCTCCTGATAAAATTATTATATGTTTAACTTCTGAAGTAAGTAACGTTTTCGGAACAACTAATCAAGGAAACGAAAGCCGCCTGTGAATTCTTGGTGAGTCATTCTACGTCATCAGATTATGAAGGGAATTCCTTGTAATAGCCTCGGCGTCAATGAATCATGACCTTGGAACACAGAGTGCTTAATACTTTATTGCAATTGTTTTAATTAGCCAATTATAATTCATTTATTAAATATTGTTATATGCAAGTACAAAACTCAGCTTCATTCCCTTTTAAAGCAATTCAAAGCTGAAATTACACATATACGAAAATGGACATATCAGTTTCATAAGTTATACTGTATACCTATGTTATACATTTTATAAATATACGCATATACCGCCTACAGTACATAAATATATGTATTTCTATACTGTATGTGTATGTATGGCCTATAATATGCAGAATGGAGCGATATTAACAAGAATTAGCAACAATAGATCTAACGGCCATTTCCCAACAAGTTAAAACCTCTGTGATAGAATATCGCGATTCCAAATATGTGATCCTTTTGTCGACAGTTTGACTGACAGCTTCTAGAAAATCACTTCCGGTATAATGAGATAGGGAGTAAGTTGGAGATGCTTCATTGTCAGTATATTTAGATGGAACATTTATGTAGATTGGCGGAACTGTAGGTAGATCTTCGCAAACAAGTTCGACTATCATGTTTACTTCTCCCCCAGCTGCCGGTTTGTCTTTGTCTCGTTGAGCTCTAAATCTTTTCGGTAACCTGGCTATCTCCCCTTGTACAATACTAGGCACAAAGTCCATATCATTGGTTTTAGGCTTTTCGCTATCTGGTCGTAAAACAGTCGATGGTGTAGAGGCCATATGAGATATAACTACATCCTGTATGACATGGGCCAGACGTGGTCGTCTTGTAGATTGTGCTAAAACAGTTAGTAAGTGCTGACCCATATGTGTTTCTTTTTTGATAATTGTTGGAGAGTCAGTGGTCGCTGAAACCGCTGGTTCTGGAGTTAATAAATGAAGACGTTTTAAAACCTCTTCGCATTTGATGAGGGTCGGTAATGGCGTCTGTTTTTCTTCCAAAAGAAAATCCCTCAGTTTTTGAAGTTTATGTAATTCCATATGTTTAGATTTATCTTGTTGAAGCTTATGGATCATTCTGTTAAGGGGTTCTATGTAGATTTGTAATTCCCGTAGCTTAGCTGCAACTTGAGCTTTCTCGTTATTGGGAGATGCACCAGGTTGGGCTGGAGTGTTTATTTGACTGGATGGAGAGGGAACACTTAAATTGGATCGAGGTGATGGTTGTGCTTGAGGATTTGCTGGTGACGGTATCATAGGAACAGGAGAAGGCTGTTGAGGACTCGGCGAATATGGAACGACATGAATAGGACTATTGACGTTATTAATTCTTGGATTTTGCTGGTATGGATGATAAGGTCCTCTGACAACCATTTCCGGTCGAGGGTAGGCTGTTCTCGCTTGTTGAGGGTTAGCAGGTCTCGCTTGCTGAGGGTTTGCAGGTCGAAAAGTATTTCCTTCTTGACCTTGACGATTTCCGAAACGCTTTGTTAGCTGAAGGAACAAATTTTTTATTTGATTTGAATAAACTTCCTTTGAGGATGATTTTATATATATGCTATTTTCTAGATCAACTGCATTTTTGACATTTGGTCCAAAGCATTTGTCCAATTGTTCTTGTATTTTCATCCTAATGTTATTTCTAAAGTTCCCACTTTGCCAATCATTATTACGATCCATTTCTTAAAAACCTTAATCTTCCTGAAACGGTGAGATTAGCTAAACTCGTGTAACGCAATTTATTTATTATTGCCAAAAACTAAGATGGCGGATGTTTTCTGTGCGCTAGAGGGAGAATGATAAAAACGATGAAAGAGCCATCTATAGGTTAATAGAATTTCAATTTAATTATAGCCAACATAAATGGACGTGTATATTACAGATTGAAGTAACAATATTAAATAGCTAACGTGTTACTAAGGAGTTATAAATAAATATTAAAAGATTTATCCACATTGACAATTGGATTTATATTCTGTTTATAATTACTTTAGCACATAAATTTATTCATTAAAATCGATTTTATAGATAAAGTACTAATGCAAGAAAGTGATCAGATTGACTCTGATCAAGATAGATTTAGTATTAAAAATTTCGTTCGAACTATACTTTGATCAGTGACGGATTACTTAGTCAAATGCTTAATAATAGATTGAACTTTGGTTACATTTCCTTTTTTTATCTAAGATTAAAAAAAACGACTAAAATATTCAATTTTTAATTAGCAGACATAAAGAAGAAAAATTGAAATAAGAAAGTCTATAAATATTTAAATGAAGAAGTAGAATTTTTACTATTAATACGCTTTTTATCTTAAAAAAAAGGGGGAAGTTAACTCAGAGTAAGAACAATGGAAGAGAGTTTATAGGTTCTTTGCGAGTTATTCAATATTGATTTTATTCATATTTGACTATTATTAGCATATTTCACATATGTATATATATATATTACAAACTCAGAATGATAGGAATTTAAATATACTGTATATATATAGATAAAGGGACAGCGCAGGAGATGGAGAGACAAAGGAAAATAAATATCCATACATAAGCAGCATGAATATATAGTCATAGCATTGTGTAATATACATAAATAAAAAAATATATTTAAGGCTTTTTACGATATTATTATAATATTTAAAAAGCCTATTTCGTTCTATTTCTTTTAAAATTCATTTTTCGATTAAAAACGATTTTATATCCAAAAAAACGTAAAATAAGTATTTGACAATTGTTAACAGTTATCTTCCTTTCCTTCACAGTTAGTTTATGTGACACACAATATAATTATACTTTTTCTTTTATGTTGTATACATATATATATATTTATATCAATAAAATTTACGCATTTTAAAATATAACATACATAAAATATTACTGGAAATTGGATTATTATATCTTTAGACTTCAGACAATAAAGGAAAAGAAAGAGACAATTAGACTTTTGGCTTTTCCTTATTTTTCTTGAATTTAGAAACAATTCTTTAAAATATAAAAATATTGACAAATTATTAAAATTTTTGTTTTTCTTTCAGAGAATAATCATTTCTTATTCATCAGATCATGTAGGTTGATACACCGTACTCTTCTTCGTCTATGTTGCATTCCTGTTTATAGTTTTTTAATATTTTTCAATATTTATTACAATTCAAGTTGTTTGTTTTAGAAATATGTCTTGAGATTTTATTAAGACATTTATATACAGTATTAATGAAAGAAAGCAATTTTCTGCAGATTAATAGACAGATCATAACATCACCAAATTAACGATCACTCTATATACCATACCTAAACTTCATCTACATTTCCGACTGTTTGTAAGTGATAGAATGATTAGGAATAATATTAAAATATACTTAAGCAGGCTTAAAATTATGAATATGCAAATATAAACACTATATATGAAATAGTATATACACTATATATATATATGCTCTCCGAAGTTAAATCGACCCTTTTCTTCATACAAATCACTTTTCATCCCCATGTGGGGCAAGGGTTGGTTATTGTTAATGTATTTAATTTTGGGGTTAATAGTGACGGTGAGGTTTGCAAAAGTACTGACTAAAAAAACGATTCAATTGAAAGTTGTGACTTGAGGAAACATAAATGCATTCTCTATGCTATAACTACAAAAGCAATACAACTTCGGCGCATTATATTTATATGTATATACTAATAAACTGTATATATAGTGTATTTGTATTATAAATTTGTTTTTAAATAAAAGTTATAATCTAATAAACACTTACATCTATCACATCTAATTCTTTTTGTGCAGTCACTGTAGAATTTTGATGAAGGCCGCTAAAATGTTCACTTTCCATACTCATTGTCCGTAGAAGCTAATGTAAGGGAAAGAAGAAAAAAATAAAAAAAAATCATGAAGCGCGATCATTACACATAATAATCAAGATAATCTATGATAAGTAAAAGTCACCGATATTAAACTAAGAGAAAGAGTGTATATATATATATATATATATATATATATATATACATGTGTGTGTGTGTGTGTGTGTGTGTGTGTGTGGTATGTGTGATGGGGGAAAAGAGCAATTCTATATAGAGCGCATTAACTATAACTTGTTCATTTTTTTATTGATAAAGTTAACGTTCTTACTAATCTCTTTAAGATTATAAAAAGATAAGTCAAAAGCTAAAGGAATTTCTAGTGATTTTATAAAAAGAAATCCGAAAAATATATAATTTTTAGGATTTTTAGCGTTTAGTCACTGTGCTTTTTTATCATGCTTGTATGCATTTTTGGATAGATAATGATTAAATAGCTATTTTTAATAGTTTAACGTCGATGACATAATAACTTCTGAATAAGTTAAAGACTATTTACAGTCTACGTACTTGCGTAAACTCATGTGGCTTGTCTCTTAAACACCATAGTACTGCGTCATGAATTGTTAAAAATATATTCTTTTTATCAATTCTTTCATAGAATCCAGCATTATGTAGCATTTCACGTATACCAGCTTTACAGTTTGCAAGTAGAACTTTAACGTTAATTTCTGCATAATCTGACATCACTTGTCCAAGAGCAGAGACACCAACGCTATCAATATAACCCATCGTTGAACAATCGACAATAATTGTATGAATGTCACATTTAGGTAAATCATTGCGTAATTCAGCGATTATTTCGCTCTCGTTTCCTTCCACTTCCGTCTTTTTTTTAGCAGCTTTTTCGTATGCTTCGATTTTCTTTAAGATTTTGGTTTGTTTTATCTTCAATTTTCTAGCATTAACGCCAGTTTTAGTTGTGATTTTACTGACAAAGTGTTCACGATTCGCATAATAAAGTGATGCTTCGTATCTAAATATTTTGATTCCCTCGACCTCGACGATTTTTTCTTTAACAACGGATATATCTTTATATAAATCAGTTCCCGGTAGTCTACCGAGGATTGCAGTATAAGGACGTTGAGTACGAAACACTACAGTTAATAGGGAAAATCCGACTCCAATAGCCAAACCAAGATCGACGTCTAGTATAACCGTGGCCAGAAAAACTACTAACCATATAGCCTGTGCAGATACAGAAGGGAAGAAAAGGGAAAATAATACTTTGTGAATAAAATAAATAAAACATACAAAATCATAAATAAATTTAAAGATAAGATTATAACTATAATTTATAGTCTATCAGTCAAAGAGACTACACTGAAAGTAACGAAAATAGAGGACATTATATCTTGATTTTTGTAGTACGTAAAGTAAATCAAAATTATTCGGCGATCATCTACCTTATCGAATGTTTCAATTTTGATCTAATTTTTTTATCACTTTCTAATTTATACAGTTAAAGAGAAGAAAAAACTTTCAACTTACAAAATCATATTTCGAAATTGCCCACAACTTCTTTAAATCTAAAAATTGTTTAAACATTCCCTTTAAGGCAACTAGGATAATTGAAGCAAGCACAGCATTTGGCAATTTCTCGAATAGACCTCCTATCTTTAATATAACAGCTAGCACAATAGCACATGAAAATAGACCGGCTAATTGCGTCTTTCCCCCAACTTGTTCTTGAACTAAACTTCTTGATAGCGATACAGAACTAAGGAAGCAATTAAACATGGAAGAAATGGAATTTGATATCCCATAAGCGACTAATTCCTGATTAGCATCAACTTCATAGTCATGTTTTTTAGCGAATAGTTTAACCATAGAAACAGAAATGGCAAATGATACAATTGCTATTGCAACAGAATCTCCTACAACTTTTGAATAAAGTGAAGTATCGGGAAAAGATGGTTTGGGAAAGCTGTAAAGAAGAAAGAACAAAATAATAAAAATATGTTCAAGTATCATTTCAATCTATTTACCTAGTAAAAATTATTATTATTTATATAATAATACAGAAGATAAAAATAATTATAATTGATTTCATAAAGCCCTAATTTCTAAATATATACAATAGTACATAACTTTCATTTTTTTCTTTCTATATATAACTTACAAATAGTATATAATTATTATTAAATAAATATACCCTTCTGGAATATCGCCTACAACTTTAAGGTTATGCTTTACTTCGAATTTCCCTTGGCTGGAGGCAACTGTTCCCAAGATAACAACGAACAACTCAACAGGTAAAGGTGCTTTTATCCTCTTCTTAACAATCGGATTTATATACTCTTTGGTAACATACAGGACAATTATACTAATAACCGAAATGACAACTGGAAGCCAATGAGTACTTTTAATATTCTTGAATAAATCAATATAGGTCTGGAATGAAAAATGTTTGCAATTTACGAATATTGATTTTTAATATATTCAGGAAAATATCTATTAATGAGAAAAACTTACATAAATAAGTTTTAACGGCCCTGAATATCTTTTCACTTCTATGCCAAAGACATGTTTAATTTGACTAGTAAAGACGTGGCATGCAGCTCCAGTTGTAAATCCTCTTGTCAAAGGATCAGATAAGTAAATTGTCAAAAAACCCAGACGTAGAAAACCCATTCCAAGCTATTAAAAAATTGATGTTTAATATATTAATATATTAATTTCATTTTAATTACCTGCATAAGAGCAGCCATTAATGTTACTGCGGTTGCTACAGATATTTTGGCTTTATCTTCCGCCTCTGTAATTGTACTGAAATTGAATGAAGTTTAATAATTTACCATATTCATCTAAATACCCTATATATAAAGACTTTCAGAAAACTTACTTAGTGTCGTTGATAGTTGTATTGTTATCAGTGTTAATTAGTGATTGATAATGCTTGTCAACAACTGAGCCAACCATTAGACTTATCACAGCAAATGTACCTTAAAAAAGCCCAGATATTTTTCTCAATAAATATATAATTAAAATATAATGAAAAGTAGATAAAGAGAAAAAGAGAAAAGCTTAGAAGTATTGAAAATAAAATTGAATGAATGCAAAAAAAAATAATAATCAAAAGGTAGAATCAGGCAAAGCATTAGCTAAGTACAACAAACCAAGTGAAACATGCTTTGATGTTCCAAAGAAAAAGTAAAGGATAACAGGAAAGAAGGACACGTATAAACCATAAACAGGAGAAAGTCCAGCAAGAGTTGAATAAGCCATGCCTAAATGTTAAGAATTTTTAGAGAATAGGAAAAGAAAAGTCAGTGAAATGAAAAAAAAGAAAAAAAAGTAAAATTAGAGGAGCAAAAAAAGAAAAAGTAAATTTTGTAATAAAGGGAAAATTGAGGGAAATAAAGAATAATAAAGTAAAGAGAGATAATACACGGAAGTGGAGCTATTACAATTCCTCTTAGACTTACCAATGGATACATGCTTAGAGCTTCCAAAAAAAAAATAGAAAAACACAGGAAAGAAAGACACGTATAGGCCGTAAACTGGAGATAGACCTGTTAGAAGGCCATATGCCATTCCTGTGTTATATTATATAAAAGAAAAAGAATTGATATGCTTTTGCCAATATTTTCATGTTTTTTAATATAAAATGTACAAATAGTAATTTAGGAAAAGAAAGACTGAGATAATTATACCATAAGAATATTACATATCAATATATTTCATTAATTGTATTGAAATAAAATACTACTTTTTAATCGTTTTATGTCTAAGTTGTAAGGGAATGAGAATATATATATATATATATATATATATACTCTTTATATTACTAAATAAATGTATATGTATACATGTAAATTGAAAAAAATCTATTAAATCGTCAATTATACTTCCATCAAAATATGATAAAGTTGGTTAATTGAGTGAGTAGATATTCTTAAAACACCATTTTTATATTATAATTATAACATTAATGTTTCTATCTCTTTAATTTATATTAAAAATAACATATACGTTAAGTTTCTTATTTAGAGTAAAGTTTATAATTTAGGATAAATCAATCAATGGGGGAAATCAAAATATTGTAGAGGAAATTTATATACAATTCTTCCTCTTTGAAAAGGCGACGCCCAATTAAGACTAGCAAAACATGCCACACCCAACTTTATAAGTTTGTACACTGAAATTTTTGCTCTATTAGGCTATAACGATGCTTGTCATATTAGCTTTTGTAGTTAAGTCTTTAAACTTGAACTATACAAACGATACTTTAAGATAAGATTATTTAAAAAATATATTTATATTTATGTATACGTTATTTTAAATTGCTTAATCATAACGTTATATACAATAGGCTAAAAGCATATAAAAAAAGTCTCAAATATTTTTCCTTAGTATAATCTACTACTAAATTTATATATTTCTATTAGAAACATAAATCAAATGGAGACGCTTTCATTTTAATAAAAAAAAAACAATAGAAGAAAGTTTTCAATCTTTCCTCTTTAATGATTTGTTTTTTTAGTTTAATTTTTTTTTACTCTGCTGCATGTCTCTCTCTCTCTCTCTCTTTTTTTTTTTTTAATATATAAAGAAATAATAGCATAGTGTGTCTACGTTTTTTAGGAACAAATGCGCATAAAAAAGGACAAAATAACAAGAGTGAATAAGAAAAGTATTACTAGGAGAGGGAAAAAAGTCTATTGTCTTAAATACTACTTCTAAAAATTTATGTCTATATATAGACATGTGTATACTTTTTATATTATGTTATAGTGACTAGATCGTATATACAAATAGCATATTTATGTATCTTTTAAATAAATTACCAATTACGCGTTTTGTACTTAATAGTAGTCAGAAAAAAATATATCTTTCAGAGCCAAGACAAGTTCAGTTTACGAGTGTCATAAAATAATTCCTTACCTTGAGGAATATGCATAATACCAACAGTAAACCCGCTAACAAGGTCTCCAAGTAAATCTTCTTTGACCTTGTAATTACCCATTATGCCGATAAACGGAAAGATTTTGAAGAGTACACTCTTCATGCAAGATGTAGAAACAGTACATTTTTGCTTTACTTCGCCAAATCTTTCTTTAACTGTTTTTGAATATCTGTCACCAGAATAGAAGCGAGCTTCAAAGTTTGGCTGATTTAAAACTTTTCTCGATACTTTCACTTTCGGACATATCTCTTCTTCGCTACTAGACCTCCCAAAGGGTACCGTTCCGTTACCTTCCATCGACATTTTCAAGACTGAAAAAAAGATATTTGCACAGACGTCATTAATGATGAACATGATAAGATACAAAAGATAATTTTGATAATAGCGACTCAGTGATTTATTTTATATAATGTATAATTTATATAAAAAAGGGGAAGATTTTATAAAAAATTAAATATTATTGAAAATCTTTATGGAATATGAACCTTTGATGAAAGCTGGGATTTAGACGATCGATTTCGGCTTTTGTTTTGTAAAATAATGAGTAGGTATAGATCAAAAAATACTTGAGAAAGTTTTTATCTGCAAAATAGTTTCTATTTATAGCTGCAAAGATAAAATTTAAATTTAATTACAACTTTCACAAGCAAAATAAGCAAATATTATTTCTCATAATAGCTATTCTGGATAAAATAAAAGAAGACTGATCAAGAAGGTTGAAGAGAGGTAGAAAGGTTCATTTTTCGTCCCTATCTCAGTATCTCAATTCCTCACATACAAACATAAACGCAGACATCCGCATACATACATGCATCTCTTACTCTCTCTCTCTCCTTTTCTAAATTTACAAATATGGTCAAACGAGGAGAAAAAAGACCGGGAAAAAGTATTTTAAAACGGTAAAACATTCCATTAATTTATTATTATACTAAAATACTATGAGTAAATATGAAAGAAATATAATTGATAAATTTTAAAAAATCATCTAACCTTTAAACAGAAATTGGATTACAAGCGTTTACTATTAGAAAAAGCTCTATTTTCAAACCAACCGCTTTCTTTGCCTGATAGCCACGATATAACAGTCTAGGTGCAAACAACTGGGTGTCGCCACTAAACAAAATAAACAGTACATCGTTTAATATTCAGTTTTACAGGTTTACCCGTAAAATTACTATCGAGCGTAGCTATTACATTAAAAAATAAATAAATCACTGATTACGTACTAAAATGTTAGGCCTAGAGCTATATCATATTGTTATAATCAATGAAAAAGTTTTCAAAACTAATTGGTTTGGAAGAAAAATATTGGTTTTCAAGTGAATACGATTATGTGTTTCTCTTCTCTAGTCTAACAATATGCAATAGAATTCATATATGAAGCGAATTAAAAGACTAGGGCGAAATGATGCTCATCTTACCTCATTTGTAATAAGAGTTCAAGTTACTTTCACAGCAATGACACTATTTGGAATAGTTTATCAAGTTTGATGTCTATATGCTTTAAATCACACGATTCAATATAAAATACAACATTTAATAACGTAAACGTGTTTATAATGACCGTCCTTGAAACATGACGTAAAATATTCAACTTCAGAAGTAGAATTGTCTATCAAGAAATGTATTATTTATCATGGTTGCTGAAGTAAGAAACTGCGACGCCATTTGCAAACTCATCCTACGGAGCATTGTAGTTTTCCTTCCTCTTCGAAATTACAACAATTGTTTATTTACAAAGGACTGTCAGTAGGCCTTAATTAAATAACTTATTAAGATATTTCACCCACTTTAGAGATAGATAGTAATTTAAAGCTTGTATGTATTAGAGAGTTTTCTAAGGATTAGCGCTTTTAAAGAGAGAAATCTTGTTTTACCGTAACTATGGAGATAACTTAATATCAAAAATTTTCTATCCCTTGATTCTACTGCAAAGCTTAAGAGCCAATATGAAACGCAGTTAAAATCTTAGATTAATAATAAAAATATACGTGCAAACAGGCCAGGACTTAAGTTTTGAAAAATTGGTAAATACGATTATTTTATACTATTTAATAAAATTGATCTACGAGGTCCACGTAGAGTACATTCAACTTTTATAGCCGAGTTCATTAACCGGAGGATATGTTTTCGTATGGAAATTTCTTCCTTTAATTCTTGTTTCGTCTGTTTGAAGGATGAAAATTGATTTCTACCAGGAATTAAGTATACGCAATTGGGGAAGTTATTATTTGACTTTATATCCTCAGGCCTATGTATTACAGATAGTAATTACTATCATAGATAGAATTTTAGAAAGCATGTAAGATATGTTGCGCACTTAGAAAAGTACTTGGTTAATTAGCCACCAGATGGGGTTTTTCATAATGTACTTTGTGTTTATTCAGTATTGTTTTAAAGTATAATATAAGGTATTAAATATAAAAGTTGTTATATTAAATTCCATTGTATTATACTTAATATTTGAAGTAAATGTTAACAGTATTTTTATACTTCAAGCAAAGATGATTATAATACTTCAAATTAATAATATGATAGTAGTTTTTGTTTGTTTATTTGTTAATTATCTATCATAAACATAAAATTTTCAGTTTTATAAAGAAGAATATGTGACTTTGTTTTCTCTTGGTTTTCTGCTAAAAAAAAATTTTCTATGAAAAGAACACAATATCACTAAATAATCTATGACTGAGACACTCCATTTAAAAATATAGAAAATAGGAAAAACATATACTCGATAGGTAAACCCGTTTTTATTTTTTAAAAGTGAAGATAAACAGGGAAGAGTAATGGTAACAGTGAGGAAAAGAAAGAGAAATTCAATATGATACAATGCAAATTACTTTTCTTCGCACCATTCGTTCTCACGTCTGACCTGATCTTCTTCTGCTTGAGTAAAATCATTTTTAATGTTGAATGTCTTTCTTATTTCTTCTGGACTTTTGCCTTTTATCATATTGGCAACTGTTTTACAAGTAACATCCAATAAACCTTTAATATCCAGATAATTTGCTGCCAAGATCAATTCAAAGAGAGTTCCTGCAACGGAAGAGACAAAATTGTTTAATTAATCTGTTAAAAGACGATTTGAGCCTGTAAATTGTAGTATAGTAATTCAGCTCCATTATCAGAACACTACAACAATTACACTCTCTGAGAAAGCTCTGACCCTTGTACTACTTTTAAGAACACGAAACAATATAGGTTAGTCTGAATCACTATACTCGCCGGATTAATAAGCTCGTAGGGATACAAGGTAATAGTTTATTCTTTTAGCTCTCATTGAAGAATCATTAATCGAAAATATACCTTGATCAACTTTCAAAAAGTCAGCATCCCAACTTGAGATGTCATCAGTTCTTTTTTCTTTATTTTCATCGTCTTCTGGAGGTGGTGGGTCATCTTTGTGATATGTGCACCATTGAATAACACGCTTCAAAATAGCCGCATTAACGTTTGGAAGAGGAACAGCTTCGTCATCCTCTTCGTCCATTCCTAGATCTTCCAACATAGTTTTGATAGTATTTGATTGTTTAGCGATTTCTACTTCTACAGAGAAGACTTCTCCATCTGAACTGCTAAGCTTAATACTAGGCATTTCGCTAGATTGTGAAAATTGCGTGTGACACTAAGAAAAATCGAGATATTTGATCGTAATCGTCAAAATGTCTTGGTGTATGGTACAAACTCAGGGCTCTACAACATCCAAAATGGCTTCTAAAGATATTTTTTTCGATTTTCAAAAAAAAATCCTTCAACTTACAAATATAAAATATAATGTTTATATAAGACATTTTACTGTACATTTTAACTAATTTTATTTTATAAAAAAAGTAGATATATCATTGTAAAAAAAAAACTGGTACCCTATTCAAAACAAGTATACGCCTTTATATACCATTTTCGTAGTCGTTTTTGAATTCGCTTGTGCTTATCTTAAATACTACTAATGGAGGTCTAGTTAATGTATTCTATATTACTCAAAGAGTATTAATATTTTCACTTTTTTCTAGGTTAAAAATTCAAACTCAGACGAAATGACTGTCGATGTAGAAGGAAGTAAAAATGCGGTCGAACATAAAAAGCCAATGAATGCACAAGTATGGAAGTTGTTATGTTTAGCTGGAGTACTCATTTATGGCACATATTCTATATTAGTACATTTAGAAGAGAAAAATGGAAAACTGGCATTCTCATCAGCGTCACTAGTACTTGTAGCTGAATTTTGCAAATTAGTAATGTCGTTAGGTATGCTCTATGCCCAACTAAGAAAAGCCGAAACGAAATTTGAATGGCCCGGCCTAAAAGTGTCCCTTCCTTTTGCAATTCCAGCAATACTCTATGCCTTTAATAATAATATATCAGTGTTAATGCAAGTTGAAATGGATCCTGCAACCTATCAAGTCTTAGGAAATATGAAAATATTGTCAACAGCTTTCCTCTATCGACTAATTATTAAAAAGCCTATAGCGCCACTCCAATGGGTAGCTTTGGTTATGCTTATGATGGCTGGAGCATCCAATAGCTATGGGGGAATTCATCAAAAAATTCAAGATAAAAGTATAGCTTCGGCGAACTACGTTCACATTACAGGAAAAGGGCTCATTATGATAAGTTTATATTGTTTTGTATCTGGTTTATCAGGTGTTTATACAGAACTGATATTAAAAAATCGTTATGAAATGTCGATACATCTGCAAAATTCACTTCTATATGTCTATGGTATTATTATAAACGGCGGTTCTTTTATTGTAGGAGCAATGAACTCAACCGAAAAGAGTAAGAAACGAATATATATTTTAAACTATCAAACATCCACTAACAAAATATGTTTTCATTAGATGCCTGGAATCTTTTTCATGGATACACCTTTATAACTTTTTTACTTGTCTTGAACTTGAGTTCAGTTGGATTAATTATGGCAGCTATTATGAAGCATGGAAACAACATAACAAGAATGTTTATTGTCTCAACTGCAATGGTTATCACGACAGCCTTATCAATGGTGGTTTTCGGATTGGTTTTAAACATTTACTTTTGTATTTCTTTCATATTGGTTGTTGGCGCTTTATATCTTTATCATAAGACCTGAAAATACTTCATCAGTTTTCTAGATTGATATTTTTCTTTATGTCTCTTTTCTTTATTAAAAAATACCTTTTTTCTCTTTGAGGTTTTATTTCAAAGCTGACTTTCGACCGGGATTGGTACAATCGCAATCTTCAGGAAAATGTTTTTGCGAATATTTGTGTAAACAAGGGCAATAAATTGTCCAAATAACAAATGACCAAATCAAGAATACTACGACTAAGACAATTACAATATCTGTATATGTTCGTCGTTGTTTGGCATCTCTAGCTTCGACTATAAGGCGGATATGTCGTGGAAGTGGAGCTCTTTCACTTCTCACTGCCGCGTCCGGATAGTATCTTTGTGTTTTCGTTAAGGGATCCCAATTATCCTTCGCATAATTATCTTCAGACAAAGCTGCTATTATTCGAAGAGCAGTAAATAATAAAATCTTCGTCATTCTAATCAATTTTTACTATTTTTTATTTTTATTTTTAAAAAACGAAAAATAATGACATTAATATAGGCCTATGTTTATCCTTTTGTTTGTATGTTTACTCGCTTGCTGTGCATACAGTTTAATGCATCCAAAAGAAATAATGTTTGATTTGTAACAGAATTATAATATAGTTAATTTATTTATATATTCAGCTAGCCTGTTGCATACTTCTTTGATAAATATGCATTTTGGTGTCATACGTATGGTCGTCAAAGAAGGGGTCTCTTGCCACAGTGCTCCTCGCTTGATATGGAGGGTGATTGTGTATCATTTCAGTAGTATTTATATCCGATCCAAAATTATGGACTGCAGTACTTTTAGTAAACCCATCATGCCATTGTTCTTGTACATTTCCCCATGTGTGACCTTCTCTTGCTTTTCCAACTGGAGTCCTATCAACGAACTTTGTTTGATAATGTGTTATAAATCGGTCAGGGTAATTTTCAGGTTTTTCGCCATAAGTTAATTCGTTACTACTAAATCCGGTATTCTCCTTCCAACCAACGCCCTTCGTGTTTAATAGTTCCGGTAGTGTTTGAGGATTATTCTGTCGACCCAAATAGACATTTTTGGATACACTGCAAATATTTTCATATTAGAAAGATATTTGGAAAATTTGACTATATTTGAATATACCTGCTATAATTATTAGGCTGTTGCATGTTGATATACTCGGCTGGATCATTCTTTCTAACTCTATCAGCTTTCAATTCTGGTTGGTCTGAGGCTTTATCGTAAGCATCGCTCATCACTCGGGAAGTGAATTCGGGTTTAGGCTTCATTGAATTGACAAAACCAGAATCTCGATCGCCTCTTGGTACAAGTCCAGGGATTCTTTCTTCGCGAGCCTTCCATTTAAATGGTCCAAAGTCTGTTGTTGTTATTGGTATTCCAGTTGGTCTGTTCGTATACCAGCCAGGAGTTTCATTGCTGTGTTGTTGATCAGGATGGAAAGTTACTGGTTCAACATTCTTATTATGAGTGAAGCCTGAACCTTCTTGAGGACCCACTGCCTGTCCTTGATTATACGAAGAATCGCCTCTTTCTCCTTGAAATTTTACTCTGGTCTCCGAAGCATTTGAAACCGGGCCATATCCATAATTTTCTGCTTCAATGGGATCTTTTGATTGAATCTTGTGTAGTAAAGGCTTATGGCGTGGTCTATAATCGAGTGGAGCAGACATACTTCGTGTATCAATGAAGGTGTTTCGTACATGACGTTCCCGAGGTATTCCTGCTAAAGCCATTTCGGAAGTAAAACCACTTCTATTTTTTCTACAGTCAATAGGAACAGGTTCAGTCCCATTTGGGCCAACGTATGGTCTGTAGGATTTTTCAGTTACAGAGTGATAATTATCAGATACTATACGTCCCATTGATGGATTATCAACTTCATCCAAACGTGAAGAGTAATAGACCTGTGGTCTAAAGTTGGATGCATAGCCAGTTCCAGTATGCTTTCCAGTTCGAGGTTGAAAGTTTTGAAACTTTCTGCCGTAAGTGGTAGAATTCTGAGTTATATAAAAATGTGTTAAATCCTTATCCGCTCCCCGGCTCTGAAGGATATGCTTAGAACCAGGACCAAGATCTTGTTTACTAGCCGACATTTTCTTCGTTTTTTCCTTTAGATATCCTAACTTTGGCCTTTTTCCTTCAGTATACTAAGGGCTTGTTAGATGTTATGGCAACGAGCGGACGCGACATCTATCTGATATTTTTGTTTGAAAACTACAGATGGCGCATTTTAAGGTTATGATTAACACGATTGTGAAATACAAACGCAAGCAAGTAAGCATAGATCGCCATTTCTCTCTGGAGAATCCAAAGAGAAACTATGAATTTCGGTTCTAAATATGTATATTTCTACGATGGCTCCGACTCTGAAGAAGTCGATGAAGATACCTTCGAGATGGGTGTTAATTCTAGCAGCGACGAAGAAGTTGAAAAAAGACAGTAAGTTGAACTATATTTTGATAAAAGTCCCCGCTATTTTTATTATTAAAATTAATTAAAATGTCTGCCTTATATATTACATGTTTCCTTTTTAAATTAAGTAATTACTACTTTGCACGATAGATATACTTAAGCATACATCATAACAGAGTATCAAACAAATTTAAATCCCAGAAACCAGGAAGAAATAGTAACTCCAAAAAATTTCCTTATCTTACGTAATACTTTTTGTAGGCTATGAATAATTGAAATTCAAGATAAATAATGATATGCAAATGAATTGTTTCAGAACCAAGAGTTTTTTTGGCTTCGTTAAAAAGCCATTGGCGAAAGTAGCTAAATTTAGAAAAGGATCAGAAGGGAAGGCAGGGAAATTACATAAACGTGTTCGTAAGGCTGATACTAACATTATATCTGTTGGATTTCAAGAGCTAGTTGCTCCAAACTATATGCATACTGGTGATGCTACAAGATGTAAATCTTGTACTGGAATTTTGAATAAAATGTCAACAGTTGAAGATCTGAATGAATTTGAAAAGAAATGGATTTGCGAATTTTGTTCAACAGAGAATATTTTAAATATTGTTGATGAAGAAATACCTCAGAATAATGATACTACTTATATGCTTCAACCTGCCCCTTCAACGGCACAAATGACGGTTGATGGCGATGCGAGCATAGTTATATTTTGCATTGATATTTCTGGCAGTATGTGCGTGACTAAGGAAGTTCCCGGTAAACTGAAATTTCGGGGTGATGACACAAGCCAACTTGAATCATTCATGGATCATCCGAGAGAACCTCAACTTTTACCAAACGAAAAAAACAACGTCACTTGGGTAAGCAGATTACAAGGCGTACAAGCAGCTATTGACAGTCAATTGTCCGATATGGAAGCTAAACATCCGAAAAGAAGAGTTGCGTTAGTTACATTCAATAACGAAGTAACTCTTGTAGGTGATAAACCTGGAGAAACAGTTCATATTTCTGGAGATAAATTATCTGATAGCGATGCTCTATTTAATATTGGTAAAGAATTTCCTGAACCAGACTCGATCAAAAATAAACATAAACAACTATGTAAAGCTTTATTCGAATTGGAAGCAAATGGTCGAACGGCTCTTGGACCAGCCCTTATGACTTCCATAGGTTTAGCTTCAAAATCACCCAGATCAAAGATAATTTTATGCACAGACGGAAAAGCTAACATTGGTTGTGGTAGTGTAGAAGAAGAGAAAGATTTGAAAGAATCCTCCCAATTTTATGAAAAAGTGTCGACTCTTGCTAGAGACATGGGCATTGCTATATCTGTAATAACCATCGAAGGAACAGACTGTAACTTATCTCAAATTGGACGAGTTGCTCATGAAACCGAGGGAGACGTCAACATAGTCGATCCTCTAAAGCTGTCTGAAGAGTTTAGTAACATATTAGCAGTTCCGATAATTGCGACAAACGTTAAAGCAACGCTTTTATTACATAATGAACTTTATTTCCGGTATGAAACCAACCAGGAAAGTCGTGTTGAAAAAGTGTTTGGAAATGTAACAAAAGAAACTGAAATCACTTTTGAATACGGTGTGAAGCCAGGTGCCAGAAAGTTTAAGGAGAAGGTTGACGGTAAGGATTCTAATATGGAAAAAAAGCTACCATTCCAGTTGCAAATTGAATACACCGATACTGAAGAAGCAAGAGCTTTGAGAGTTATCACTGAATTTAAGCCTATTACGATGGAAAGAGAAAAAGCTGAGAGCAAAATCAGGTGGTCCACTGTAGGGTCTCATCTGCCTCAACAAAGTTCAAAGTTTGCTCTACAATCTTCACCGGAAAAAGCCCGTCTGTCAAACATTTCATATTTAAGAATGATGAACCGTAATAAAAGCACAAATAGAGATGCTTATGTAAATTGCAAGGAATTTTGTAAACCTGTTGATGATGCATGTTTAGAGTTATGCCATGCAGGCAGACCAGCTACAGACACTCAAACCAATGTACTGTTGGGAGCTAAAAAATTTAAACGATTTTGGAAAAAAAAAGATGAGACATCGAAAAAGTTTGCAGGTGATAGTAATCATAGTTCTGACGAAGACCGCGAAGACCCTAAGAAACCTGATGAAGGCGGCGCAAGTGGCAGTAAATAAGAAAATCCTTGAACTTGATATTTTTTTGTTATTAAAATATTTTTATTCAGTCTGTAATAACAAAATAAATAATCAACCTATTAACTTATGAACATGTGTAATTTCTCTTCTGGAAAATGGAATTCGTCTTTTAATAATCTGGGTTAATTAAACAATAATTAGATTTATGATAGGGGATATTAAGTTAAAATAGAAAAGTATGATCAAAGAAACACTTACAAAAAGGTTGTTTCTGTAAAAGGACTTGGTCCACATACACAAACTAGAGCCGGTGATATTGCAGCTGGTAGCCAGTTTTCAAGTATTTCTTTTCGAATTCTACCAGTTGGGCCTTGCCAATTAGCAGACGGTTGAGAAAGTACATTTATTACATTAAAACTAAAAGGGAAAAAATTTGTATCAAACAACATATGCTCTTTAATTATACGTAGATTGTTTACTTGGAATTAGTTTCTTGTAGGACACATAAATCTCGTGCCCATAATATATCTTCTTCCGTCTTATTAAAGAACATTAATTTTACTTTCCTACGAAATAAAAATTGTTTATTAACATTGATAAATTACCAGCTGAGTTACCTGACTACTTCTAAATCGATAGAGAATAGATACTACTTACTTGTCATCTTGATTTTGGAGGCAGTAATGAATAAGAGAAGTCATTGGAGTGAAGCCTGTACCGGCTGCAATCATAACTAGATTTTCTGCTCTCTTCAACTTTTCCAAGTCAAAACTGCCCTCGTAATTACCAGCAATTATTGACTCACCTTCAAACAAAGGGAAAAGATAAAAAAAAGAAAAAGAGAGATTAGTAATGGATATCCTTTAATGGTCAGGTAAAAAAATAAAATAATGGAAATTTTTGACGTTTAATACAACACTAACCAACTTTCAAACCTCTTAAGCAAGTCGTAAAACCATTGTCGTATATTTTAATCATTAATGAGCAAGTAGAGCCGAGATCATTTTTATCATTTGCTTGAGGAAGGAGATTTTGTGGCACAACCGTATAAGGCTTAGAGATAGTCATACCTGAGTTTTTTTAAGAAGAAAGAATACGAGTAAGGTTAACAGGCCTATAGTGTAATCAGGCGTCTTCTGATTATAACTATTCCTACCATCGATCGATGAATGTAGGTAGATGTGATAGCCGATAGGAATGAGCATCCTACAACCCTGTGGAAAACGTATGCAAAACAGTTTCGTGTCGTGCGTGACGTTTTCGATCCTTTCGATTAAGCAGTGTCTCTCGCGTAATGCTGAAAAGTACCATACCATCTTAGACAACATTAAGATAATATCATATAAACTCAGTGGTCTTACTCCAATCAGGTCTATTATCAAAAGATAAATTTGAGTTTAAAAACTTCCCAAGGCTATTCCATTTTCCAGGTAAAGCTTTTTTAAACGTAATGATTAATCTATAAATTTCTCCCTGTATGTTTTCAACAGTGGTTGAAATGTTTTTATCAGATAGTTTATATTTAGGTTCTATAAATTAAACAAATAAAACAGAAGTTGTAATTCGTAATATCTTAACATATTTGCATAATCGTACCGAAATGAATCAACCAAGCTTTCTTTGATGGTTTCTCACAGAATATATGGATTTCGTAGCGGTTATTTAATCGATCTATAACGACATCTTCCTCTTGTAAAGGTCTCTTTCCGTAGACAATAAAATTAAGATTCAGATCAGACTCTTCCCAGCTTGTACTATAGATAATATAAAAATTAAATTCCTCTAATTAAATAGTGTGCCCCTTATTATAAAAACTTAAAAGTATAAAATTCACACAAATGAATATACAGAAGGAATTAACTAACATTGGTTCATTTCCTTTGTATGAATAAGCTGATGCTATATCCTTTTCCATTTCCGATTTAGGAATTTCTAAGAATGTTGTAAAAAAGTTAATATGGTTTTATATTAATTTCTTAAATTATGCAAAAAGAATATATTACTTATTTTTTACCTTTAATATCTTGGGAATTAGCTTGTAGGCCTAGGTAGAGAAAACAAAGTCATAAAAAATGGAATTAGATAAGTAAAAGATGGAATTTTTTGATTAATAAAGTGACTTTTAGTGAATTTAGAAATAATAAAGGAGTTTAATATTGTAAATGATGAGGAAATCGGTTTTTTTCTTGTATTTACCTTGCGGCACTGGTAAGTTTGTTTCCATTTTTCCTACGTAACATTTTTCAAGCATAGATTCTGCGTTTACCCATTTATGAACTTCCATAAAGAGTTCTGTTGCATCCATTCCTACTCCTCTCATAAGTTCCATAATACCTCCTGGATGAAAATCCATATATGGAGTTACATTATACACTCGTCCCCTGATTGCCATCCAGGCATCATTTGGCTTATTATGTTTTGCTAGTTCTTCAGCTGTCACAGTTAGAATTTTTCCACGAGTTCCTGCTAGGTCCGGTTTTGATTTACCTAATCTAATCCAATCCATCAAAGAATGGCCAGGTTTGAGAACAACTTTATTTCGACCATTACTTGATCGTTGTTGGGATTCTGGAGCGGGAAAACTTGGCTTCGGTATATT